GCAGTCAAGATTTGTGACTATGTATGAAGACGAGCATCCCTCCTGCCGTTTGAGATAGACTCTATTAGTACATGTATATCCCTCATAATGCTGTGAGACTTGGTATTTTTTTTATAATACGTAGTATTGCTGACAATGTCAATACATTACATGGCATTTCTTTGACGATCCAGTGAGACCTGTTAGATAAATTCTTCCCATCCAGTACTTGTATATCATCATAAGGCTTGATCTTCTTCAGTAAAAAGTACTATATCCATCACAGTGCTTTGAACTCCTTTGTATCAAGTACTATTGCCGGCAATGGCAATATCTGGCATTTCATTGACGATCCAGCGTCTAATAGATTAAATTGAAAGGACATAACCCACAGTCTCCCCTCATCATCCTTAGTATACTACAAAGTCAAAGGCAGCTTGCTAGGAGCACTACATCCCATCATACCACCATTCCTGACGTATCCCAGCTCCAACGCACGACGCACATGTACAGCCACACACTGGGGTGATCAGATTTGCATATGTCAGTGTCGGTGCAGGTGGAATGTTGATTGGTGTAAATGGCGTTCGAGCAGCCAGCGGTGTTCGCATCGCTACAGGCGTCAAATGCGCTGAGCGCGGCCGTCTTGAGGGAGTATTCAAGGATGTGGAGTAGGAGAACGATCCACTTGCTGCCGCTGTTGGACCTGGAATGTGGAGGCGAGGAGGTCTTGGATGGCGACGGCTGTTCAAGTCGTGACTTTCCGTGGATATACAATACTGTTGCGTTTGTGGTTGTGATTGTGGTGGTGGCATGGGATTTATCCATCTTTCATATAATTTCTTCTGCTCGTCTGCCTCCCAATCCACCATTCGCCCAGCAAATTGAACGACTCTGCCGACCCTCCCGCTCAGAAGCCCGCGAGCGCTCAACTCGCCTAATCTCATCACCCACGCCCAATATTCATCTCCGGAAACAAAAAGTTCCCATTCGACCGCTTCAGCAAATCTCCATTCAATCCCATTCAGCTCTTTCACTGGCATGCTCAACACTGATGACCACGACTTTGTTGACAAGACATTATCGTGTAAGAGTTTGTTAGCAAGGAGTGCGGCACCTATGATCGCTGTTGGAAGCGTCCATGTGACTGGCTCTGGGTGCGCTGTGGTGTAAGTAGGTGGTGACGGCGATCCCAAGGTAGGAAGAGGTGGTAAAACTCGTTTCTTTAGGCGACGAAGAAATCGGAGCATAATGAATACTTCTGGCCCTGTTATCCCCGCTCGAGCAATAATGGTAAAGCAGAGGTGATAGAGAATTTCCCATGTTGATGGTGGTGCATACGGACTGTAGCCAGTCGATGGGCTGAGACCGTAAGTCTTGCCAACCCAGATATTCGAATCACTCCCCCAGAGTGGTGTTACTGGTACGGGCTGGATAACTGGGAACTCTGGCGATTTCCATATATATTCCGCCAACTCAACAGTAATCGCCGCCAATTCCTGGATATCTACGGGGAGAAGGGTGGGGACAACAGGTGTCGATGGTGGAAAGAAGCGAATGCACTGTATTGGCATGGACATTGCGGCACGCTGCGTCTATCCGGGAAGAACCTCTCGTACAAAATATATGTCTAGGTTGGGAAGATGCAAAGAAAGCGGACATGGTACCCAACAAACGGAAAGCCCCACCGTTGCAATTCAAATGGACGAAAAGAGCACAGAACGCCCAAAGAATACATACACAAATCGGAGCGAATCGCAGTTACTGAAGCCCCCATACAGAGAATACAATCTTCGAAAAAAAACTGCCGGAAAATCATAAGTGTATCGGAAAGAGTTCCTAAAATAAACCTCAACCCCGCAAGTGTCCAATGAGGAAATGCTCCAGGCGCTTAATCTTGGAATGGAACCTGGCCCCTATTTGCAAACCATCCTAAGTTGTGTGGCCCGGTTGCAAACCTTGTCCAGTAAATAGTGTCTTTGACATCATCAAATATTGTCAGTCGTATGTCTTTTGTTTTCGCCTGTGTCGTGACTGGATTGTTGTGTGGTCGCTGCTCAAAGAATCCCTTCTTCATCTGGTTTCTAGATTGTCGGTGCATGAACCAACCCATTGGGAAGGGTGCAATCTTTCGTAACGCCGTTAGGTGAACGTGTGATCAGCCCTTGCAAAACCAATTTATAAATAGATGCACTCGAAATGCTATTGTTCAGGTAACGCATTCTCGACATGAAACTGGGATATGAATCTTGCAATCTGTTTTGAGGCAATGAAAATACTTTTGGGTGACATATATCCTCATTTCATTGGCTTGTGCGCCGTCTAACGATCGGCTTACGATCAGCACATGACTGTTTTAACAGGTTGCAAAATAAAATCACGACGTCGTTGTTACAGAATAAAGTAGAGTTTCATAGCGCACGCACTAAAATAAAGCTAAATGCCGTGCACGCTATGGTTCCTATTTGACCCACACTATCATCTTGCTGTTGAATTCGTCTGTGTCACCACCTGGGCGGCACTCCATTTTTCTTCACACCACGGCATTCCCGGTATACAATTCAAATACTTACACCAAGTACATCCAGGTCCACTGCCATAAAACCCTCGAATCAGGAAAACCATTATCAACACCAAGGCAGGCAAGGCGATGATCATCAGTATTCGCTTTCTCCACTTGTCCCATTTACCGAAATGGATCGTTGGCATGAAGAGAAGCCCTGCTACAATGCCAGTGTAGAAACCGCCTATGTGGGCAAAGTTGTCGATGAAGGGAAGCATTCCAATTAGGAGAGAGATCACGATTTGGATCAGCATTTTGAAAAGTTCGAGCCAGGGTCGCGAAATGAGACGCCAATTTTGGAACAAGTCCAGGAGTAGGCACGCCATAAGACCTATAAGAAACAAAATGGCATTTTGAGTGATGCTTGCAGCTATTCATTCAAGTCGAGGTCACACTAACCATATAATGCCCCAGAACATCCAACGCTAGGAGTCAAGGGATTGAAGTTGGCTCCAAACACAAATCCTGCAATTCCACTCGCAAGGTAAATAGCGGCAATCCGCCACCACCCAAAGTCCTTTTCCATTTGGAAACCCGTGCGGACTTGAAAACTCATGTTGAAGGCCAAGTGCAGCACACCACCGTGCAAACCGATGGCCGTAATAAATCGGTACCATTGGTTGGGAACTTCTCCATTCAAACCCGTAAAGCCGCATATATCGGCGAGCGTGCATATTGTTCCCCCCTCTTGGGACCCTTGAATGCCTATTGGACACTCAATTCGCGTGACATTCTCGAGACCTGTGCCTGTTCGCATGCAAGGAACAAAGCGCGCTCCCATTGATATGAGAACCTGTTGAGAAGGTGAATAATAAATTAGATCTGCATATCGAAACAATATGAACATTGCAATGTACTTGCCCCAGACGTAGGTCCAATCATGTAGTTGAACGGATTTGTTTGAATGATACTCCCAGTGTTCTTTTGGTTGATGACAAAACTAGCAATCAACGTTCCGACCTGCAACAGCGTCATAAGACCCAGAAACCATGGTCGATGCGGTTTCAGCTTTGCTAGCTGTATTCGAACTTTGGGATTATGCAGCGCAGCCGGAAGTTTCTCGACTGCCTCCGCTTCCTCCGCTGCCATGCGTGTGTAGTATGACATATCAGGAGCCTTTTCGCGGAACCCCTCTGAACCGGCAGTACCACCTTCTTCTATGACCGTTGCATAGTCGACGCTGGGCTTATGTGATGGGGATACTATCAGGGGTGACGTCGGGGAATGTGGTTGTGAGCTGTTGCGCTTGCTGCTGGTGGAGGTGCCTTTCTTTTCATCTGGACTACGGCGGAGATCCTCGCGGGACAGAGGGTCGGAGTAGAAGACATAGTTGCGAAGATCTGAGTCGGAAGAGGAGTCGTGTGCGTCGCCTTCATAAATTGACGGGTACCATGCAGAGGTAGGGTATGGTGAGACTTGGGTTTTGTGGGTTAATGCACTGTATGGCATCATTTGGCATCATGCAACGATGTACTCTTTGCCGCAATAAACAACACCTCATTGAGGCTGCCCTCCTCAAATGCCTAACCGCATACAGCCCATACCACCTCGCGAGTTTGACATTGATGCTTACCTTTGCCATTCTTTTTGCTTTTTCCCATTATGTATGGTGGCGACCGCGAAATGTACGGAGTGGAGGGAAAAGGGTATTCAGGCGCGTCACCAGCGGTTGTTGGAAGGTTTGAGACAAGAGCAAGACGGCACGAGCGTTGATGTGGCCAGGTAGGAAAGGTTTAAGCAAGGGAATTGGCGTAGGCGAAAACGGACAAGAAAGCAAGGATAGGTTCCCAATGGTCAGTGCAAGGGTTTCTTAGATGGCAATCCCAAGGCCTCCCAGTTATATGCGCTGCTTCTGCGCATCCAACAAAGCACAAGAGCTATGGTTATCCACGTCTCTTCCCGTCTTGGCCAAAAGACACAGAAGGAAACAAACAGTAGAGACCTATCGAACTATTTATAGAATGATCCCGTAATCCAGTTTCTTTGATCCCCTTTTACCACACGCTTTTGAACCCGAAGCGCAGGGATGCGCTGCCCGCCAAGCTCAAACTACATTTGCCAAGAGGCCATAACAAAAAACAGCACGAAACATACCCAGAAGCATCTCTTTCATATTCATGCGTGTTTCCGGGTGCGGTATGGATTGTGTCTTGCTGCGATTGCTCCGTCGTCGCCAACCACCATGCCCTTAGCTCTTCATCCCCCAGAGGGGAACGTGGCTCCTGTCGCTGTCCTTGCTGCTCATATTGTTGTTTTACTTCCGACATTGTATAGCGGACAGCGTGGGCAGTGTTGGGGAGACGTTAGGGATGACCAGCAGCCCTCGCAATTGTCTATAGCTATGGGACAAGGTGATTTCTTTTTGAAGGTCTATTCCTTTCTAGCCTTGTTCACTGTTCATGAGGTTGGAATGTGTGTTCTTTGGGGAGAATAATCCTGTTCACTTTTGCCTTGGCGTGGGCATTTCTCCCCCAGCCCTTTTAAAGTGGTTTCATCGCAAGCGGAAACCTTCTTCAGTTGAATTAAACTGCTGTCCGCGTGCCTTTGCCGAGTTTCACGATGGGGTTCGATACTCGCTGCTCGCATTCTCATTGGTGTTTTTGTTTTTTATGCTTAAACTCCCCAAATGGGAGACTTGGAGGCAACGCAAAGATATAAACAATGAGCCTATTTAATGCCAACAAGATACAGACTAGAATCATTCGAGACAAATGAAACAATGTCAATTCCATACATGATTATTTCTACTCTTAAAAGTCATATCTAGAGGCATGATGCTGCGATGGGTATAGAAAGCTACGGCAAACACTTGAAAAAAAGGTTGAACGCAGTTGGCTCTGCCTAAATCACGTCCCCAATCATGGTATTGTGGGCTGGCGACTCTGTATAAGCCTACCAATGTTCGCTTTACATCTGACGGGTGGTTTGGATAAGTCGTTTTCTGAGGTTGCTGAGCCAGACTGGAAGGGCATTTCACTTTCGTGAAGACTTTAGATTAAAAGACACAGTCTTGGAGACGAGATCTCTATTTTCGTCCGTCTTGGGTGCATTCTCGCAAGGCTGTACTGGGGAAGCGATCGATGGTCGTCGGAGAGCAGATTTGACTGGCCGGGCGATTGGATGCTCTCGTGTGGATTTCGAGCTTGCCTCTGCGACGGCGACTCTATGCTGACGGTTTACATTCAAGGTCTGGAATAGCTTTGAAAGGTCAGTCGCTTGATCATCGTCTTTGGACGAACGAAGGTAGAATCCAAAGCGCATTCCGCTAATTGGGAAGGAAGACAAGCAGGCCACATCTAAAGGCCCATAACATATATTGCATAAATGAAAATTCCTTGGCACCATGGTCGTAGTCTTAAAATAGATACTATGAGGGCGTTGAATTCATTGTTTTGCCAGGCATCTGTACACATTGTTTAATAAAAGATTTTATTATGGGGCATACCCTCAGCACAGATGCCCCGCCGGTCGGTAGAATCCATTTGTGCTAGATTCACGATTTTATCCGACCTCTATCAGACAACTGTTCTGCCCATTGAACGATGAAAGAGCCCGAACAGGGATCCGGGTGCACATCGTCATGAAAACTATGTACGGAAGTGCTGATGATAATCCAAATGGATCGTCTTCCATCAATTAATGTTCAACAATAATTAATGTGTTGTGACATTTGTTATTGCCAGTACCTACTTTATTTCTGGCAAGTGGCTGTGGAGTACATTAATGACAGGTGGCTGGTATATTCATTACGGGCGGGGACGAGTCTGTGGTGGGAAACCCCGCTACTGGCATCTTGGCAGGCGACGAATGGTCCGTACCCGCACATACATACCCTTTATTGGACATCCCTACCATCACAATTATCATTGTACTTGAGTCAAGTGAAATAATGTCTGCCATCACTTGGTCCGCGAAGCGCACGCCCATTACGTACCGTGCTCACACGGCTGGCAAGTCAAAGTTTAGGCAACGGCTGGAGAACGAAATGCGGCGCCTGAAAGGCGGTCTGCAGCTAGAGCCCCCAGTTGTTTATACATCTGCACATGAGCAAAAGCCGTATCAGCTCAGAAAGGAGCCTGAGAACGCGAGGAGCCGCAGACACAGTCCTGAATATGAGGGAGGATCGATACGAGGATCCATGCCAAGTAAATGGTACGCAGTCTGGTTGACAGCGGAGTAGCATCTGAATGAAATTGAATTCTCTTTCTGTCCTAAAATAGCTCCCACGATGGAAAGCCCAAAGCGCACCACACTGTGGACTCCAGCGTATCCGTTGTAGTCACGCACTTTGGACCACAAGATGTCGTGTTATCCAAAAATGACACTTTTCAAGCTCCTAGAAAGAGACGGTTGCGGCGAAGAAAAGATCGAAAACCCAGCCCGAAAACAGACGATGACGATTCGGGAGCAATGGATCGCCATCTTTCAGTGGATGCTCGTGGAATGAAAACCACAACAGTGTTTGAGTTTCTTGGAAGCGCATTTGGAAGTCCCAACCAAAAGCGCCGTGCAAACAAGACGAAAGTTGCACCCACTCCACCGAGACGCTACAAAAGAATGAGCGATGAAGCATATGTGGACGAGCTGAACCCTCTAGTTACCAAAGTCGATTCACGGAAGCGACTCAAATTTGTGAAGAGTGATGGCGACGATGAAGGAGATAGTGTATCCCCATGTCGCATGTATATCCGCGAAGGGCGTAGCCCAAACAAGATCGTCTATAAAGCACACAAGAGTAAGACCACCACGGAGATGGGGTTGACAACTAAGATGGAATCATTGGCTGGTACAACGAGAAATTTTAGTTCACTTGCCAACTCTGCAACTGCTTGCCAAAGATTGCAGACAAGAGAAGCCGCACTGACTGATGTTGCTCAGGATTCGGATATCCTACAACGTTCGTCTTTCGGTAAGCTACCATCAATATGCTTTACGTTTTGGGCTTTGCACAGATTTATAACCAGTGTAAAGCAGACAAGATTGAAATCAACGACCGTTCCACGAATGGTCTAATTCTACAAGATGAAAGCGTGGTGATTGGGAGCGACATTAAACCTAGCATGCAGGACCGCGCAGTTCAGGATCGTACTGCAACATCAAGCCATTCATCTCCGCCACGAAAGAAAAAGGTTCTCAATTTTACTGCGTCCACAATTCTAAGGTCATTGGAACATGAACCGGACAGAGGTCCGGCAAATATATCTTCATCCGACACTCATCGGATTAGCCGAATGAAGAAAATGACCGATTCGTGCCCTTCAAAAGGAAATTATGACATTGGAAATGTGCGACGAAACAGAAGCGGTATCAGCGCTTCTGATAGGCAGAGCGTAGGTATCAGCCTTTTGGGAGTCGAAAATCTATCATATATACTCACCAAGTCCTACTTCTTTTTTGCAGCAGCAGACTACTGCCGAAAATAACCTGGAAAAACCTGAAGATTCTGTCACTTTCTTCTCTTCAGCGGAACTAACGGATCTATCACAACTCCCATGCACCTCTGTGACATCAGGAGAAGACGAAGATTCCCCGGTGAACCTTGACTCGCTGTGGCAACAACATGATGACCACGATGCTGATCGCGTCCCACGTTCACGCATCCGTGAATCGAGACGAAAAGCAGAATGGATGGAAACCATTTCCTCTGGCGGCGAAAGCGCGTCTAATGGTTCTGACAGATGTATTCAGGCGGACGCTGAGCATGCTAGGGAACTTCTTCCGGGAGATTGTCGCGAAAATAGGGTGCCAAGTCCAATCATGGAAAGAGGATCGTACCCGTCACCCCCTCCAGCGCAGAACCAATTGGCCACTTTTCGCGACTCGGACGTCATGGAAGACATAGGGTCTGTAACCAAATTAATGGACAGTCAAGTAGTCCCATTAAGTACACAAAAACAAAATCCGTGGGTCACGCCAAAGAGGACAGGTGTGTCACTTGAAGACAAAGACCCGAAGACACCGCGTCCCCTCCTCGACATCATTCAGAATCAGAAGCCCACCTGGGATCGAGCAATTAGTACCGCGACACGAAAAAAGCGCCAGCTGGTAATCACCGAATCTCCTGTCCCCCACCCTAGTCCTTGCAAGCGGACCCCTTCTGCTTGGGATGATGACGACGTTTGGAACTTTGGTTATAGTACGGACGCTGAGGGACGCAAATCGAAGACACGTGTCGAGAGCAACATCCCTGGGGAAGGAATGCAATCACTGAAAATCCCCATAGAACGAGAAAATCTCACTTTAGAGTATCATCCCGTTTCCCTGAGGCCATTGGAAGGAGAACGGCTCATCAATAAAAACAATGGATATCATGTTTTGGGATTTTCCGATGATGGAGTCCCACTCCGTCGGTAAGTCAAAGTGGAAATTAATTGTTTCTGAGTACGGGTGTCGTATACTAAGGCGCTAATGTCTCTTACAGGACTCTGCATGCAGTGAAGACGGACCGTGCACTAGACGACTTATTTGATCGGGTTTGGTGATCTTTAGTAGCTTCCTACTGCATCAGAATCCACCTGCAAACTAAATATCTCCTGATACAATTTGTTGACCTATTACTAAATTTGCATTTTGTATGTACTGCTGCACTATCTTTCCAATGGACATTTTTGTTTTTTCGCATTGAATACATTTCAAGTGTACACACTTTTGAGACAAAAGAGCATTTTCTACATCACTCAATCCAACCTCGTTTCACATCCTCCTCCCATCCTACATTAGGATCTTTGTTGTCTGATTTGTTGTCAAACTTGGACTCCCCTCGAATACAGCTCGCCTTATCTGCTGTGCTCAACCCAGGATCGTCGCCGTTCCCGTTTTGCTCTCCCGCAGCAGGTTGATCGCCCTCATTCGCCAACGTAACTGCATCATCAGCTGGATCCATACCCTTGCCCGTAGGTGGTATACTGCTCACTTTTCCAGGCTCCGGGTCAGAGTTGTGGCGAGGTGTGTTGAAGTGGGTGGCGGGTGGGGTCCTCGAAGGAACTGTGACATGTCGTATGAGCTGGAATGGCCGACATAGCCGAATGAATGTGGTATTGCGCATCTGTCCTAAAGTGTATCAAAAATATACGACTGTATGGAGAGTGTAGTATCTGGTCAAAGGAGAGGGTAACGCGCGAGTTCGTTATTTAGTGGTGATCGAGTACCATTACATCATCCAAGGCCAAGCCACACGATTTACATCCGATGTTGTCTGAGCAGATTTCCATTCAGGCATTGCTGTATGCACTCCCAACTGTCATTCCCAACAAAGAAAATCGAACTGCTGCATTGCTCTTATGTTATAACCAAGCAAAACTATGTTATTTTCAAAATGATTTACGGTAGAACATGCATATCCTCCGCTACTATCTTATCCAGACATTTGTTACAACGGTAGCAATAGCCATGTACCCAGAGATTCGACATGATCTTTTTACAATGATTTGTAACGTCGGGAAGGTTCATCCTCTGCTTCCCCCCTGCTGTGACTTTGTGCAGCGTGGTGCGTTCCGCCTGCTTCCTCACCGCTATGCTTCATTCTTTCTTCCTGTCTGTGCTTGCCAATTTCAGCTTCTTTGTACGGATCGATTTTTTCGCCAGTGCGTTTTTCATGAATCTGTGGAAGAGATGTCGAATTATTGATGCGAGGATTGGTGGAAAGCAGCCAAGTAATGAATATGCCTCACCTCTGCGAGCTTGAAAGCCGCGTGAAGGCGTCCAGCATCAGTGTTTGCGGGATTATGAGCTGAGGCCTGTGCACATAAGGACGACATTAATCGTAAGGAAAGCTTGTACAGACCACAGCCATATATCAGAAATACCAAATAAGACCGCTCCTTGCGGCCCTCCTCATCACTGGCATCAACATGCGGGACTTGACTTTCTTCCCTATCCATTTTGCTCACGAAAAAGTGCGATTTGTCTTTGCTTTCAGTATCTGAAGTTGGTTCACGCAGGAGATGTGATACAGAGCAACTTCTACTTATAGATTGTTTCTTTCTCCCTTGGATTCGCTGTACAAAGGTCGAGTCATGCCGTTGCGTGATGGGGGGCTTGCCAACCTTCAATCATCACACATAACATTGGCCACGTCACATACCTAACCCAAACACATTGGGTCTGCCGAGAACACTTTACCAGATTGCGAGAGTTCTTTTACGTAAAACTATAATGAAAGCAACAGGATGCTTGATAGGATGATACCTGCCGGAAATGCTGACTAAAAAATTGCGAAAATGAAAAGCCTTTGCATCAAGGATGTAACGCAGCTGAAAGCTATTGGGTGCCGGTGCTGCTTTTGCAGATCATATTTTGGCCGTCTCCAAAACCAAGTTCCGAAAGTCTATCTATCTATCTATCTAAACTGACCTGTTTGTCAGTTATGTCACTCATCTGCTCCAGGCTGCTACTTCGTCCTTGCCCGGCTAGAGTGGCAGGACGTATTCCCTTGTGCCGCTCTCCAGTCACCAATGCCATCAAACCGGTAGTTCAGCGTCGCAACTACGGCATTCTAGACAAAATTTTGGGTGAAAACGATGAGAATACAAAGGGAGAGAAAAAGAGCGAGGAGCAGAAAACAGATTCTTTCCTACGAGATGATGATAAATGTCTGAGCCCCTTCAAAGTGGTTTTCATAGGCGCCGGCGGTATCAACTTTGGTAGTGTATCCGGACCATGGGGCGAGTCTACTCAATCTGAGAGATTTGAGCGGTACGTATGAAATTTGGATCTAAAAACAAATGTCAGTCGGTCATATATTCTTCTATATAGAGTTCTAGGGCCGCGCATGAAAGTTCCCGCCATCATTGACCCGAATGCTACGTTGCTACGCACAACGGTGGAGAACAAGCAAGATCCAGAGAACCGCTTCCACAGCGCCTACAAAGACACAGCGGAATTTCGTAGCCTCGACGAATATTTAGCCAGCAAACCAGAAAAACCACATGTTATTGTCTTTGGTCTTCCTCCGTACCAACGACAAAAATTGGTGCGGGATGGTGATCCAGAGATTAAGATTGCGGATGCGTTTCCTGGAATCGGGTTGATGATTGAGAAACCGGTTGCAGCGGTAGAGGATCATGAAAAGTTAAAGAAGATTGGAAGCAAATTTCAGGAGAAAAATCTTATTGTTAGCGTAGGATATATCTTGAGGTATCTGAGAGGTAACCACCATTACTTGCTTTCAAAGTTTAATATCGCAAATATTTCCTCATTCGCAACTAATTTGGCCTACAGCGGTGCAAAGGATAAAGGAAGCCATCGCTCAGATGCCTAATCCCGTAATGGCCACTCATGCTCGACTCTCGAGCAGCTACGTAACCGAAACTCGTCCCTGGACTTGGCGCAAAAGCGCTGGTGGCGGACCCATCATTGAAGAAGGGACCCAAATATGCGATCTGAGCCGATACCTGTCGAACCGGGAAGTTAATTTGAATGACATTGATGCCCGTGCTGTCGAGTGGTGGGAGGAGGCTGGGAAACTAGCCTTGATGCCTGTTGATGAGAATCTGATTCCTGAGGATGAAAGGATCCCAAGGGTTACCGGGGCTCTCTGGTATTTGCTTTGTCTTCTCGATATTGCCCACGGTCGATAGTTGCTTAATCCGTCAGGATAGGAAATACACCTCAGGCGCCGTTGGCACTCTCTTGCACACTATAAATCTTCAAACTCCGTCTCCGTATCCAGACACAGATGTCGAAGTTCATGCGGACGGATATCTCTTCAAAATTCTGGACCTTTATCACGCACCGACGTTGCTTACTCGTGCCGGGGATCATGATCCGTTGGTTCTTCAGGTAGGCGCAACTTGGGTATGTAGTCTTAAGCGGCTGATCTGATCCCGATGTTCGTCGATGCATAGTACCAGAATGATGACCCTTATCTGCGCGAGGTGGCCGCGGTTGTCGATGCCGTCGAGGGAAGGGGCAAAGGCAAGGAGGAAATCCTATGTGATTGGAATGATGCAGTGGAAACCTATTTGCTCAGTTGGGCGATTAGGAACGCTTCTGAGGAGTAGCTTGTATAGCGCTATCCTTTGGTCACTGCTTTGCATCTAAATATCTGGCACGATCTTGAATTTCGCAATCACATTTTTGATCACGTAATAACTCCCGATCATAATGAAAAAACCCAGTAGTTTAGACAATTTCTGGAGGGCAGAGCTTGTTTAAAGGCCGATATCAAACCAAAAACTTTCTCCAACAACCACGGTAGTGGTCCCTGAGCGGTCAGAAGAGCTTCAGCTGAAGCCAGGGGCTCCACTGACGTGACAAGCCAATTGTACTTGAGCCCCATTGAGTCAGTATGCACTCAGCAATCGTGCTGTCGTGAAGGATGAGCTCGTTAGGTAATGAAAAGGTACAAAGAACCTCCCAGAAAGAGTTTCATTCTGTAAATACGGACATTGTCATAAAACCCCGTCGAGCAGCAACAACAAGTGATTAATTTTCGCATCGCTCCTGTCTACTTTGGCTGTTCACTACCTATAGTCTCTGCTTCACGAAATCTGCTTAGAAACATAGCCATCATGGCCACAACCCAAACTGCACCTCAGACAGCTCCTACCGCGCCCACCAGCCTAAAAAGTCTTCCCTGGCCTTTCCCTATCGACTTCCTCAGAAACCATACCATTGATGAGATTCTTGAAGATCGCATGGTGGCTCGTGCCAATTCAGCAGCCAACTATGAGCTGGCAGAAGTTAATGAGAATGCAACCGTTGCGCAGGTATTGTCTATCTCCGGTCAAGTACACAGTTTGAAATTTGGTCTTGTCTGATTGAAACCGCCTTGTTACATATTGCAACATTGCATAGGCATTTGACAAACTCCGCGCAGACGATGTCACCGCCCTTCCCTGTTTTCGCGAGGAAGGTGGCAAAAAAGAGTACACCAATATGATCAATATTCTCTCCCTGGCCGCTTATACTATCTTTATGGTGATCAATAACTCTTTTAGCACATGTTGCAGCCAACCACGAAATGACTGTTTTCTTTTGGATGGTTGATAGACTCTCTGGGACGAATTGGAGGATAGAGATTTCCGCAAGGCAGAGAGCGAAGCGGAACGAGACGAGCGACGTGCCCGCATGGTCAAGGAGCACATGGACAACTACTTTACGGTAATAGAAGCCTTTGGATTGATGTCATTACGGTTGCTTATCATGTCGCCTATTCTCCCCAATATAGCGGCCTGTAAAAGATGTGATTGGCTTTCATGCCGAGTCCTTTAAACTCCATTCGCTTCCCCGTACAGCCAGCGTCCTCGATCTAGTCAACATAATGAAGGACGGAGTTCACCATGTCCTGATTCCGCCGCAAGGTGACCAAGAAGCGGATATCGTCAGTCAGGGTGATCTGGTGAGGTGGTTAACCAGCGAAAAACATGACGATTTGAGTTTGAGGCAGCTGTGGCAGATTGGAGTGGATACTGCTACAACGTATGCGTTGAAGGTATGAGTCGAAAATGGGCTACGTTGACATCACCGGTTTTCCTGTTCTCACAATCCAACACTAATAATTTCATCTTTTGGGGAAAAGTTTGAAGGCGACGGTGATCCGAACCAGCTCAAATATCCCGACGGTCGGTGGACGGGGCGACAGAGGCGGTAAGGCGAGAATGGAAGATATCTAATGTCGAAAGCTGGAGCACTGCCTCATCTCTCTTCAAACCACTTTAGATACGCTCTGCACCTTCCTGACAATCTGCAGGCTGTAGTGGCGTTCAAGTCCATGATGGTCCATCACTTGTCTAGCGTCGCTATCGTTGATTCTAAAGACGGCACCATTAAAGCCAATCTTAGTGCTACAGATCTTCGTGCCATCACTCCCGACAATGTTCTGGACGTGTTCCGTCCTGTGATGGAGTATCTTTCGACACTACCTGATCGTCGTGAGGAGCCTGTAACCATCAGTCGGCATAATACGATCAAAGACGCAATCAACAAATGTCTTCAATATGATGTCCACAGGGTTTGGGAGATTGATGATGAGACCAAGAAGCCGATGGGAAACTTTTCGTTGACAGATGTGATTTGCTGTTTGTTGCCGTTGGATGCTCCAAAGGAGGAGTGAGTGCGGTTTCCTGCACTGGTAATTTTCATTGTGTACATATCTTGCTTCTGCTGGTATTCGAGAGCCATTTGTGCATGGGATAAATCGCTGTTAAAAACATGCCATATGTATAGCTTTCTGCAATCAATGATGGGGTTAACTCGGTGGATGAACTGGGACGCAGGAGATCGATCGCGGTGCGCTCCTTGACTCAGCTGAGTGAGGTCATCCGTTCCAGGGCGGTTTTGCTAGTACTTTCAATTTGAGTTTGATGGCCAAAAGACCTTTCTCAGCGATTGCAAACTACAGACTAGCTTAAACTCCAAGAATGACCAGCGTCCTATCTCTCATCAACCGCCCGCTGATTGTGTCCGTCGGCATTCCCGTGGTGCTTGGGATGTCATCCGGTCTCATCACACAAAAGTCAGTTCGCGACTGGTATCCAACCATCAAAAAGCCGAGCTGGACTCCACCCAACTGGGTCTTTGGACCAGTGAGTTTCCAAAGATTTCTAGTTTATTCATTTGCAATTCTTTGTATTCATCGGGGTTTGTTACTTAGGTTTGGACTACCCTTTATGCATCAATGGGCTACGCCTCGTATTTGATTTATAAAGCCGGCGTAGAGCGGCCTTTCCTTGATACCACTGGGCCCCTTCAGCTATACGCTACCCAGCTTGCCCTCAACGTCTTGTGGACACCCCTGTTCTTTGGCGTGCATCAGCTTGGAGCAGCCAGTTTGGACATTGTAGCCTTGTTTGGCACTATTGTTGCGACTACTCGGGAGTTTGGAAAGATTGACCGTCTAGCTGGATGGCTAATGGTCCCGTATGCGGCATGGGTAGCATACGCTGGGTCTATTACCCTGTATGTATGGTGGAATAACAAAGATACAAAGGGGAAGAAGAACTGATGCTGTAAATAAAAGATTTTCAAAACCCTATTCGATTTGGGAACATCGTTCCCAGTTCAATTGATAGAATTTACAATCAACGGACGTTGGTGGTTTACATATTGGGCGGCAAAGAGGAGCAGGCCTTGAGCATTTCCGATTACTGTTATTCCCTCGCTGACATGTAGGTAAACAACAATGCGATATCTCTGTAGGAGTTACGAAGGTTCGCTGTGCCACCACTTGACTCATATCCGGCAATCTGGACAATGTCGCTCGCTGTTCGCTTGCTTTCTGAACGAGATCCATTTTCACAATGGCAGATTTTTTCAAACCGTCAAAATCCGGAAGGTCAAAGTCCTCTTCAAAACCCCGTGAACCTCCAATACGACCATGGATAGAAAAATATCGACCGAAGGACATGAACGACATCAGCTCCCAGGAAGAGGTAGTCGCCGTTCTAAAAAAGACATTAGAGTCGCAGAACGTGAGTATATATGATACATACTCCAAGATAGTATTCATATTGCTGATTACCTGGCTCTTTATTGCTCTAGCTGCCGCATCTTCTTTTCTATGGACCACCGGGAACTGGGAAAACTTCTACTATTTTGGCGTTGGCGAGGGAACTGTACGGGTAAGTGGGCGCCTGATGAGACGGTGTGCGGTACTAAAGGCTAATGTGAACCGGACTGTAAAGTCCAGAACTCATAAAAGACCGAGTTCTTGAACTTAATGCCTCCGATGAGCGCGGTATAGATGTCATCCGTGCCAAAGTCAAGAACTTTGCGCGAACAACAGTGAGCGGCTCGGCAAAGTATATATCGAGATCTTGGTTGTTGCCACCAGAAAATCTGTCAACTGATGGATTTTCTATTTAGTGGCTACCCCTCCCCGCCATACAAAATCATTATTCTTGATGAAGCAGATTCCATGACGCAAGACGCTCAATCCGCCCTGCGTAGAACAATGGAAACTTATTCGAACATTACCCGATTTTGTCTCATTTGTAATTATATCAGTCGGTACGATATGGCAGTCTGCATCGATTCACAGCCCATGCATGGTGTCGCTTATCCTGTCTATCACAGTATCATTCAACCCCTGGCCTCCCGATGCGCCAAATTCCGGTTTAAGCCCCTCGATACGACATCCACCAAACAGCGCATCGAAGAGATATGTCGCAACGAGAGTGTGAATTGTCCTCCTGAGGTATCAAGTGCATATTCATGTCCTCCTGATATGACCCGCCTAACCTGGTTTTCATAGACGGTTGACCATCTTGTTCGAGTCTCGGAAGGCGATATGCGGCGATCCATCATGCTCCTGCAAAGCGCGTACAGATTATATCAGTCAGAACCCATAACAAAGGATGCCATGTCTGAGATTGCTGGGGTAAATGCCTGCCTGGTTCAGAATCAAAAGATTGAGGAAATAACGCGGTAAACCGTTTCCTGCTCCTTTTACAGGTTGTTCCGGAACCCTTAATTGACAAGCTCATGGCGGTATGGCAGTCTAAAAACATAGCTCATATTGAAAGTACGGTGAACCAAGTCATCAAAGCCGGGTATTCTGGGGCACAGTTGATGAGTCAGGTTTGTAGTAGTTCTCCTGATGCGGGTGATTGCTGTCAAAGACGGATTTTGACACTCAAATATCTCACGTAGCTCCACGATCGTGTGATATCAGACGCCCACCTCTCTTCAATTCAGAAATCAAAAATGGCACAGACCCTAGGCCAAGTGGACAAGGCCCTTGGGGACGGCGCGAGCGAGCATTTACAGTTGTTGAGGCTGCTTGTTGCTGCATATTGACCGTTGTTCTTATCATGAACATTTTATCTTGCTATAATGTTAATATATTTCGGACAGATTAAAATCAGTAATTTTCCCACTGCGTACAGGTTCCGATCCCATATTTTCCGTTACATATCTACAGGCATGGTTCTTTATTATTAACATAAAAATCCGGAGGCGCGACCACGCCGACCATCCAGACCATCCAACCTCCCAGTATACGCACCCAACCTCAAGTGGGCACAATCCACTTAATCTCACCGAACAGCATCTCATGCAACCGAATTAGGGTCCAATCGAAAATTCCGTAAGGGTGCTGTTCCATCTCGGGGTCGACCCACCATGCTGTGTAGTACATGGTGATAAGGCACGCAATAGTCATCATTACCAGAGTTTGGAACCATGTGGTGGTAGCTGGCACTCGCGGTTTCGGTGTTGATGGCACTTGCTTCGGGCGATGACCAATTGACAATTCGTCATCGGACCATGTGTCAGCGGGTGTGAAAGAAACCAAGGTTTGAATACTGACGGTTTTGCGCCGGGGTCGTACTGTGGTGGGCTGGGATGTATTGTGCTTCGATACTTGAAGGGTCAGTTCTGCGATAGTCGCTCGGTATTCAATGATTTGTTTTTTCAGCTCGCTGACACGTTCGGTTAGCTGGACGTTACGACCAGTTTGTTTTTGGAGTTCTAGTAGAAAATTTTCAATGGGGAGCTCACTCCCAAACGATGGCGGGAAATCTAGTACCAACCTCTCTGTGCATCCTGTACAGTATTCTCCGTTTGCGTCACATCCCGCTTCAGGGCCTGAATCCACCGATCTGCCTCCGCATCGTAATGTTTACGGAAGTTGAGGATGCGCCGTGTTTCCAGGACCTCGTCTTGCAGGTTTACAATATTTTCCCGAAGTCGGCGCTGTATGAAGTTACGTATTATTACACTGTACTATCACAGAGGCTAGCAATGGTTTCTTACGTTCTCTGTTTCAACGGATGTCAAAATCTCTGTGAGGCCCCTTAAACGCTCGTCTAATGAAGTTGAAAAAAGTTTTCCTTGTCAGCATGCCGCTGCATATGCCTTGGGGTTGAATCGCATCACTAACCATCCAATTCCTCGCGCTCTCTCATCGCCTCCCGGGCTGCAAATTCCCTCTCCACCTGCTTTCTGATCGCTTTTTCCAACGCTTTAAGTCGAGCGTCCTCATCCGTTTGAACTCCCTTCCCGTAGGTTTCAACCAAGCCAACCCCAGTTTGTATGCCAATATTTTGGCTACACACTTCTGGGTCCTCAGTCTGCAACCACTTGTTATGAACAACTGGGACGACCTGCTCCGATTGAACGCCAATTGATGTCTTCACTGCCTCCGCTTGCACGACTTTGCTTTGCGTTTCAGTCGTTGCTACTAGACATTGCGTGCCCACTTCGCATTTCGGAACCTCATCGTGCGACCTATCAGTCTGGGTAGATGCTGAACTGATGTCTGCTGTTGTTTGCAGTCCAACGCTACAGTCCGGGCGTACCGGAAATTGCTCCATGGTTTGCACTTCCTGTTGAAGTCCAGATATCAAGCCCGAACCCGCCTGTACGGAAACCATACAGTCGGGCCGGATTGCTATCTTTCCTCCTGTTTGCACTCCTTTGTCACATGAGTCGATGATACCTGGACCCGCCTGTATACCAACGCACGCCTCATGCCGAACCACTTCATCTGTTTGCACACCCTGCACAAGTCGTTGACCCATCCCTGCCCCGAACTGCACCGATTGATCCGACTTTGAAATCTCGTCAGTCTGTATTCCCTCGTCAGAATATCCAACACACCCAATGCCCTTCTGTGTGCCAATCGAACATTCCGGTTTCAATGAGACTGCTCCCTCGGTTTGCGTCGCCTTTGATTGCAACGCTAGCAGAAGAGCAGATTGCGATTGTAGTCCAATGGAACTACGACGTGTTCCATACATTGACGTGAGTGCCATGCCAATTGTTTGGGTAGCCTTCGCACTGGTCTGAGTTGAAAGCGTGTCAGATTGCACAGCAATTGACTGCGTCGATTTCAGCTGAGGTATATCAATCGAAAGGACATGATCCAGTAATGGCGCTGTGGGAGATGTTTGAATTGATGCGTCCGGCGCGTGGGAAGGTTCAGTCTGGGTAGTCATATCTTGCCACTCCGTAATAACGGGGATCAACGGTAGAAAAGGTCTTTCTTGTAGCATTTCCTCCAGTTCTTCAACTGTGGGTTTGAAAGGGGATCTAGGACGTTTTGATGGCGACTTGGGCATTTTGGAGGGAGAACTGACTGGAACCCCGGAATTTGGCGAGGCAACTAAGTACGACGATAACGTAAGCTCATCCAGCAGGCATTTGACGATGCAAACGTTGAGTTAGCTACTTACGGGTAACTACCATATGCGGCATGTTAATTAGTTTTCCCTTGGACGGCGAAAAAGTTAACGAGTCCATATCCGGATCGGGCATCTTTAAGCGCAAGATCTTGCATTAGGCCATGCACACGCAGGGGAAACAATGGACTCAACCCACCACCATAAATCTAGCCTGATGCTTGTATTCTCTTCGTCGATGGCCCTTGCGGGATTCGTGGGAGGGGTGTGTATTCTGTAAGATATTATCAATGTAACAGTTGGACTAGGTTTTCAGGGACGCCCTCCCTTACCCCATCCTCCTGACCAGACTCTGAACCATAAGTTGAATCCGAGCACTCCATTTCCTGGTTCAATGGCTACCACCCAGCCATATGATCAGCGCCAGACTCTATTTACACCGCCCAATTTGCATACCTTTGAAGTAGATGGCGCTTCACGAAGCATTTCCATGGTTCTCGGTGGGCGTGAACTATTGCCTAGCTCCTCTAAGTTGGCTTTGAGAGTTTCAATGGTTTCCTTTAACTCCAGATTTTCCTTTCGTAGCTCATTCATCAGATCATCAGCCTTTTCCACATCGCGTTCGAGTCTTTGTATATCATCCTCTAAACGCCCCTTGTCGTCCAATGTCTATAAAGTCAAATATATAGTGTTAACACAAGTATTCGTTGCCTCCTCCTTCAGATCATACCCTTTGTAGGTCGCGTTCGAAATGCTGGAGGTTCGTCTCTGATGTGGCGAGTTCAGATTCCTTCCATTGCAACATATCGGCAAGTTTTTTGTTGGCAGCTAATGTAGCAACACCTATCGTTAACCCTTCATATATTGACTTTCCAAAATGAATTGAATACCTGTTTGCTGCTCCAGTTGATGACGCAGGTGCATGCTGTTGCTTTTTGATGCTGTCAGCTGCTTCTTTAAAGAAACTATCGAAGTTTCAAGCTGGGTAGTGATGTCAAATCAGTACCTCCGATCTCAAGACTCATCTCACCGCAAAACTTACAGCTTCCATTTGCAGCAGCAATAACTCCTCTCTGCTCCGCACATCCCCGCACTCTTTCCTCTTGGCTGTAAGTTCGGCCTCCAACTCATCCACTTTGCGCTGAAGCTCATGAATCTGATCATCGGCACGCCGATGAGACCTTTCCGACTCGTGAAAACGTCGTGTGATTTCAGAACATCGGCGCTTTAATGAAGATATTGTCCCGATTTGAGAAGTTATCGTGTCCTATTAATCAAGCAATTAAAGGGCGAGCCACGACCGCTTGTTGGTAATTCCCCAACCTACGTCGTCGTCTTCCTCACTGAAAGGGCTTCTGGGAGCAGAATGAAATGGGCTCCCATCTACATCAGCTTCAGAATCACTAAACAGATTCTTGCGAGGTGATGAAGACAAAGAGCTGCTAGTGTCGGAAAAAGTTGCCCTAGGGCTCCAGAACATCTCGGGGGTTCTTACGGCGCCCGCATACACGGAGTATGGCTCGTTAGCACCATAGGTACTCATACCGCCGGCTTCAATCACTTCAAAATCTGGGCTATTGGTGTTCGAACGAGACCGAGGGGACGCTGACCCAGGGGTATGTATCTCAAATTGGTCAAGATAATTCGGGGATTGTGTGCCTCCGGCTCGCCGAGCCGTTGGGCTGGACGTTGGACTGTGTACTGACCGTCGACGTGCCGCTTTCGCTGCTCTCTGAGCAGAGGGGAACCGTCCAGGCATGCGCACGGTTGATGGTAATGTTGGTAGTATCTGTCGTGTTGGTGGTGGTGTCGGAGTACGAAGCACTCGTGGTGGGGGTGATGGTGTCGCCATGGCTGTAGGACGCGCACGCTGAAACAGTCCCAAGAATTCCTCCGCGTCGAAACCTCTGGTCGGATCGCAGGACGCCAATTCCTCGCATAGTTGTCGGAGACCAGACCGTTCTTTCACTGTGAAAATCTGAATACGGTGCTCATTCTCCAGATCTTCCACAAGAGGTAGTACGTTTGCGTATGGGATAAAATCGGAATTTTCGCTGTACCGTGTCCAAAGCTCTTGTGCCCGAAGGAGGAGGTATGCACTCAGAGTTGCTTCTGGCGCCGGCGTCAGGTTCTGTCAAAACGGAGGTCACTTGAAGACACATTCCAACAATATACAAAGAAAACTCACCAGTTCTGATGAAGCATCCTCTTTCCCAGCGTACGTGTCTTCAGTACTACCAGTAGACTCTAGCTCGTCCGTCATTGATCGAGCGTAACGGCCGACCGCAGAATTGAATGGCGCTACCCTGGGGTGTTGGCATACGCGTTCGGCGCGTTTTCGCACCACCCCTTCTGAGAGCTTCCTTTGAAGCTAATGTTCCCCCCCCGGACACCTACTTGATTCTGCCGATAGAAGTTAGGTTGAATTTCTCCCACGACCGGAGACTCGAGTTTCCGGGTGGTCGGGCTGCTCAACGTTTCAGAATGGTTTGGGCTTCGTGAGCTGCAGCCCTCAAATAGTACGGACGGCCTTTATAGCAAAATGCTTAACGAACACTGTGCTTATCACCAATAGTGGCCGCGATCCGCTGCCGAGATGGTCGTCACCTTTGCAGGGTGGGAAACAGCGCAGCACGAATGTGTGTTGATGCCCTTCTGGATGAATCATCGGACACATCACATGATCTATCAAACCGCTTTTGGTGAATCGAATTCATGTGGTCATTCCGTCCGAAATAAACGATGCAAAAGGTCGATTGGATGTATTTCTCTACAGATATTTATTTCCCACACCTTTCAGAGCTCAAACTAATCTTATATCAGCCGTCCTAAACTACGGCGGCGAGGGGGGGACAAGACGAGCAGAAAATAAAACATAGATGGACGACCAAAAGGAAAGACAATATATACACAAAAGAATCGCAAAGTCCCGCCACCATTATCATCGGTCATCATCTATCAGCAAAGACCCGTATGTGGGAATTGCTGTTTTAGCGACGATCAGGTGAATCTTCCGACAGTCTACTTGTCAACATATCTGATGTCAGAGGTTTTGCGACCACAAATTTCTAAACAGCTGCATAAGCAACTCACCGAACCACACCAGCCAATACTGTCACATCATCCATCTTGCCACCTTGATAGTATAATCCTTCCTGAATAGCGCGTGACTGGAAAGGGCTAGACGAAAATCGTGAATCTTCCGCAATCTCCCTCGCTCGCTTCAAAAGGGCATCCGTTATGCGCTGGGGATCAACCGATACCGCCTTCTTGTTTTGTGTAACTGAGCGAACAATGTCCACAATGTCTTCATCAAATACATTGTCAAACATTCCATCGCTGCCGAGAATGACAATGTCTCCTTCTTCAACTTTTACTCGAAACGTTTGAGCGTCCGCCGGTGAATCGCGGCTCCCCGTACCCAGTTGGAAGGGGAAATTGAAAGAGTGTTGTTGCTCCTCCGTGCGGAAGATCGGTTCGCTGTCCCGGATGATCAAAACTCCGCAATCACCTAAATTCGCTATTCGTAATTCATCATCCTGAAAAAATCGCCAAAAGCATGAGTTATTTCTTTTGCAAGGGCGCTCTACTTTTCAAGCAAACATACCCTTAATATTGCAATGATCGCCGTGGTCGACCCTAGCAAATTCTCTGCCTTTGCATCGAGGTTGGTATGATCATAGCTCTTCTGCAAGATATCCCTCGGATCTACATTGTTATAGTCCTCAATGGTATAATCTGAATTCACAATGTCATCCAACTTCTCCAGCTCTGCGCTGGCATAGTGCATAATCTTTCGAGAATACAATGCTGGGTTTGCCCCTAAAAGCATGGAAAGTTAGACGGGTCAAATTTCTAATTATTTCCCCATCGTATTTCTTACCCTTCACTTGCGCCCAACCTCCGACCCCGTCTGCCACCCCTAGAGAATCCGGACGAACAAAATACGCATCTTCTCCAACTTGGACCGATAGAAACTCCCCCGAGTCGTTTGAACACGGCCGACTCGCTCTCTTTGGCATTGCGGACGCGGCATGTGCAAATCGAAATGTCCGACGAGTAGTTGGTATAGCCTACAGTGCGCGAGCATTAAAAAAAAAAATGGCTACTCCAAACGCTCCTGCACCAGTTTTCTGCTGGCCCATACCTTTTCAAACAGTTCAAAAATGCTCGGGCTTTCTCTCCGTTTGAACCAGTTTAGAGTATCTGGCTGAGATGCCACGGCCGGCATAGACATGTGCCTTATGTGCTGGTGCTTGGTATAAGCCAAGTGCAGTTGCTCTGCCCCGGCGGTGTGCACCCCACAGCGAGGGGCATAGGTAGCGCAAGCGGCGGCATAGTTGAAGTTTGACGCTTCAGTGAATAGTCTATACGCTCTACGAGGCCCTTCACTGTGACTTTTCTTTCCACCTGGCGGACTTGGTGGGCGGACTATAGGGTCTGTGCATGGTTCTTGGAATGGTGGGATAAAGGCGATACGATATGGAGGGAGTGTGGGCTTGGCTGTCGAGAGGGTGTGATTGGGGAGGGGAGACTTTTCTATTGATGGTGAGGAGAATCGTCCTGAGGACACATAGAGAGGGGTCCGGACAATGTTCCGCACATAGCGGGATACTGTTTGAGCAACGATGCGCACCGCTGAGAATGGGTTCCCTCGTGCATACAGCATAGTGCACGGGCAACGAGAGTGTGCGCAAACAGTTTGACACAAACGTCTTCACAGAAAGGCTAGCTCCAAGTATGCGTAATTGTGAAAAACGAACGTAAAATCCTGGTAATGTCCCGTTGGCGTTTTGGTGCCCTCGTCACCCCGTTCATGTGTTGGCAAAAATAGGCGATTCCAGTGATAAGCAACAAACTATTCATTTGGATCATTCGGTACGCTTGGATCTTCTGGTCACCATCGATGCCTTTGCGCAATGACTGTGCCACTGACCCACAAATCTGGATTGACTGTCGATCCGTGGTGCTGGGTATTGATTATGTAGGCAGATCATTATGACTTGCCCACAGCGTTCTCCATCGTGGTCGTCGTCGTCGTCGTCGTCGTCGTCGTCGTCATGTCCCCAGCTACCTCAAACGGCCAAACGCTGTCCCCACCCATCATCCACTTGGTCCGTCATGCACAAGGATGGCACAACGTTGACGATGACAGCACCATCAAAGACCCCACGCTCACCCCCTCGGGCGAGAACCAAGCCCACACACTCGCAAGTCAGTTCCCCTACCATGATCAGATCACGCATATTATCTGCTCCCCTATGAAGCGTACAATCCAGACCACTCTCCTGGGTTTCAAACCTGCTTTGGATAGAGGTGTTCAAGTCACAGTTTTGCCTGAATTTCAGGAATGTGGTGATTGGCCTGCGGATACAGGAACAGATCGTTCCCTCCTGGAAAAGGAGTTTGGTCGACCTGGATGGGATTTTCGTGGCGTTGTCGATGGGTGGAATTCGAAATCTGGCAAATGGGCGTCAGATCATCCGAGTCTTGTGGCCAGAGCAAGAGAAGCACGAAGAATCCTGAAGTCCATCAAAGGCCAGCACATTGTCGTTGTGACGCATGGCGCAGTATGTACAGTACATCTCACGCTGTTGCTCAACCGAGAGTGTTTTTTTAAGAGGTGTTTCTGCCCTTTTTCAGTTTTTGCACTATCTAACCGAAGATTGGTCCGACTTCAAATCCGGTCATGGCAAGTGTTTGATACTGATTTGTTACGCTTATCCATATTTCTCACCATTCTCACTTACAATAGGCACTGGCTATGCTAATGCTGAATATCGATCTTTTGCCTTTGTTCCGGGGACGAATGGCAATGATTCTATCGCTGAAATTGAAGAAAGTAGAATTCGTAGAACTGGAACCGAGCATGGCTTGGGTAAAGCAGAGACACGAGAATTGAAGGCTACCCATGTAATTTAGTAGGACTGTACACTTCCAGATTAGTGCTGTGGACATCTAAACCATCAATATTGTCACAGATAGATAACATGTACCGTTTTTTATTTCAACTGCACGGCTTCATGTCCTGGGTGCTAACGAGCCGGGTGACGTTAGTCGTTAGCAAAACAGTTTGAACTGCATATGATGCAGATCCAACTGTTAGGGTATACAATTTAATGGCAACATCTTTACTGCTTCATTCTTTGTGCCATCGCTAACGACCTTGAATCACCTCATGGCAGAGATTTACAAACTCTAAGGAAAGGCTTCCGTAAAGTAACCAGAATGAACCCCATCCCACTCACCGATGGGTCTTTCATTCTCCAGCGTTGGGGGCAGCCCGATCATGCTTCTTGTTCCCCAACCTTCTAGCAAGAATAAGAAACGGTGCCATACTAATCCGTGTGTCTAACAATATTATTTTACCATCTAGTGCTATCATATCATCTACAATTAAAATGAACCCTTTGTTACAATGTCCAACCTCCAAACGCTGATGCAAAGAGGTCTACCCGATGTTGGCTAGAACTATCCTGAATTAGATTTTCGGGATTTTTTCCTTTGACCCTTTGTCATTGACCCCCCTCCTGGTTCTCGGTCGATTTCCTTTTCATCGTTTCCTGTATTTTCCTCTTCTTATTGCATGACCCTTTTCATCGTTTCCTGTATTTTCTTCTTCTTATTCATTGACATCCCTCGTGGTCCTCAGTTGATTTCCTTTTGTTCGTTTCCTATACTCTGTTCTTCTCATTCATTGAAATCCTTCTGATTCATTGACCGCCCTCGTGGTCCTCTGTCGATGTCCTCGGTCCAAGGTCTACCAGATGTTGGCTATCCCGATTTGGACTTTCGAGTTTTTTTTTCCTTTGGCCCCTTCGTTTGACCCCCCTCGAGTTCCTCTGTCTCTTTTTGATTTCCTTTGTTATGGTCGATGCCGCCATGGAATGATTGAAACGATGTGATGATTGGAAAATCAGCTAATGGGTTGGGCGTGGCACTGGTTAGGGTTCTGATTCATTGACACATCTCTTTGAATTGCCGTTCGCCGTTCTTCCTCCTTCTGATTCATTGGCATACTGAGTTTTCTTCTTTTGATTCCTTGACACATGCGGTGGGATTTTCTGCGCGTGGGAGTGTTGGCTCGATGTGGGCAAAAGATGAATTAGTTGATTCGCCATCCACATAAGCGAATGCCCCTTGCACGAAATAGCTTGCTAAATCCAAAGTAATCCATTGCGGCCACCCATCCTGGTAACAGTAGGTGCATATGCATGCACGCAATATCGCGTTTCCTTTGACTTTTGCTGAAACGACATTTGCAGCGCTGATCGTCGTGTCTTTTTGCAGTTTCGTACTCTCAATCCGTTTCTCCAATCTGGCCTTCTCACTCGGCTTTTCACTCGGCTGTTCACCACGTTCAACAAAACTCAATACAACAGGCTCAGCTTTTTCGCGCTTGCATCTCGTCATTCGCTCGATAATCTCTCTTGTTTTAGTTCATTCATTGAAATCCTACACTAAACTATCCAGTCGTTGTTGCATTTCTTCAACATCAGTCTTTGTGTGATCCCCATATTGGAGATCTCTGCCCAGAGTCGATGACGTTTGCGGTCGTTCCCTGAGCCTTCATACGAGGCTGCAAATAACACAGCTGCCACCCCTGCCAACGTAGCTCAGGAGAAAGGCAAGCTAGCCAGTCACTTGTATATTCGGTCATCAACACATATCCAACATTCGTGATACTATTTTGGCAACGAACATGTACCCTTGCCAATAAAGCAAAACATCGCTGTGGGTGGGGTGATACGATACATCCGAAATCGCCCCGTTCGGATATGTGCGCCGTCACTGATGGGTAGTAGGATTGTCGTAATCCATAATGTACTGTCAGTAGGGATTCGATACCATGTACCGTCTTTATTTATACCGTAGTACGCTCTTTCAGGTCCCGGTGCTAACGAGCCGGTTGACTTTAGTCGTAAGCAAAACAGGTTGAACTGCGTATTGCAAGTCTCTAGCACTTCAGCTGGGGTCCAAATTTACATCAACATCTGCGCAAAGTGAAGCCTCAGCTACCAAATACATCATCCTAAAAATAATCTACCCCGCTAACCCCTTCCAATAAATCATCCAAGATCCTCTCCGAAACAGATCCAATCCCCTTCGCCAACTCCTTCTGCTGACTGACTGATAAACAAGCGTACTGATAAAGCAGCTCGCCATCCAGTACCAGCCGTGGTCCTGGAGGACCTGTCATTGGGGTCGCGGTTGCGGCTGTTGTAGGGCGGGATTGAAGGGGCACTTGACTGCATGTAATAGGATATTAGAAGAAATGACGAATTTGAGAATTTGAAGTTACAAATATCATACCGGAACCCGCGCGGATTGAGGCCAGCGGGGTGCTGCAGATTGTTCACCATTTTCGAGTAAAGCCCATACAGACGTTTGTATAGCTTCTCGGAAACAGGTAACAGCAATGCAAGACCACCTTCCAGGGTACCTTTTAACCAGACCAAGAATCAGTGGCAGTACGTCATAATAGATCAATCTCGCCGCACTCACCAGTTAAACAAACTTGTTGCCGAGGTATCGTATTCGACCCTTTACGAGAAGATGACATGCGCTGCAAGCGGACAATCTTGCTGACATGTTGTCCAGCATGGAAATCGCCTCTACGAATCAATTTTTGTCCGCTAGATGATTGTATATCTGTTCAACGGACGTAAGCAAGTGAATCTACAAGCACGTACAACCAAGCAGTCAACGAGGGACGCTACATACGATATGGAGAATATGTCATAACATGCACATTTGATTCCCCATCGCCAACAATAAAGGCAAGGGACGAGTCGTCGACCATGAATTCGCAGCCATATACATTGAGGGAGTGATAATCCTTTCCCAATAGCGCGAGCTTTGGGGGCTCCTCCTATGATGTAGACAAAAATCTTGGTTAAAATGATCGAATTGCCTGTTAACATATCAAACTGATTTGCGCACCTGGAATCCCAAGAACCACACGCTCTTCATGATATCCCCAACCAGAATGAGATTTTTTATAGCGCAAACGCTATTGACATACATGTTGACGTCAATGAATGCCACACCAGTCAGGCTTTCCGAATCGTCGAATGTGTGAATAATGATCTAAAACCAACGTAAAGGAAATGGAAGGTTACTTATGTCAGTCATGTATTAACCTACCGCCTTGCTCGGCCTTCATTCCTTCCCAATATGTTCTCTGTGCAACTATAGGTGAACGACCATCATCAAAAGGCACCGTCCCCTATCTTCCACAGTAGTTGATCTTCCAACCAACTTAGAGGATAACAGCCATCGAAAAACATAGTTTCCCGTTTCGGATTGGGTATCTTCCCCGTATCTACGCTCCTCCATATGCAAATCATCGGTGAACATACCTTCGTGCCAATCGCCGCAAGCAAATATCCTCCAACATTACAAAGGGCTGTCACCGGACCCTTTTCTTCGTTTACAAATAATTGTTTAAAACGATGGTTGGTTTGAGGGTTGTCAGGTTCGGGAACGATGTCAATAATATCGTAAATGAATATCTAGGCGTTTCACAAACGTTCATCTTCGATTCTACCATCAGACAAACTGCAAGTACTGAACTCACCCTTCCTCGCGTCGCCAAGTCCTCCCCACGCACAGTTCCTGTGCCGACAGCGATGAATAATTTACGTCCAGAAGTGGTTTGCTTGCTTTCCAGTTCAATAGCTTGGATGGCAAGGATGTGCTCGTATTCGTCCATTGTGACTCTGGAAATAGGAGCGGCTCTGTTACGTCCGTGCCCAGCGAATAGTATCCAAAAAAGGCGACTTACACGTCCACTGTTTCCCAAGTTACAGGAGAGACCAGTTCCATGCTGTACGAGCTGACCTGCGGCCAATACATCCCCGCATCTACCCCCATGAATGAGATTATTCGAAAAATCATCCATCAATTTCCATTAGTAACTATAAACATACCTCTATCTTCATCCTTGACGCCGAAATTCCTCTTCGTATGCTCAGACTCTGGTAACTCATCACCGGCTTCGATAACACCAGCAGCCACCGCGGCAGCATGCTGCGCCTTGGACAAAACAAAGGGAACCGGTACTGATGTCGCCATGACATAGGTCTGCGACGTGTGGTGATAGGTAAGTTTCTGTGGTGTTCGACGGAGAGGAACTTTGCAGTAGGGCCAGTCGGCATCGTATGTAAAATGGGCAGGGAGTTGACAGATGCGCATGGAGCCCTAGATCAAATATATTGGTTGACTATGTCGAATACACTCAAAAGACAAACGTCAAAGACGCGGCGCTCGAAAACTTACCTGTCGAGTAACATATAAAAATCCATGTGGAACATTCACATTGTGTAATCTCGTGAACCCAACCACCTCCCCATCCACCATCTGGGGATGAACTCTCACCACATTTTTGCCAGAAACAGCCATGGGCGGTTCAAGAACTGCTTGCAAACCCTGCACAACGTCAAACTGCGGCCCCACTCCGCCAGTCTCGGCAACCATAATCCAACATGGTCTTGGCCCGGACATGAAGACGCCAGAATACATCAAACTCCCTTCTAGTCCAATTTTGTTGAAAGGTTTCAGATACCGTCTTCGGCGGGTGGACGACTTCTCGGGGTATTGATGTACAGGGTGGAGTTTGTCGCCTTCAGTGTCGGCATAAAGTTTGGGTTCCCGCGATATATGATCGTGCGAGACACGGACGAAACGGATGGCCAGTCGGTGGGATCGGGAACTGTACAGGACGTCTCGGGAGTGTGTATTTGATGGGTTAGGGGTAGCAAGCGCATTGCCTAAGGCAGTGGCAGGAGTTTCGATATCATCATCCGGAATGTGAAGGAATGCTTTATAGATGATAAGATCGGATTCTTCTGTTCGGCTCTGCCACAGATACAAGCCAATTAGCCATACTTAAGGTAAAGTATTCCAAGCAAATTCCTTACAATAAAGTATGGATGTTTATGTTTCTTATCTCTTCCTAGATTAATCATCAAAATCTCCTCGAATTTGACGGCAGGTCGTCGACTTTGTCCATTGCCGTGTGGATCGACATGAGGATGATCGTATATCAAACTCGGAAGAAGATCAAACTGCGGAACAAAGTAGCATTGCTCAAAATCTGGAACGCGGAAGATCTGCAGAAAACATAAATAAAATAATTATTCAATGTTCCGTGAACGGCAATATCTTCATAGACTCCTACTCACCTCCAGGGCACCGTCCTCTCTGAAAACGATGCACCAGATACGTCGTTCTGGAACCGACGGCTGACCGTCCTCATCGACGCGGCTGACATTTTCTTCGTTAACTTCAGCGGGTTCAGGAGCTTGATCTGGCGTGTCATCCCGACGAAATGTATCACCGTTTGCATCAAGCTGCATACCATCCTCTTGTACAACAGTCTTTTCTTCGACATTCCCTTCCGCCTCACTCTCGCTATCATCGGCTATCTCCGCCCCGTAGATATCGTCATGCTCTCCGTATAAATCCAAGTCCAATCCGCTGTTCAAGTCTTCCGCGACACGCTTTCGCTTCTTTGTTTTCTTCTTGGGAAGCTTTAGCTTGGCAACTGGATTGTACTGGGATACTGGTGTGGCTTTAGCAGCGGCAGTAACGGATTTGGCTGCTTCGCTAATAGTAGGAAGCAAACTCCCGCTGGTATCATCGCAATACAAGCAAGCCGCAGTAATGCCAATATCCTACATCATTACCCTGTTATTGGCCACGCCACGCGCGGAGAGTCCTACGACGGACACAAGTTGATTCATACCTTGAGCTCTTGACACATCTGCAAGTCTCTGGTGTGAGGATCCATCACAAAAAGCATCACTTCTCCAACGTTCATTAGGACCAGGACGTAAGGGTCCACGATGCTACACGCCACGATCCAACGATCATCCTCGCTAATTGGGATTTCTTGTGTTCTCGTACCATCTGGTAACGCGTTATCGTCAAACACGGACATCTTATTGGATCGAGGGAATATCACCTACCTGAATCCAACACGATAATTCCACGAGGATGAACCTGAACTGTTGCAGTTTCATCTAAAAGGCTACCTACACCTACCGTAGGTCCCTCTCTGAAAAACCCTTTTCCTTCCACTTCGGCAAACTCTTCGCCAGTCTCTAATATCTGTACCCAAAGACAGAGTCAAGAAGGAAACATTGAACGTCTAAAGAAAAATGTTCATACCATGGTCTGGTCCTCTTTGGATAGAACTAGGAACTTGTCAAAAGCTTCTTTTACCACAGGTGCGCCGTTCTCCTCAACAGTCTCCAGCTTCTCTATCAGGGAAGCATCCGCCACGTCAACAGATTCTCTTCTCTGCTCATTCACTGAGGTACACCGAACGGACCATACATCCGTTATCCCCGGCATCTCAAATGTGGAAATAATCTGTGGGCGGATGTTACGCTGAAGAATACCCAAAGCCCCGCTGAACCCTTCTCCAGCACATGTTACGACCTCAAGTGAGGTCCGGGGGTTATCGGGTGAGAAGGCGTGGGAGGAGTATTGGGTCGGTTCGCCAACGACGAGGTCTTTGATCGGGCCGGTGCAGATGAGGGAGTCGCAGATACGGAAAGTGTATCGGGATTTTGGGGATCGGGTGCTGGCAGATTTCGTTCGTGTTGTGGACGAGGATGATGTAACTGCAAGCTGTTGAGGCGATACTCCAAAGATATCTTCATCGATCGCCAATTCCATGGATGCGGCAATCCCTGTCTCTTCTCCGCTTGGCTCAGGAGAGATTGAGACAGCATCGTCATCCTCTTCATTTGCAACCACATCGGCTTCCGTAAACTGGATAAGCATCGCATCGGCAACTCGAGACCCAACAAAGAGGTATCCGAAGTTGCTAACACCATCATCATTCTCAAATGTCCCTCCAATCTCTCGAAAGTTCTTCAAGACTCGTATCAGCGGCCTCCCCTGTGCATCCACATTACCGATTCGTGTCCCGCAAGATGGCATGATCGTACGCAAGCCCACGCGGGTTACATTAAAGCTTTTAACGCCCCCCTTCCGTCTTTTCCATCCACGTCCAACGTCCTCTCCACCTTCCATGTCAACCAGCACAAGCTCGCCGCTTCGCAAGACCAAAAGCAAGGTATCGGGGTTCAAAAAGTACGGAACGCACGCTTCGAGTGATATTCCCAAAGATTTATGATCGGAGAAATGGGCCGAGTCATAAAGCGGGTTCTTTGTTTCAAAACTATGACCAATGGACTCCATGCTTGGAGGTGCTGGAAAGTTGGATTCCATGCCGTAGTAGCTATTCACTGCACATGCTACCCCAGGAACGGAGGTTTGGTCTACGTGGATAAGCGCATTTGGGGAAAGGACTACCAAACCTCCAACCGGTGGAGGGACAGGGATTAGACTAGTGGCATTGTACGGTAAGTGGTCCACCTTGAATAGAACGGGATAGCTTCGTTGCGTGATGTCGAGGGAAACGACAATGAGAGATTTGGTGTCCTTTCGTGCAGCCAGACGTCTGTAACGTAATCGCGGATGAGATTCGTACAGGACTCCCGAATAGGGTTTCTGGCACTCACCCGGTCCAGGTTTGTATGGGCTCATAAAGGATGGCTAGTGTCGGCTCGAAAAACCCGTACAAGAACGCGACGTCAACCACATTCCGAACTTTTGAATCAATAGCGGAAAAAGGTATCACGAAACTGGAATGGAATGGGTACTTGCTGCAACAAGGATGAGAACATGGTGGAGGTGTGGATTTGAGCTGGTGACTAGCAGCCTACGAAAAAATGTTTCTGCAGCTGACCTGGACGTATCGTCAGCGTCGTTAACCTGGACGCCAGTATCCTGCTTAAAAGGCAATATAGCCAGACGGTCGTTATAAAAGCGGAGGACAGCGCATCGATTTTCGGGATCAATACGAATTTCCGGCTTGAACTTATTTGTGACGCTCTCTTTCTGTTCATACGCAGACCTATTAGATGCGAATTCGCTAGGCATATAAAAACAACATGATGAAAACCTTGAACTCCTCACGCTCGTAGTAATGGATTGATACTGTGACGATATTGTGTGTTGCCGCTGAGTATTCTATTAACGACATCTTTTTGCCAGCTTGTCAACATACGGTCTGACATGAATGTGATGCAACCATCCATGCAACACATGCGACCAACTTTTCTTACCTTTGCATCTTTGAAGCTCAACAATAAGCTATCCATTCCCAACAACCCAACAGAAGTCGACGTTCGAACCACTCCGATCGACGTCACATTTCCATGTAATCGAAACTGTGCATGAAGCTCCAACTTGGCAACTTTGCGGGGATGATTGCATCGTTGCGGTTCCGGGATAGGTTTGAGTTTGGGAAAGGGGAGATTCTGCAAGTCGTTTGTTTATACCATGTTTGAAAGAGTATTATGTCGTTCAGCCATTTTTGAATTAAAAACAAACAAGGGCGCAAGAGACCGCAGACAGATATCGGTGTTTTATTCACTTTTATTTTTTTCACATACACACGAGGTCCATTTGTTCTCGCAAAAGTGCCATGCAGGCACCACTATATCCACCATCTCGAAAGCAGAAAACAGAATCCTACCTGATCCTCCTCCTCTTCTTTCTCCTTTGCCAACTGCTGTCGCACTACTTCCGTATCAGCAACATCGTCCTCTACAACATTGTACACTTGCAACAGCGATCCCCGGGAAACAATCAAGTTTACCGCGTTGGGAGCTGTAAACTGGGCCTCGACGCAAGTCTCAATGGATGTTGGAGGCAATAGTTCCTTGTAGAGGCTGTAGACAGAAGACATTGTTGGGCGGGAAGGTGGTTCCGTAAGCGAGGTTACGTTTGGTAATGGGGCATGCTGTCAAATGTATGGAGAGCGCTTTGAAGCATTGATCTAAGACGTTTGCAGATGAGCGAGCAACCTTTGTTGCCATGCCAACAACACGTCACTCTGCCTCTCTCAGTCCTCCTTGGCTGCCTCTCCGTTTACCCCCAACAAGTGCTACTGGAAGAATCTTTACGCCAATTACCACTTATATACGTGCTTGCGCACTCCCAACAGTCACCTCTCACTGACCCATCATCAAACTGCTAAACTGTGAAGCATTCCGTGCTGTGTTGTGCCATGCTGTGCTGTTGAGCAGCTCCGCGAAATGAGGCGCGATTTCACTCCCTGATCATTACAACAACATGGGTTTCACCTGTCGTACAATTTATATGCCCGGTTAGCTCAATCGGTAGAGCGTGAGGCTCTTAACCTCAAGGTTGCGGGTTCGACCCCCGCATCGGGCTCTAGCGGGGGCAACGCGAAAGTTTTTTCGACAGATGGCGTGGTGCTTCTACTCACAACAATATCGTTTCTTCAGTTGTCAGTGTCCGCTTAGCTTTTGCTGGGCGTCATGAACCCATTTGCGATTTATTTTCTTGAGGGCTGCTCGTTTGAGGATGTGTCATTATCCTGGTCGCTTATTGTAAAGGTTTGCATACATTATTTTGAAAATGAATTACGCTTTGGGAGGCATCCTTGGCTTTGGAAGCACTCGTTTACTGCCATTTTATGCGGTATTCGTTCTGCCCATCCAGCAGGAGCGCAATCTTGTCCCAGAGTCTTTTGTGCATTAAAGACAAGTTTCCATTCTTGCCAGACAGCGCTAGTGTCGATGCTTGATTGCTCATAGTAAAACACTTTCAACCACAAGTTCTCGGGTATTTTAGCAAGTTTTTATTTTGAATATAATGTACACGATCCAATGGTCAAATCTGACCCAGATCAAAAAGCGGAAGCAAACCAAACCAAAATCTACAAAGCAACAAACCACAAGAAAAAGGCCAGCCCTCTACATTATTCTTTTTTTTTCTATTCCTCTTCCTCCAACAAAAACGAGCTGGCCTGGGGGTATCCACAACCTCTAAATTCCCACTCTTCACCACTTCCAGTTTTGACGACGCTTCTGACCACTTTGGCAGCCTTCAGATACGCACCACTCTTTTCACCATAAAGGTCTTCAAACATTTTCAAAGCGGCACAAGCCTCCATGACATGGACATCATCGTCCAAATGAGCGGGAGCGCCACAGAGGGCGTGCCATTCGCGGGCCATGAGGGCAGGAGTAGAAGGCAACGTCGGGGATCCGACGGGCGGAGAAGTAGAGAGCGGTTCCATGTCCATAGAGTCAAAGTAGGCGGTTTCGAGGCGGTCTGGGTGGAGGTTTGGGCGACCTTGGGAGACGTAGAGAGCTAATAAGACGAGGAGGAATCTGCGGAGAAGGTGAATTTGATCTTTTTGGGTCGGGAGGAAGGCGAGGGTGGTATGAAGGTATTTACAGGCGATAAGACCTTGCATTAGGGGAAAGTCGAGTTGTTGAGGAAATACATGCCCAGTTGTGACGGCAACCAACACAACAGCGTTGGTGAGCTCTTCAAGAGCTGCACGAATAGAGTGCTCGTTTTCCTCAATTTTCCATTCAGAGACGAGTTCGGCAAGGTCTTGGCCCAATTTGCTGCCGACGGCCTTGCGGACTCGTTTGTGAAACTCTAGTTGACCCCAGTGGGGATGAATCTGTTCGGGGTCAAAGCGAACATCTTCACGGGCGTCCTGGAGGATTTCGAGAACATTTGCCGTGTCGTCGTCGTCAACGGTTGGGGGGAGAGAGTCGATGATGGGTGTGTAGGTGTAGGCCCAGTAGGCGAGACCTTGAGCAATGACAAAAGGGTGTTGGAATTCGAGACCGAGGCCGAGGTGGACAAGAGGGTGGAAACAGTCATTGCCGAGACCGCGAACAAGAGTGGGGAGATAGGTGGCGATGGTAGGTTTGATTCCGTTGGTTTCGATTTCCGTCAGAAAGAATTGGGTGTACGCAGTGTAATGGGTCTGTCCTTTGCCGAGATATTCGGTCCAATTGTCCGCCGTGATTTTGACAGTGACCGGACCAGCCGGGTCAAGCATTTTGGATTCGAGGTCGTAGCGCTCCTTCATGACCGTCTCGCTCGCTAGTGATCGTAATTATGAGTCATTGTCCACACAGACATTGAACTAAGAGTAAGTCATTGCCTTACCATTGATTTTGTAAAAGCTCAACAAGGCATGCACAGCATAGTTGGGCTGGTACTCTTTGGTATGACGGTTCAAGACCTCGACATGGTGACTGGCAAAATCCTTGGCCAGAAGCTGCTCAACAACGTTCCAGCGCTCCCTGTCGGCCTCCACATTGAACGCAGGCACAATGCGGAGGTGAGACGGGACAGCAAGCGTGGCGCCGTTGTTGGGGAGAGTTGTCACAGGCATCTTTGGCAATATTTTATTGAAATGTGAAGAATGAGATGTGGGTGGTGGGTGATAATTGCTTTTTGCAAAAAAAAAGCGAGTTGTCTGGATGTCGTTTTGATAAAACAAAAAAGTAGAACAATGGGGGGGAATTGACAGCTCCTCCCATCCTTTTTATATTCCCCCAATCCCCCCCACCCACAAAAGTGCTCAACCTTAGTCGGTCTGACACACACACATCACAAACCCTTTTTTCATTGAAATCCAACACGGAAATTTCAAGGGCATTTTGGACAGGAAGCGCGCGACATTTGGGCACACACACACCGCGACACACTCACACACAACACACACACATAGGCATATTGCAAAAAGGAAAACAACAAAAACCAAAACGCGATAACCCTTTTCAACCATCTCTCTCTCCCTATAGGTCAAAAACGGCTGAGACCCATTTGCGTTTATTGACAAGTAGGAGAGAGGAGAGGTCTCGTGGTGTGTTGGGTTTGGAAGGTTGCAACAAAGGGCAAGATCAAGAAGAAAAAAAGGGTCATGAGAGCAAAAAGAAGGAACCCAAATCGCCACCCCATTCAGCCATAAAAAGTCGCGCAACACACTCACAAAAGCAAGTAATACGCGGAAATGCGGCGTTGACAAAGCTCACGAGACGCGACACGGATAACCCACTGAGTCAAACAAACTACAAAATGGGACCATATGACTCGCATTTTATATTGCAACTATTCAGAGTGACTTGAAATTGTTTCGCTTCTAAAGAGTGTTTTGTTAATAGCAACAGTTTAAAACCATTTGACATTTGTTGCCAAGCACCTTTTCCACCTTGAAACCTTTTTAAAAAGTTTTAATATGTAAACGCATAATCAAAAACTTGTTAACGAACAGCTCAAGCCGCATTGGAGCATCAGCATGGGTGGCGGATCATTCCCTGTTGGACATTTTGTGGTTGTCCCCTTTTCTTGTGTACCTTTACGCAGCAAGCCCTTTTTTTTTTCTTAAACAGGCGTTCATCCATACCCAGCAGAGCAAAAGTCGTGTGATCAATTGAAACGCCTGGTTTCTGATTCAAGAAGGTTTGGAAATGCGCGATTTGAAAGGAAGGTGGTGGAGGGTTCGATTCCCTTTTGCACACAAGGTGGTTGTGGACATCTCACTTTTCTCTGGATCATTGACTTTGATACCGTAAGAATGGAGAGGATCGTTTAATGGTTGACCATGCTAAAATGCTCTATTTGGTGTGGATAGATCTGCATGCATACCGGCAAGGAGGATCGACAAAGGACACTTTCATGGGTGTGCGATACATACAAGGAGGATCGACAAAGGACACTTTCATGGGTGTGCGAGTTCCATCGGGTTTGGTTTTTTGATCATCTGTTTTCCATTTCTCTTTGCCAACCCTCCAGGCCCATTTGTAAATGCACTCGAAAAGTTAAACTTCGTATAGGTACAGCTTGCAATGAAAGTTATCAATTTATAAAGTTGTCAATCAAATTTTTGATGCGAGTGAAAACTTTTTCTCTACAAACGAGGCTAAAGGCTTAAAACCTTACTTTTTACATCGAATCTAAAGTCTCTTTTTGAATTTAACATTTACAGTGGGTATAGAAAAGAGTGTACATGCAAGGAAAACAGGAAACAGGTAGCAGGTCACAGAAACCAGTGTAAAATCTATCCTAAGATCTGTCCTGGCTAAGGCTGCGGGTAACCAATGTCATGAAAGCGACAGAAATGCAAAAACAACGAAACAACAAAAACCAAAGGAAATGGGGGAACCACACAGCGAACAAAAACCCTTCCTCCAATGAGAAAAAACAAAACAAAACAGATAGGCCCGTACCAAATGACCAGAGCAAAACAGATACGAAAACGAAAAATGTCAATCGAGCGGAAATAGGACGTCCCGTTCATATCATCCTCATCGCGGGTGCACACTCACGATCACTGCTCATCAACATATTCCGGACCTCTCTCAACCTTTTACATTCGATCTCATACGCATCCACCAGAGTCTGAAATCTCTGGACCTCGGTCGTCTCAGAGTGGGTCACAATCTCGGCGGGATTGAGCGCCAAATTACCAGAGTCAAGAATGTACGAGCAAAAGAGGGCGAGGAGTTGGAGAGGGCTGGAGCTGTTGCTGGACTGGGGAGGTTGGTTCTCTTGAGAGGGTGATGCAGCGTCGGATGAGACTTGCGAGAGAGAGGTTGTGGAAGTGGTAGAGTACGTGCTCTCATCATCAGAGTCTGATAGATCCGAATCGGACGTGTCCGCGGTAGAGCTACACTCTACTTCATCCTCCTCAACTTGGTCGTCTTCTTGACCGTTGTCATACGGGGACTCGTCCTCGTCCTCCTCGATCTGGTAGCGATTGCCGGTAGTGCGAATCACACCGCGACTTTGGCGCACAGTTGCGGGCAAGCTTTTCACCACGGCCCGGCCGGACCGTTCATTGACCGATATACGGAACGTTGGGATATCAATTGCATCGTTAGTGGTGGTAGTGGGAGTACCCGATGAGGTCGTTGACGCTACACTGCCAGACCGGATGCGTAAGGCAGCAAGTTTTGTTTCATAGTCCTTTAGAGTTCGTGTCAGTCAGTATGAGCTGTAAAATGGAACATTTTTAAATGGACTCAATCATCACCTTGAATCCTTTTGCGTGCGGGTTGTAGTTCTTTTTTAGACTATTCACCTTCTCGCTCTGGTAATGCGTTACGGCGATAAACTTTGTTTCTTCAAACAAGTACGTCGTAACGGACTGTCCTTCAGCAGAGTGCTTAATAAGATGCACGCGGGGTTGGTACTGGTGGAATGAATTGAGATAAAAGTAGCCCTCCGGGACGGAAGGATAGTCAGGTGAGGAGCCCGGAGAAGGGGAACGTAATGAAGACGGGCATCGATTGGTAAGCTTGATTTTGGCAAAGGATATGCCCTGTTGTATCCAGAAGGCGCCAGACTGGGTAGCACTCGAGTGCAAAATTGCTCTGCAGGTTGGGACGAGCATATCCTCCGACTCGCCTCCGCTTCCGGCATCGAGGGACACCGGCGCCCAATGACCGTTTTTGAATTTGAATTTGTGCGGTACGGTTTGCACGATATCGATTGCAATGGAATAGAGGGCTTGAGGATCAAGGCATATGGGCCGGAACCGGAGCGTCGGGAAGAGACAGCGACCGCCTTTGGTGATGATCATTTCTGATAATGAAATATAAACAAAACACGTAAACGCGGCTGTCGATCTAGGACGAAATGAATCAACTAGACGCACCGTTTCCAACCGAATGAAACTGCGCCCAAAGTTTGGCATCCTCCAACAATATTGTCGGACCATTGGCATTTCTCATCGTTGATTCTTGTCGAGACCCATGTGGTGACAATGAAGGCGGAACAGTAAGAGTTCTCATTCCTCCTTGCCGCAGCGGACGCCGCTCAACTTGTTGATCGTTTCCGGATTGCGAGGACATGAGATTGTTGGAAAGCCGCCGGGTTTTGGCCTTGATGAGGTACGAGCTTTCATGCGAGTCGTCATCATCGGATTTTCGCTTTGGTACGGCGGTATGGGACGACGCTGTTGTGTGCATGCACGTGAAAAAGATGCGTGTGAATATGTTACCTTGATCAGCATGTGCTCGCTTGTATTTTAACGATCTGGCGATCTTACCATTGCTGTCATTTATTCCACACCTTAAACGATACGCCGACGACACAACTTGCCCGACATGCATGGTTAAAGGCGACAAACACGCAAAAGGTATACTATGAGATCTATATGCCCGCAGCCACGAGTGCTCACTGTGCGTGAACAACAACGAGGAAAAGGTGACCCTCTCGCTTTTTATATCACTCTCGCAGCTGTGAAGAAAAACAAAACAAAAAAAAGACTAGCGCACTTTTTCCCACTATTCCAATTGGTTGTCTGGATGGTTAATAAAAACAAGGGTCCTCTCCTCCACCACCAGTTGAGACAGAAGAGCGGCGTCATTCCAAACCCCCTCAAATGGTACAAACTATTATAAACAAAAGAAAAACGGGTCCATTTGCCGTAAAGCCCCCGCGTCTGTTGTTTTTGTTGCATATCTCTTTCTCTTTCATAACTGGGTGGATACATTCGAACAAGTGTGTTTCATTTGATTATTATTACGCATAGCACTAGATATTGTGGATTTGGAATGGCAATGAAATTGACTGCAATGCTAAAACAAAACGCCAAGGCCAATGAACGCAATGGCAGATGCTACTACAAACTTACAAAGAATAACAATGAATACGCAGATCATTCCGTAGAAATTCGTCATCACTCCAAGCCAAAAGACCCGTGGGAAAAAAGATGATCGCTCATTACCTAATACATTTATCAAGGATGCAACTGCGGGAATGTTGACTCATTACAGAATGTATCTCTCTCTCTTCCTTTTAGGAGGAGGAGTTGGAACCCCCCATTTTCTCCCAATCTGCGGCAAGGGCGTTTTCACCCCATTTTTACGCCATCTTTATGTTGTTGTGCGCAAGTGAGAGAGTGGGATGGCGCGAGAGCGGGAGAGAGCCTACTCACAGATGGAAACTTTGCAAGAAATTCCATCAGATTTGCAGCTCACAAAAGTCATGTCCTAACGAGTGACAAGTCTGCATAGAAAATGTATGATCTTGAACAAGAAATAAGGACAGTTTTACAGAGCAATTCAACCAGATACGGGAAACAAGAAGCCTCACACTCAATCGATGAAGCTAACTAGACATTTAAAAATATGTTGTATTCGAGTGACCACGAGCTTGCATCATAAATAAGTGACCTCACGCATGAGAAAAAAGAGAGATAAATAGTGAGAGAAATGCCCGCAGCGGGAGTCAAACCCGCAAACTCGAGGTCAAGAATTCTCACGCTCTACCGTTTGAGCTAATCAGGCATATAGTAACACTAACAAATGTTTTTCATGAGATAAAATACCGTCAGGGATGACATGCGGGAGAAAAAAAGGAATACTACCTCAGAGAGATGCCCGCGGCGGGAGTCAAACCCGCAATCTTGAGGTCAAGAATTCTCACGCTCTACCGATTGAGCTATTCCAGGCATATAAACACTATTGTTTATTTACATGACGAGGTCAAGTTCATTATGGTTGACTTGCACGACAAAAACAAGGTTTCAGATCCAGATCAGGACAGAAAACTACCTAACTGCAATTATGGAGAACCCGCAGCGGGAGTTACACCCGCAATCATGAGGTGAAGAAACCTCACGCTCTACCGATTGAGTTATTCCAGGCATATAAAGCGCGACGAAAAGCAACGTCATGCGGCAGGATTTTGGCAAACTGTCCAACGACATACTTGAGGATATTTGGTGGAGTGCTATGAGGTTGAATATAAACGCTATTGTTTATTCGAATGACGAATTTGACTCATATATGGGTGACTTGCACGAGAAAAATAAACTGCATTATGGCACCAAAGCAGGTGAAAGCTGCAACCTGAGGGTGAGAGCCTTACGCTCAGCTAATTGGGCATGTAAACATATAATGAGGGCGAGCCTGCATCCAAAATGGGTGACAAGTTCGATCGGCACATTGGTGCCAAAAAAATTCTTGTTTTCTCTGTGCGCAGAGCCCGATGCGGGGGTCGAACCCGCAACCTTGAGGTTAAGAGCCTCACGCTCTACCGATTGAGCTAACCGGGCATTTCCATTCCATAAAAATACAGAATAAATCCTGAATTAACTCTGCTCATGTTTGACATACCATTCATTCCCATGCCCACTGCAAAATCGGAAAGCCACTCATATAAATAAATATATTATACAGTGAATACAGTAGCACTACAGAGCATCAGGAATGGGTCTATTCAACATATCCAATACGTCACGTACACTCGCTTCGTAGCCACCCTTTGTGACAAGTGCAACGTAGGCACTCTCGAGTCCCGCTGATGTCGCTATGCGATTAGTATCTTTCATCCATCGAATCACCGTCGGCAACAACTCGACACGGCCCGTCTTGATGAGAGTATCGATGAGCTTGGTGGTAGATATCGGTGTGAATATGTATCGACGAGGGGGAGGTGTGATATCTTGGGTAGGTGAGGGAGAGGTGGTTAAAGGTTTTTGCGTCGCAGCGTCTATGACCGCCTTTTCTCGGGCAGCCTCTATTGCACCGCTGTGTTCGGCGGTATCACTTTTGAGTTGTTCTGCTGTGTCGCTCCACTCGCCCGTGTCTGCATTTGCGTGTCGCACCACGATTTCATCGGTCGCTTCATGCTCGTTAACGTCGAATGCTGGGGCGGTCGGCAGTTGAACAGCCAGAGACGAGGTAGGCACGGGAGACAAAAGAACCTCAAGTCGCCCGGTCCGCGCGGCGGCCTCCATCACAGCCTTCAGGGCCATCCTGGGAGGATTCCGCATTTGGCGCAACGTCTCCCACACCGCAAACCCATCATCCCATCTCTCCAGTCCAAAATAAATCATCATCGCCCATGTGCGCGCCAAGGGCAGTTCTTGTCGATGCTTTTCCGTCATATCATTGTATATTGTCGTACCCGAAAGAAAGTTGCCTGTTTCGGACGCTAACTGAAGGACCGATGATTTGACTGTGGCCAAAGGTTCGACCTTCAATAGTCGCATCTCCTCGTACAATGTATACGCATTAGCCCAGTCCTTTTGCGAGCAATATGCTTTTATCGCGGCATTGTACGCATTGGCAGATATCACCAGAGAATGCTCTTTCATCTGGTGAATAACGCCCGTTAAAGTGTCCAGGGAGCTGCCATCACGACCAGCGCTATAGGCGACAATCAGCAAGTTTAATAGATTACTCGACTCTGACGGAGGAAGATCCCGAACGAAATGTGTCCGCAGCTGTGTGAGTTCATCGAAACGTTTCGCCTTGATTAACGCCTTGACAAGCGGGTGATATGCTTCCATTGTGGGCGTCTTTAGAGACCAACGCATCAATTTGTCGATAAGCAATGCCGCGTCAAGATGACCGTCCATGCATAGGCGGGCAGCCAGTCCGTTTGCATCGGCCATTCCGGGCAGCAAGTACTTTTCAATTAATCTCTTGCCACCATTGAGGGCTTCTTGGGCGTCTTTCGCTTGTGCCATGCCGATCACCAAAGCCCCCAAGAGGTCCCCCACCTCTTGATCTTTGTACAGAGAGCGGTAGAGGACAAATTCGAGCTCCTTCCATTTTCCTCGCTTGGCCAAAGGCGGTATCAGAGCCAAGGAGACACTCATTGTTAACGCAGAGCGCTTTTCGATGATTTTTTTGGCATAAGACAGTGCATTTTCTACCTCTGAAGTTTGGGCCAGAGCTGTGGCGATCGTTGCGTACACTGTGACACTCATGTCGACTCCCGCGTGCTTCATATCGCGGAACATACGCATCATGAGTGCTGGCTTTTTTGCTGTTGCAAAAGCCCGTATCAGCCCTTCATATGTGTCGGCATCAAGACTGGTGCCTTCGCGCCAGATTCGGTTATACAACTCTAAAGCTTGAGCAGTATATCCCTTCTTAATGAGACTACACAAAACGACCTTGTACACCTCTTTCTCTAGTTTCATCCCGGTAAATGTGATCTCCCCCATCAGCGCACGCACACTTCCAGGATTAGAGGTCTTTGCCATACCCATTACAAGATTAGAAAGAACTACGGCATTAGGCGTGATCCCATCAACTTCCATATCGCTCAAAACTCCTCGGTACTCTGGAGGTATTGCTCCTTTGGTCAGAGCAGCAGATATAATCTCATATTCTTTCAAACTAGGCGGACGCCGCATTTCGCGAGCATTTTGGAGAACGATTCGCAATTTTTCCAAGATAGATTTGGGATCTTGATTGGAATTCGTCAAGATCTTGAGTAATTGCAGTGTCACCTTGCGGTTGATACTTCCTCGCTGCTGTCTATCTTGATAGAGGGCCTGATAGGCGTCCCAGCATGCTCTGGATTCCGCTGTTGCACGGCCTCAACAAAGTCATTCCAAACCGATCTGCTCGCAATTGGAGGTTTCAAAGTAGGCTTTGGGTTGGAAAACGATTCTCGGGACGGGGTGCGTTTGTTTTGCTTGTCATTTTGGGAAATAGAGCTATATCTGCATGTCGAGGTTGGTGAAACGCAGAGAGGAGCAGGAGTCGAGCAGCTGCGGGAAGTTCTTGTCAAAGAAAGAATCAAGCGCCTGGGAGGGAGGTGAAACAAGGCCGAGGACAATCGCCTTTGCATTGTTTGTGAACGTTGAGACTGAGGTCAAAGTTGGGAGAGGCCACTCGATCTGTGTCGATGGCAACAACCAGATCGCCATGACTCACGAACCACCTCTGTACAGTATACACCAAACTTTCCAGATCTACACATCTGCATTTTCATTCACTAACCAAGACTAGTCAGAAGCATCACCATGACCGCTTTACCGCAATCAGGAAGAGCCATTGTCAAGAACATCATCTCTGGAGACAGTATTGTACTTCGCGGGAAGCCGGTCAACGGCCCTCCACCGGAGAAGGTCTTGTCACTTTCGAACTTGGTAGCTCCAAGGTTGGGGTCTCCCAAAGACCCAGAAAAGGAAGAGGTACGTAGTTTGTTTACGATCCTAGTACATCCTTTGGAAAGAAACGCGTGTGATCGCCTGTACATGTTCTCATCTGCCCCATTTTGTCGCATACTCAGTCGTTTGCCTTCGAGTCTCGCGAGTACTTGCGAAGTCTATTGGTCGGAAAAGAAGTTGCCTACAAAGTGGAATACACCACCACAACGAATCAACGTGATTTTGGCGTCGTCTTGGTACAACATCCCATTGACGGGGAGACCAACATCAATCGCATTATTGCGCGAGAGGGATGGGCCAAGGTCAAGTCTCCCGAAGGAAAGCGGACGGCAACCGAGTGAGTGTCTTGTAGTACTTGCTTCTTGTTGGAAGCGTGGTGTTAAGTATTTCATCTAGAGAGCAAGAGCTATTGGCAAGCTTGGAGGCAGAGGCGCAGGCAGCCAAGAAAGGAATCTGGCAGGACCAGAATACTTCCAAAGGAGTATGTTGAATGAGAAAGACTCGTGTATGAAGCATTTCAAATTGACATTATCTGCATATGCAGATTGTTCGCTACGATGTGCGGGATGATGCGAGAGCATTCTTGGACAAGTACAAGGGAAAGCCTATCGACGGTAAATGGCTCTTCAAAGCTAATGCACATGATCGGAAGGTTGACATCTTTCCCTTTTGTATTCAGCGATTTTGGAGCAAGTACGCGATGGTGTGTAAAATCATGTAGTATCGCTTGTCTTCCATCGTAGGCTAACTGGGCATTTACTAGGATCTACATTCCGAGTCTGTCTACTGTTGCCAGAGGGCATTCGTCAATACATTACACTGATGCTTTCTGGTATTAAAGCTCCAGCATACCGTAAGGGAGTGCCAAACGTGGAGGATCTGGTGGAAGAATACAGTGAAGAGGCAAAGTACTTTGTCGAATCCCGCCTGTTGCAACGTGACATCAAGGTGGTTTTGGAAGGGCTTTCATCCAATGATAATTTTGTCGGAAGTGTCCAATTCCCGCTCGGAAACATTGCGGAGGCTCTACTTGGCGAAGGATTGGCCAAAGTTGTGGATTGGACGATCACGATGGTCACTGGTGGTCCCCAAAAGTACCGCGCAGCCGAGCAGCGAGCAAAGGACAGGAAGCTTCGGATATGGAAGAGTTGGGTTGGCAAAGCCAAGGTTGGCGGTCCGGAGCCCGAGTTTGATGGCATTGTGACTCGCGTCTTGTCAGGCGATACACTCCTCGTACAGAGTATTGCTACAGGCAAGGAACGCAGAATACAGCTTTCCAGCATTCGCGCACCAAAGGCACCGGAGAAACCCCAGCAGCCCACAAAGGACCAGTCCGTGAAAGAGTACGGATACGATTTCGAGGCAAGGGAATACCTACGGGGCCGTTGTATCGGAAAGCCTGTCCACGTGGTTATTGACTACATCAAGCCGGCGGATGGCCCGTACGAAGAGCGCGAATGCGCAACCGTAACCCAAGGACCGAAGAATTTGGCAGAGGTATTGGTAGCCAAGGGGCTGGCAGATGTTATTCGGCATCGAAAGGATGACGATAATCGATCATCCCAATATGACCAGCTACTGATCGCGCTCGATCGTGCGCAAAAAGCAGGGAAAGGCATCCACTCCACAAAAGACGCACCGGTTCACCGTATCAGTGATGCCTCATCAAATGTCGCAAAAGCCCGACAATTTTTCCCGTTCCTACAGCGATCGGGGACAATTTCCGGTGTTGTTGATTATGTGTCGAGCGGATCACGATTTAGAATATATGTGCCATCCCAAAATTGTACTCTAACATTGGTTCTTGGGGGCATTCGAGCTCCAAGAGCAGGTCGCCCTGGTGAGAAGAGCGAACCTTATGGACCCGAAGCTTTGGAATTTGTAACCAGGAGAGCCATGCAACGAGACATTGAATTCAGTGTAGAGGGCCAAGACAAGGTGGGAGGGTTTATCGGATCCTTGTATCTTACAATCAATGGCGAGCGGAAGAATGTGGCAGTCATGCTAATGGAGGAGGGGTACGCCAGTGTACATGGCTATTCTGCTAGCCAAAGTCCGAACGCCCACGCATTGTACGAAGCGGAGAAGAAAGCACAGGATGCTCACAAAGGTATTTGGAAAGACTGGACACCCGAAGACAATCAGCCGATTGTAGAGGAGAAGCCAGAGGAAGACAAGCCGATTGAAACCAAAGACGTGATCGTTAGCCATATTGAAGACGGCGGTCGGATATTTTTGCAGGTTCTTGGTTCCGGTGCGTTCTAACTCGAGATGATTGAATTGCACACCGTATTGACGTGGAGTTTGATCTAGATTTGGACCGCCTCGAACGCCTCATGGCCGATTTTTCCCTTCACCATAAGAGCGCAGCAGCTCCACCATACCAACCACGCAACGGCGAATACTGCAGCGCCCAATTCGGTGCCGACGACCAATGGTACCGCGCACGGGTAACAAAGGTCAACCCCGACAAGACCTACAACGTCACGTACGTCGACTATGGAAACTCGGAAACAGTCCCAGCATCCCGCATCCGCGCCCTGGACAGCTCTTTCAACACCATGACGCTCAATCCCCAAGCATCTGAAGCCAAACTCGCGTACCTCCAAGTCCCAACATTAGACCAGGATTATGGCGAAGAAGCTTTTGAGCAGCTCCGTAATCTGACCGAAGGCCGAACCCTTCAAGCACGGATTCTAGGACGCGTACCGAGCTCTGTGGGCTCAGGGCAAGCACTGAACGTTGTGCTATACGACACCAAGAATAGTCGAGACGTGAGCGTCAATGAACGTTTGGTCCGAGAAGGGCTCGCTATTGTGGAGAAAGTATACAGAAAACGCTTTGCGGGACAGCAAAACGCGAAACGTGCGAATGGGGCTACTGGCAATACGGCGAAAAAGAGTGTTTTGGACGCTGTGATGGAAGCACAAGAGGATGCTAAAAAGAGCAGGGTGAAGTTTATATCTCGTACATTTTATTCTTCATGTGCTTGATACTTATCCGTTGTTTTATTGTTGTTTTTAGGCGAATATGTGGCGGTATGGGGATTTCACAGAGGACGATGAATAAGCCCAAAAGGAAGGCATTATTTCTCATCTGTCAACAGCAAATCTTGTGCTGTATTCTGGGACCGGTTGAGTTGAACTTTTGTACTATGTAGGAATGTAGTTTAGGTGATACCATTTCTGCATCACAGTCCAAAAATCAAACTTCTCTATCTGGCGCCAAAAACATGGTTTGCAATGAGCCAAACCTGGAATTTCTGATCCGTACTCAGCCGCCTGATCTATTGAGCCATGGCCTGCAGTTGGTACACTGTTAGTGTAGAGGTGACAGAAACTGGCACTAGCTACTACACCAGGGAATAAACCGGCGACAACCGGTTCGGAAAAGCCAACTAAGCTACTACTAGGCAATTATACACGCAATACGTAACGGTTGGTTCTAACCGGATAATTGCCCACCACCACACAGTCCCTACTAGGCCTTGATCTGGAACTCTTGATGGCATTGAAGCCAGACTCTTGCATCCAGGAGCGAATCGACTGGGCAGCGTCACAAGCCAGAGGATGTTCAGTGACAAGGCTTGGAGACTACAAAAAAATGCATGTCAGAAGATGACCCGATGACAAGAAATGCAAGAAATGCCATCGATACATACCAACCAAGCTCAACTAAGGTGGCAGCATAATAGTAGGTTTTGTTATCGGATCCGATTGGTTGCCGCTGGTTCTGATCACGGTTGCTGTCGGGCGGTCGAGGTCCTCGACACCACCACATCTGTATTCTCATGATTCGACTGACAGTCGCGATGAGGGTTGCGCAGATGGTTTGAGAGTCGAGGAACTGGTGAGGAAGGGGAGAGAGAGCAAAGGCTCCCCTTTTATAGACCTTTGGCATGCGCCTCACCGCAGTTTAATAAAAAAACATTACATGCATGCCACACCAATCTGAGCGATAGAGGGGGTTCTGATTATGCGATATGATTAACCGGATTAATCCGGATAATAATGAGTCCTAGTGCCATTTTCAATCACCTCCACACTGTTATATTTTTCCTAAGTACTTAATCGCAAATTAAAAGTTCGACTGGAAAAAAAGTTATCGCGTGAATTCCTCTACGAGCCTACCAGGATTCGAACCTGGAATCTCCTGATCCGTAGTCAGGCGCCTTGTCCATTGGGCCATAGGCCCGCTTGACTTCAGAGCAGCACTGTTATTATTAGTTTTCATTCCTGTTGTGCTGGATGACCTATAGTTGTGGAGATGGAGCCGACCGTACGACTTGAGGTTCCGCTCCTGAGTTGACCCCCCCCCCCCCCAAAAAAAAGGAGAACTGATACCAAATCACTCTTACGGGTGCATCATAGCGTGCATCATGGCGTGCATTCAGACGACACCCTCCAGTCCCATATGCAGTCATGAGCGAGTACATATAATGTACGTGTGAGTGAAATCGACGCGTAAATCCCGTAATCTGCAACTTGCGGACGCCCTTTATCATTGAAATCACACCACTAGAGTACAGAAGGAGGTGTTACTATTGATTCAATCTCACATAGCCTTATCATAGTTCAAGTGGACACTGCGTCGATATATGGGCTGTGAGGGCTAGCGACCCAGCCGCACAAAGACGTCTCAGCGGGAAACGTCCCCATGGACTGGCGTCGGTGCTTTCATACAGGTTTTTCATTCACTGATACGGGTCGACACAAAGTGCCGAGCTTTACGAACAGTGGCCATCTGAACGCCCGCATCCAAACTGAACGCCATATATCCGATCTGATTTCTGCGGCCCTTGTCAGCAAGACACAGCCGAAAGGCCAGATCAAGCTCAAAGCATTGCCATGCACTTTGGGATCAATGCATCAAAAGAACGCCTGCTGCTATGTACCCTGCTGCTTGGTCAAAACCGCAGAGACCAGGCGACCTAGTGATACAGATTAACCCGCACGGGTGTTACGGCAGAGGTACGCCCCGCCAGCCTGTTCAGAACTGGTACGCAGTCCCTCCGTGTCGAGGTCACAGCTGTCCAGTGCGAGAGGATGTGCGGACCAGGCACAACGTCACACTGACCAGATTTTACGAACATGTGCACCAACATGAATGCCGCTCTCTTGAATAGCCATCAGTCCCAACACACACGGAGGGGTCGATAAACGTCCACTTGAACCCTTCCCAAAGTAAGCTTAACCCTCAAGCTTACCTCTTATTGTTGGCGATGGTGGTTGAAGAAAGGCGAGGAAGAGATACAAAAGAAGCGAGGAAGAGACCCAACGCGTCCTGCTTTTATGGGGTTTTTCCCACGCTCCCACATCCGACTCTTGATAAAACCAAATTTGGGCTTATGAACTGTTAGAATGACTGTGCCATTCGTATTTGTTCCTGTGTACTAAATTCGGGTTAATCAAGATTTGGCTCATCATTTTAGCTGACCAACGTGTTACGTAATGTTATGGTCATCGCTCATCGATCGTCTTCCAGATACTCTTCCAAGACAACAGCGCAGAGGTCAACAGAAATATGCCTTGTAGATATTGGAGGATCATTCAACTTACAAGGTTTGCAAATTAAAATCATTCTTTTGTGGGATACACACTCTATTTGAATGGCCCACCTGCCTGCTGGTTAAATCAAACCAAAACACATTTCACATGTGCCTTCCAGTAGCTCCACTAGCCACACTTCTAGAAGTCTCTAGCCACCGCCACGTTACCGGATATCTGGATACATAGTGGCCGCAAAAGTCCGCCTTGCTTACTCCCCCCCCCCCCCCCCTCCTCCTCTTGTCACCTTTATTTTTCCAAAGTCTGCTTTTTGCTCGCTCGGGCCAGCCGAACATTACCGCGTAAAACCCATATTATTTGCTGTTCGTACGTAGCAGCAACATCCGTTCTCGTGCAGTGACCAACCTATTGGAGAGACGCTCGTGGGAGATTGTTATTAAGAGTGCACAGTAGGTACGGCATCCGCGCAACTCTGTGAGGCGTGACATTGGGGTGTCTATGGTGGTGGAAAAAAACATGCGGTTCGCATCGGCTAATCGCTTGCATCACCGCAGTTCTTGTTGCATACGAATAGATTGCAACCATTGCACACTGCTGTACTATCGAACGTTATTATAGTCCCGTCCATACCGCGTCGTCATCAACGTCGACAGTCCCCAACCTCTCCTTTTTCGCGTAATTTCAATACCAAACCATGAGAGAATACAAATTGGTCGTTCTTGGGTCTGGTGGTGTTGGAAAGTCGGCGCTGGTACGTCTTCCTTTGCGTTTCGGGCGGTGCAGGGATGTTTTGGAGTAAAGGGTGCCAGGAAGACACCATCAGTGGAGTGTGGGGTTGAAGAAGAGATAATACACAACCGTATTCTGGAGAACATTGATGTTGAATAGCAGAGATGCTCTGGTGTCCATCCATTCTCAGAGTGTCGGGGAACGTCAATGGGAAGGCTGTCAAATGCCAGTGCCGGCGGCACTGTGGTGGTTCTCTGCTCGTGGAATTTCTGCAATTTGGACTAAAGAGTGAAAGAGCGCTGCTGTTCACTTGGCGATCTGCGCTGACCTCTCAACTATCCTCTTTCTTGTCACAAAAGACAGTGCAATTCGTACAGTCCATCTTCGTGGAAAAATATGATCCTACGATTGAAGACTCTTACCGGAAGCAAGTGGAAGTAGATGGACAGCAATGCATGCTCGAAATTTTGGATACAGCCGGAACTGGTATGTCGTTGGCCGGTACTGAAATCGTGGTTGCCCTGACCTGACTTGACGTGCTATACAGAGCAATTCACTGCCATGCGTGATCTTTACATGAAGAACGGTCAAGGATTCATCCTCGTATACAGTATAACATCTCAAGCAACCTTTAGTGATCTCGTGGAGTTGCGAGAGCAGATCCTTCGAGTGAAGGATACTGAAAAGGTAGGGGTCCGCTTCCCATCCGTCATAGACAAATGCCACCCTTCTTGTACACTTGTGGAGGCGGCTCGGTTCAAACGGACAGTCTTGCTAATTTCTTCTGTCGTGTCTTTCAGGTGCCTATGGTGCTTGTTGGCAACAAGTGCGATTTGGAAGACGACAGAGTTGTTTCACGAGACCAAGGGAGCTCTCTAGCCTCACAATGGGGAGGCTGCACTTTCCTCGAAACAAGTGCAAGGAAAAAGATTAACGTTGACGAAGTGTTCTTTGACTTGGTGCGCCAAATCAATCGGAGTATGCCAGACAAGGTATGTCTTTGTTTGGGAAGGTTGTTTTAGTGGTGCGTGCGTCTAAGAATGGAACTTGTAGGACAAGAAGAGCAAGGACAAAAAGAAATGCATCATCTTGTAGTTGATTCCATGGCGATGTTCCCTTTATCTCAAATAGTGGATTACTTTAGTGACATGATTTCGAGAAGGTTGGCGAGGGAAATGTTGACACGTCCTCCTTGAATCTGTTGCCCCCCATATATAGATTTTGTTGTCGAGCAAAGAATTCTCATGTTGTGTGGCGGAAATAGTGTGGCTTTAGGTTGAGTTGGAACGGAAGCGAGGACAATTGGGGTTGGAGCAATCACAGAAGAGGATACCATGGAGATTTGATGTTGGAAGTGACAGTTGCCCCATATACATGTTCTGTTTGCCGTGCGTAATGGATGTTCTGTGTTCTTTTATCTTTACTTTTGTTTCCCATTGAAGCCTGAGTATGCATAATTATTGATTTTAATATGCATCTGGCAGCTTGCGTGGCCCCAACGTTTTGATAATACAAGGATAATGCTGGATTGGAAACTTGCAAGCCGACCGACCGTGTTTTGTCACGTGCCGTATTACGCGAAGCTTCGGACCTAGAGTGTCAAAGTTCACTTTGTCAAGATCCCCAATGGCATCTCTCTGCGTATTGTAATGTCAAGTAATATCATATTTTCCAATGTCCGCTGAGAAGAGAATGATAGTAGCATAAGCGTCGTAAGAACCGGCGAAAACCTTACGGACCCATTCTACTGTCATTTGTGCGCAATTGCCGGGCCAATTCGATAGCATTTACACCTCCCCCCGGAGGCAGCCGTATATATCGTCCTTTCAACAACGTTGTTGAGCTGTCATAATATCATCAGCCGGAGTTTATAGCCAACCATGAGCGACGAGAAAAGGATGGAGAAGCTCTTGAAGAGAGCCAAGCCCTTTTTGGATGAAAAGTTGAAGGCGAAGCAGAGATTAAGTTCTTTGTGGAATTTTTTAGGTCCGTAGTACAAAGTATTTTATGTATTGGATTATGAAGTCTGGCAAATTGGCAGAGGTCTTGGGGCTACTCCCCTATCGGATCGGATCGCATCATTCGAAGAGCTCAATCCTACGCACCAGAAATCTAATCCTTCTCACCGCATAGACAACGCAAACGAGCAAGATCAATGTAAATTCTTTCAGGAACATGACTATCCCGTCTACACAGTCATGTACGACTGCTTTTCTCATCAAGTCGACAAAATCAAATGTAAGTAGTTGATTAATCGATTATCCCCTGGGTAGTACCTGATTGGAAGTGATATATTAACACACCATATTACCAGCACGAGAGAAGCCAGAGAAACCCTTGCCAGTTACGAGCAAGGAAGTCAACGACCTAATGCGAATTTTGCAAATATTGAGAAAGATATTTGCGTACCTTCCCGAGAAGATGCGATCAGGATGGCAACGGCGAAGCATTGGTAGGTGATGTCGGTCAGTACGACTTTCTGACTACTTTTTTCACAAATGCATTTGTATAGTTGGAGTACTTCATACGCTGTTGGCAACGACGAATCACCCAAAACTGCGTATAGAGGGATTTCGTCTCCTTCTGATGTATCTTGGCTGTCAGACTAGTGAATCAAGCGAAATTATGCCTCTGTTTGCGAATGCTATGCCACTGGCTGTATTCGATGCATTTCCCTTACCAAATCCTATTGAGCTGGCGAAAGGAGACTGCGAAGATGAAGAGACGGGATGGTTAATATCCGTTGATGATGGAATAAATAGTGGGCGAGGGGCTCCTGGTGAGTGGAAGGGCGAAGGGAAGGGCCGCTTGGGTCAGACTCCCATCGAGTGGGAGAGACGAGTACATACTTTTATGACTGGCTCGTCTGGTGTGGGTTCTGGGAATAGCTGTAAGTGTTTGCAAAGGTTTCACGTTTGGTGTAAGTGTCATCTTGTTTACTCCATTTAATAACTGAAACAGCCATTGACAAGACATCCTTGTTGCCGAGCAATACTCCCTTCACATCTTACGACTGTGTCGACCTTTTTGAAGAGATTCTACATAGTCTTGTGGTAGCTGCAGGAGGATCTGATCCTACGGTTCCAATTCAGCCAGCACCAGCATCTCGAACTATTTCTTCACTATCATCACGAACACCCTCTTTTGGCGATATTAGACAAAGTATCACAAATGCTATAAGTGATACAAGATCCTCTGGAGGTCGATATGGGAATGAGCCGTCATCAACGGGGCGTCCTGAGGACAGCACGGACGATGCGGTGGTATCAACAAAATTGGAGTTCTTGTGGGAAATATTTAAAAAGTATTACTTGAGACTGCTGTTCCCTCGAGTTTCGCGAAAAGTTGGGATGGAAGTTGAAGATGGAGAAGGTATATCGTTGCTGATCGTTTGAGAGCATTATCATGATATATAACCATCAGTTCTGATTATTGAAGGATTCGCGACTTGCCCTCCCCAATTACTGCACTGTCTCATTAACTTTCTCATACGACACGTTGCCGATCCTTCGTCTTCATCTTCCCCTTTGCGAACTTTACTTCTTGGAACCGATAGCTCGAATCATGACATGGTGCACGAGTGGCTTCGACAGGCGATGCTATTGCCCTATGTATGGAGCGATGTAACTCGTGGTGCAATAGGAGTCATAAGGATTTGGTGTAATCTGCCTGTAAGTGACTTTAACAGTTCTACCATATTTAATCAAACAAGACAACTCAGTTTTGCCCTACTTGAAAGAACGATGAACGACCGCCGTTTCTCCGATTTCCAGCAGCGAGGCAATCGGTCACAGGTTCAGATGAGAAGCTGGCTGATGATGATGGTGTCGACCCGAATGTATTCCTGAGGCGGTACATCCGAACTTTACGATTGGCGTTCTTGGAGAAACCGGATAGTGTGGAATACATTGATTCCCAAGTACGGAAATGCATCTCCTGATATGGTTTTTTATGCTCTCTCTCACCGTTCAATGGCTTAGATGTCGATTTTTAACGAAGTGCTCTCTTTGTACCGTTTCTTGACACTTGACACCACCCACCTTTCACCATCTCGCGCAACGTGGCACACCCTGACTTCAACTCTGTTGGATATTACCTCGCAAGTCCTTTGCCAAACCGATCCTTGCGCGGTGGTTCACAATTCTACAAGGGCTGCCGAAATCGCCGATATACTTCTGGAGACTGTGTTCTGCACGTGGGTGCGAATCGGCCTACGGGAAGATGAGATATGGCGAACACTGAGAAAAGTTATCAAGACTTGTACTCGTTGGAGAGAGTGCATTGTACAATGGGAGGTCAGTGTGGTTATATGTACTTTATCCTCGTTCATGCACTCAAAGTTCAGCTCTATTAGAAAACTACAATGAAACTGACTCGGATTCTATCACACCACGTATACTCCATCGACCTGGACGTCGGTTCCAACACCGATTTGTCCCGACAACCGTCAGTTGCACCTACGCCCACCAGTGCAACAAGTGCAACCACCGTGACACCCCATAGCAAAACTGTTCCGACGTCATCTACATCATCGGGACCGACCCGGACCCGCGATCGATCTCAATCCATTTACTCCACAGGAGGTCCTCCAAAGATTACGAGCACCCAAATCAGAACCAGATCAGATACATCCAACACTCTTCACGGTGCCAAGAGTGAGTCAGATTTGGGTGGTGCATCTAGAAGCGGTGTCAGTTCGCCAGAACCGCGACCTGCGGAGAAAGCATGGGCAATTGGGTCAATGGCGGGGAGGAGCAAAGAAGGGGACACCAAAACCGGCAGTGTTGGAACAAGCGATGAAGTCACGGACGGATCACTTGGGAGGAAGAATGAGACTGGTGTGGTTCCAGTGAGTTATAGATTTCCTATTTTTGTGCGTAGATTCAGTATATGTAACGGTCAACTTCACCAGCCAAAGAATGACAAGAAGACCGGCATATCTGTTCACTTGGAAGCTGCTGACAAGTAAGCATCCCAAAACTTGCCTCTGTCAGTGCAAAACCGCTAATTGGATGTTTTTGCTACAAGTCCCAGCCGCATTCCAATACTTAGCATACAGCGAAGCTCGCCAACACCGGAATTTGAAGATTTATCTCATCTTCCGTTCTGGGATGCGGAAACGGCTCTGTTTGCATGGAAGAATGTTGTCTGTGTGTTGGGTGATGTTAATGAGATTCAAGTGGGTATCTGAGCACACAGGGTGAATTCCCCCAAACAGGATGGACCTTATTGAATATTGATAACACGTTGCACTTTCTATTGTTAGGTGGCATCAAATCACGCATTAGCTATTGCTTGTCTCATGGCTGTATGGGATACATTGGAAAAGGTAAGTTCATTCTTCTCTTTCTTTGCGGTGCACCCTATTTTCTCAAATAGTTGTGTTTATGTTGGCAAGATACGAATGAGTCAACCCTACGAAGGAGATGTCATACTCATGCCGCCTCTGTTCCAATTCGCAACATGGTTCTTCAAAGCTGCGGATTTGGGAGAGTGAGTTGAGTTGCGGTTTTTCTGGTGGTCAACTTAGGGAAGTTCTGACCTGTCTCTGTCTGTAGCGAGTACGCAGAAGGGAGAGCCATTGCATACGAGAGCATATGTAAGATGATGTGTCGTAGGCACGATCAACCATTCCCAGAGGATTACTTTTCACACTTCTTCCGGCTCCTGGCAAAGGTAAGTGGGCACACCCAAGTGGAGAGACGCACTCTATGTCAGATGCCATCTCATACTTGCGTGGCTGTTCATAGGGTTTTGCGTCTGATGATAGGAAAGTTGTATACGCCATATTAGCAAATTGCCGGAAACTCTTCGCCCTCGGCCTACCGGGCAGTTATATCCTCATCCAGCCATTCATGAAATGTATTCGGAACCTGGTAAATAATCCATCTTTATATCCTTGAGTACATGTATACTAAAGTGAGTGTATCTGCAGTTCGTTGATGGAGGTCAAAAGGCCGATGCACAGAATATCCCAGAGTCAATTCGGCAGGACGCGATTGTCATTCTTTCTTCACTGATTCCCGTTTCAAACCATTACGGAAGGCAAGAAGACATGCAACTACGACGCATGTCGTCGACCTCTCAGACAGTTCCTACCTTGCAACCGTCCCGACAGTCTAGCAAAGACGGAATGTACATTGGATCGGATTATAGTGGGCATATTGAAAGCTCTCGACCCCAATCCGTGTTGAGTCGTCGAGAAGTCACACCTCCCAGACCCATCAGTACCAACCAGCTCGGAGCTCCACCACGACCTCCAACCCCATCTCCCGCTGCCATAGCAGCCGCTGCTGCTGCTGCCGCGCGGGCAGCCAACAAAGCATCACCGTCGACAACATCACCACGTCCAGTTTTATTACCTCCATCTCCTGCAGCCCTCGCTGCAGCTAATCGAGTAGTTACAAGCACGATGCCAGTATCGCCTCAATTTCGCCCCTCTGTAGCTCACTCTCCAGACGGTGGGGGATACCTGTTCCCAACTGTTTCATCACCGCAGACACAAATGCCATCACCGGAGCTGGCGATACCCATCCTCGGCCATATGCAAACTGCTGACCCTCCGACCATGTCATTCTTGGAATTAAAATTAACAATCAAAGACATATTGCTGGCCTTGATAACAGAGGAGAGATCACCTTCTCGTCATGAGAAAAATCCGGAGACTTTGGCGCTCTTAATGTGGAGTATAAGCGTCCTTGCATTTGAAGAAATGATTGGGTGTCAAAGGTAGTGAAATGGACATGTATCATCCTTCATATGCTTGCTCAAACCTTTGTTTTTTAGACCGGTTAAAGAAGTAGTCGATGATTGCATAAATACGCTGCTCGATCATCTGACAGTAACAAACTTGAAAGTCGTGCATGCCGCTGCTGATGCGCTGACACTGTTTGCTCACAATTATAAGCTGGTTAATTATCTTGATAAGGTACGTCAAAGAGAACACAAAGAACCTGCTGGATATCTGGCGAATTTGAACTCGAATATGTTTGCTCCTAGCCTATTCTTCAAGGTGTGGTTGAAAAAATTGTGGGTGCATTGACTGAGCAGATGTTGTTCCAACATGGCCTTACAAGCAAACAAGTTCGCGGTAAGTCTTTAGTATGGTTTTCATGCGGTTATACTGTTGGACTGACAGCATTGATACAGGGTATCTTGTATCCCGGCTCTTGTACTGCCTCCTTGAGTGGGTTATGATTCTCCCACCAGACCTGTGGGCCGTTCCAAAAGTAGCGCATATGGTGTTTGAGGTCATCGAGAATGCTCTAAGTGCCTCTGATGGAGGCCATGGAAGCGTTGGATCGGGGGTATGTGGACTCCTTATTCAACCTAATGCACCGCAGTTCACAAAATTAACTCCATGATTGTTCAAAGTCTGAATCCGATCGCTCCATACAGTCATCAGTCCGCAAACCACGTATGAGCATCCACGAGGCTGCACCATTCCTCGTAAATACTGCTATGGGTACACGAGAGGGAAGCTCTTCCTTCCCGCGTGATCGTCGGTCAATGATGATATCGGACGGGAAGCCTACCGCGACCGATCGAGCCGAAGTGAGCGCTACCACTAACGGGCTGAACCAGCCTACGGCAAAATCTAGCTTTGATGATCAGGATGGTGATAGCAACTTGATCATGGTTCGTCAGATGCCCAGTTACTTGCTGGAAATACGCTAATGTTCTGGCTCTACAGGAGACCGCTGAGAATGTCTTGACCCATATCATACACCATGTAAACAATTTTGCACAGCCTTGCGGTGCAGCCATGCTTGGAAGGTACGATGCAGGCCAGATGTCAGATTTCGTCCCTGCTATGTCTAACAGGACCTCACTGGTGGACATCGGCACAGTCAGCTAATTGACCCAGCTCTGACTGAAGATCCTGGGAAGGATGGCGAGCGGTATCTGTACTTCACTTACAACAAGACCACTCTGATCACGGTGATCGATATGCCGGGGCGTACCCCACTGGGTAAGCATCCAGTGTGTTTAAGTGTAGGATGGGAATTGCGTGGCCGCGTATATTGATCATGACATTTGGAATCATGCGCAGACTCCCGAGCTCGTCTCATAATTCGCGATATGACTGGTCGATATTCTTGGGATACATATCTGTTTTACGAAGACTTGCAGAAAATGAGACTAAGAACAGAACAGCAAACTTCTCTTCATCTCTCTGACGAATCCATGGATGATGCTCCAGCCCGATTTGATGCAGATCCATGTCAGTATCAAGGAATTGTATCAGCACTCAAACTTGCTGACGACATCAGTTTCGAGGAGAATGTCAGAAGATTTGTGCCGTAAGATTTGTTGGATTATGTGGAGTTTAATCACTTCGGAGACTGATACTTGATGAACCGTAGTGATCCCGTCACATATGTACGAGAACAGGGAACCATGCCTGAGTGGAAAGAAAACACAGGAGTTGAGACTGCGGACATGTTGGATGAATTGCTTCAGTAGTAAGTCCGAATGTTAAGCGATTCCGGATGCCCCACCGATGCTAATCTATCTTACCTAAAGTATTGGAACGGCTCATCCAGACTGTCTTCTACGGGATAGCACTCCCCTAAATGTTCCACCAGAACTGCACGCCCCCGCTCGCGATGCCGTTGGCGAGATGGGCAAGCAGCTGCAGCGTCAAATTGATGCTGAACGCCAATGTGCCGAATTCTTTGTCAATGATTCTCTGGGAGAAACAGTTCAGCGAATACATGTTACAAACGGAGAAGCGCGACGTATCGAACCACACCCACCACCTGTCGACATGACCACCGAAAGCTCCAATCCTCCACGTCGTCGAGCAACCGTTCCACATGTGCAAACCTCTCAGCGACCCTTATCACAGCACTCACAGCGAGAATCAATCCTGTCTGAATCCGTTGAACCGACCAAGAGCTACATTCGTGTGAAACCTGGCCCGCACCCACACACTGCAACTCCGTATCAGCGTGCACGGCTGTTACTGAGCCATTTGGGACATGTTGACTTTGATGGGCTAAAGTTTGGATCCTTTCATATGCTCGGGAAAACTCCGGCGTTGTATCGAGACATCAAAGTCCTGGATCGCAAGCATGGGTAAGCTGGCTTGATATGCCTTTCCGGTAGCCTGCAACTAACCTAACCATACAGGCGAGAAACTATCAAACTTGCCATTATTTATGTTGCTCCTGGACAAGAGGATGAACAAAGCATTTTCAGGAACGAGCACGGGAGTGTGGAGTACGAGGAGTTTGTATCTAGTCTAGGTTGGGAGGTACGTCGAGAAGGCTTACATCTTGCATGGCTTGTACAGGACTGACAATCGTTCTCACCTACTAGATTGATTTGGCTACGCACCCAGGGTTTTTGGGGGGCTTGGAACGAAGTCTTGCAAACGGAAGTATTGCGACGTACTATTGTACCTCAACATTGGAAATGCTTTTTCACGATGTGACCAAGATGCCTACAGACCCTAATGACCCGAAGCAGTTAAAGAAGGTAAGATGTATTGAGTCCAAAAGCTGTTTGACTTTCATTTCCTGATATGTTTTTTTGGTTCTATGGTAGAAACGTCACATTGGGAATGACCATGTCCACATTGTATGGAACGAACACCACCGTGAATATCGGCGGGGAACAATTGGAGGCGATTTCGGAAATGCGCAAATCATCATCACTCCCCGAACGGATGGACTCTTCTCAGTCGAAGTGCTACGGGACGCCAAAGTTCCATCCTTTGGCCCGCTGCACAACCAAATGGTCGTTAACAAGAAAGTCTTGGGTCCCCTCGTTCGCCAGACGGCTCTGAATGCATACCGAGCCGCACTTGCCATTGGCGATCCGATGCAAAAGCAGAACAAGCACGTGGTGGGCATTCCACTCAATCGACATGCATTTGTAGCGAGGCGAGAGGATATAAAAACGATTGCGGAACGCCATAAAGTGGCCAAATGGACATTTGAGCGCTTTGTTGAGAGCGTATTTGCGACTGGGGCTGAAGGCATTGTAGGCCAAGTTGAAAACACTGCGGGTAGCAATGCCGGATTGTCAGGGTCTTCACCACTAGGGAAAATTGTCAGTGGACTGGTGGCATGATGAGACTATGTCGGACGGTGTTATTAATAATGGCAAGGACTGATGCCATTTTTCTAATCTCACGCAAAACATCAATCTGGATACGAAGGAATGGGGTACCCAGAGTTCATATTTGATAGAATTTAATACACTGTAGTTATGGGCATTTGTTTATCCTTTCGTGGTAGGCTATAAAGCTTCCTGTGCCCACATATCCAGCCGGGTTAAACAGCTTCCAATCTCACTGTTAGTTTTTAGCTGCTGGGATAGGAAGCTCAAAGCACAACTGCGCCGCGAGCTGTCCAAGCTATCGCTGGTGAGTGCTCTCATTTGCCGTCTTCCCGTATATCCTGGTACGCAAGATGCCTATCGTACCTTTGCCGACGACCAGCCCAAAATTGAAAGATCGCATTTCACCCAATGCTCAGATGCCGCATAACGACATGCCACATATTCTATCACTCCCATACAACCTCCTCCATTACATACTGGTGGACCTGATCGGCGAAGATCTAATCGTTCATGCAGCGGGATCTGAATATCTGAAACTAGCATCGGCTTGCAAGCTGTTTCAACAAATCCTGTACCATCGCACCTTTCGACGACGGATGATGCAAAGCATGGCGACAGCTTTGCACGCGAGGACGGGAGCGGTGATGAACAAGCCGGAGGGTGATGATCTTCAGCAGTCGATTTTCAGGTTTGTGCAAAAAAAGGAACTATATATGCCCGGCGGAATATGTACTCATCCCACATTTTAGGCTGCTTGTAAATCGATCACAATGTACCCGAGAAGTATGCAACAACGCTAACCCTTTTCAAAATCCGTACATTGATCGATACTACCTCTTGGAGCTCCTTCTCTATGTCTATGACCCTCATGAGTTATACCGCATGGCTCTTCCTTACATTCCGTTTGTCCGATCACCGCGCATCTTTGACTTCAGCATGGATACCATGCATGAGACAGTTGCATGCTTGCAATGGTACATAGTGGAAAATGATGAGAACAACATTGTGCTGTTGAAGAATGCGTGGAATAAGCGGGAGCAGGACGGCCTGGAGGTGTGGCTGTTAGTGGAGTTTGGAATGATATTTGATTATTTTGGTGGATTTGCTTCTGGATGGACGATTGGGAGGCGGTCAAAGACTGTTATCTGATGAACAATTGAACGGAGGACTCATTGGCGCAACTGTAAAACGGAGTGTATCGGGGTTGCTAAATCCCTGTCCTATGTCGGACTCTCAGAAATCCAGCACGGTTTGTAAATAGCTGTTGTATAGCATGATGCACATTTCTCGTTGCTGTGCAGTTGTATTGTATCAAGCATTCATTACACTCAACTATGAATTCCCTGGAATTAATCTTCACAGATGATGGTGGATCTCTTGATTTCACAATATATGGTCCACCGAGCAGACTAGGAATATCAGATTCGTCCTATGCAAATTTGAACGACATCAGCTGGTATTCTCTTTGATATTGCAAATGTCGGTTCAAGGACGAATTTGGATATCAAGATATACCTCAGCCTATCCGGCTCAAAAGAATAGTATCCGACATGGCGGGACTCATTAGTGATAGTAAGCTGGTCGGGAATATCCCCATTTTCAAATATTATGGATGTGGAATGCTTTGAGACATAAATATGGGGTCAGGCGATGGAATGCCCAATTTTAGCGTTACCGTATCATTGTCAGATATAGGTGGCTGCAAATCGTTTTGACAGGTAAAAAACCAGTAAGAAACTTTTGCAAAGAAAATATGGCGAGCAAAGAATAGAGGATACGAAAACGTGGCCATGGCAAAATGCCATCTGGAAGCTCCCGTCGTTGTCGTCTACGGGATAGTCCGACGCCGCGGACTGTGCAGTTGCTGCCCCCAAAAACATCAAATGGAATTGAATAGCGTAGACAGCATGGCATTTTCAGGTTTACAAAAGGGATTGACGTAGGGTCATGATGGCAGAAATCGTTAGACTTTAGAGACAGTTGACACTTTTTTGCCACGGTTTGCCTTTTCCAATGTGCTATTTTCATATTTATTTTATTTAGACCCAGCATCAGTTTTTTTGACGTATTTTTAAACAAAATGAGTTTCCAATTGGGTCACGGTTTGGGTGTTTTATAAATCGGCCAAAGCCCAAAATAATAACGAGCACACTTGTCGTGTTTTGGGCTTGACTAGTGTTCTTTTTTTTTACTTTTTTTTTATTTTATTTCCATCTGGTGAGCAACATACCTAAATCCGTGAGTGTGAAAAGGAAACGGTTTTTTACCATAGTCCAAGCTCGCTTTTCGCCAGCAGCTTTTGGAATTTTCCGCAAAAGCCCTGCTTTGGCCTTTTGACACCCTGGCACACAAACCCTTTTGCGGCCCTTTTTGGCCTTTTACCTGGTGGTCTTTTGCCAAAGTACACACAGCTTCCGCTTGAACCTTTATCTCCCGCCCTGCTGCATAACAACCCATCCACAGTGGTTCACAAAGCAACCCATAGTAGGTGTTTGCTAGTTGACACGCAATGATAAGACCTACTCCGCGCTGTACCATCCACCTCTCACGCCGACCCTAAACCTTCCCCCCGATGCACAAGACATATCCTACATTGCCTCCCGCCCGGATGCAATCCACATTGTCCTTGACAGAGAGTTTGATGCGCTCCTCGATCCGCCGCCTCTGCTTATTCATGGGAGAGTTCAAGTGGAGGTGAAGGGATCGTCGACGGTCAATAGGGTGGAGGTAGAGCTTGTTGGTATTGAAAAGGAGTATCATCCTGCGAATCCGTTTGTGGAAAAGGAGTTGGTCAAGGAGGAGTTGGTTCTTTGGGAAGGAGTGGAGGGGGAGAGGACTTTGGGAGATGGGAGGTTCGTGATGTTTTTTTTTTTTTTTTGCTCGTTTTATTGTAAGTTTTTAAATCTTGGTTTTTTTCTTTTTTGATAGTCATGAATTTTCCTTTTCGATTCCTTTTCCATCCGATGTTCCACCCAGTCTCAAGGTTCCGTATGGCGAAGTATCCTACAAAGTAATTGTCACCCTGCATCGCAAACTCCTCTTCCCCGTAACAAGTCACCAAGAAGTAATTGTTCGTCGCTGCTTTCCGGCGCGGGCTCGATCTTCGTCCAAAACCCGATCGGTATCGCCTTCCGCCCGCATTCCAATGCTCGGATTGCGTGGCAGAAGCCCTACCCGAGACTCGGTGCGAAGTAGTAGTAGTACGGACTCGAGACGGTCTTCTAGGCGGTCGTTGACGACGGTTGACGAGGTGAGTCAATCCGGGAGTCAGACGTGGGCGTCTTTGACTAGGACGTTGAGTCGCGAAAGTGTTGCATCTCCAACGAGGTTGAATCCCCGCGGTGATGCCGAGTCGTCTCCGCAATACTATGATGAGCGACCCTTTGTAATCGAACGAAAGAATGAAGTATACACTGGTCCGACATCCGATGGGGAATTCATTTACAGCGTCACACTACCACGCCCCATTCTCCGCGACGAAAATGAAGTAAAAGTCGAACTTTGTATCGAAGATGGGACAGAACAAGTAGGATCAGTGCGATCAATTGAATGCGACCTCATTGAGCGTCGATCATTCAGATACGATTGCCCGTTCGATAACCTCCCGTCTTTTAAACCGGCCATGGAAGAATCCACTCTCACGAAACCGTCCATAAAGTATAAGCTCTCACAACACCAAATCATGCAGAAGCGACATTCTTTACCGTTTTTGCTTGATGTCACCGAAGCAGCACCGGATGTCTCTACGGAGACGTTGGCCATCTCTCACATTGTACGAATAGGGATTGAGTTTGAACCTGGTGGTGACGCAGTGAGTGCGCAAGACACGGGTGAAGAACGGGGACGAAGTATCTGGAGGGGCCATGCAATAGGCAAAAAAAAGAAGAGGCGACGCCTTGTTGTTGTGGAGATTCCTGCCCTGATTAGGGATGCGGTAGCCGTTGGACCTGTGGATGATGACATTGAAGTCGACGCGGTGGATATACCCGATACAGACCCACCCGAATTCAACATGTTTATAACACCCGCTACACCCGCCGCGGCCATTGTGCACTCCACACATACAACCGCATCAAACCCTTTTCTGCACGCTGCAGCTGCCGATGCGGAAAGTCTTTCTTCCGCCAGGTCTGCCGCCTTGTCTGGCTCGGGAGCACTCTCTGTGCCGTGTTTAGCACACACAGCGGAAAGGCAGAGAAGTAGGAGCCCTCTTAGGAGAATCGCTTTGCTTTGAATAGGGGTACGTCTGGCCAGGTTACAAGTATAATTTTCCTGTATATAGAATGAATTTATGAATAGAACTGTGTACATGAGCGACTTTTACCTTTTCCTCACTTGGCTGACGCTTGACACAATTATGTCGAGAATGAAGTCTACCATTCCTTGGTCATTAGCAGGCAGCGTCTTCGGCTTTAACGTTTCATACGGTCAGCAAAGACACTGACTGCATGAGCATTTATCAACGTCGATCACAGTGCTGGTTACTTGTCACTCACAAAAGCTTTCTTATAGAACATATATTGACTAGGACCACAAGCAAGTTTATGTACAATCACCATCAACATCATACTAAAAAAAAGCCTCTGCAATTTTCAAAATGTACAAATTGATTTCCCTTCCTCGACCTGCCATGTAGCGTTTTTTTTCATGCCCAAACAATCAAGAATCATCGCGGCATCCAAGAACAACAGCTAAGTACATAACGCATCACTCAAGTTTCCTTTGGATCGCTTTCTTGAAATAGGCTTTTTAAAATATTGTAAGTAATTAGATCTTGATTTCCAAAAACGTAAATAAACAAATGACTTTACCAGTAGTCTTTTGAGTATGATCATTTTTGATAAAGTACCTCGGCTCCTCAGGGGAAGCCCGAACATGACGACCGCCAATGTCGACTGGACAGGTCTCAATATCCTCAATCGTACCTGTCGTGGTCTGCATAGAACCTTCAACGGGATGATACTCAACCCGATCACCAATTTTGAGTTCAGCGCGGGTTTTCTCGATTTCGGAACCAGGTCTGGGTGTGCCTTTTCCGTGGTCTGTTTCCGTTGTGCAGGGGCCTTTGTGTTCGGCGTGGAGGGATGCTGCAGGGCGTTCGGTGGTTGCCATTTTTTTAAAAGAGATAAACTTTGTTGTTGTGAGGGGGCGTAGAGTGCGATGGATGGGTACTGGATGTGTGCTACTGGTTCGTGTAAAGTGGGCAAAGAAAGTTGGTTTTAAAGAATGGGATAAATTGGGTTTGAGTATTCTCATGTCCTTTTTAAATGTCCAACTCAGCTTTATGGTCATATAGGTCTTTTTTACTCCAAAAACTTGTGTGTGAGTTCATGATACGTAACGATCTCTTTGTGTTTTCTTTTACGAGATGGGATTCCCTGGTCTGAACCCCCCCCCCCCCCCCCCCCCCCCAAATTGGGAGGGGTGGGGGGGCTCCCGATGACTTTTTAGGGGCTTTGGAACCCCTATGAGCAAAACCTTTCCAAGAAAGGAATTTGAGTTCCCCACCTTGTCGAGATCGACTATTCTGACGAGAAATACAGAACCAAGGACCTTGATATCAAACAGTATAATTCTATCCTCACTCTTATAATCTAGTAGAGTAGCCATCTTTGCGTGTTGCCACACAAAGCGACTACTGCATGTTTGCAGGAAAATGAGCAACGAAGAACGGTGCTAATGCCTTCACAGATAAGGCATATTTCTATTAAAAGGGTCATTGACGCAGTAATGGTCACCTTTGAGAGAAGCGTGGACGTTGCAAAGTAAAACCAAATCACAGCCGTCGTAAAATCTTGCAGGCGAGAAGACTAGTTTGTCGCTGATCATGATAAACTCTAAAAGGGGCGGATCGACCTTGCCCGAACTTATTCAGCACAAAACTATATACACATAGGTCCTCAGTTTGTCAATGTCGTAGTCCCCTATCCAGTAATGTCCAAACACTTTTTCCTGGTGCACATTGAGATTTACCTCGCTAAACATCTCACGGATCTCGGTGCGTTGCAATTACCCCAAAACAAAGACTGTACATAGCAGAACAAAAACCATGCACAAGTCATAGCCGCAGAGCAAAAAGTACTTGTAATCCAGCACCTGATGACGATACAAAAAAAAAAGAGTTGCCACAGGTGCTCCGTTCACATGTCGCCCACTGTCAACTGATATTTAGTCAAGTAGTCGGGTTCGGATGTTCTAAACCGCGCAAATCCCCTTCATAACATCGACTCAACATCTGATTATCAGCACCATATCCCTGCTGTGCGTCCCATCACAAATACAATACATTTGACTCAAATATCCCGCTGGCTGATAACAAACACTGCTAATAAGTGTAGTAATGTAGAGAACGCCATATGAAGGAATTGGTTGCAACAGTTGCTCTGCATCTTACATAATGACAATTGTACGTAATAACGGGATGATGGAACTGGATTAAACAATACCGAATCCGAGATGATTTGGAATCCTAAAAAGTGCGCAGGTATTCCAAGAAAGGGAATGAGTGTCAAAAAGTGCAACGAAAGATGGGTTCACTCTACTGAGGGTGCGTCAAGAAAATGGTTTGGATTGAAAAGTCAATCAAAAGATTGTTATAGTGGCGGTTAAGGGAAACTTGTGTTTGAATTGAGACAAAAGGCTCGCTCTATCATAGTATTCGATGATACAATCACATCGGTAACAGACGTGAGCAAGAAATGATCATCACAAAATAGATTTGCTCAAACGTTCTCTTTCAACGGCGAGCTCCCTCCAAACCCACATTGCTTGTCCGATTCCGCCGTATTCACTCCTACTTGCAATCTCGTCATCATCATCATCATCACCTGATACTCCCAAGAAAACCAAGGCAAAAGACAAAGGTTTATCATCCCTGTGCACAAGGTAAGGAATGAACCAGCAAGATTACCAGAGCTCGGAAGCATGAAAAAGAAAAGCAAATGAAAATTCCATGTGAAGTGGCTAAAATAACGTAAAGACATATGCAAAAGGTGTGAGAAAACGAATTGCACAGCCAAAAAGAAAAACCAAACTGTTTTTCAATACCCCAATCTAAACATATGAATGAGCCCCCCCTTTGGGGAGACAAGGAGACAAGCCTTAAGGCGTTCTTGCTTGGTCGTCCACCTATAATCGAAAACAGCATTCTTACAATCGGAACTTTGGGGGAAGGAAAAAAAAAAAACACCTCAGCCATTAAATGTTGCAGGGTTCATTTTTGATCGTATTTGTCTCTTTTACCGGAGGCATTTACAATAAAACTCGCCAACAAAAGGGCGTTTTTATGTCACCCAGAGTCTGAAGATTGTGATGCAAGTAGGCATTTTAAAAAAAGGGATATTATGTGTAAAGGGATTAATATGACCTTAGCGTATCCCCCGCCCCACTTGGAAAAAAAAAAAACGGAGCCGGGTTGGATCTAAACGTCACGAACAGATCTTTATCCGTTCGCACCTGTCGATAATCTGAATGTGATTCCGACCATTTTTGGATGACCAGAGATACATAGTAGGGGACAGATATATTATAAATGAGATTTTGAAAAGGCGTAAAGGTTTGGTAAATAAAATGATTCAAAAGGCGGGATTGTTGACCATCCCTGTCTCACACCGACAAGAACTTAGATCGATCGGAGCGGAGCGAGATCTGCTAGAAAAAGGTCCAGCCAAATGTTCCAGCACCCACCCAACAACAAATCAACTTCACTCAGCAATCACCTCCCGTCTCCCTTCGTAAACCCCAACAAGGCGATCCCCCACAATTTCCAAGGCAGCCCGATTTCCGCCATACACGCTCGATATACCGACATCAATCACAAGGACTTGGTTCTTACATCGAGACAGGATTTCTCCGCGGAGTTGGGGTGTGTGGCCAATGACCATGCGATGAGCCTGTGATGCCAGTTAGAGGGGTAGATAAGACGGGGAGGAATAGTGTGCAATATACCTTGAGGGCGTTGAGGGCATTCTCGAGCGTTTTGCAGACAACGCGCTCGTCGTCTTGAGCGTAACCGCGGTACCAGAGGGGACCATCGCCTCCAAATAGTGGGACATGGTAGAGTTTGGAAGGGGGCAGGGTTTGGAGGTATGTTTGTGATTCGGTGTTGAGGGTGGGAATACCGTAGTGGGCCCACTTGGGGTGTAGGCTTATAGATCGAATTGAGTTGGTAAGAAAAAACGTCATGTAAACGGTTCCATGTAACAGAAAAGGACTTACCCGCCGTGAAGGAAAATGGTCCCATTCACATTGGCTACAATATCCCATGTTCGCAAATACTTTCCCAGCCATCCTAACAAGAGGGTATCAAGTAAGCCATCGACCATGGTGTATATGCACAAACAAAGGAACATTACCCTCCCGTCCCCAATCCCGCTTTCGTTGTTCCAACCCACCAAAACTCTCTATATCTTCTGGTGTAACATATCGATAGTCTTCCATCATGTTCATAACTTCGTGATTGCCTAAAAGGGGAATGACCTATGCAGGATATGAGGAATACAGTAATGTTTGTTGACTGCCAAAACGAGAGTCTTACCTTTCCACCAGCTGTGACAGCTTGTTCAGATAGATTCTGCATGAGCTTGTATAATCGGATAGTATCGGGTCCTCTGTCGACTATATCTCCCTAAATATCACAACCAATGCATCATTTATGTGCTTTTTAAAAAGAATGTTTTCAAACAAAAACGGTACGAACCGTTTGAACAAAAACCGTCCGTCCAGCAACCCATTCCCCTTTCCGGTTCGCGATCCCCGCCATTCGCAAAACCGCCAAAGCATTGGCATAATCTCCATGTAGATCCCCCACAGCAACGATCCGCAACGGTTCTTTCTGAATAGAGTCGTGGAGTGCGATCGGGACTGGAAACACGTTAAAATGGGCAAGAAGATGACTTGTGAGGTAGGCGAGGAATCCGCCTGTAAGGAGGAGGAGGATGGGTCGGAGTTTGGAGGGTGGAGGTACAGGTGTGGGACGGGGCTGTGGATTGGAACGAGGTGCTTTCCGTGGTGGCATTGTGATGCAAATACTGAAATGATTCACACCCTTTTCACAAACACGCACTCTGCGTGTTGATGACTGTGCCATTTATGGTTTGTTTATCTTCATGACGAAATTGTCTGCACTTGATATTTTAAACGACGGACAATCAAGTTCGAAAATGTATTCATTGTAGTTCATGCAGGTCCACTGGGAGCAGTACCAAAAAAAATGTATTGTGTGCACATTATTAATCTGTTATGACCAAGTCCACATCCTACGAAAAACTAACGAAAATACGTCTTTTCTTGGAAGCACACTGCAGAATCCCATCAAAGAAAAAAAAAAAAAAAGAAACACATAACAAAATAATCGCTTGAGGGCAATATATTACAAGAAGAAAAAAAAATAATAAAACCACACATGACGTGCGATGGGGGAAGACTCGTTTTTTGTGCAAAACCAGCCCATTCCCTCCATTTTTCAGTTTTTTTTTCCTCCTTCTTTTGTTCCAAACCACTATTTGTCCATGTAATCAACTATCCGACAACAAAAAAAAAAGAAAAAGACAGTTGTGCGCAACCCCATAATCGACTTTTCCTTAATACCACGCATGGGGTGCAGGCGGTACCTGCGCCCTTCCACTCCTCATTAAACCCTCTCTTTGTTGCTGTTGTTGCTGCTGCTGCATATGATGAATACCCTCGTACCTCTCTTCAAACCTCTCGTACACCCCTCTAGGAGTGTATTGATGATAATGGTCGGTTGCAGCAGGAGGTACAGAAGGTGTGTAATGGTACTCGTAGCTTGGATTCCGGATAGGCGACACCGGGACGCGAGTGGGCGTACGGGAGGGAGTCCGTTTCACAGACGTGCTATGATGCGTTCCGTCCAAGACAGTGAGTTTGGTGGGTGTGTGTGGTGCGTGGGAGTTTGTACTCCAGGACTGCGCTCTGTTACCTTGGTCCGACGAGCGGGTGTACGGATGAAAGGCAGAGTTGAGACGCGGCGGTGGAAGGTTGGGGGCGCTTGGTTGGTCATGAGAGATATCGTGAATGCCGGGGAGGGGGTATCGATCGTATGGCGGCATCTGTTGGGTTATCTCGCGGTTTGGATGGTAGGCTGGCAGCGGGGCACCCGTCACAAGACTGTCGATAGAGATGCGGGGAGCTGCGTGATTGGATGGAATGTCTGTTCTGTGAAGGCCATTCATACGAGGAGGATGCGGTCCCATCCAGGTATCCATAGAACTGCCTGTGGAGAGATGTGAGGCGATGCTGCTGCGCCGGTCGCCGACGGTGGATATGGGGCTGGGAAGAGGACTGTCGCCCATGCTGAGCGAAGCATAAGGGAGATGATCCAGCTCGGAGGCAGGGGAGGTGGCCAAATAAGTGGGTGATTGGATAAGGAGGGAGCTGGGAGCCACATGAACTCTTCTGACGGTTTCTTTCCCATTGTAAGTCGGTCTCCGCACTTGCTCGTTGGAGAGCCGCTTTGCCGAGCGGTTCATGTCATAGCCTGGCGGTGGTTGTGCAAAAGGCGGGTCTTTGGTATCATGATGGTCCTCTGTTTTGCGTTTGATGACTTTGCTGTTGACAGTGAAAACCTTGTGAGTGAGTGTGCTTATCAACAAACGATATGATGCAAGAGAAAAATGCTTACCGGCGCAATTTAGGTTCATTGCGAACTCGTAGTCGAACGCCTTGTTCAGCAAAGCACCGGCAAAGCGGCGTCGATTCTGTTGTTTCAGTATGCATTCTCGGTTAGTACTCAGAGGACGTGTAACAAAACTCTGTTGTGCATACCAGCCATTCCCGGGAACGATTTTCCATAGACATAAAACGGCTCCGTTAAACTCTTTGCGCGACAATGAACCGCACCTCTACAATGAAAGCAAAGCATTGGCCGCAATGATGAGGAATACCATTCTGCAGAGAGTGAACATAGGAATGGATCCCACTCACCCACTAATCTCAAATAAATTCAACATGAGTCTAAACCGCCCTTCAATCTTGACTCCCAAATTGCAAAAGACAAAAAAGGCTCCATCGACGTTCTCGTTATCCTTGAGCCGGGCCATGGAGGTTACGACAGTGCCATTGAGAAGATGCCGCCCGTTCTCATCCTCGCGGCCGACGACTTCTTCATCCTTTTCATGATGCCACAGAGTTGCATAACACATGTAATATGGATTGTGGAGGGTATCCCTGTTGTGATTTGCGCCGCGTTAGATGACATGTGTGGGAGACAGAAAACGCATTGGCCGGGCGGAGACTTACGAGTAGATGGTGCCAGTGTGCCGGTTGGCAACGTGCACTAGACAAAACAATTCAACAGCGGAACCCAAAAAAAAACGCGTCAGCAAAAGCAATCTCCAGTAGAGACAACAAAAGATAAACATTTTGTTTGGAAACTTACATTGCGCAACCGGCGGTGGGTCTAGCGGACGTCGATCTCCTGCAAAGAAGAAAACAACGTACGTTAGCGCGAGAACCAAGAGAACTAAAAATGTAAACAATGCATCTATAACGACGACGACGACCATCAATCTGTTTTTGGCAGTTTGTTCCAAATGGCCCAAATGGGGTGCTTTGGTATTTACCTCTATCGGTAAAGCCGCATGCTCGCGCGCGTTCCGGCTGTTGTCGAATAGTCAACTGGTGTTCTCTAGAATAACAAAAAGAAATAAAAAAAAAAAAAGAGAGATGGAACGAGTCCGTTAGCGTTGTGCGCGCGCACATCATGGAGGTGAGCGGAGTATATCTTTATATTCCAAGCACTTTTTCTCTTTTGTGTCTCTTTACCTCAAACTCAAGGGGGATTCGCTATTGAGATATTCCGTGTGCGGAACAAATGTATACGGCGTATTGTCGCTGACACTGGCCATTTTGCCGGGCTCCGGGTTCATTGCCAACAAACAACAACCGACGTATGTGTGTGTGTGTATGCGTGTTTAAACGATGCGCGCGTGTGTGTGTGTTGCGTAGAAACACCAACAAAGCGAGAGCGAGTCTGTGTGTGTGTGTGTGTGTGTGTGTGTGCGTTGCAAGTGCTATAAATCGCCGTGTCTCTTTTCCCCCGTCTGCGTGTGTATGTGTGTTTACGTCAAGGGTCCCTTTGTTGCCTGTCGGGAGGGGAGGGGGGCCTTGCAAGCTCTCGACCTTGTTTGCTCTACTCGACCTTGCTCGCCGTGTGTGTGTGTGTTGCCGTGGGGGTTGTGTGCCAAAAAGTGTGTTCCAAAGGTCGCCGTACGCCGAGGAAATGGCCTTCTAAAGGGGGAGAGAGAGGGAACGATGGACGAAGGTCTGGGTCTGGGTCCTGATACGAGTTTCTGGAACGCTTGCAACCTGGGGGTCAATTTTCAAGCAGTTTGTAGAAAATAAAAAAAGGGGGGGCCAAGTCTCCAGGCGGAAAAAGAAAAAAAATTATAAAAAACACTTTGAGAGAGAAGGAGGGGGAAAGCCGGAATCAAGCAAAGCGCAATGAAATCGTATGGGCCTTTTTGTCCGATGCAAAAGGGCTCTCGTATTTTTATAGCGCGCTTAACAGTATACGCAAACTTTATCGTGTTATTAGTGTGTGTAGTTTTGGGGCGTGTGTGCGATGGGGAGGGACGTAGGGGGGGGAGAGAAGGCGGCGGGGAGAAGAGGCAATTTGGGGAAAAGCCTCTTTCAAAAACTTTTAATTTCGTGGATTATAAGGGCAAAAGAGTTGCCAAAAAGCCGCAAACAATAAGACAAACGACGACGACGGACTTTTGGACAATACGCAGAGAGAGACTTGTGCATTTTAAACAGCCTTTCTGTGAAAGCATTTTCCTTCTGCCCTTGTCATAAGATGCGTGAGAATGGAAGCAGTTATCCTGTACAGTTATGCTGGGGAGGAGAAGAGTGTGTGCTGGGTGTGTATGGGTGTTGGGTGGATGGGGAAAAGGGCAAACCATTCCAGAGATTCGGTAAGGAGGGACAAAAGCGGGTCTCCGTTTTCTGCAGAGCCAAGTGTTCAAATCTCTCTTGGCTTGCAGCTTATGGCTGCTGCGACTGCTGCGGTGTTTGTGTTTTGTAGGTGGGCGAGTCCTGACCACATCCTCTCCTTTGGATCGTATAGATGGCGAGAGACAAGAAAAGAATCACTTTTTGCAATGCAATTTGCTGACAAAGCACATCTTGTTCCTATTCTTCTGGCAACTTGCTCTTTCAATATCACTCTCATTTGTCCCGTGGCCTCTCCCCTCAAATGGCTGACACAATGGGGACAAACAGGCAGAGTTTCTCCAATGGGAGATGATCACATCACCAAATCTCACATCACAATAACAACTGTGCCAACAGAAAAAAAGGGCGCTATTTCTCCAGGCTCGTTCTGGCCTTGGTCCCATTCATTTTTACCGCAGTGCCGAGGGTTCATTTTGCCAACAACACTTTTGTTTTTTTTCCTTGCTGAGGCTGCGACAGGCTGCCACAGGCTGCCACAGGCTGTCAGAGGGCTGCAAGAGTGATCCAATGTATCTAACGTGCGTTTTCATGTGCAATTGCCAAAAACACATGGCAAAGCAACAGGAAAGAAACCGACGAAAAGTGTCTCCCATCAGTCCCTTTTAACTTCCGTCGATTCATCCGAATCCATCAATCTGGTACCTTGGTAGAGCCCTGCAAATTTTATATCAACAACTGGGCGTTCACTAGCCGGCGGCATTTCACATCTTTGGGTTTGGTCAGATGACATGGACAGCCACAATGTCGGGACGACCGGAGGAGCGGAACAGAAACCAAGCAAAACGACATTCAGAAACAGACGACGACGACGAGCAGGAGGAAGATGAGTGACAAATGACAACCAATGACAAGATTTGGACACAATTGAGCAATCAGCCCAGGCAGAGCCAAGAACACACACACATACATACACACATACGACATGCATACGCAATGAATGGTCCCCCCCCCCCCCCCCCCCACAAAAAGGCATCAGGTAACAAAGGGTCAATATACGAAAATCCAGGGAAAAAAAGTAAAATCTCATACGTTTTTTTTTTTGGGGGGGGGGCTGTGTATGTAGTTGTGTTATAAAAAAAAAATAAAAACCTTTTAAACAGTCAAGCTTATTACAGCTTCCACTGCGAGATCAACGTTTGACAAATGCTTTGGTACGCAAGCGACGACCCCTTCTTCCTGCTCAGCTGCAACGCATGCATGTTGGTCCCTTTCAGACGGCAAATCTCAATTTCAAACGTAGATTGTGCCGTTGTGCAGTGAATCTTGTACCGATTGGTTTGATACTGCACTCGGTTGGTGTTGAGGACGCGCTCGATTTCCGATACGATTTCTTCGGGTGGTTTCATGGACGTCGTATCCGCGCCAAACGGCTTACTGGGTCGCGCAAGGCTTGCGGGTGACGACGTCTGGATCCGTAAATTCTCGGGTGTCGATGACGTTGGACTCGTGGCAGTTGTTGTTGATGGCCTCCGGGACCGGCTTTGGGAAGAGCCGCGGATTCTGTTGAGGGCGTTTGAAAAGGTTTCTGCAATCGAAGGTCGGCGCCTGATACGCCCTTCTTGTGGCGAATCAGTTGCTGCCGCGTGCTCAAAGTGTGGCTGATGCTTTTCGCCTTGTTGTTGTTGTTGTGAAACGGAAATGACTTCTGCGGCGGGCGCCCTGTTCTTGTCTTGTTTAATGTTGGGTAGCGACAGCCCTTCGGAATTCACCGTTTCTTGATCCGACCCAGCGGCGGTTAGCGACCCACGTGGAAGTGATGACGCTCGAGTCCCGCGCTGGTGAAGCGACTGCATCGACACGGGCGGAGGATGCTGAGACCGTGTCCGGCTATCCCGCGTCTCAGTTGCTGATGCCCTCCGCCGCAATTTTGTCGTTGTGCGCGGGGAATCAAAAGGGTTTTCCGTAGGTACCGCTGGTGGTGTCAACGTTGCCCGTAGGCCTTCTTGCCATGACTCTCGCCATTTGGCGCGTGTCGCACTAGCACGGCCTAGATTCAAGGTCAAATTGGAGGGTCGATGCCCGCCTGTTGGCGTTGTCGTCGTCGTCGGCGTAGTCGTTGCAGTCGCAGGGGCACTGGCTTGTCCACTGTCTGGCGAAGCATTGCTACTGACCGCCCCTTGAGGGATCATAGCGGTCGACTGAGAATCCGAAACTCGACTTCTGGACCCTGCGGGGGACTCTCGTGCTTCCCACACCTCTTGTTCAACGAGCAAGCAGTAGAGTGCCCAGGCTGCCCCGCGTTCCTTGGACCGCAGCGCCTTTTCCGCAACATTGGTTTCAATTCCGTACATGGGAAACTTTGCGATAATGTTTGGGTCTGGTTCAAGGATTTGGTTGGGACGCTCTGGAACGAGACATTGTGCTGGTCCCATGCTATCTTGCGTGACCCAGGGATGATGACGGATTTCTTGAATGGTTGCCCGTTTCGTCGCATCCACGGTCAACATGCGTCTAATGAGATCCGCACTCTCTATAAAGTGCCCAAAATATAGACGTCTCAGTTCATTGTTTACATTTTTAACCAAAAAGCCTCGCAAACGTCAAAGAACTTTACCAGCACTCATATATTGCGTCCTCGTCTCGTATTGCCCCGCCGCAATCTTTTTGTACAGTTCAGTTGTATTGGGATCCCGAAACGGTAGGTGACCGTTGAGCAATGCAAAGAGGATAACTCCCATACTCCAGACATCCACTTCCGGGCCCATGTATTGCTTGCCCATAATCATTTCTAAAAGACCAACCGAGTAAGGGCACATGGCTAGAGTAAAACACAGATGGAAGGGACTCCATACCTGGAGAAGCATAAAAGGGGGATCCACAAAAGGTGTTGAGCTGGTCGTTTCGATCGTAGAGTTTGACGAAACCAAAATCAATGATCTTGATATTGCGCTCATTGTCCAGTAAGAGATTTTCTGGCTTTAAATCTGTTTGTCATCCACAGATGCATTATTTTCATTCATCAGCCAAAAAAGACCTTCTCAAAAAAAGATAGCAATCAAACTAATGGTGAATCTTACCGCGATGAATAATGGAACTTTGGTGACAATACTCTAAAGCGCTCACAATCTGCCGAAATAACCTTCTCGCAATCTTTTCCTTGAGCCTCTTGTGGGCAACGATATAATCGAATAGTTCGCCTCCTTCCACGTATTCCATTGACAAGACAATCTCCTTCTCGGTCTCCATGACGTCGTAGAGTCTGGTAATATTGGGGTGATGCAAGAGACGCATGATTCGGACTTCACGTTTAAGGCGGGTGACGTGCGAGGTTTTTTTGAGGGAGGATTTTTGAATGATCTTGAGTGCAACCTGGCACAAGTATTGTCGATACGAGAGCAAATTTAGAATGAATGGAGAAAATCGTCATGAGCAAAATGATGGTCAAAAATGTGTTTTTTCAAACAATATCCAAATAGGAACCAAAAAAACTTACCATCCTATGAGTTGACAGATCTTGTGCCAGCTTGACTTTACCATAACTCCCCTCCCCCAAATGTCTCTTCACTTCAAACCTATCCAAAAATATTCCGGTAACGTCGTCAACATCCTCAACAGCAATACGCGGAGTTGTCGGCTCCGATTCGGTGGTCATGTTTGCTTCCAAAGACTGTTGATCCAACAAGGAAACAAATTGTATGACGGGTTTTGGTTTGTCTTTTGTATACTCTAGTGGTGAGTACTGTAGTCAGACTCGGGTAGACGACGGAGGAAGAGAAAGAGTGGCAGGTTCTTACCAGCAAAACACCGAAAAATCCAAACGTCACAAACACTAGGGGTGCGTACGAGGGTTTGAATCAAAGCGTACCAAGGCTTTGTATCCGACTCTCTTTGATTCTTCTCTGTCTTGCTTGTGGCCCGCCTTCTCAAACGTCTACTGGTAACTGAAGACAAACTTACAAGCGATACTTGTCAAGAAAAAAAACGGACTTTTAAAAAAAAAATCTGTGGGTTGCCCACTCCAATTACAAAGACTATCCTACAAAAAAAAATCCCTCAACCCGAGGTAAAACGTTCCCCAAGAAAAACAACACAACCCACACACACACTTTAGATATTGGCAAACTAGTATCCCATATTCTTTTTCTTCAACAACCCACAAATGGGACGAAAATACTCCGAATGAATGGTGGGGTGTTACGCGCCAATACAAGGGCAAAAAGGTATTTGCTTGGTAATGTCAGAGAAACAAACATTCACATTCCCACGTTCAGCAATAACAGTCCTTGGAGACACCTGACGTAGCATAATATGGTTACCCCCATTCATTGTATTGCAAGCTTTCCGTAGTACGGATCCATGTAAGATTCCCTTACAGTGGCAGTGCTATAATGCTATTCAAAAAAACTTTGATGAGATTAGATATATAACAAGGGGATTTGGCTGATGGGCTTTAAAAGATTCAATTCCCAAAAAAAATCTAGAACTTGCCCAAAATGTACTTGAAGAATCTAGCCTATATCCAAACGGCCTTTTCCCTACTCTACTTGCCTGATCTACATGGTGTGTTTTTTAATCAAGCACCCTCAAAGTATTACAAAAGCCATATTCAAACATTCAACAAGGGACAAAAGGGAAAACTTTGAATCCAAACCTCCGCTAAATACCCTAAACTCCGACCGCTTACGTATATGGCTGACAGAGCGCGCTCCGTTTTTTGTTGAGTTGATGATGTTTTTTTTTTCTGGACGAAGGGCGATTGGAAGGAACAAGGTATTGCAAATGTAATCAGATTTCCATGGCGAGATGTCATTAGTATTATGTTGAAAATGTGTGATGATGAGATGCCTCGTATACGGTAACTGAACCATGAAAGAAAATCTATATTGCACACTACAATAGACCCCATGTCATCAGGATAAAGTCAATACAATCAACCAAAAAAAACTACAAAACTACAGCTCAAAAATAATAACAGCTCAAATATCAATCCCTAATCCACTTTCCACACTCTGTACCAATGCCTCTATTTTCAATCCCGCCATAAGACACAGCCTCTCATCACGCCGCACATCCTCTTCTTCAACCCCCACCACGTGGATACCACGTCCAACATCCGCCAACAATTTACTGTACTGTTTGAGCCGGAGAAGAGGTCTCAACAAATGATGCCTCCATTCCCGTTCCGTCGAAATCGTAAGAACCGGATGCCGGTCTTTACCTTTAAAATTCGCCTGCATATGCTCTACAAACAATGTCCGATCCCGCGCGGTACTTTTAGAGCTTAAAATTCCAAGTCGATGAGGCGCGTCAGCGGTCGTGAGGACTGCGTAGGTAATATACGGCCTCGTTAACGCGCTAGAAAAGTGGAGAAAGGGGTGTCCGATTTTTAAAGATTCGAGTTCGGGATCTGCGGTGGGTGGGGGGATTGTTGCTCTTCGGAGAGCTGATAGTAAATCTTCGTGTAGGGAAAGCAGACTTTGCATGACGGTGTAGAGGGCAATGTAGTCGTTTGTTTCGTTTTGGAGGCGGGTCAGGTAGGTTTTGTCGTCTTCCCCCGCCAGACGTGCGAGTGAGGACGCGGGATCGATGGTAGGTGGTGGTGTGTTGGCGCTAGTAGCATCCGAATCCATTGAATCTGAGACTGTCCCATCTGAAAGGGTTTTGCGAACATGTCGAATATATGCCTTGCGCTCTTGAAGCAATGTTGCGCCATAAGAATTGATGACAGTTAGATTGTGTACATAGTGTTCCTGTTTTAGATATGGAGAGAATGGGTTATCAGCTAAAGCACAGTCTACCATAATAATGTACTTCAGAACATTTGCATACCTCACTCAAAACCAACTGCTTAATTCCTCCTTCCCTCTTTTTCCTCTTTATCAACTGCATTTTCATCAAAGCCTTTTTAGACACCTCTTCAAAATGTTCATCAGTAGTCACGTCTGTCGCTTCCGAAGGTGGGGGTGAAGCGGGCGGCGTTAAATTGTTGTTTGACACGGCACGAAACGAGTGATCATCGTAAGTTGACCCCGCATCACTTTTTTCAAGGTGGGTTTCATCGCGGGTAACAATCACTGTTGTGTCAGAGGAGTGGGAAGGGGTGCGTGTGTGGTTGATGTGGGATGAGGAGTCGGAAGCGGGAGGGGAAGTAGGTGTACTAGGACGCGGATCAGCCGACATGACACTAAGGTGTTTTTGGTATTTAAGAGCTAAAACGTCTTCGGAAAGTCCTGCATGATCAGAAGGTTCTGCTTCGTGTGTTGGTTGTTCTGTTTCTTGTACTTGAACGAGTGTATCAGTTGGAGCAGCAGGTCGACTCCATCGATACGCGTACATTGAATAAAGCGACTCCCCACTCGGCCGTCTGGACATTCGCTGCTCATCCCTCGCCATCATGCTATTGCTATTCGATCTAGACCGTGCTCGACTCCTTGATGCCCTTTTCGACCGTCTCCGACCATCCTCATCCTCCTCTTTGAGGATAATAACCGGTCCATCCCAACCCTGTCGTCTCGCCTGTCGTTCAAGTGCGCAAACGGTTCTCAAGACAGTCAACCCAGCCCGTCGACTCGGGTCCCCGTCGACACCCATCAAAATGTCCGCGACGGAAAAGAGGTACTTTGGTTTCACGCCCACCGTTTTGCATAATTCCAGAAAAAAGATAATTTTGTGTACAGTGAATTCGGGGCCTTTGGTCAAGAGTTGACATTGGGTTCTTGGGTAGAGTTTACAAGCTAAATGGCAGAGGACATCGCCGGTTTGGAGGAGTGTCATAATGTCCCCGGGTGCATCGGCCGGGAGGGATAGTGTACCACGTAACCATTCAACGACACGCGGACCGTACTCTTGGTAGATTTGGGCCGGCGTTTTTTGTCCAAGGGGACCCCCTGTAATTGCCAATGCCAGGATGATGAGCCGCTCATCCCGTGGTAAAATCAATGCACCGAAAACAAAATGTCGCTAACGTACCCAACACTGACATTCGCGCATCCTCTCGCCTTTTGGCCTCCTCATCTGCACCCACTGACCCACCTGCCGCCAAAATCGACAGATGAGCGGATAATCGAAAAGTCTGCTCCGAATTCAAGAGCTTCATAAACTCAATCTCCTTTGGCGATGGAGTTGATGTACCCGCCTAATGTATAACCCGGTAGCTATGAGTATCTATATCAACTGTCAAAAAAACAAACCAAGTTGAAACACACCTGTAATCCATCCCTCAACAAAATCTCCCTGTACGCAACAGACACCCTCTGCAAATGCCTGCGGAGATTGGTAACCCGTCTCGACACACGCCGTTCATCCATTTTGTTATCCACAGGTGACGCCGACCGCCCAGTACCCATCCCCTTTTTCATCTCATTCACCCGCTTTCGAGCACAATACCCTCTCCACACTTTTTGCAAAACAATCACAGCCGACCGTCGTCGTTTCATTTCCCCAAAATCTTCCAAAATCCTTTGACCACGCTCACTCAACGCCACTACCATCCCTGTTTCGCAGTCCCATATTTGAGCGTCCTTTGGTGAGAGACGGGCGGATGTGAGGTAATCCAGACATGACCCATGCAGTGTCGAAACAGGTGGAACCCTCCTGTCTATAAACCGAGCGTAGAATTCTGCGAGTGAAAGAGTGTTTTGCGGTGTGGTGGGTGATGATGGCTGGGATATATCATATGAGGCCGCATATGAAGCGCGGGGGTCGTAGGAAGCGTGGGGGTCATAGGATAGGTGGGGGTCGTAGTAGGATGGGACGTGGGATGTGTGAGGTGGATACGCTATGCCATTTGGATGGCTGTTGTACTGCTGCCCATCGTATCCGTTTGGATACGGGAGCATGCTGTATGTCGCTGGCCAACTGACGACGGACGACCGCGAGTCCATTAATGAATTTCGTTTTGCAGAAAAATATCAGATGGAAAGCGGTCTTGTTGTTTGAATAGCTACAAATATCGGCCCGCTAGAATTTTGGTGGGTGCCAATAATGTGTGCAGTAAACGTTGGTGGTGGTCGAAAAGTTTAAATTCCAGTCAATTTCATCTGTCTTCAAATCTTTTTCAATAAAAAAACAAGAGGTGTTCAATGTTTATGTTTTGGGAGGACAAGGTTGAAACTTGCTCGTTGACCCAACAAAGCTTTGTTCAACTCTTGTCCTTGTTGCTGGCCTTTGATGCAACCAACAAAAATAAAAAATCCTTTTGCGTTCAAGCAGTTGAGGCGCTTTTGAAGCCGTTTGTGTTCTCGTTTCACACTTGGTAGTTTGGCACGCGCATCGAATTTTGGAACACTTAGGTGATCAAAAAAAAGTGCACAACTATTCTGCAAAGAGCCCGATGCGGGGGTCGAACCCGCAACCTTGAGGTTAAGAGCCTCACGCTCTACCGATTGAGCTAACCGGGCATTGATTCTGGGAAGGCTAAGGTTTTTTATGTGTTTGCTCAATATTAAGAATCGGACGAGCCCAGTTACCATGGAGCACAATGCTCGCTTTCCTTCAGATCCAACCCAAGAGGAACCTCGTCTTTTTACACGACAACTTTTGCTAGATGCAAATCACCTTCCAGACGCTGCTCCTACCGTTGCCAAGATGAAGAACAAGAGAATATGGCGGCCATATCCAGATTACTGCATTATGTGTTCTTTGAGCGGCGACAATGTTGGAGTGAACGGTAAGACGTCCTAATGCATATGGCCGTGTTTTTGACTTTTGGCACTGACCGACGTCCATTTTTACTGCTGTAGCGTCATGTCGACAGTGCCGAAATGCACGGTCCATAAACAACCGTTCAGATCGCATTCTCAAGCGCCTGGCCGCCAAACACAAAACGACGAGCATCATCGAACAAAAAGAATGCCAAGGGAAAGACACAGTCCCATTACCATGCAGATAGCAAGATCCAGTCACCAGCTGGCGACAATCCCGAAACTCCTTGAGCAAAATGTGGAGGAGAGACCAGACATGACGCAAGGAGTAACACTTGACCTATGGAAGCAAGCTGTGCGTCATCCACCTGTAGAAGGGGAGTCTGACGAGGCCGTGCGGGCCAAATGGCGATATTATCAAACCCATATTCGGGGATCGGACGCTCTCAAAACCCTAGAAACGGATGATTTCCATCTGTTATTATCTCAACTCGGGATCGAGAGCGGTCCGACATTTTCAGAAAAGGCAGAGATCATTCTCGGAGATATGGAAAGTGCTGGTATTCCAATCGAGTCACGCATGTATGAAGTCTGGGCAGAGCATGCGGATATCATGTCGCTGGCGGACGCAGAGTCGTTTCTTAGTACCGTGTGGTGGTGCGGTTCGCCACAGTTGGTGTCAGACAACCTGTTTGCGACTCTGATTAGGATTTTGGGTGCGCAACAGAAGCGGGATGCGGCAATGGTTCTGTTTAATAAAGCAAAGGCCTCTGGTCGTGCCGGAAAGAAAACATATGTTGAGACGATCAAAACCGCGTGCTGGATGGACGCAATGAATCTGGCTCGTTCTTTGTGCGATGAGATGGAGGAGGAGATAAAGACTGTGATTACAGAAGATCTTTTGGCGAGTATGATATGGATATGTTCACGAAGAAATCGAAGGGATCCGTCCTCCGCCACCCAGATCTTTGATTGGGCAAAGCTCAAGAAAAAATGTGGAGTCAAGGTCTACGCAGAGATGATGTGGACCTTGTGTGCGGCAGATATGGTGGATGAAGCTGTGGAGCTATGTAAGGAAATGATTGTTGAAAAGAAGATTGCTCCGAATACCAAGATCTGCAATACACTCTTATGGGCATACCTCAAACGCAAAGAGGACGACATGGCCATGGATGTATTGAAACGAATGACGACCGCGGAAGTCACGCCAAACTCTATTACGTATGAAGGTGTCATTGTCGCCTTAGCCAAGCAGCGTGACGTGGACGGTGCCATGGAAGTTTTTCGACGAATGGAAGAGTCCCCAGGTGCGACGCCGACGACATATACCTATAACATCATCCTCAACATCCTGTTGAAGCATGGGCGGATGGCGGACGTAATGCAGCTATTGGAGAAGATGCCTAAAAGAGGAATAAAGGCCGATGCCATTACATATCGGACGTTGATACAGGGGCTGACAGTGAATGGACGAGCGGATGAGGCGCTGAAAGTGTTCCATTCAATGTTGAAAACAGGTATTGCCGGCGATGCACGAACCGCGGTTGTGGTTCTCAAGGCGTTTGTAGCTGCTGGCAGATTGGAGGACGCAATTGCATCCCTCAATCAAATGAAAGCTGGGAAATGGAAGATTAATTCCTGGGCAGTTACTGTGCTCATCCATGCCTATCTGAGAAGAGCAAGTTACGAAAATGCCTTTGAATTGCTAGATACCCTCGGTGACGGCATGCAACCAGATAGGGTCACGTACACTTGCTTCATTGATGCGTACGCCTCTCGGGGCGACATGGAAGGTGTATCGAGAATGATACGCGCCATGGATTCCCGACAAATCGAACCCGATACCCCGCTCTATAACGCGCTTATCGATGCACATGTGCAGCAAGGAAATAAAGATGAGGCGTTTCGATTATTCCGCGCAATGGTCGATCGTGATTTACGGCCTGATGTGCGGACTTACACGATGCTCGTGAAGGTGTGCGCTGATAGTGGAGCTGTTGAGGAGTGCGTCCGTCTGATTGAGGAGATGGAAGTGAGCGGAGTGTGGCCCAATGTCATGACATACACATGCCTTATTCTGGGACTGCTGAAAGCCGGTCAAGGCCAGAGGGTTGCGCAATGGTTTGAAAGGATGGTGAAAGCCAGCACCTCACAGTTGTTGATAACGATGAGGCCAACCAATGGCGAGAAAAAGACTCTAGTGAAGCACCCCAGCTTCACGGTGGATGGACAGGCATGTTCGACAGCACTGACGGGCTTGGTCCGTTTAAAGGATTTTGACAATTATGCCAAAGTCTTGCATTCGATCCATGATTGTGGCCTGCACGTAGATCCCAGCCACTATGTCTTTGCAATTGAAGCTCTTAAAGAATTGGGCCGACCTCGAAGGGCCGAAATGCTGTATCGGAGGATGCTTTCCGATGATATTCATGATCGAGCCGCTGTGCGGCGGGCTAGGAGTGCAGTATTGGCGGTCGTGGCCAAAAAGTACGGTGAAGATGGAGTCGAGGGCTTTCTGCGACGAGAACGATATGGCTGGAAGCATGTGCCTGTTGATGGGATTATCAAGGTTGAAGTTTAACGGAAAATTACAAGGTGAACGGATCTATTTCTCGCGAGAAGGCAGATCACCTGGGAAAAGGGGGGAATATCTGAGTGGATTGACTCTTAAGTGACTACGTTTTGTACAGGAGCATGTGGGTATTGGTAGAAGGCATCTTCCAATTGGGTTAGACTGCAAGCGCCTTTATTTTTATTCTAAACGTTTTTTTTATTTAAAATTAATTGGATACTCGCTTTGCATTGCTTGATACATCTTCCATCCCTGGCGTGTTGAACCTAGCTCGATGTGGTAGTAGGATGTACGGTAGTAGGGTGTACGGAATGGATTCCAGTAGCACCATATTTCCTGCACCACTGTGGCAGATGGCGATCAGTATCGAACACATAAAGGATCCTCATACCAATAACTCCTGTTCAATGAAAAATGGTCTTTGCCGGCACATCTGGAGGTTCATGATCATTAGCGATTCCTTGCACATCACCCCACGCCGTAAGGCATCGTTTGTCTGCAGGTGCTGCTGCCTAGGAAATTGCCACCCTCTGCATTCCTGATTTTGGTATTGGCCAATTTATTAAGAATTCGCAATGCACATGCCATCGTCACTGTTCTACTTCTACAATTGCGCTACATAACTGCACAACTCCCATGAAACTAGCAATTGAAAACTCCGTATTTACATGATATGTACGAGTGATACCCTTGTCATACGGATGAGATGTTCATTTTCGACAATTCTGTTGCAACGACATTCTCCAGATGCTATCAATGGAGCTACCAAAACTCCTAATTACAAAGAAAAGGGCACCTCCCTATGTACAAACCCACTCGGCGATTCCAGTTCCTCTTCATTCCAGATACTTTTCAACATAGGCCAAGTTGACCCTGCAACAGCCATACAGCTCCATCAAGGTTTCAACACTCCACAATCAGATATCACCACATCCTGTAGTGGCCGATCAGACATATTTGTCGGCACCGCTTCCATTGCCCGAAGTATATCCATGCCCTCTATAAGCATTCCAAATACGACATGCTCAGGGTCGAGCCAATTTGTAGCAGCGGCTGTTATAAAGAATTGGGAGCCTTGATGCAGAATGAGTTGTAACGCCAGCTTGTCAAACCTGAAAGTGGACAAAGGTAGGCCCCTTACCATTCGTATCTGGCCCCGCGTTCGCCATACTGAGCATGCCAGGGCCATCATGTTTAAAAATGAACCCCTCATCGGGGAATCGATCGCCGTATATTGACTTTCCTCCCCGTCTAGATATGGACGATCGAGTCAGTCATTGGTATATTGCTCGTTACCAACTGTCATTAAGAGTTCTCACCCATCACCACGCGTGATATCCCCACCCTGAACCATGAACCCTTTAATGATCCGGTGAAATTTGGAATTCTTGTATCCGAATCCTTTCTCGCCTGTTGCCAGTGCCCTGAAATTCTCTACGGTTTTTGGGAGAGCATTTCCAAAGAGACCTAGGGTTATTCTTCCCAGCTAGATTTCGCAAGATATGAAAATGAATTGGTTAACGTCCCATTACATTCTACAAATTAACGATTGTTTTTTGAGCCTATACGCACCTGCTTTTCTCCATGTGTAATATCAAAGAATACTGTATGAGTGATCTCCTTGGGATCCCCCGTGGGGCCCTCCATGGTCTCATTTTGTTTACCCTTGTGAACGATAGACTGTCGGAGCGGGGAAGACGAGTCGTGCTGGTGTTCTTCTCCATACATCTCTCGCCCTAGTTGACTCAGATCTTCCTTCGGGCCAGCCGGTAAAAGAACATACAGGAAAAGAGCAGACACTATGAGTGCAGCAAAGAGGACCGAGCGCCGTGAGCGAGCCATTTGTCTCAAGTCTTGATGCAGCATGAAATTTCCTTTGAATTTTCAAAACCCATTTGGATGAGCGTTTGGAATGCGACGAGCATCATTGACTCATTCCACGTGAATGGCACAGTCATGTAATTTGTGGCACTTGACAATATCATCAAAAGTGTTTGTTGCTTTGCATTGACAGATACAGGGCTGGGCTCGTAGAGGAAAGCTGCTGTTTGTTGAACGAGCAGGCTCCTTTCCATCTTTTGCTTGCTCATCGTTTGCCTCAGCCCCTCCTAGTATACCCCCCAGGAAAACAATTGTCTTTTGTCGCAGTAGCGAAATGGCCAACTCCTTTTTTGGCTTTGACACAACTCTTCCAGGTAGAGGGGATCCCAGGGCATTCCCTCAATCACGGCGTAATGATAGAGATACCTTTGGAGAAGAGTTGGGAGGAGCTTTGGAAGATGGAGATGGATTTGAGGGTTCGCGGTTAGACGAACTTATGGAACAGAAATTTGCTTATGGGGGCCCGCAAGATGTCGGATTGGAGGAATCAGAGGAAGCTGCCGGCGTCTCATTGGAGGATGACAATGCGGATTTGAATGATGAAACATTTGGAGCATCGGCGGCGCCAGAAACAATTGGTAGGTAGAAATGAGATGATTCCACTTTTATGTCGATATTTTTCAGACTTGGAAGCTTCCGGCTGACGTTCTCCATTGCCATCATTGCTTTTTTTAATAGGGACGGACTTTGACTTCTCGGCCAATAACGAATTGATGAGAGAAAGTGTTCCCTCACAACCAGATCTAGGTAGATATCTTCATGCCCATTGTGGAGCTTAATTTGAAGAGTGACTGACTGGCACCTCTCGGATGTAGATCGTTTGAATGGGCAAGGTTATCGAGATCACCCGCGTGCTTCCATGTCCTATCGTAATGACCAATGGGATGAACCATTACCGGGAGAAATGTCCAGGAGGCCATCGCAACTGGTAGGATGATCATTTTCTACCAGGACTATCTCAAGGTGTGGGAATGATTGACATTGTCACGCAAAAGAGCAGGGAAAATCTTGCAGAAATTTGGAACAAACCTCAAAGCGCTAGTTCTGGTTTGTATGAAACTCGATCAGGATACCACACACGTGCTTTTTTTGACACTCTATATCCTCTAGCAACAATGCGTAGACAACCACCGCCGCAGCCGTATGACAATCCCGCATTAGGGATACCACAGCGTCCGATGTCATTGGAGGAGATTGAGGCGCATATGTTGCGGAATGCGAGAACTGAGAACCGTCACCTGGAGGAGATTGAGGCACAGATGATGCGCAACGCTAGAGCGCACGGCCAAATGCACCCGCAAGGGTATGGTCCAACACAATCGGGTGTAGATAGACACATGATGAGCTTGGCTGAAGTAGAAGCCGCGTTACGGGCGCAACATGGACCCATTCCTCCCCAGCATATGCCAGCAAACCTTCACAACGCCATGACAATGGGTGGGATGCGCCCAGCAAGTCCGCGTGGACCGCAGATGGAACAGGCAGGTCAGATGCGGTCACAGAGCCCGCGGCCCCAACCAATGGACCAGGTCGGCGATGGGGGCTACCAGTATCGTGGCCAACGGGCTCCTGTGCAGCTTGGGCATTTCTTCCCTGCTCAGCATCGTGGACAGTTTGTGCACCAGAATCGACAAGGATACCCGCGAAATGATTACCAACAGCGGTATCAAAATGATCGTCGAGGGTTCCAGGATCGCCGTGTGGACAATCGGCCGCGCGAAGTGAGTTAATACTCGCCTGCTACTACACCATCCGTCTTCAGCTCATCAGACTGCATTATTTTTCAGGAGCGATACCGAGGCATTATGAATCAATATGAAAAGGAACTCATCGCCAAGATACAGATTTCCCAGCTTGTTACCGATGATCCATATCGCGATGATTTCTATTATAAAGTATACACGTCGCTCACAGCGGCCAATCAGCAGACGTCAGATGATCAGTCAAAAGCGGGCTTGAACTGGCAGCAGTCGCTGCTCATGGATCAAACACGGGGTGGCGGAGCAAATGTCACAAATCGCATGCAGCAGCAAATGCAGCGTTTAATTGAGGGAAGAAAGCAGAAACCAAAAGGGACCTCCTGTGAGTAATCGAACTCGCGTTGATTGCAACTGATGAGATCACCATTAACACCCCTTGGCAATTGTTTAGTGTCATTGGAGGGCGCATTGGGAAAGATCTCATTGAGTTCGGTTCGAAATCCCAGACAACTACTGCAAGTAAGCGGACCAAATTCGACCAAAGAAGCAAAGGTGTGTATTTGGCCGTCGGTCTTGGCAAACCTCTCAAACGGATGCTAACTGGTGGTATAAGGATTTACCTGCCCCGCAATCTGCGCGCCTCTCATCAAAGCAAATCTTGAAACGTATTGAGGCAGTTTACAGTGACGTGTTAGAGTTGGAAGTTTTGAAGCGAAAGGGCCCAGAAGAGGATAATGTTGACGAATGGAACTCCCAAATCGAACAATGCAGACAAAAAATGTGGGCCGATCTTGGAGTTGCCGAACCAGTTCCCCTCAACTTCCCGCATCCTTTCGCTGCTTTCCTTTCATTTGCAAAAGGCAAGAAGGTTGTACCCCGTGTCTTCCGCTTCTTGAATCGAGACCAAGGTTTGGCCCTTATCAGCACACTGCTTTCCCGTCTCGAAAGCATCGATGTGTGCAACGCTGCCTCATCGGAAGAAGTGGACATTTTCATGTCAAACGTAGTACCTACCGTGGTCTCCGTTATCATGGAGGTTCCTCTGTTTGTTGTCAATGCATGTGTGCGGATACTGTTGGAGCGTCATAACATGGTTTGGTTGGCGAGGAGCAAACCCGGGTTGGCATTCTTGACGATGTTTTTGAGTCGGGCGGAAATGTTGAAACAAGGTGGAGGAGTGGCTCAAGGGTTACCGCCAGCAAGCGAGCAAGAGTTGGCCATGTGGTACGTGTTACTCCCTCGTGTTGAGGCGTGCATTTCCTGTTGAACTGTGATTGTTGACTTGTGCTATTCAATTTTTAGGACCGACATTTACAATTTCCTGTTTGCATCTCTCCACAACAACTTTGCAAGCATTTTCCCGCCTCTTGGACCAAGCGCCACAGCGGCCGATGAAGTATATGTATGGCAATTCCTTGCTGCCATGGCCGTGGGTGCAACCACTGTTGATCATCAACGTGTACTGTTGACGGAAGTCAGGTGAGCGTCTGGACAATGTTTTGGTCACCTGTAGGGTTCCTTTCTGAGCAAACTGCGGTGGTAATAGGGATAAAGTGTTGGAAACCGCGAGGCGAACGGACGATGCCAAGGCTTTGGCAAACGTGAACTTGTTCCTGAATGCCTTGGGATTAGGCATTGATGCCGCGCAATTGGCCAACATGTCTCTGTAAAGAATTATTTCTACTGCGGCAGCAAGACGGGGCAGCGAGTTTGGACGACGGTTTAGGGTTAGGCCCCAAATGTTGACGGGCACCAGCGTTTGATACTTTATGACTGCGACGGAGGCTGCATATTACCTGTTATTTATGGGCTACTTTTCTTCGCTGTCTCTTGTGCGATAGGGGATTCATAAGAAAGCTTGATTTGGGGCGATTAGCATGTAGTTTTCCATATTGGCGTGTTAGCGCTTTTCGGACTGAAGAAGTCATTTGGATGGATTATTAAAAAGACTGGTCCTTTGGAAAGTGCTTTTGCTATGTCTTTAATTCTGCTTTGACTGTTTGGGGGACTCCCCCATGAGCTCAGCACAGTTAAGAAGAAATCCCAGATCGGTAGACATTATGATGGCTGTGCCTCCGATTAAATGCATTTAGCCAGGCTTGAAGCGTGAACCCCCATCAGCAAACGCAACTTTCCTCCCGTTGCTCTCGCAAATTGCCACGCAGTACTGCCTTAAAGTGCAGATCCTCCAGTTGCGGGCAGCTGCAAGAAGGAATCGTCTCACTATTCTCTTAACCCATGGATTGGGGGTAACTACCAGAGGGTCTGTATAATGGGGATGCTTCATCCTTTGGTATGATAGTGGTTTGTGTTGGGACTGGAATTGGATACGAAATGGTGGTTTAGTGATTGAGGGAAAGTAGACTGTCGAGAAGCATTTACGGATGCTGGAAGTCTGTTCAATTCGCCGTATCCCACCAGTTGCTGCAGGGAATTACTAATGTGTCGTCTTGAAAGATGAACGGTTGAAGTCTTGCTTGATCGTATGGAGTGTTTCCTCGCTTATAATTTATAAAGTTATTGCCTTGGGTGCATGAAATCCAAATGTCCAAATACAAATTGAAAACTGCCCCATGACAGCGCGAAAACAGACCATCGCACTTGCTCGATTATTCTAAACATATTTATTGACAGCCTACACAGTGTTTTCTACGGTCACAACAGAGACCGTATATCTTTCCAAAGGCGCCCTCCAAGAATGACAGACGATTTCACCCAAACAAAGAGAAGCCAACATAACGTGGCAATAAAGAGGATTGCTTTTCAGTTCCCCCTTACGATGTATTTTTCTTTTTATTTCTGGGGGTATCCACATCTACAGCCGCAATTCAGTGTTTCCATCGTTAGACCGCATAGGCCTTGTCATGAACGTGAGAGGAAGGCGGGGGAGATTGGGGGTGTGACAGAGGGTGGTGGTGATGATGATGGGGGTATCCTGCTTCCCTCACAAATGGAATGACGGTTGTGGCACCAGAGGCGGCTCCCACTGGTTGTTGAGACTGGTATGAGCCTGAACGGCCGATCTCCGGGCTGTGGAGAGCGTTGCTGTTGTTTTTTGGGGTGTTTGTGCGGGGGCTGCCACTGCTTAGGGGGTGCTCCAACTCCATTCTCGGGATATTGAGATGGGAGGAACTTGCGCCAGAGCTGGCAGAACCAGCTGCGGCAGCGGCGGCGGCAGCAGCAGCGGCGGCAGCGGCAGCCGCAGAGGACGAGGATGAGCCCGCCGTAGATCCCCACAAGGGGTTCCGATCTGATCCACTTCTGTGGTAGGTGTAATGTCCGCTAGCGTACTGAGCTTGAGTAGGGGCCTGAGGGGCCGGGAGATACCCTTTCAACCCACTCGAGACATGGGCGGGTTCGTATATGCCGGCTGGTGGCTGGGACCAGTGGCCATACCTGTAAGCCGGAGTGTGCTCCGGAGGAGGGTATGGAGAATATTGGTGGGGATGGTGATGAGGTGGTCGGTCATAGTCGTACGCGGCAGGGTATGGAGGCGGAAAGCGAACGTAGCCTTCGTGGGGTTCGTAAATGCTCCCGGTGCTGCCCCTTGATGACATGCTGAGGTGTCTTGGGTAGTAAGACGACGGACTGGTTTGTCGCACGTCCGGAACGGCTACACCTCGGGAGTCAACAACGAGACCAAGCTTACGTGCGTGTGCTCGGTAGTGAACCTAATGGTAGAGATGTTAGTCGGGTCCATCATCAACTGTACAGCTGCAGACAATTGCGCTGACCATCATGTTATCTCGTCTGGCAAAGCCCTTATTGCATTCGGGGAGTGGACAGCGATGAGGCTTAATTCCCATATGTAGTTTGACATGGCGAGACAAGTGCGCACTGAAACGATGCAGCACAAGTAAGTTAGCACATAAGAAGACTGCCCAAGATGTGGGAAGGATAGACAACGTATACCTAGTCGTAAAGGTCTTTCCGCAACCAGCAAATTTGCAAGTATGTTTCTGCACCCAACCTTTACCAGGATGATTTGTCTCCGAGGGCGTCGGCGGTTGTTCAGTTGCCGAGGTGGGTGTTGTAACAGCTGCCTCATTTCCCGCATCCGATATTGTCGTCGCATTGCTGGGCCTCCTCATCAAGTTGACATCAAGAGACACCTCCGAATCCGCCGAGGGGCGCGGAGGGGACATGGGGACGTTTGGGGTCTGTGTCCGGATGGAGAGTTCAGGATCAGATAGCGACATGCCGCCCATAACCGTTCGGGTGCGATAGGTAATACCGCCTGAATCACTGTTATGATCCTCAGGAGGGCCCGTACGCACCCCGCCGTTGTTTTCGGGATTCTGGGATTCGGCCCCTTGACGATAATGATGGACGCTCTCGGAAGTGTCCTGGGGAGACGTATTCACACCAGAGGCTTTGTCCGAGTGTTGTGTTTGTTGTTCTGCAGACGACCGCTGGTCCATGTCTGTGTATAGAGCTGCCTTTGATGTTTTGCGCTCGTTTAATAAACTTGTGATGGATAAGGGCTTAGCGGACTGGGGTGAGCGGTTGGCGGAGTTTGGGTCGGGGTCCACAATTTCGGATGACGAAGCGCGGTTTGTGGAAGTGGCGTATGGGGCTCGACGATTGTTGATTGGAGAATCAAAAGGTCTGGATTCACGCAGATGATGAGGGCGTTGAAAGGTCTGTGGGTAGCGATTGCAGTAGGAAAGTAAGAGGTCAAGTGTGAAAAAAGAGCGTTAGCTACACGCGATATCGAGACGAGTGCAATGTGTGCAGACGAGTAGCTTGGGTAAGCCTTACCTCCGACTCGTCGCGGTTCTGGTCGCGTCGCATAGTAGGCTTGTTGGTTGAAGGAGACGGGGAGGAATCGACAACCCCGGAAGAGAGAGGCAGATCGAACAAGAAACGAGAAAAGAAAAGAAGAGAGGTAGAAACTGCGACAAGCCAAAAAGAAAACAAGGTCCAGCCGTGACAGCACCAAAAACAGCAGGGTAGAATCCCAAAAAATCCAAAGGATGTCTCGCGGCTTTTTGCCGTAAGGTTGTCCGCTCCTTCCTTTTGCTTAAAACGAGAGACGGTTCGTGGGCGACCAAAATTCAGTGAAATAGAGCTGTTTCCCCTGAGCTCAGGTTCACGAGCAGAAGGGAGATACCTCTTGTTAAACAGCCTCGAAACCCTTGGCCCACTGCACAAAGCAAACAAAGCTTTGGATTTTGCACTGTTCTAATCATTCAAAAGACCCCTTTCAAAACCGAACCAAGAGAGGGCGTACCCAATGGGTCAGTCAGTCAGGGATCAAAGCTCGCGATTTTCGCTTCCAAATCGGATCGGAGCACGCCCAAACAACAGACGGATTTTTTTTTTTGAGCCAAAGAGTGTCTTATTTTTGCTCGAACTGTCAGCCGAGGAAGCTCGCGCCTGTGTGGTGTGTCAGCGTGTTCTCACCTCTCCATCGGACAAGCTGCTCAATACTTTATTGGAGAGCAATAACAGAACCAAACCACCACGCGCGTTAGTTTTTGATTGTCTAAACAGAAAGCTTCTTTGTCACCCAGCATTGACATTATCATATAATTGTTTGTTGAATGAAGCGCTTTCCCCTCGGTTTGACTAATGAATCGCCAGGGGCTGGTGGGGAATGCACCATCAAACACAAACAGTCGACGACTATTCATTGGTTGATTTTATTTTAGCTGAAGGGTGACCCGAATTGTCTCCAACGGTTTTTTAGGGAGAATGACATAAATACAGTTGCTATTTGACAGGTGTTTGGTTGCTTGTTTACGCTCTCGTTTTTTTTTTTCTTTGCCTAGATACCAACTCAACCTCTCGTTTGTGAAAATGGCTGTGCGCCTCCCCAATGCCTCGTCATGAAATGTCACCTTTTGTATTTGCAGAACCAAACAATACAGCAAAACAAATGGACCAATGGGCAAAGCTCAGGTACCCAGAGCAAAAGAATAACACACAGCGCGCACATAGCTTGGCGTAGTTTTTTCGTCCTTTGCTTTGCTGCCACACGAACTTTTTTTGATATTCAAGAAACTTGTCCCATATGCCAGGACTCGCCACAGAACCCAAAATCACCACACCTTTGGATCGTGGCCCAGACGGACCCAGGCACCGTCGGGCTTACATACGCTGTATCTCCAGTTTATCGAGCTTGGCCCTTCGCGTTCAAATAGGACTCCCATGGCTGAACCATGTTCATCCAAAACAGAAAATGGGCATTGAACGATCCCCATCCCTGATTGAAGTGATATACCCTTACATGAATGTCGCCCAATCAATAGGGACTGACCATGGACAATGGCGAGGTGATAAATCGCAATTGTCCACGGGTTATGCATTGTTATGAGCATAACTGTAATCTATATATTGTTTTAGCTTTCATTCTTTGCTTGAATCTGCATATGTTAGATTTGAGTTATTCAAAATCCAGGTTTTTAAGTAGGGAGGTTTTACAACATTCAGCTATTAGCATTCATTGATTTGAGGGTTTGCTTGCAATCAATATTCGTACTTATGCCAAAACATACCCTTTTCTAACTAAGTCCTGCCAAGCATCAGGAAAACAAAAAACACGACATCGGAGATTCTCGTCGCGTTTGGCTTACATGATCCAATCCCATCCAAATAAAGGTACATGGGTCGGCAAAGTGTTTTGCCGCCAAGATGCGCGCGTGACGCGTTTGCTTACCTTATATTTCCATGGTCTTTCGTAATCACTCCAGAAGGGTGTTCAGGTGGTTCACAAAAGATCTTGTCCGCTTCCGCGTTTTCCTTCCGTTGGGGATCAACCTTCTGAGGGGTTGACGGGTGTTTAATCGTTAGGGTGATCCAGTGGATCTCTTGCGTTCTCAAATCCCTCATACAAGTTCTTTTATTTTCAAAATGGCACTCTACGACCGGAACTTAACCCGTTTCCCGCATCCATCCCCTCACCTATCTCTCCTTGCCAAGAACCCGTCTCTCCGTTTTCTCCCCGACACAGATCTATGGTGGCCTAGTTACAGTTTCCGGCAAGAGACGGGGTTGTTTATTGGAGAGGACTTTTTTTATGGGAGTGGCAAGTTCCAGGTACGGTATTTTGTACCGAAAGGATGCGTGTTGATGAAGCCGGATGAGACCGAGGATGCCAATATGGAGATCTTGGAGATGAATGTCAAATTTTTGCCTGCGGATTGGAAGCGCAATGTGTTGGATGCGTATGTCGCGGCTGGACATTTACGGTTTATGGTCGGTTGCTTGCATTTCACGGCGGAAGTGGAGGGTCCCCCTGCGTTCGTGCATGGCGGAGCAACGTTCACGGCGTTTGATCAACTGTTGGGCGTATTGGTCCATTACTACAATCTGTACATTCCGCACATGACATTGACGCTGACGATCGATTATAAACGCCCAATGCCGCTGTCTGGAACGCAGTACTACAAGATATGGATTGAAAAAATTGAGGGGAAAAAGGTGTTTGTTGAGGGATATATATTCGATATGGACCTGTTGGAGAATGAGACAGAGTTGGATGTTGCAACGGCGGATTTTGAGAAAGTAAATGTGCCCCCTGCTTTGCGTCGAGCTGAAATTAGGGGGATTTTCTTTCGGATTGGAGAGTCGAATGGGAAAGATGGGTTGGCGTACTTGGAGGAGGAGAAAGGGCGAACCGCAAGGCCAAAATTATGAAAACAGACAACCTTTTCTCGGCGTAAGATGCTTGCTGACTTATGTAGAGCTTTTTTAGGAAACTTCTTATTAGATGATATTGAAGAATATACGATATGTCTAACTAATGAGTAGGAAATACTAATATCCTGTCCGGTTCTTTTTACGCATGCCATCATTTACTAACAACCCATTTACGATAATACCCAATTCAAATCTTTTGCGCCCTTACCCGATACACAACCTGTTTGGCGGTAACGTATGAATATTCATTATTAAACCTCAACACAAAGACCTCTCCAGTAGCTTCAATGGTTCCCTTTCCAGTCTCCAAACGCTCTTCCGGCCCAGCAGTATCCTTTTCTTCACCCGGGTTCTCAAACCCATATGAGAAGCCAATATCTTGTGCATAGGTGGTGAATTCGTACTGAAGGGTCGCGGAGGGCGTGACTGAGATCCGGATCGTTTCGCTTTTGCGGGCAGGAATGGCCACAGTTGTAATGGGTGTAACTTCCAAAGTATCTTTAACGGGCGCGAATCCCCCATATTGTTCTAGGATTTGGTCAATATCGATGCATTCCAACAGGGCAGCCCGGGATTTGGTTTTTCCAACCATGACAAACTTGCTTCGTGTCCGTTTGGATACGAGACCCCCAAAGACGTTAAACATGAATTCCATGACAAGAGGAACGCCCAAAAAGAACTTTTTTTCTAAAAATTCTGGGTAGTGCTCTTGAAAGATGTTGATGATTTGCTTGCTGGTTGCTTTGAGTCGCTTGTCAATGGACATGCCCACACCGGTATAATCATGAATTTGGGTCACAGTCTCGGCAGAGGTGGGTGAGGAGAAATCGAGCAGCGCAATCGCCCGTTCGTGGAGTTGAATTCTCCAACGAAGGAAACGTTCTGGGTGGTTTGCAACGTCGTCTTGGGAGATGGTACCGTAAAAGTTGTATGTAACGGGTGCGCCCTTTTTGTCGCGGCCGTGAATAGTTCCGAGGTCAGTGAGAGCTTGTGGGAATTCTTCCGTCAAGAGTGAGGACATGTTAAACTCTTTTCGCCACTGTTGATTCAGCAATTATTAAAGATGCTTATTTTCTTGTATGAAACTTTGGCATAGTACCTTGAGCGTCTTGACCAACATATCTGTCGCTTCAACCACTTTGAACTCTCTTGCGCGCAAAAACTTTAGCAATATCCTGCTCTGTGCTAGATCCAACTTGTCTGCAGTCGTGAGGCCGTACACTGGTACACCCCATAACTTTAACTACCGAGGAAACCATATTTGAATATTGGAATATTCATCATACACCATACCAAAACGACTTACATCTTGTTCTTCGAACCCCAACTTGCCCACTTCCTCTGCCACCGCCGTGCAAAAGGACTCTAAACCCGTCTTCTGCTCCTCTGTAAGGTTATCGTGATATCCCGTTTCTGCCATCTCAAAAAGTTCCGGTGAATGAAACAAAACGTAGATGCTTTTAAAAACCCAAGCCCACCAACACATGAGTAAAGGGATCTATCCATAGCATGACTGTGCCATCGTAGGTGTTCTGCGCACTTTCACGAGGCAAAAGCCCCAAACGAACTCGTGAAAATACTTGTATAAAGGGCACTTGTGGAGGGATGATGGCCTGATGGAGCGCTTATTCTGAATGAAATAGCATTCTGAAGGGATAGCATGCACGATGAAGGAATTGTCATATGTCAATCATTGTCACTTTAGGGGCACCCATAATCGATCATCGAAAAGGGTACGCAACAAACCTGGTCTCCCGCGCGCGGGGGTTGGTAGGCGGATCTCCAACGAGATCTTGTCGTTTTCAATGGTTCACTAAGAAAAGGGAGCAAATGCACAGGGTGCTCATCAAGTGTAGTTATGATAATCAATGTAGTATCTACCCTTTCTCTTAAAGTTAGACTGGAGATTGTACATTGTCGGTAGGTAATGATAGATCCTCTGGTCCCCGGTTGCCCCTCATCGAAAGTGAGACGAGCTGAATAGAGTAGAACCCTATCCGCAATGTGCATGAACGTTCAGCACCATCTTGAGTTGCAGTAATAGTTGGTTCTACAAGTATGAGGACGGCCCATTCGCCGGTACCCAAGAGTCACCCGACACAGCCTGCCACCAATTCCCATGCCAACTTCCATCTGAACTCTTCCACATCCAAAGATACATCATCCCCAATAAACTTTCTTATGAACAAACACAACCAGATCCCACAACTACTCCCATCTGTTTGTTGTGGACATTTGGCATGATGCGTACTGTATGATGGCAGGTTGCCCGTGGCTTTATCGGCATGTTCGGCGGCAAGGTATTTGAGTAGGGTGCGGAATTTGGGGGTAGGGTCATTGAGAAGGCTGTCATAGTATGTTATGGTGCGCGTGCTGTTGTCAATCGTGAGGAGACACCTAGTCGAGTATGAGGACAGTGAAAAATGCAAGAAAATAGAAGATGTATGTACCAATGACATCCAGTGTGAATCGGTATGACCACCTTGGTGAATCCATATATACCCTCTTTATAGCGTCTCGTCCAGCGTTTCACACGGGCATACCCATCTTTGGTAAGCGTGCTCCAAAAATACGTATTCAGGAAGAGGATGGTGGGGCGGAGGGGTGTGAGGAGGGTAAGGTACGTGTTGATTGTGTCAGAGGAGAGCCATGTTCGGGAAAGGAGGGCGCCAATGTCGGGATGCTCGGCAAAAGTGCTTTTCAAAAGAGATTTCTGGGATGCTGTTAGAGTTTTGGAGGAGAGCGGTGGGAGGGATGGAGTGGTCGTCTGGGTCGTCGGGAGAGGGTCCAAGGTGTCGGGCACCGTCGTCAAGTCGATCACATCTGTTTTTCAACAACGTTCATAAAAACCCTCGTTTTCCCTGTTCCCTATGGTCAACACAAAAGAAGCTTGCAACATACCCTCGCGTTCCGCTGGATGCAATGCATCTCGAGTCAATGACGACCTCCAACTCGACAAAAGGCATGCGACCTACACACCTGCTGCTTCAGGAGCACAGACCGAGAGATTTGTTAGGGCTGCGATGAGTGTGTCCATTTGTTGCTAATGTGCATGTCAAACAATTCCAGAATGACGGGGCAGAAAGGACGCGTGACCGTTCGCATCTGAGATGCAATGACCCTTCAGGAACTCAAATACAAAAACACATCCAAAAAAACAGGACAAAGGATACAAAGCAAGAATATATTTATACAAAGCGCCATGGTGCACATCCCAGCGTATATCCACACTCTCCTTCCCAGCCTACCCGTTGATAATATATCCTCCATTCGGGTGAAGCACCTAAACAAAAAATATCAGAACAGCACAAACGGAACCTTCAAGATAACTAGAACTTCACCTGTCCAGTATAGTAACTCGCCTCTTTGGATGCCAAAAAGACATATGAGGGACCCACTTCGGCTAGTTTGGCCAAAAACATATGAGTAGGGGGAACGCAAAGAACAAAGTTAGGAGAGTGGACGTACCCGGTTGACCCACTCGCCCCAGAGGCGGAACTTTTTCTTGAAAGCTTTCAACATTATCTTCCGGTCTGAAAATCCAAAGCCCGTAAGTAAAGTGTAAAATTTCTTTCAAAAAGGGTGCGGATTGAGATTTTTTACCTGGATGCAGGTTGAAGGGGTGTCCAAATGGGACCGGGTGCCACGGCGTTGACTCTGATGCCCTTTGGAGCGAGTTGGAGGGCAAGGGAGCGAGTAAACGATACGATGGCGCCCTAACAGAAACCTTATTATCCCCATAAACTGATAAAAATCGGAGTGCAAAAACGTACCTTTGTAGCAGAATAGTCCAACAAATGCGGGCTCCCCTTATAGGCCGTGACACTCGTAGTATTGATCACAGCACTCCCAGTACGCATGTGCTTAAGCGCCTCCCTCGTAATCCAAAACATGGAATAAATGTTTGTTTTAAAGGTTTGGTCCAGTTGGTCTGTGCTCAGTTCCGTGATGGATTCTTTCATATGTTGGACGGCGGCATTGTTGACGAGGATATCGAGGTGGCCGAATGTGTCGATAGTGGTTTGGACGAGGGAGACGCAGTCTTGCTCGCGAGAAACGTCTTTGGGCTGTTTTAAAAAAAGCATTACACATTTCATTGGCACATGAAGCTCATAGGCAACTACAGCAAACACGTACAATCAACAAACACTTTCTCCCAGCTTCCTCAACCGCTCTCCGCGTCACTTCCGCATCCTTTTGCTCTTTGGGTAAATAAACAACAGCAACATCCGCACCCTCCCTCGCAAACATGATGGAAACCGCACGCCCAATGCCTGAATCCCCACCGGTGACAATGGCGACCTTGTCCTTTAACTTTCCAATTCCCTTGTATTCTTCCAATCCGTCGCCCTCAAGGCCAGTATCAATGGGCCGCGGCGTCATTTCGTGTTGAAGCCCAGGTTGAGGGGCATGGGTTTGGGTTTGGGGCGGGATTTGACCTGGTTGAGGGTAAGTCGGTGTCGGCATTCTGTGGATCTTGGGAGCTGCAAAGTAGAATCGCTTGAAATTCCTCAAAAGATAAAATGTTTGTCTGTACTGTAGTCTGTAGTATGCCATTGAAGGGGAGCGAATAGGGTATTTTTATACCAATGGGCCTTTCAAGGTGCTGATGATGATGACGCGCAAGTGACGATCAAAACGAAATGCGTTATAATAACCAAAGTCCTCAAAGACAAAAATCCTTACATACAAATATCATCATGGTCCCTTTCAACCGTCTTTTTTTTTCTTACCGCCCGAACCTCCCCAAAGAGAGTTGCTTTGGTTAACGTAAAAGCCAACAAGAACAACGAGAGGTATTCCTCTAGAATTGCCAATTGGCTAATAAGATTATCGGCTTGGCATGGTGAGGTCCGGATCAGGGTCATTGCATGCCTACAAAGTGTGCAGAGAGATGCTTCGTCACATGGATATGCGGAAAACTTCAGAAATAAGAAAGAGGCAAAGTTCTTAGGACAAACACACTTGCTGGAATCATCAATAATCCTTTTCCATCCTACAACCGAAATGACATATGGTGTCCGTAAGACAGTGCAAGCAAACATTATCAGTATATTGTAATTCGTTAGTTTGTGTCGAAAGTGCACGGAGACTGCCATTATTTTTCGCTTGATTTTCATCCCCAAATCTAATTCAATAACTTGCAATTTCACTACAACATTCACGACACCCAATAAAAGCGACTAAATAACATCTATCTCATTCCCCCAGGAGGATGCGAAAACAGCCACTCTACAGCTGCTTCAACATTTCCATTTGTCAGTGTGAGAGCACGGACGTTTTCGGTTGCATCGAAAAAGCCCATTTCTTGAAGTTGACGGAGTTGGGTCGCAAATCGTTCTTCGGGGGGACGCGAATCTTGTGGTGCGAGTCCGGCAGCATTGGGGTTACCGCCCATGAGCATTTGGAGGAGAGCGGGGTTAAAGAGGGGAGCCGTAGTGGGGGTACCAGCGGTGCTGGTAGGAGTACCGGTGGGTGTACCGGCGGTAGGTTGGGGAGCAAACATGTTAAAGGGACTGGCACCTTGCTGCTGGCCCATTCCGCCCATACCGCCCATACCGCCCATGGCCGCCATCATGGGCCCCATTTGCATCATGGTGCGCATCATGTTTGGATCACTCATCATTTGCCTAAACTCTTGGCTGTTCATCATCTCGCGGACTTGAGGCGTCATCATGGATGAGAGGGCAGGGTTGGCCGCCGTGAGAGATTCGAGGATTTGCGGGTTGGACATGAGTTGGGAAATGGATTGGCTGACTGCTGGGTTGGAAAAGAGGGCACTCAACATGGATGGATCTAAACCAGCGCCTGCGCCCTGCCCGCCACCAAATGCCGCAAATGGGTTCGCTTCGGGTGCATCTCCACCAGCTGCTCCGGCCCCAAACATTGCGGCGAGCGGGTTGAAGGGAGGGACTCCCGCTGGGGCAGAGCGGGGTGGCTCGGTTGTGCCCGATGCAGCAGGTGTTGTTCCGGAGGCGGCAGTTGACGTTCCAGAAGGTGCTGCCGTCTTTGTTGATCCGCGCACCATATGAACCCTACAACAATGTCAATTCTTTTGCTATGATGCAAACCGCCTTTGCATGTGTAAGTACACAAGAAGAGCACTTACGTATTTCCTTCAGCCATCTTGTAAGTAGTCAAGAGATCTTCATCCTTCAAGACCTTTCCTGCAAAGATGAGTCTCTGCTGCGAGACTGGAACGTTGCCCGGTCCATCAGCCTGAATCTTTTCCTTGAGGGCGAGAACAGTGGATTCTGCGTCAATCGTAATGGAGAAGGCAGATTCGTTGGCTTGTTTGATTTTTATAGTAATCTCTGGCATGGTTTCTAATGTGATCAGCAAAATGGGAGGGTTGGGCAGTCCAAACTCTACAGCGCGCAGGGCGATCCAAGTCTCAAACGGCTAAAATGCGTCACGCTGACTAAGCATTGCTTCTGCCTGCTTCTATCAAGTCTTTTGTATTTTTCAATCATCCAGCGAGAGCATAGCGGAATGCATTGTTCCAAGGTATATCATGAAAGAAGAAGAAGAAGAAGAAGGATGTATGGAGAGGTGCACGCACAAGAGACGATAAATTGATGAGAACTGTCATCAATGGCTGTAAAATAACTGAAAGCATGCGGACAATGTTGCTTGTTGGGTATCGCCTAATTGCAGTATCATGAGGAAAGCAAAAGGCCCATGCAAGCTCCCGAGCCCACTGGAAACAGCGTCATGGCACTGCGCCAAAACTTTAACGGAGGAAATGCTGCGGCGCAGTCGAGTGACAATAATGACGACGACGACGACGACAACGACGACAACGACGACAACGACGACGATATCGACGATATCGACGATACCAAACAGACGACTTTTGTAGCATCATTGCCATGCCATGGCAAAATGTGTTGATGAGTGTTCTATCACGTTGGGCTGAAGCGTTGTCCGAATGCATCGGACACATTTGACGTCACGACGACAAGTGGCAGTGGTGTGCAGAGGAGCGAGTGAAAGTGTGCGCACAGATTGAAAGTCATCCCTTTGCAAACACACAGCCAAGTAACGCATCGTGCTGTGTTTTTATTGCAAAGGTGCTGTGTTTTGGGGATGACCTTCTTTTTGTTTTTGTTTTTTTGTCATGGCCAAATACACTGTACTGGTAGCATGAAGAAGACCCCATCATCTTCTGCAGGTTGGGTATCGATGGGATTCAACGTGATGCATTGCCAAAAAGGCAAGCTCCAAACAAAGAAGATCATCCCCCTCCTTCCTCAATCCTCCCCCTTTCAACCTTCTCCTCCTTTTCATTCATGCTCTCCTTTTGATTTTCTCATCGTTTTGACTCACTTTCTACGTAATCTAACTTTCCCACGCTCATAATAAACCTACGCGCAATTAAACGCGGGGTTTTTATTTTAGAACACTTTACTTTTTGTTCAAAACTCTCAACTTTTTGACATTTTAGCGTTATTGAACAAGAACCTCATACTGCCCAATATTTCTACACAGAGTTTCTACGACGACGCAAACCCAACTCCCGCAACTGTTAAAACACACACTCCACTGACATTGACGCCCGATTTTCAACGCTTTGGATTTGCGCCCCTTATGGGACGCTCCCACTTGCCTCTCGAAATATGGACACGCATCTTTAGTCTCTTGGACTCTTCTTCTCCCGCTGCATTCAGTCAGGCATGCAAGGCATTCTATCACATATCAATAGATCCTCACGCACGCGCGCAGTATCTCTTGAATCGCTATGGCAAACAACTGGCTTTGTATTCGGCTTTCAAGTGGAACAGAAGAGTCTTGTCGCCAAATGTTGGAAGATTGATGAGAAAGCGAGGTGCTGGTCTCCCTAGATTCTTGGTTCAGTGGGTTGACAAGGAGGTGAGTAGAAGCAAGCAACACATTGGGGTGAAGGAGGACCTTGAGGGACGATCGCGTAGAAATGATACGCGTGGGAAAATACCTGCCCTTGGGAAAATATCGAGAGATGGCCTGAAAGGATTTTGAAAAAGATGGAAATCATCGAGGAATGCTTCTGGGGAGACGACGATCGTTCTGGTGCTGCAAAAGAAGGAGAATAAAATAGCGTTCTGTTTGGTACACATTCTAAATGACCTTGTCGTTGTCATCGTCCTTTTGATGCAGTACCACAAAGCGGATCGAGGAAAGCGAGCCGTGTCCATTCCTCTGTACGTCTTTTTCATTCAAGAGGGATTTGAAATCTATGGAAGTGAAGCAGACTTTAAAGACGACGTAAGCCAGGCATTGTGCTCTTGTCGCTTATTTTGTGTTTTGACGGATCCCCCGCTCGGCGATAGGACGTGGCAAAGTTTGAACGATTGCTCTATAGCAGTACGACCACTTCCTCGACCGTTACTGCCACCGACGACGCCATTGCCTCTATCCGAACCCTCCTCGACGCCTATGCGTTTTGTCCCGTCAAGGGCCTCGGCTCTCCCGTGGACGAAACAGTCTTTCTGCTTTCCAAACTCGACGTGACCCTCATACCCAAACTCATTGCAAATGGTCTCGATTTAATGTCGGTCAATGACGCTGTCCTCGAACGAGTCCTCTGGCGCCAAGATCTTACGGATGTGTTCTTGCAAAAGTACCTCGACAATGGCTTTGCTTTAACACCCATGTGCATCAAGAAGGGCCTACAGACCTCTCGACCTTCCACGCTCGCCGTCCTCCAATCTCGCGTTTCAACCGCGCTACTCACTGAATGCGCTAAAGAGGCCCTCGTGGACATGTTGGGTCCCTCGTCAGGGCGAGCCTGGAATTGGGTACCTGAAAGTGCGGAATTTCTCATATCCACATTTAACATCTCTACCGACGTTATTGCACAAGCCCTCTATACCCACCCCGACGCACCTCGCCTGCCCAACGGCGGATGCCCCGAATTCCCCGCCACACGTTCCTATATGAAATCTAACCCATGCCCCGTCTGGCGCTGGATCCTCAAATCCTACGGTCCCCATCACCCGTTCACAAAAGCCTGTTTTGACGATGCTCTCAGTCGCGCTGCAGCCGATCGAGACCTCCACGCTCTCCACGACGAGTTTCTTCAATCTGGGGTACGCTTCTACCCCCGCCACGTTAAAATACTCGCATGCCGCCTCTTGCACCGAGACATGACTGCGAACGCCCTCCATCTGCTCCAAGTCCTCCGCGAGCAAATTACTGACGACCGCGACGCGGGGATCCTCACTGACGCTGAACGATCCGAATGGCTACACACACTCCGCGACGAAGTCGTTGAAAACGATGAATGGGCCCACCGGATGCGTACGACTCAGTTGGAAGGCGGCGCTCGAGGCGGTGCCTACCGTATCTCCCGGCCCCCAGAAGATGCACTTCGCTTTCTTGACGAGGCACGCGAGATGGTGCTAGATTTGATCCCACCTGTTCCTCCTATCCCGCGGGTCGACTGGAATACCGTTTCTGTCCATCCTGCGCGGAGACAATCGGTCAAAACATGGGTGAAGCGCATGGGGCTGTGGTGGAAGGAGCAGTGTGAACGGGGCGTGTGGGGTGTTGTTGATCATGTAGTTTAACGGGACACGTCATTTTTCTCTTCTATGCATTGACCGGCCGGCCTCGTTTCGAACGTGTCCTGAAGTGTGATGAACAGTCAGAGACGTTTTTGTTCTATGAAACCATGTGTTTGTATCGGACGCTATTGTATGAGACTGGTTTTGTCTACTGTACATACTCGTTTGTATGATTTACTTTTTGTTTCTTTACCTCATGGGTTGTGTATAGCGGACCGTTTTTATGGACAGTTGTAAATGCAAGGAAAAAAAGGGGGGATAGTGTAAAAGGAATGTACAGTTGTGAAAGAGTATAGTGGTTTAATAAAGTTTTTTTTCCGTATCCTTAAGGTGAATGTATGAGGTTTGTTTATTGAGCTGAATCCGCGGATAGTGTAGAGGTGACAGAAAATGGCACTAGCTACTACACCAGGGAATAAACCAGCGACAACCGGTTCGGAAAAGCTAACTAAGCTACTACTAGGCAATTATACACGCAATACATAACGGTTGGTTCTAACCGGATAATTGCCCACCACCACACGCGGCCCTACTGGGCCTTTGATCCAGAACTCTTGATGGCATTGAAGCCAGAGTCTTCGCAACATTGGGGAGACTCGCAAGCTGGAGGATGTTCAGTGACAAGGCTTGGAGACTAAAAAAACTGCATGTCAGCGAGGTGAATGACAGAATGACATGATGCCATTGGTACATACCAACCAAGCTCAACAAATGTGGCAGCATAATAGTAGGTTTGTTATCGGATCCGCTTGGTTGCCACTGGTTCTGATCACGGTTGCTGTCGGGCAGTCGAGGTCCTTGGCACCAGAGCAGTATTCTCATGGTGAACTTGAGACTTGTTGGGCAGATGCTTTGAGTCGAGGGATAAAGAAACAAGAGGAAAGAGACAGAAGGCCCCCCTTTTATAAACCTTTGGCATGCGCCTCACCGCAGTTTTAAAAAAAAACATTACATGCATGCCACACCAATCTGAGCGATAGATGGGGGTTCTGATTATGCGATATGATTAACCGGATTAATCCGGATAATAATGAGTCCTAGTGCCATTTTCAATCGCCTACTCAATATGCATTTCTGAACTATCCTTCTACCTAACAAGTGCATAAAGAATATTTACCGCACTGATTCACACCTCCCTACACGCCCGGGGCTTTTCCCCTTCATACGCCTCACATACACTCTTTACGAAATCCTCAACCGCATGCCCACCAGGACAATCATACCATTCACCTCCATCATGCGTACACCGGTGTTTTCCATTCACATGAACCGTACACGATCTCCTAAACAAATGTACAATTTAATATATACTTTTGTTAACGCACATAGACGAGGGGACTTACGAGACACCCCGCTCCTTCGCCACCTTCACATCCTTCCACGCCAATTCCCTTCCCTTGCTCTCCACACACCCCTCCAATTCCTCATACTCTACGCCAACAGCTCTCGCACACACCTCTGCACGCTCTCGATCCGGTATGGCGCGATAATCCCGATTGGTACACAATATGTAATTAAACCATATTTTTGGATCAGGGTGCAGGTGTCGTATGCAGAGTTGTTGGAGCGTGCCTTGACATTCTGATGGTCCGTGTTTACATGTTAAACCTGTTGACGACGTCGTATTGCGACTGGCAAGGTAGTGGGTCGTAAAATGGGTTATGGATGATACTTCAAGTACTAAAAAAAACTCTATTGTCAGTAGAGAATCCCCGATAAAGCAATAAACCGCACAAGACAGAACTTACAAACATTAGCAAAGACCCCTTCACAAAACACTGCATCTAACAAAATACTATCATGAATCCTCACTAACATAGTGTTCATTGTATGTAGAGTAAAACCTACCAGGGCACTTTGCCATAACAAACAGTTCCACATTCACCTTTTTGCCCAGCCCTTCCTCCTTCACCTCACCCAAAAACCCCCAAACCGAAAACGGGAGAACAGTATCCACAACCCTTGTTGCAGACCAATACACCATACATGCCGTTACGAATGTAACGAGGACCCAAAAATGGTTGGTGAGGAGCGAGGGAACACGGGGGGTTGTCGTTGGGAGTGGGAGCGAGTAGGAAGTGTATGTTCCGTAGGTTTTGTATTTTTGGACCATGGGCTTGGTGGGCTTGGTGGTGGGCATATTTTTACCACTTAGTGCCAGTCCAGAAAAGGTTTCTTGTTAATGTCGATGCAAAAAAGACAGTGTTTGGCGTTTATCGAGAACTCGATGGCGATATGATTACGTAATTGCATTTGTAAATGCATTTTGGAAATGCAGACTCGCTTGCATTTCAACCATTTGTTAACATACAGAATTTTAGAGCTCGCATATTCTTTTTATCTCTTTTTCATTCCTTGAATTATCCTCTCAGAACAAGTGGAACAAAAAGTGTTTAGTTCAAACATGTAACCCTCATGCGCCAAATCTACCCTCTTCATTACACATCTTGGATGCAGTGTCGGCAGGTGAGTCGTACCTAACCACTCTGCTTATATGGCCCAGAAAAGCGAATGCCCCAATCGTTCTGAATACCATGGCTTTTCAATGTTGGTCTGTATCGTGAGTTTGAAGAAGCATATTTATTGATTTTGGTCGGCTATAGTGTACACGATTTCGCCCGATCAACCGTCCCGGATCGAAAGGGAAAAGGTTGTACATAGCTGTATTGCTTGGGACAAACTTACTGAATCAGATTGGAGATATATTTTACAACTGTGCATAAACTGATCATATTTCCAAGATCTTCTCGACGTCCATGTACGTCAGAGAAGCAGTAGTTGAAATGCGGACATTCGACGGGGTTCGCTTTTTCATTCGCAATGTCAAATGCAACCACTCCCTCCCATTATGCTCCTCCAAAGCAGCCTCCGACGAACGATGTGGAGGGTTCCAAAGGATGTGGCTATTCACAAAGGATATGGCGGACCACTTTTTATATAGACAGTCAAAGAACCCATGTTACTGTAAAAACTGAGTGTCGGCCTCGTCCAAGATTCGGACATTCGGCACGTGACAAATTGGATCAGCACGTCCAAAAGATCAGCACCTCCAATACCCATCTCCTTGGATGCACGCAGATCTACACAGATATTACGGGAGCCGAATAGTCAGTCTAGTTGGATAAGGCGCAGACGTGCGACTCAACTCACGCGGTGTTCCACTGCCCCGTATGTGCGTGCTGGTCGGCTTGGACTGTAATTTGGGGGGTTGTGAGTAGCTACCTCCATCTTCAGATGGAGCTGACTGATTGTTCCCGAGGGCGTTAGAGAAAATCAAAGGGAGGGCCTCGGCGGGTGGAAGCGAGTGTGTGTGTTATGTTTTGGTCAAGATCAGACAGGTGCTTGATGACCTGTTCATCTTAGTTCCTCTAGCAAAAACATTCTGGGTATGCTCCCAATACAAGAAAATCAAATCGGTCATATTAATAATGAACAGCTATCCTGCATTGCGAAGACTCATTTATAATTCGGACCCAGCGGCAAGGTCTGTCTCGAGGTAGAGGTCCTGAAGAGCATTTTGCGGCAGGAGGTTTGTTCAGAGGGAAGGTTTTTTGCCTTGGTTCGTCATCATCGGAGTCCCATTGGATGTGCTCATGACAAAAAGGTGATTGGTCAAAGTTATGCTGCTGTTTTGTATTTTTTGCTGAATCATTTATTGGCTTTATTCGGCACTTGTATCCTTCATGGTCTTTGCTATCGGAAGAGCAGATATTATTGCCTGTGGAATTGCCTCAATACCAATAGTTGAGTGAACGGGACATGTGCGGCGTGGCGGAGTTAGGTCATCATCCACCTATAGTGGACTTTGTTAAAAACTATGTTTTGTCCAGCAAATATCTGGTTTTTAGGAACACATTGAGTGAATGGACTGTAGGTAAAAAGTCAAATGGGCATCGTCGAAATAAGCTCTTGTTGTTTTTAAGCGATTTGTGTGAATACTGTGTGTTGTTTGAGGTTTTTTTTTTATATATTCTATTCCGATCACCCGATGCACCTCTGCGATCCAATGTTTCCAAATAATGAACAATAAAACTTTAAAAATGGATGCTTTCATATCTTTCTACCCCATCTTGTAAAGTCTCCATTTCACCTTTTGATGAGGACTTCCAGTCTGTCACTTGTGTGTACGCACCTGGTCTCAAAACTGAAATCCCAGGGTGGAAACTGCGTACCAAATAGATAAGCATACGTTCATGTTATCGAGAGAGAAATAAAAAACACATACAGAGAGAACAAAACCAGCATTCGTTCAACATTCATATTTATCAACCCGCATGACAAGTCGCCCTCTGCGGGCCGGTCGCGATACGAAAAGGCAGAAAGGGCGGGGGTTGGTGTGTAGATTTTGGACACCGCTCGGGCCTTATTTGTATTTTCTCAAAAATAAGGACATGATATTTCATAAGAAGACTCTAAATCGGGTTTTGAATGTTCGGAAATCGTTACATGTATATATAAAGGGGGAGTTTGTTGGATACCGGTGGAACCTGGCTTTTTAATTTGGTTGTTCTCGATCCATTTCTTGTTTTTCAATAGTGAGGCATGATGGAGTGGAAGCAGTTTGATGGGCTTGGATTAATGGTTCGTTCTTCTGCGACATCTTGGGAGAATATCAATATGAGACTTTTTGATCATTTGCTGTGTATGCATTGGTTGTTTTTTCGTTCTTTTTGTTTTTTGTATTTTCCAGTTCGATTTTTTTTGTTGACATTTTCCATGCTAGTTATATCGGGTGACTATGTCAACGAACTCTTCAATGCTGCATACCTTACCCCCTCGTCACCCGACTACGACCCCATCCTCGACACCAACCCCTACACCATGACGGACCCATTTTTTCCTCCCCTCACCGATTTCATCCGTTTCCTCTGCTACCGCCTCCACTGCACGCTCGAATCCCTCACATTAAGCCTCTTTTATCTCCATCGACTCAAATCCCTTCACCCAATATGTCACGGATCGCCCGGAACGCCTCACAAACTCGTGTTATGCGCCTTAATGTGTGCATGCAAGATCCTCTACGACGATCACTATACAAATACAGTGTGGGCCAAGGCTTCTGAATTGTTTTCCTTGGAGCAGGTCAATAGGATGGAACGAGAGTTTCTGCAGTACATCGATCATGCTCTTTTCGTACCGCCTAAGGATTGGGATGCGTTTTTGGAAGAGATGGATGCGAGGTTGGGGAGGGCTCAGTTGGCCGTTTATGATGGGAGAAAGTGTCGAAGGGGGTTGAGGGATTTGGTTGGGATGGGTTCGTTGGAATGTTGTGGACGGGGTTGCCAGGATCGACATTTATTGCGGGCTTGTCCTGATGAAGTCGTGCCATCTTATTTATCAATGGCTGCTCATGCCTTGCCATTACCACCCCCCGAGCCTACACTATTGGCAACAACGTATCCAATTCTGCCGCCTGTACCTCACGCTTGGTTTACAATGCAATGTGCGTGACAAATTAGTAAACAAAGATATTAGATACCCGGGCACGAATGTGCCTCCATGATTCTTCAGTGACTTTTTACGTTCAGTTTTTTTCCCCATTTTCTTCTTGTTGGGGGTCTTTTATTCGTTTTCTGAAAACATATAGGAAACTTGCGAGTCCAGAGCGTGCAGCAATGTTTGCATCTGCTTGAGCGAGTCACGTAAACCTTGAAAAGCGCGCGGAGTTTTGTATTTGCGCAGCACTCTATCCTCTTGGCTCAATGTCCCAATCATCTAAAAATCCCATTCTGTCTCCCGCTCCATCCCGATTGCTCCGTCCTCAATGTACTAAAACACGAGTACACCAGACAAGCAGTACTTTTCAATGCCCCCACTTCTAAACGTACTGCAACTTTAGTAGGAGCAGCATGGCCTCCCGTCCCACAACTGCTTCAGCACGGCCGATTAGTGCCACCAGTAAAAAACCAGGCAAACATGTTGAGGATCTGCTTGTTTCTGATACTTTTACCCGCGAACTCCCCGCTGACCCCCTAACGCCCTTGGATGGACCCGCTTTAACTCAATCAAGCGGAGACGGCACAGACCAAGACGGAACACATCCCTCACTCCGAACACCTCGACCCGTTCGCAATGCATTTTTCTCCTTCCTGAGACCGGTGCCCTGTCCTGATGCGATCCTTATTGCGCATTCACCGCCTGCTTGTCAGATATTGGATTTGGACTCGGAGGAGGTCCATCGACCGCAGTTTACGAGCTATCTAACTGGGACGACGCTCCTACCTCGTGCGAAACCATGGGCAAAGAATTATGGGGGGCATCAGTTTGGGATTTATGCTGGGCAGTTGGGAGATGGGCGGTGTATATCACTTTGCGAAGTCGTTAATGCCAAGAAGGAACGATGGGATATACAGATTAAAGGATCTGGTATAACACCCTATTCGCGGTTTGGAGACGGTTGCGCCGTGTTTCGAAGCTGTCTGCGCGAGTTTCTCTGTTCAGAGTATATGGCTGCATTGGGTGTCCCCACCACAAGAGCTTTAGCCCTCTTTGCGACCAAAGCACCTGTTTACAGAGAAGATGTTGAACCCGGTGCAATGCTCGTCCGGTTGGCGCCCACCTGGATCCGTTTTGGCACATTTGAGCTCTTTCACTATCGAAATGAAAAGGAACGAGTCAAAGAATTGGCGGATTTTGTTGTAAAGCATCATTTTCCGGATCTCGAGTCTCCCGTGAAGGATGCTGATATGGATGATGAGGCGAAAACGGTTTCGGTAACTGGGTACAAGCACCCACCAACTCAGGAAAGCTTGACTACCATCGATGCACGAACCCAGACACCTTCAAAACCGGAAGGGCAGATCATTGAGTTTGAGCTGAACAAGTATGCAAGACTGTTCCAAAGAGTTATAAAGCGGACAGCTGTTTTAATTGCTCATTGGCAAGCTATTGGGTTTGTCCATGGAGTCTTGAATACGGTGGGTTTCTTCGCATTCAATATATATCGTTATCTTGATTGTGCTACAAACTTGACTTACGCTTTCTAATAGGACAACATGTCGATTCTAGGAATAACGTTGGATTATGGTCCGTTTGTAAGTGTCATGCAGTCTGCTTTGATAGAGAGTTACGTTTGCGGATAACAAAAGTATAATGGATGGGCATATATAGGGTTTCCTCGATGCATATGATCCGTACTGGTCTTCCAATGCTGCAGGTAACGGAACTGACTATTCACACTCGATAGCCAATGTGCATGATCCGTACCAACATCTCCATTCCTGTATCAGACAAGCAAGACCGCTACCGCTTTGAACACCAACCCAAAATCGCCATGTGGAATCTCAGCAAGCTCGGTCGAACTCTGGCGGAATTGATGACGCTGCAAAACGGTGCTCAGGGCAGTCTTGGATCCCGGAAAGGGCCAGACGAGAAACAAGAATTCCATGTGAAGGGTGAGGAGATTGTTCGAGAGCTGTTGAAAGAGTTTGAACCGAGTTTTGTGCAGCATTACACTGACCTGATGCGAAAGGTATGGTGTGCTCTCGTGGTGTTTTCAAACATGTTGAACATCAATGAAATAAAATCATGCTATGCGAACATGTGCCGCCGTCCAATAGAAACTCGGTTTTCAAAGCACCCAACCGACCGATTTGAATGCTCTTATCCTTCCCCTCCTCCAACTCCTTTCCGACGCCCAGGCCGACTACACAATCTTTTTCCGCGCCCTTTGCAACTTTCGATGCAGTGACGCAGGGTTTGCCTCCTGTACCGCCTGGGATCCTTCTCATCCCATCAACACCAAAAAAGCGACCACAGACTGCCTTATTCACCTCCTCACATCCACGGAAAGACTCCACCGGCTCGCAAACCAGGGCCTGCAGAGTGGGACCCCTGCTGCCAGCGTGAGCGATTTGGACGCGAGCATGACAGGTGCATTTGGTACCACCGATCGAAAAACCGAAGGACAACGCAAGTCAACGTCAGCCAAGCAACACATGGATGAAGATGAGCCGCCCACCCTGGAGGAAATCGCGACCCGATGGAAAGATTGGGCAACAAACTATCGATCCCGCCTCCTGTCAGATGCACCAAAGGCAACCCCAATGACCGGAAAGCCCCTTTCCGCTGATCTGGAAGATATACATCGCATGAACCGGATGAAAAAGGCTAACCCACGCTACGTTCTCCGGGGATGGATTGCGGAGGAAGTGATTGACAAGGTACAAAAACATGTGCCTGTTCTGGATGTGCCTGCTTTACCACAAGGTGCCAAGCCTGTTCGTCCGGTACCTCCAAAGCCCATCCAGACGGACGACGCGTTTTTAGAGATTGAACGCGTGCTGAGGGTGTTGGTGCAGGACCTGTGGGGTGACATTGCCGATTCAAATTCGGGATGGAGGGACGATGACGACCGGAATGCTGCGGAGAGGTGGGCAGGGCAAGTACCTGAGGTAACGTTGACGTCCCTTTCGTTTGTCCCAAAGGTTTTGGATCGATGGAATTTCTAATGTATTTTTTTTTTTTTGTTTTTCGTTTTGGGCTGGCGCTGGATAATAGTGGGCGTTAAATCTAGTTCAAACGACCATGTCTTGAGCTTTTTCAATATGCTTTGATTGTATATACTCTTTACTAGTTTGAATTCATCTCTTCCTTTCCCCATATGGGCCAATAGCATTTATTGTTATGGTTCTCGAGGATTGTTTTCATGGCCCTTGTTCCCTTTTCTTCCTGGAATTGGCTCCTATTGTTTTATTCATGACTCTGAAAATGAGTTTTATGCAAGAATTCTAAAAGAGCAACGAGCACGAGCTAACGGGAGGCAAAAGGACAACGTGGAGGGCTGAAATCTTTGAAAGTTCGGGTTTTTCTTGGCTTGCAATTGTTTTCTGAACTGGCTCATGCTTTCTTCCGTATTCTTCCGCGAAAGGGCCAAGACTGAACTTTTGTCATTGCATGTGGTCAATTGACAAAAAGTGTTTTTTTGCGTGCATCATCGGAGGTCTAAATTGGCACTCCCTACGTCTGCCTTTCCATCGATGGTGGCCCTTGCGTGATTTGCAGATTGATTTTTCTCCTCGACACGGGCGTTTTCTTGTTTACAGGCCGGGCGTTATTCGGGAATAGCCCGGAGGTTGTTTATAGTTCAGAATTCGTTAGATTGCGCGGTCCATTTGCGCAGAAAGATCCAGTACCAAGGGAAGGATTTTGTAGTGTTTTTTTTGGGGTCATTGTCCCCCCACATTGTCCAATTGGGACATGTCCAGCAGGAACGTAAGGCCATGTGTGTGCACATTGCCCATTTGCAAACGGAGAGCCTGACAATACGACCCAATTGCCCAAAAACTAACCGCCCATTTGGGCTCATGACACACACTCTTTTCTATGGGGGATAGCCGGGAGGCAATCATCCACCCCCCCAATTTCCTTCTTATCTATGCTTTGTCCGTTTTATACCAGCAACTCTTTTTAAATAGAAACCGTTTCCCAACGTAGACATGATGGGGCGTTCCGTACACAAACCCTAGGGACTCTTTGCAGCACAGCCCACAAAAGTGTAAAAAAAATGGCTCCTACGTATTGTTGTTGCCTGACACGGCAAAGGAAATTAAACCAGTAGAAATGCGACCCTCCTGACCACTGCCCCATTGCGCCAGACAGAGAAGCCCCCCAAAAAGGGCGAAATACAAAACCAACTCACAAAGGCACTTTGCCAAAGCCCAAGAGAGCCAAGAGGATCTCACCAGAGTGTTCCAAAAGGGTATTTCATGTCGGATGTGTGCATTGAATGGAACACTTTATTCCTCGTTTGCCACAGATTTTGGGATAAACAGGGGAAGCCGCGCTGTGCAACGGGACTGTTTACCGTTCCTTTCACACTTGCAGGCCGATCCGTGGGTTCACAAATCCGTTTGAGCGGAAGGTAAGGCCGCGCGCGGTGGGCGGAAGCGGGTGCTAGCTAAAGGATCGGAAGCGGGACCTAGTCTTAGGTTTTGATGTGTTTTGCATGTCAAACTCTACAAGTAACATTGTAATGTATTTTGGCGAAACACATGAGTGTCAAAAAAGAAAAATGCTAAAGTCATGCCAAGGACGTTGTTGAAAAAAAGGGCAAGATCCCATTTGGCACCACAACAACAAAAAAGTAACGCCCAAAAAGAATCTCTATGAAAGAAGATCATAACGCGCATTATTACAATGGCCGACCTGCATTGAAGGGGTTGCCATAAATAATAAACAAAAGAAAAGAAAGTCGAGGAAATTGAAATCCAAAAAAAAAACTGGGCGGAACATACCCAAAACAAAAAGTAAATAATAAAAAAAAACCGGAGGGGGAAGAAAAACTGGGTGTGCTCCCTCAAGTGCGCGCATGACGCGATGTGTCGCGATTCAAAGGTGTGAAGGTGTTCCATAAACAAAAACACAAAAGATGTCAGATCTTTTGGTTGAAAATGTCACTCTTTGAATGTGGAGAAAGCCAATAAGACGGATGGTGAGCTTGTCTTAATTGGATGAAAAAGGGTTTAGCGCTTAAAGTTCAACACTTGCGAGTTTCCTGTTCGTAAATATCCCCATCCGAAAAAAGGAATTGGAACACAAATTGAAAGTAGTCTGCGCAATTGTCGAACACAAAAGGCAGGGTCACCCCAACAAACCAACTTGTTCACTTCTGTGACCTTGATTTGTTGGGTCTTGAGTGTTTCCTTTCTATTGGGGAGTTGTTTAGTGTAGAGCAGTGTTCTTACGTTGTAAGCTGGCGACAAGTTGCTAGTTGTCATTTATTTTGTTGTGTTATTTTGTTTTATTTCTTTTTTTTTTTTTGTTGGGAACACCTTTGTACGTCTCTCGCTCTCTCTCGCTCTCTCTCTCTCCCGCTTTCTCTACCGTTTGCTTCTTGGCGAATGTTTTGCTTTTAAAGCAGGCAACATATACCCCTCACACGCAAAAAGACCCCTTCTCCCAGCTTATCGCCGGACGACAATTTTGGTTATCGGTAGCTTGTTGAGTTTTCCAAACTCTCGACCGCCCCGACCCCCATCATTCTGTTTTCGCTCTTCCTTGCTCATGGCTCTGACCTTGTCAGTCTCTCGCTTTTCTGCCGAAGGTACCACCTTCGACTGTGTGGGCGCATCCCCAATGTCTGCCTCTGGAAACTACCCAACACCAGGCATGTTACATTGGCAGTCGCAAGGATGTTGGGGGCCCTCGGGGATCATCACAACTACCACAGCGGCGTCAACAGGGACAACGAATACGTCAGGAGCAGGTTATCCGTACTCTACGTCACCTGTAGAGTTTGAGTTTCCCACTCAAACTATGGATCATTCGCCATCCGACGCGTGGAACCCATCGTTCAGTATTCCCACTTTGGCAGCAGATTTGTCACCAACGCCCATTCCCGAGCCTACTTATGGAGTCGATCTCCAGGACACGGGAATCTTTATAGACAGCATGTTCTTTCACCATGACACGGCCAATGTCAAGTCTGCAGCTGTCGATATGTGTGCCATCCTTGCCGATACGGACGCCGAGGTCCAGAGTCCTGACGAACTCTCCAAGGATCAGGCCTATGTCGATCATGCGGACTGGACACGATCCGGGGTACCTCCATCCCCCATTCACTTGGATAAACGGGGGATTGGGGAGCAGACACTCGACATGGACCCTTGGGAAATACCTTCAGAGCATCAGATACCCTTTACCCCCAACGGTCTTCACCCTCAAAACTCCCCACCTTTCAATCCAGTGTACAGCGCACCTCGGTACATGTATACGATGCCACCTGCATCCGCCCCGCCCTTGCATTCACCATCAGCAACATCGCCACCTATCCAATCCCTCCCGATCCTCGTCCCAACAGCCCGAAACCCGGTCTTTGCGCCCTCTTCTTCACCCTCAGACATTGGTTCCATCCCCTCTGCCCCAACCTCTCCACCCGTCTGCACAAATTGCGGAACAAGTCATACATCCCTCTGGCGACGCGACAAGACATCTGGCCGCAAACTATGCAATGCGTGCAAACTATTTAGCGATCTGCATGGCGTGATGAGACCAGAGAGTTTATGGAAAACTGGCTTTGTCAAGCGACGAAGGCGAAATGGATCGGGTGATTCTGATACGCTGGCACGTAAAAGGGGAGCTGGGGCTGGAAAGCGGAAAGTGATGGTACCTAGTCTTGTAAGAGATGTGAGGCTAGCAGATTTTGGCATGACACCAGGTGTGTCGTAACGGCATTCATGTTTAATATTATATTTGTTTGGTCCACTATCATTACCACTGCTCTGGAGATTCTACCTGTGCAGTTTCCATTCAAATGTCTGATTCACATGTGCATGCTAGTGGTTAAACATGGTTGTCATATCCTTTTCAGCTGCCCCATAGCTCTTTCGTTTGTCATTTCAGTTCACAGCTAGTGGCAGCGGAGATTCAAAAGCGTTCCTTCTCGTAATAATCCGGATTAGTCAAGTTCGAACCATGTCCTACTGGATGCGGTTTATTTGGCACCTTTGAACCTTGGACGGTTTGGGGGCTGTTTGTGTGTATTTCTTCAAACAACAAATATCAAGCCTCCAAAGAGCGGTTACGAAAATGACGAGAGTTGGTGTGCCTTTGGATCAGGTGGTGGGCAACTACGATGCCTGCAAAGGTTGACAGCGGGCGACACTCTGCCATGGATGTCAACTTTTGTGCGTTTTGGAAGGTCCTTGGCCGTCCGGTCACCATGCCTGTGTCTTCATAAAAGGAGGCTATGCTTCCGAGCAAGTCATATGCGGGTTTAGGGAATAGGGGATGTTCCCCCCCCCCCCCCCATGACAAAAATCATCTGAAACACCGCTGATATGGATATGTGACGTTGAGCACCAGATGTGACTTTGTGATATCGATTAAAAGTACTTTGTAGCTAGCTCCTTATGCCGATCTCGCGTGGTCAAGGCATGTGCACATCTCCATAGCAAGTATCCATCTTTGTTCACAAAAGGGAAAACGAAGCACGAGAAACCCCTCGTTCAAAATGTTGGCAACAGCAAAACGGTGAAATTCGTACACAGAGTTACAAAATGTGTCATCAATTCAAGCCAGCAGCTATCATCTCGTCAATCTCCATTCTTTCTTGGGTTAAAGCGCATGGGGTACATAGCAGGTGGCAGCAGCAGTCACCGCAGCTGTCGCCCTACCACGTGCAGAGATAAAAATAACCCGTCAGGTATGGCTTTTTAAGTCGGAATAAAAGGGTTGACAATAAGCCTTACCCGAATGTTATACTTTGCCCGAATTGTTGTTCGACCGCCACCCCCAACGCAAGAGTAAAGACCAAAGCAAGATGTTAGGGCGTACATAATACAGTCCTATTAACAAAGAAAAGCGATCAACATTTCCAACAAATATATGTTTCGGTTTTCGCTTTTTAGTAAAACTCACCCCAACCCAGCTTGAACGTCTACTCAGATCTTTCTTGTTCATTCCGTACACGACACATGGACAACAACATGCAAGGGCACAGATACCGCAGTTGCCGAAGCAATCAAAAATGGAATGATTCCAGTCCTTGGGTGGGCGGTGAACCGCTTGTGATACGACAACGACCTAATAACAAAAAGATGTCAGTATATCGAAAGTAGGTAGTCATCAATTTAGGGTGACTGGACTCTCTAATTATGGATCCATATTTAGAAAGCCCAATACAAACAGCAGTGAAAACCTACATTCGTGGTTGGGAGTGCGGTGACAACTCCAACCTGGGTCATAGCAGGTTGGGCAGTATAGATCGGCTAATCATATTCGGACGATCAGATCAAATCTTGAAAAAAAAGACCTTTGCTATCTTTTGGGCTGCCTTTAATGAAAGATGGGATACCTACTTGTGGGACATAGTTCGGCTGCGGAGTGGCATACACGGTCTGCTGCTGGATAGGCTGAGAATAAGCTGGTGGGTACACCTGCGGTTGACCGTAGGCTTGTGGAGGGGCTTGAGGAGCATACATGATACAAATGCGATTTGGAACTTTTCTTCGAGAGAGCAAATGAGTTTGTCGATGACCCATACCCTCTCCCTCCAATTAACTTTATGAATATGAAGTTCTCGAATGCATCGGAATCAGGTAAGCGAGGCGCGCTTCGTCAAACTCCGCTTTTTTTCTGCTCGAAGAGAGCGTTCGGTATTTTCTACAACCTGATGGACTACCAGATAGCGAGTATCAACCTATGAATATCATCAACCGTGAATAGGATTCTGGTGGATTGATGAACTTTTCATGATCAATCGGCGGAAGCAATGTTAAATTGCCTCCATCGTCTTGATCTTCTCGTAGAACTTGACCAGGGAGGCACTGAGACAAACACTTTCAGGTGTCAAAGGACGCAATCAAGGACGCCAGCAAAGAACGCCAAAAGAAAAATGGGTAATTGCACGTAATGGAACCGCAATCTAACGATTCTGCGCTAGTTCATCTCTTGACTTTGCCGAAAAGAGGTTTTGTACACGACGCCCAGGGAGCGCAGACCGTACCAAATCAAGTCGAGTGTGAACAATGACCTTGCAAGGTTCACAGGTTCAGCATTCTCGTTCCATGCAAATTCAAGTACAAAAAGTCGAAAACGAGCTCGCAGAAAGCGTCAGCAATATCAAGCCCCCGATGCTGTGCTGACAAGAACTTGCGCTGAACAGAAGCAAACGAAGAATGTAATACTGGAATGTTTGGTTCTCGGTACCGAATACTTTTCCATTCATTAGAATCAAATTTTACGTGGAATTTATTAATGAATAAAATTTCTTTGAAATTCTTTGTTACCGGGTGCTCGGAATGGAGTGTCGGACTCTTTCGGACAACATGCAAATCACGCTTTTGGAGGGCTGGAAATTTCACACTTTTTGTGGTCCCCATCCTCGTTAAAAGCGGACTTGGCTGCAAACGGCTTTAGATTTTGGGGCAATCTTCCAAATGCGTGCAGTTTTAGCGGGTCCTTGTTGGTGGGAGGTGAATGCTCCTTATGCATTGTCCTCTCCTTTTAGGTTGGAAAGACGCTTGTAAACCGTTGTTTATTGAAAATTGATTGAAATTCGTAATGAATGGACGCACACACGTCGGGCCAAGAAGAGGGAACTAGACTTGCATAAAACAAGGGTTTAAGAAAAAGCGCAGTCAGAGCGGAAAAGAATGAGGGCAAGATTATTCAGCAGCACGCATTTGCCCCCCGCAACAATCTCTGATCCCCGCTCCCCTCCCCTCCCCCGCACACCCGCACACACACACACAACACACACAGATAGACGTATACACACACGCACACACACACACACAAGGGCAAAATTCAAAGAAAAAAAACGGAGAAGGGCGGACGGGAGATGGAAGGTGGAAATTACACGCAATTGGCAACCTTTAACAAAATATTATCCTTCTCCTGTCCCAAAACTCTCCCTTCTTCCTCATATCAACAAGTTTTTCACTTTTATTTCCAACGCTTTCATAGCGTGGCAATAAGAGGGGGAGAGCACACTGTGGTTGGTAGAGGTTGTTGTTTTCCGCCTCCGGGTGCAACCGGTCGTCTATATCTCTCGGGGTGTATGGTCTAGACACACGCACACTGCTTGTCGTTCTTGGTCCTCGGGGATTTTTTTCCCGTTATTCATATTAAACGATAACAAGAGCTCTCTTTCCTCCCTACAAAACCACAAACCTTGGACAGAGTGAATTCACTGAATTCAACGTGCCGCCATTGTCTTGACACTTTATTGGAATCTTCCATTCTCCGCCCGCCATTGCGCACGCTGCTGTGGCAGTTTCTTTTGACTCGGAAAACATGGCCGTACCTTCTGTCATGCATACTCAAGCATGTCACTCTAGCGGATATTGTGTACCACAGTGCAAAGTTTCCCACTCGGCCAACACAGCACTGTCTCTCTCCTCGGCTCCGCCCCCGGTCAACGGCGTAGTAACCTTCACCGCAAACGACCATTATACCATGCCACCGGCAGTAACGTCAACTCGTCCTCGCAGTCATATTCCAATACCTGTCAACTCATCCATATCCCGCAGGTGTGTATACTTTCTGGTTCTGGCGTAGACATTAGCGTATTTGCTGACTCCATGCTATCTTGATATATAACAGCTCCGACATCCCAGCCAGTTCTAGCACACTTGGTCCTTTTGTACCTGTCAGTGCCAGTAATCCTTTCGAGTTTTCTGCCATGCTCATCCCACGAGAACAATGTCATCAATCCCCATCCCCACCCGCAACATCCACTCGATCTGAGCGCTGGCTGCTGTCAAGCAACAGAGACCTAGCGCGGCTCGCTGTTCTCATTGTCACTTTGCTCTGCGAACCGGAAGGGATACCTTGCACCGTGCCGCACAATGTGTCGGGACAGGACACGAGCGATCCAAAGTTGGTCTCGTTCACAGAACAAGTCCTTCGGGCAACGAATCTCTACGTCTCATCAGTCTATGTTGCATTGTGGTACATGTGGCAGCTTCGCTGCTTGCGCTGTAATGGAAATGCAGACTTTTCGGCTCGATGGGCCGCGCATACACTCTTGGGCAAGATCAAGGAACGAGAAGATGGTGCCTTGACGTTGATCACCCTTGCGCTCATGTTGGCAAACAAGATACAAGATGACCATACGTACACCAATCGCACATGGAATCAACTTACCAAGATCCCATTAGAAGAGCTCAATAGCCTCGAACGTGGATACCTGAGAGCGCTCGGCTATCGGCTGCAATTGAGTGACGTGGACTTTTCAATGTGGCGAGCCAAAGTCGACGCATTTTGGGTGCGCAGGGCTGGCGGCATTCCACGACCATTGAGCAACACGCTCAAGCCTCGCAAGTCTCAATCGCTCACACACGCACAAACGTACGCACCACCGACTACCAAACGAAACGTACCATTGCAAGCCAACGATCACTTTATCTATCACCAGCAGCAGCACATCATCCCCACCAGCTTTCAAACCCAGCAGCAGCACACACTTCATCAAGCAACTATCGGTCCCACACACACCAGTATACCTTTGGTACCATCAGGCTTCGATCATCCTTTCCCCACACGCGCATTCCTTCCAGTGAGCTTTGCAGTTCCACCCGCGGTCACCGCAACAACCCCATCTTATACCTTTGGTCCCCCACCTGGTCTCAAGGCACGGCGCACAGGGCGACCTTCATCTATCTCGACACTACCCAAAGGGTGTGCGTGTGGCATGCAGCACGGCTCACCCCTGTCATCATATGGCTGCAGTCTGGCAATTTCACAAACGGGCGTTCCTCTACCGTCGCATATGGATTACCAGGGCGCACCTGCTGCCGAAATTGGGATGCTATATCCATACGAAACCACTTACACTACGAATGGAATGTTTGGACATGAAACAGTCGAGACCTGCATGTAAGCAGATAACTTTGGACGTCCGGATATTTGGAGAAGAATGGAATAAATGTAGACGGAAAGGGTATACCTGAATCGGAATTCAAAGCTTTATAATGCACCGATTCAACAAAGATGATGGGAGAAGGAATAATAATAATAATAATATCTCTGTAACTTGCGCTTTAGTACTGTTTGAGGGGACGATGGCCTATATAATATAACAGTTTGCTTGTCCCAAGTTGGTTCCACTCGAATTAAATGTGTACCTAATCAGTCTGGTTTGGATGCTGGTGGAAGCGAACCTGGCGATCCTGGAGCATTCCGACATGAAAGTAGGTAAGTGGTGGCCTTCTCAGGCTCCTTTCTATTTGTACTGTCTTCCCGGCCATCAGAGGGGGGATTGGTCAAAGTATTTTTTAAGCCGACCGCCTCAAATCGCATTTCATTTCCAGCGTGTTTACAGTTCTCCCCGCAACATGGTCAACCAGATCTGAACCGAAGGCGAGCGGACGAACTGATACGAGAATCAGGGTTGGTGTTCTCTCTTTCCCGTTGATTTAAAACTTTAAATAAACTAGTCTTTTCTGTTGCGAGCTCAAACACTAATGTCATTTTTGCAAAATCAACTAGTTTGAGCGCTCAAAATGTGGACATTCTCGTCTTGCCCGAGATGGCCTTTTCCGGTTACATTTTCGAAACCCGACAAGACGTGACACCCTATGCGGAATCATCAGAGAATGGAGAGACATTGCAGTGGGCGATCTCATGGGGTAACCTTAAAAGTCTTTTGTTCGCTCAACACTTGCCCATTTGTAATGATCTAATTGAAACGTGCAAAAAAAGCTAGGCAGTTGAGTGCCTATATCCAGGTCGGTTATCCTCGAATAGAACAATCTACAACCGGACCATCTCCACTGCTGTACAATTCTGTTTACCTCGTATCACCGGATGGTACGCTGGTCCGAACATATGATAAACATTTTCTGTATGAGAAGGATGAGCGATGGGCGGAAGAGGGGTTTGGGTTCTGTGCTTTGGAGTGCCCCGGTTTGGGAAAGGTGTGTAATGCGTTTTGTTTAGTGGTCTTTTATTATTTTTTACAAAAGGAGCTGAACAGGGGCCTTTCTTGATGATAGGTGGGCTTGGGGATATGTATGGACTTGAACCCATACCGCTTCATGGCCCCCTTTGATGCATACGAATTTGCAAACTTTCAACTCGAAAATGAATCGCAAATAATACTATGTTCTATGGCGTGGATTTTGTCTCTACCAGCCGATGACGACTCGGTAGTGGATGACATTGAGCACGAGTCCATATCAATAACACCAGTGATGGATACTGTTAAATACTGGGCAATGAGACTAATGCCTTTGATACAAAGCCGGCGTCGAATCATTTTTGTTGCTGCTAATAGAATAGGCGAGGAACAAGGTCGTGAGTTTCTTGACTAAAACGTTTTATTCAAGTGTTTGCAATGTTGTTTATCGTTCTTGAATTCTAGGGACAGTCTTTTGTGGAACTAGTTGTGTAATGGAGTTTATTGATGGACGAATACAGCTGCAAGGTGTTTTGGGAAGATCCGAGGAGGGGATCTTGTGTGTTGAAATTCAATAAACCTTTCGATAAGTGATAGGTGATGAAACATTGACGGACAGATGGTGGACTCTATTTTATCGCAAATGATATGTTCAGACCTGGAACTTTTGTGGCTAGCCGGATCCAAGAATGAGAGAGGTCTGGAATCGTTGAATCTGCCATGGTGGATCCCGTATGGATGTTGCCGCTCGTGCATCCAAAAATGAAGGAGATTGTATTCCCTATAGCGCTTTCCTTTGCGACCATACGAAAGAAGCGGCCAAGGCCCAAGAAAAACAAGCCAGAAGGTCAGGTACTGTTCAATAAATAGTCTATTTAACGGTCCGACTCGTCAACAATGACGACACTCCTCGCCAAATCCCGTGTCCGTCCATGCTGATCTACAAACGACACGCAGGTATCCACTGTCTCATTCACATGTCCCGTTTCATCGGTCACCGTCCGCGCTTCAGCCGTCACGGTCAACATAATGTTTTGCCCATCTACACTAGGAGTACACGCACTGACACGTCCTACCCCATTTTGAGCTTCATGGGCCAAAGATGCTGCCTTGTTGGCGGCCTTTTCACCCATAAGGAGAGCCTTAATGTCCACGTCGAGGAGGGAGCGAAGATGTTCAAGGTCTTGCTCGCGAATGGAGCCGTGGGGAAGGACTAGGTGTGAGGTTGCTGAAGAGTGTCGGGATGCTTCCAGAGCGTCGAGGACGGCCTTTTCGAGCTCTATGAGATGGGGGTCTGGTGCATGCGGTGCTAATATGCGCATGGAGTGGCATAATCCCAATAGGTCTATTGTGGACAATTAAGTGAAATGTTCAGCACATGTCAATGGATGAATATACGACTTACAATCAGCATTCCATCCACTGGGCCCTTTGGTCTCTGCTATTTGTTTCGCCATCAACTCCAAATCCACTGGTCCCAAAAAACTTTCATTGTCCCCTGTGGCCACATATACCATGGCATCCTTTACAACCGGCAAATCATTCCCCTCGGCATCCTTCCCACCGTCAGGGTGATACACGTCAGATGTAAATATTTGATACCCATTCTTTTCTCTATGGTCTAAATGCGCCTTGACCGATTCCACTTTTTCGTCGGGTATCTTGTATGCGACACCCCAGCAGCAGTCTGTAGGAGAATGTTTGTGTGGGTCCGCCATGCCATAAGTGTGGAGCCATTCTTCGTACGGGATAAGTGTCACGACTCGTCCCGGTGAGGAGGGGGTCCCGCGGTGGTCAGTACTGCCTTGCCAAAATCGTCGGACGTAGCCGCGCACGTAACCAGGGATGCGCTTTTCGTAGGGAAAGTCTAGACAATGCACATTCCACCACCAAAAACGTCAGAATGTAAGGAATGGCGGAATGCATAAAGACAAAACCACGAACGATAATAATGTACGGTACCTACTTTCCAGACCAGAGAACCATATCCGAATACCCACATTTCGGCTATATCGTTATTAAGAAAAAAGAAAGTGTTTTTGAAATGCGGGAGTTGCGTTGGTTTTGTTTGTGGACAACGGGAAGGTGAGCGCGCCTTTTGGGCTGCGCAATCTGTCGGAGGTTCACGTCATCCGTGATATTAGCACTTTATTGAAACCCGTCTCCCACCTGTGGACTATTCCAACTGCTGATTTTTAAGAAACAGATATTTCATATTGTCTTTATACTCTAGCAATTCTTTTTGTCTTTAGGAACCCCTTGTCCCTCGCATGCAAATAGTCTACATGAATACATAATTTGGTTAGATATGAGACATGTCATTCCCTGTCAATGGATGCAGAATAGTTGGACAAATAGTTGAACAATCATTCACTGTCTCTAGTTACTTCTTGAGACTATCATGCATTTCAAGTCTGAAATACCATCTCCAGGAATCTTCCTTAATCGTCCTATGCATACACAAGCACTTTGACTGTCCCCACGCATGTATTGAGCGCACTGTTCAATATTCATTCTCCTTGGCCAACTAGTCTCCCATTGCAGATTAATTCTTTATTATTGGATTTTAAGTATGGGACCTGCATATTCATTCCAATTACCTAACTCTCATGTACAATGTTTAGATGACAGAAGCTGGATATTGCATATTGCCTTCAGCGCATAACCTTACCAGCGAGACATAGTATTCGCTAATGCTGAATGCATTGAGGTAAAGAATATGATCGCCATGACTGGTTAGATGGCTTAAGAAGGTGTCAGGCGAAAAGTCCCAGCAATAAATTGTGGTTATGGTATGTAAATGTGGTCGCCACGATGATATTTCAAGTAAACCAAATGAAATGCCCCGTTTTGACAGAGTAAGAATGGTTTGTGGCATTTGAGTGGAGGATGCTTTATCCTAGTGATTTTCTAATTCATCGCAACAACTGTGCATTCGTGTATGGAAGAATCATCTGTGCAAGTCTGATAGACAAATGATAGTTTCCCCTTCTGACCTCAAATTCACTATTTGTCACGAATCTATTTTTGCTTGCACGAAGGGTCAAGAGGTGGACAAAGTCTTGACAACTCTGACAATCCTTTTATTCGTTGGACAAACCCATTGTAGCAACGGCTGTCAACATGGTGTCCGTTTCAGGTAAAGAAATAACTGCAAAGTGTGAGATTAGAACACTCAACACTGGCCTTGCACTCTATGGACAATTTACGTATCTTAATGTCATCTTGCTGAATTTTCAGACACAGTCGTCGTTGAACATCACACCTTACAACAACAACATGTCCAATTATTGTGAATATGAGTGGGAGCACTTGCGATCATCCGAGGACGGTGCAAGTCAGTGGCAGAATAAGCGAGACGTAAACTCGGATTGTTCATTATGTGGAGTGACGTTGACGGGAGTTCATTGTCATGTTGATAGGAGGGTTAGGCCTAGTAGAGGCTGTGTTTTCTGTTTTGCCTTGGTGATGACATTGATGGTACTATGCCCCGGTAATAGTCGAGGGACGATGACAACTGTGAATGAGCATTTGAGAATTTCTGCCCAAAAGAGCTGTAGAGTGACTATTTTTCTAGAGTTCCTGGTGAGCTCAACATCTCGGCGTAAATGCCGTCAATTTCCCGGCGACCACACATGAGTTAAAAGGAAATGGAACCGATGACAAATGGATACATGATACAATCTACAGTATTGCCTTGTACCCAATTCTCTTACTACTGGAATTCCTTCTTGTTATCTGTTTCTCCCTTTGCTGACTTTTTGTCTCGCCTCGTATCCATCGAGTGTGATCACAGGGTAGAGCGTGACCATTCCTTCGATTCGCCCCGTGGAGGTCTAGACTTTTGAATTGCAGTTGGCAAAAAGGGCCCACTACCACAACCCACCCCCCATCTACCGCCAACTCCCCCAATTCTCCTCCACAAATGTGACAAGAGCCTGTATTGTAAAAAGCCCAAATCGAAAACCTCCAAACGATTCCAACCTCGACAATCACGTTAGAATGTGATTCCATCCCCATTGGATTGCGGATAATCGTCATGACGTAACAATGGTCGTCATCATGAATCCGCCTGTATGAAAGCGAGACTAGAAAGAGGTTTTCCACTCGTCCATCACTACTACAAGTCAAAACCGATTCGGAAGAAATCCATCTTTTCTTGAAAACAAATACTGAATATCTCTCATGTCGTCCAACCAAAACGTCGCAGAACCCTCTCTTACTCATGGACATCTTCAGTACGCAAAGGGTGTCGTAGAGGTAGGCCAAGTGTTCACAACCACAAGCAGTTTTCCTAGAGCCTATATAAACAAACTTGTCGGCTTTATAGGAAACTATCGGTAATGTTACCGGAAGCGAAAGCTGGAAAACCTCTGGGCATACCGATAAAGCACAAGCACAAGCTGAGCTGCAAGCGGCTGATAAACTCAGCGAGGAGAGTCGACAAGCCAACAACGCAAATCGGGATAGGAAGTGGTTGGAGAGGGAAGGGAAAGCTGAGGAAGTTGTTGGGAAGATTGGGGGATGTGGGGGGTTGCAGCATCATGGGCAGGAGAAGCAGGAAGCTAGTCATCGGTAGATTTGGTGTTTCTTTTTCTTTGTTTTTTTTTGCGTCAGTCAGCAATGCACTTTGGACAATGTAGTATTGAATCAAAGAGTTTGAACTGGTAGGAAAACTGTCTCTGGTGATTATATGAAAGATCCTTTTGAGCGCCTGTTGGGTCCGTTTGCAAGGTTCTGATAGATGTGAAGCAACCCCATAATCCTTTTGGCAATCAGCAAGCCAGATTAAAGGTCAACCATATAGAAAACCTCGACGGATTGCATTGCGCCTGAGTACATTACCAAAATCTATAGTGACTACGGATTCACATCTAAATATACAGTTCATTGGACAGACCATTACACATATCAATAGATCCGTCTTCTATAAAACGGTTGTGCTAATTCTCCATAACACGACGCCTCCTTTCCAGATACTCAACCCCACTGATACCATTTTGCGCCAGCAAATCATCGAGCCTCTTCAGCTCTAGCAGCCTTTCACGCATTTTCAGATACTCTGGACCCGAAATAATATTTTGCGCCAGCAGGGCATCAAGTTCGGTCATTGACGACGGCGCCGATGCAATGGATGTAGGTGAGGATGGCAAGAACGAAAGCGACTTGGCAGCCGTCGGATTCATCGAATAAGGTGGCAGATGCGGGGCTGCTAAATTAGTGGGAGGAAGATGCGGCGCTGCCAGAGATGTAGGTACAAAGGTACTTTGGCTGTTCAAATCAAATGTTACTTTGGATCATCCAAGAAATGAAGTACCGACAACAGATTCTGGTTCTTACCTGGGAGATACTCCAGGATCATATCCAGTAGACGGGCTCCGAACTCCGGGGCCGGCGTAAGTATTCGCCCCAGCACTGGAAATGCCAAAGGTTGGAGTTGTGACTGCGCGTCTTGGAATCTGCGCGTGCGGATGTCTAGCGACGGAATTAACGGGAACGCCAGCAGTGTTTCGCGCGGGAATCCTGTCAGAAACAGGCAACTGCCGCTGCTGTCCTCCATTACTGGGAAGACAGTGTGGCCCTCGAAGCGAGTCGATGCGCGATGGCCGGGGGAGGTCTTGTTCGAAGCCGTCGATCATATTTGTTCGGTCAATGCCATGAGGTTCAGGCGACGCAGCAAGTCTGAGTCCCATGAGACCTGAAGTCACCTCGGCGACAGTATCTGTAAGAAGAGGCGATGTGCATTGTGGGGACGTAGGAGTGGTAGGAAGCACATCAGGATTCACAGGTGTACTGCCAGGACTATCCAAAATACCCAACGGAAATGCCCCCTGTGCTAACGTTGTCAGCGAGTGTCCAAATCCCCAGCCGTCTGGCCAAGATTCACTAGTAGAAAAAGGAAACCGTGAATATAACAGATTCTAGTCACGGCGACTATCTCCGGCACTAGGTGATAGGAACGTAGTTCTACTCACAGTACTGATATAATGTCTCCTTCCGAAATACAAAGTTCGTCGGACTGTGCAGGCACATAATCATACATGGCTCTTCCTTGGCGGTAAGTGGGTTCTGGTTGTGCGTGCGCCGCGGTTGGTTGGCGAGCAAAGCGGCGCACAGTATGCTTTCGAGATGACTGGTCAGGAGGAGCGGACTCGACTGTTTGAGCAGGTTTAGGTGGGGTCGGTATCACGGTTTCTAGAGAAGATACGGAGCGGGTCTTTCCGAAAATGCTACTTCGTCCGCTTCCCCTTTTTTCGGCTGCAGGCGCAACCATACCACCGTGCTCTCCCGTAGATCCACGATCTCGAATTGCTCTCTGTGGATGCATGTCACTACTACCGTTTCTTCCACTCGCAGCAGGTGAATGGGGAATCTGCAATTTGACCGGAAGCCAGATGGTCGCTGTCTGGGTGGTTTCTCTACCGTCTGCAGGCGTGTAAGCGGGACTGTATGTAATGGAGAATGAAATCTCGTGATTGATTGCAACGCAAGAGCCAGAGTCGCTGTTCAGGCACATGTGAGTTGCTGTTAAACTGAGGCTTTAGAGCGAGAGCAGAGTGTTTGCTAGTTTACCTGTAGGGTTGGGCGTACGTGTCTGGCCATGAAAACTCAATGGGGCTGCAAGAAGAATTGTAATCAAGTAAACATGTATCGCCCAGTTGCTCCCGATAGACTGATGTTCCTTCGGATTCTGATTTGCTGTATAAAATGTACATGAGCAACCGATGATTCATGGAGAAAAGCCAGAAGGCAAGATCAAAGTGTCAGGTTCTTGCTCACCGGAATGTATATACTTCGAACCAGGTAGCTTCAACCTTGACAATAGCGATGCTGTCGGCTGGGTACAGCGAAATATTTCCAGGTATTGCGTCGTCCGTGTAATATGCCGGAGAGGGGAACCTTGCCACATAGTTGATCGGGCCTAGGTTGGGCCATCAGCATTCCTTTCTTACACGCTATCACACACAAGGTCTTGAACCATCACGCACCATTATCTGCGCAACCATCCACCTTTTTGTCGATTGGCTCAACCCTGTTGTGGCGTCGTCTAGCAAATACTTCCATGCACTCTACTAGTACTGGGCTAGTACGCTGAGAACCTCTGAGACAGGCAAATAGGAGGTGCGTAATGCTGTTTTCTTGGTTTGGAGCGTCGATGTGGACGGTGGGAGGTAGACTCTTGGGAAAGGGAAGGGAAAAGGCAAATGTTTTGCTAGTGAAAAGTTTTGAGATAAATGCAAAAATGTCACAATACTGTAAACGAGAACGCAGCTTACCTTCCCGGCGCAATGGCTTTCAAGTCTGCGCAGACGACTGCAACGTTTCTTCCAAGTGGCCTGGCATGGATATCTCCCGCTGCTGGGCTCTCTGGGTCTCGCACGGTTCTGACATCCTTTACGATACCCTGCCCGCTAAGCAGCACCACCACGAGCCGCGATGCTGCACAAGGAGAGTTTTGGTTGTTGACGACTGTAATTGTGCCATTGAGTTTTGTCGCTAGGGGTGGCAAGGACACTATGGATGTGTTTGGGATAAGAGGATGCGGTTCACTGTCCGCGATAGCCAAGTGGAGGGCCAGAGGTCGGGCAGAGCTGGATATCGAGGAGGTTGAGGAATAGCGGGAGGAAATGGAAGAGCGGCTAGAAACTGGAGGGACGCTATTTGTGCGGAACGAGTCGGGTCGATGTGTTTGGACAAACGAGGAGGAGGAGGAGACGCGTGCTTGATGATCAGTGTTTTCTGCGACCCGCGCAGAGTCCTTTTTCTTTGCAAACGGTTTCAAGGACAGGAAGGAAGGCATGTTTCCAATAAAGTTGTTGGAAGCATTTGAAATGTTATTTGAAAGCAACGAGCCCAGAGCCCAGACACGGGCATTAAACTGGCAAGAAAAATATGTAGAGTTCCTTTAAATTCCGTGTCTTTTGGTTGGGATCAACTAGTCAATTAGACAAAAGGAAAAAAAAAAAAAAAGGGAGCAGGAGGAGGAGGAAATGTGTTTGGTAACAAGCTTTGAGAAAAGAAAGAACGACGAGAGAAAAGAAGGGCCCCTCCTCCTCCTCCTCTTGCAAGTAGATCATTTGCAAAGCAACGAATTTCAGAGGTGTGAAGGTGTGATAAATTTTGTTGCCAGTTCCATCCTATTGCCCAACTCAGGATTTTGTCCCTGCGCGCCCTTGGCCTCCTTCCTTCCTCCTTTTTTCGCTTTGGTCGGCCTGGACTCTGCCCCATCCAAGCCCACATTGCTACGCAGCCGCACATGCTGAGAGATCTTTCTCCCCGAAAATGACCAAGGCCGTGGTGGTTCGTCCTTTTTTTTCCCTTTTGGCTCCAAACGTTCTCGCCCAAAAAAAGACCGCGGAGTCGGGCTTTGGAATATGGGAATTTGATGGAGGTGGAAAACCGCCCGTAATAGACACTTTTTAAAACGTCCAGTTTGCAACTTGCTATAAAATCCTGCTGTTTTTGCCATTCTCCCTTTCGTTTGTAACTGGGTGACTGCACGATAAGGTTGCAGGATGCGTTTCTTTTCTCTAACCCAGTGCACATGCGCCCTCCTTTTGGCCATCACTTTGCTGCCATACCTCAGCTGTGCCCAAGAATTCCGCTCCATTGATGGAACAGGCAATAATGCAGACAACAAGGCGTTTGGAAGTGTCAACTCAACATTTGCGAGAACCTTGGGGGGGTATAATGCCAATGCTTTGACGTCGGGTTTGCCGGACGCCCGCGCCATTTCTAATGCCCTCGCGGGTGTGGTTGCGCCGATAGTGAGTCCGAGAAATATTACAGAGTTGGTAAGGTCTGATTGATCTCAAAGATATCGTCCATAAATATGATGCTCAATGTGTTCCGTTTAGTTTACATATTGGGGAGAATTCATGGCGACTGGTACGTCGTAATGTAAAAGGAGAACCATTCATGTATAGACACTTGAGAAAGAACTTTTGTATGCTCTTAGATCTCTCGCATATCATCCGATCATCAAAACCAACCAACGCGACTTTCACTTTACCTGCCAATGGACCATTGCCTCCTGCACCCGCAAACGAATCATTTACGTTTGGTGCAACTGACAGTACCAACAGCGCTCCGCCGGACCAAATCAACCATGCAACAGCATTCCTGGATGCTTCCAACATTTACGGGACCGATCCTGCCGTGCTGGCCAGCCTCCGGGCTCCTGGTGGCAAACTGGCGCTTCGGTCTGATCGACTACCGCTTGTCGTAAACGGCACCAACGACATCCGCACGCAGACGGTTCGAATTAATGGGGGCCTCCCATTGGACGTTTTTGGCTTTGGCCTAGTGAATGGGAATACAAGTCCCATGTTGCAGGTAACATTGGCTGCAATCAGTATCATGAAAGACCAAGGTTGCTAAAGAGTAATTCACTACTAGTGCCTGTACATTATTTTTATGCGTGAGCATAACCGTTACGTGGACGAGCTTGTACGAAACGGAACAAAGGCGAATGACGAACAATTATTTCAGCTGGGACGCCAGCATGTCATTGCGCTTATTCAACACATTTCGTACTACGAATACATTCCGGTGCTGTTTGGGGCAAATCTGTTGACGAACCCGGCTTATAACCGCGCTTTGGATCCCGCGATGGAAGCACTTTTCTCTACCGTCGCATTTCGCTGTATGTGATTGTCAGAGTTGGCTGTTTAATTTAAAGTTTGACAATTAACAACTCCGTTTTCGTACAGACGGGCACATGGAAGTCACATCTACGCAGATCATGCTCAAAGATGGCAAGCCAACTGAATTCAATCTGGTCGACGTTTTCTACAATATCCAACCTGTGCTCCAGCACGGCATCTTCCCATTTTTCGCTGGTACGCTGTGTTTCCCTTGTGACTGTACTTGAATTCGGATTCACACCACAATCCCTAAGGCATGACCAAACGAAGCCAGCTTATTCCAAAGCTGTACGTTGTCCCCGAACTCCGAAATGTACTCTTTGGCAATCGACCGATGGACCTATTCGCCATTGACATTCAACGTTCCCGTGAGTTTGGTTCGCCGTTATATAACGATGCTCGAAGAGCTCTCGGTCTCGCCCCTGCAGTAGACTTTACAGATGTCACCAAGAACCAAGCTATTGCATCAACCCTACGAACGCTGTATGCAGGCGATATCAATAAATTGGATGCTATCGTGGGCGGACTTGCGGAGGATCACTCCCCGTCAAACAATATTGGCGACTTGTTCACAAAGATTTTGATCTATCAATTTACAAAGACCAGAGATGGGGACCGATTTTGGTTTGAGAATGACGGTGTGTTGACTAAAGAGCACTTGGACGAAGTTCGGCATACGTATTTCCGGTAAGTAATTTCATGGAGTGTTTGCAAGTACGCACAGCGTGGTGCTTATGATGTGATCCAATCCATTTTAGTGATGTGATCGCTCGGAACGTTCCAGAGATACCCCAAGAGACTGCCCAAAAAATGCTTCCACGCAATCTATTTCAAATCACAAATGATGCGAGTCTGGATGGCGGTATCCCGAACGGATTTGCGTATTCAAAGTCATATCTTGACAATAGATATCGGTTGTCATGGAACATTAACGACCGGGGCGGAAAGTCTGAAACTATTCGCGGATTGTTGGAGTGCGCCTCTGAAGGCTGGTGTGGCCTAGCGTTTGGGGAGGACATGACGGTCGCTGGTGAGTTCTTGATGCCAGTCGAAAACGCTCCGCGGAGATACATGTCGTAACAATTTCACCGCAGAATTCATGATTGTTCGTCCGGCGTCGAATGGGTCGCTCATTTTGGAGGAGCGTGATAGTGGTGGAGGTTTTGTCCGACCGGTTAGTGTTGCAGGCCAAACTTCCATTTTCTATCACATTTTGACCCTTTTGTCGTTAGGTCATGACGACTCGCCCACCCCTTGTGCAAGTCATTTCCAGCAGTTTCACAGGAGGCATCATGACACTTGAATTCCAAAGGGCGGTTCGTCGCGGTCAAGCTAGTTACAGTGAAGGAGGTGCTCTGCCAATTCTAGCCGCCTATTCTCCTCAAAAGGCCGTCGCCACGAACAACGACGAGTGGTTCCAGTTTCATCAAACGAACCGACAACGGATTCGATTAAACTTTGCAACAGGGGAGTCGACTGTCTCGGACAATGTAACACCCAGGCGAAGTGTGCATGGTATAGGAATGGCCCTTATTTGGGGCGTTGTCTTCCCCTTTGGAGTGTTTTGGTCCAGATATTTTAGGTATGTGCATGTTTGCATACCTGCTTCGCTGTTACGTTTATTCATTTAAAAATATACAGGCATCTTCCTGGGTGGATGCTCGTTCACATCCTACTTCAAAGCATTGGTTGCATCGCCGTCATTTTCTTGGCAGCTATTCCGCTTATCGATCCGCAAAACATGGGGATTACGACCAATGCACCGCATTCGTACATTGGGATTATCCTCCTCGTTTTAGTCATCATTCAGTTGTTATTGGGAGGATTCAATCGACAGGTGAGCGCCAAGGCTAATCAGATCTCGTATAGCAGGTAACGAGCATGTTTACTTATCATTCTCTTGCAGCGTCTTCGATGGGAGAAGCTGCGTGATGCCTCTCACTACATTAGGGTAGCCCACCATTGGGTCGGGCGTGGTATGATTTTGCTGGGACTTGCAAATATCGGATTTGGGCTTCGGCGCATCTATCCCAACAAAGACCCGTCGGATGGTATCTGGTTGGTATACTATGTGGTCTTGGTATTTTGGGCTGCTCTCTTTGCCGCTCTCGAGGTAGGTAGCGCCTTTGTACCTATTAAATCACAACCACGGTCTCATGGTTCGCTCTATCCTCTACAGGTGTTCTTCCGCTTCAAGGTCCGCGCAACCCGCCCTGATGGACCGCAAATGCCTGTGCCTATTATGCAGCTCGATGAGAATGGAAAAGACGGCACTCTTACTGTGATTCCCACTGTAACCCCCGTCATGGCCGCCATGTCTGCGCCGGTGCCGATGAAAAGGGACCCAAAAGATCTCGAAAAGCAGCCACTCTTGAGAAGTTTCACGTGGAAGGATATTGACGACGCCGTCATTGGAGGGTATGCTACTGATATTTTTTCCCAGAATTTAGATGGATGTAGTCACTAACGACTTGCGCATTATTTTCGCAGCGAGCATTTGGTAGTCGGAAATGGACGCTGGGTATATGATATCCGACCCTGGCTCGCCCATCACCCTGGTGGCCGACTAATTTTGGATACTGTGAATGGAACCGACATTACGATTGATTTCTTTAATGAATCAGACTTTGATGGTAACCTGGGACTGCAAGCAACAAGCGGTAGATCAAACGACCAAGAGAAAGAATTTAGGGTGCTTCCCAATGCATTGGTACGGAACGGTACACCAAACGGGGATCATGAAGCATATGACGAAAGTGACTCGGTCATCAAAGTGAATCCTTTATTGCACAAACCATTTACGACATCTGGACCTATCGTTCACCATGAACTTTCTGTGGAAACCTTGAGAACGAACAGCGAGGAAAAATCTGAAGAAGAGAGCGAACATTGGATTCCGCCGCCGGATATCAAAGCAGATGAATGGAAGGCAGTTCGAAGAGCTCGATGGACGCATGCCCACAGCAAATACGCCGCTGAAAAGCTCATTGGATTCATTATCGGCGAGATTTCATGCCCAAAAGTTCCATCAAAGTTTTATGATTCGGCGGATGGGTCACGATCTTTTGATCCATACGAGTACCGTCGATATGCAATGGTCCATAAACAGCTAGTGACTTCCAAATCAGCCAAACGTGCAGTTTACCGTGTCAAATTCGCGCTGTTATATCCTTTCCAAGGGTTGCGTGAGAATGAGCCAACAAGTTTTCTTCCGGGGCAGTGCGTAGAAATTGCCGATCGCATCCAAGGACAGATTGTCACACGGTTTTATACGCCTGTCTCTGGCAGTCCTAGTTGCTTTGAAGTGTTGATCAAAGTCTATCCGGAAGGATTGATGGGACAGCATATCCACAAGCGCAAACCAGGCGACCGGCAGCTTAAGGTTCGTGGTCCATTTGCCGAGCCTTTGATCAACCCTCACCCGCCATTGAGAGGATTGCATGCGGGATGCTGGCAAACTTTGGTCCTAGTGTGTGGAGGCGCTGGGATTTCACCTGGGTTGCAATTTGTCAAGGAGTACTTGTTACCTGTTGGCAAGACCTTGGTTGCGCGTGAAAGATACGTACCCTGTATGGAGGATGAAATTGCTTTGGAATTGGGAGACCGCGTCAGAATTATGCAGTATGGTGTGGATGGGTGGGCAACCGGGCTGGTAGGTGTTCTTGTACTTTTTCTTTTTTTGGTTGGAATTGCGCAAGATTGACGTTGGCAACTCTTAGAACCTAAATACTGAAGAAGAGGGTTTGTTACCATTGTCGCTCATGACTCCACCCGCAGGCGTATCATCGCGAATACTTCTCCTCAATTGCGCCAGCACGCTCGGCGACATTACCAGTCGCGAAACACTCCAACCCGCTGCCCTTGCCTACCCCGACATCCTTCACATCCACAATTTTGTCTCCGACTCGTCAAATCTTAATGTTGACGCCCACGCAATTGTAGGCAATGTCCATTTTGGACGCCTGACGGAACAAAGTGTGCGTCAGCTTGTTGGACCCGTGTGGGCAGGAGCTGATGAGCAGAGTCGCAAGGTGGTTATTTGTGGTCCGCCGAGCTTGGAAGGAATGGCATATGATGCATTATTGGAAGGATTGGATATCGATAGGGACGATATTGTCGTGTTACCCCCCGATTCTTACCACATGGGTGTCCAGCAATAGCATGGCGTGTGTGGTAGATTGACATTTTCTTTTTATGTATCATGAGTGGTTTTTTTGTTTTGGTTTGATGTAATATATCTTGAGCATACAGTTTTGAAAAAAAAGTTTGGAATGACACAAAAAGAGCATGCAATCGGACATTTTCATTGTGAGATATGGGAGACTGTCGACCGTGGTCTTTTGATTTTGAACCAATGTGGTATATATTGACGGAAAAAAAAAAATGGGTTATAGTTCCAAAGTTTCTGTTGGTCATCATCATGACGGGAACTATTGGTGAAAGCTCAGATCTATTTACCAAATTGTTAAACCTTTGAATGATCCCCCAGGTAAATAAATTCAAAGGAACACGGAACGCCCCTCGGATTCAACCTTTTTTTTATTACACATTGTCAGTCTTTGGATACTATTTTAAGTTTTCAAATGCTCATTATCCCCCAAAGAAAAGGATATTTGGGTTCCGCTTAAGTATTCTTTTTTCGGAGGTTATCGGCGCCATGAAACATTGGATCTTCAACCAAACACACAGCAAAATGCAAGTTTGTTTATCATGTGGGTTAAGCGAATATAATTGATTCCGTGCCTGTCAACCTTTTTTTTGTTTACTTTTGTATTATTTTGAACATACGAACAATGGACCCAAATCAAGATTTTCATTTAAACATTCCTACCATAGTATTTTTGTATATTTCAGGTATTGAACATTCTGTACTTTTAAAGGACCAGGTTTTTATGATTTTTTGAAAGGGCATTTAATGTGTGTGTGTGTTCCCTCTTGCCATCTTTTTTGTCCAACGCCCTATCGGTTAGACTAAAAAAAAAAAAAAAACGATGAAATCCCATTATGTCTTGAGAGATTTTCGTACGCTGCTTTTTGTAGTTGCGCTTTGGATACCATGGACTGTTGTCGGTGCGACGTGTGTTATCAAGGATAAGGTTTCTCTTCAGCTTAATTGGTTATGGCAGGCCCAATTTGCTGGATTTCAGGCCGTATGCGAAAGGTTTCGGTTATCGTATGAGACAAAAGAGCTTATGAATCTGAATTTGGCTCTTTTTTTTCTTAGGCATCTTCGTTGGGGTATTTTGATGAAGAGTGCCTTAGCGTGCAAATACGGCAGGGCGAGGCGACTTTTGATGGATTGTCGGAAGTTAGTGAAGGGTAGGATTCGTGTTCATGATTTTGTTTAAAAGACTCGACTTTAGCTTTTTCGTATTTGCTTTTTTAGACGTGCCGTCTTTGGAAATGCGTGGACTAGTGGGGTATGATGAAAATCACCCTATACATCAGAACAACTAGTCCAAAACTTTAAGACATGTATATTCATCTAGGTAGCCACGACTCATTCCGCGGGAACGAATCTGACTGTCATCATGCAGCAGTTTCAGCGGTCCGGTATGAGGATCGTTTCACGGTTGCGACCTGATATCCAGACATTTCAAGATTTGGATAATAAGACGTAAGAAAGTCATTCTTTCTTATGCTTTTTTTTTTTTTTTTGGTGAATAACGTTTTTACTCGGTTGGTGCAAAAGGTTTAGTGGGTGGATGGTCAATTTACTTGATGTTTCACCTAGGGCTGCATTCACTAAACATAACATGACCAATGTGAATCTGGTATGTTCGACATATGTTTTCTTGTAACGAAAGCAAGTGAGATGGTCTAACCGTGTCGTCCTTACCCATTGCCTATCACATTTCACAGGTTCCTCAAAGCTTCACGCCTTTCAAGCTTTTCGCGACGGACGGTACAGCCGTCGATGCGGTGAGCGTTATGGTTTGTAAGTGTTTCCCCCATGGCAAGGGCATAGATTTGTGGGGGCTTTGTTGGTTGACGCACACCTCATTTTTATAAAGACAACGAGTTGGCTCAGATTTTTGAAGTCCGCAACCCGCAAACTGGGATGTTGTATCAACCAGATGAATTGAAAATCTTTGATTTAAATACTCTCGGGGCAGGTTTGTTAAAAGAAAAAACTTTTGTTAAACTCTGCAAAACTGTTTGCTGTGATTGACTTTAATGACTGTTTGTCTTTAGGTATGCTAGAAGACAATGTCTTTGTCCGCTCCGATTGGCTAGAAGACGAGGAAAACAAAAACATTACCAGACGGTTTTTGAGAGCCACTGCGAAAGGGTGGATATATTGCAGGGATAACGAGGAAGCTTGTAAGAGTATGTTGTACGATCATGGTCCTCATCAGGTAAAAATGCTACGTTGCTGTGCTTTTTGAAATGCTTTATAAGGTTGTCCTCAACATCTTGTTTAACAACCCAGGAATGGATGATGAGAGAAGTCAATCGTTTGATATGGCCAAGGTGTGACGTATTTGGATACTTTCAGGTTAAACCTTTTTCTGATACAGCTCGCATGGAATAGTCCTCTGGGCGTTGGCTTCATGGATCCGGGCTTGTTGAATACCACTCTCAACATGCTCAACATTACGGGACACTTGCACCATACCAGCAGTCCATATCCTCTCTCTGATTCTTCATACATGCGATGGGCGCTAGATTCGCTTGAAAGTCAGGGATACGATGTGCGTGGGCAGAATTGGTCAAAATCTCAGTTGCATTTCTGTATGAATTCTGGAGAGGTATGTTGTCGTATCTTTTTGAACTCTGCAAAAACGTGTGCTCATCTTGTCCATGGTCCCCTTTTTATATATATAGACAGCATTCCACGTATGCGACGACATTGAAGCGACTATCTGTCCTGCTGGTTATTCAGCCATTGCAGCCAACCAATGTGTGCCGTGCCCGCCAGGTTCATTTGCTCCTCATAACGGAACGGGTAATTCCTGTCAGGCATGTCCCCCTGGCACTTTTTCATCCCAAAATGGAGGCCTCAAGGACCCAAATGACTACCTGGATGAACCTGGCGGTGTGCTTTGTTCAGGCTGTCCGTCCGGAACGCGGGTGGGAGCTGATGGTAGAGTTATTTGCGGAAAAGTGGGATTTGGTATGTTTGTTTGTTAATGTGCAGAGGTTCTCTCACTGTTGTTCATATTCCTGATAATCTGTTGCATTTGACGAATTTGCAGAGGACTCTCTCGTCCATCTCATTGTGGCAAACAAAGCGCTGGTTGGGGCATGGGCGGGCGCCATGGGTCTAGCGGGATTCTTATTCTTTTACATCAAGCGAACGGAACCCACTGCCGATGCAGTTATCATGCCGTCGGCGGTAGCATCCATATTGGAAACGGTTAGGAAATGCCTGTTTTTCACGTAAATGCGTCTACCATTCTGGCTCACACCAAAATTATCAACTCTTTTCAGATTTTGGATGCAGTTTTCCTGAACCTACTCGTTCAACAGGGCAGAATGAACTACTTTGCGATTGCCGTCACTGGATTTGGCGGTCATTTTCTGTTGAACATCCTAATCGTTGGCGTCTTTATACACCATGAGTTTCGGTTGGGAAGCGTTCGACGCTGGACAGAACAGCATGTAAATGCTCTTCCTCCCGTTGTTATGCTGAGTGTGATGAACCCTGAGCTTTTGGGAATACTGTCAAGTAAAGTTCGAGGTTGGAAGTGGACTCAGGTAATATGAAGCATTGTCAGTGGTCAAAACAAATGATATAAAGTGCACTGACAAGTATGGAATCATTTCTTGGCTTTTAGGCTCCGTTTTCACCCAAAGGACTCGCTGCACTCAGGTTTGTACTGCAAGGAGGTATATTACTTCAAGTACCCATTGTATTTAAACTATCTTGGACTAGGTTTTCCACATTTGCGGCATTTGTAGCAGGCAAAATTCCCCAAGTTTGCGTTGAGATTCTCATCTTGCAGCGAGACGGTTGGCATCTCGATCCATTTCTTGCTGCCGTTACAACCCTCGCCCTCCTCACAAAGGGTGTCATCCACTACTTTGTTCTCAACATTTTGATTCTTTATAAAAAGCGACGTGGAAATATGAGCTCTAAAGGCTCACAGAATGGCAGCAGCCTGTCAAACATTGGGCATGTGGAAGCTGGTAGGAAAGTATCTCGATCTTGCAATTTGGATCCGGGACGCCTAAGAGATGAGCTTGTGTTGGCTAAAAGACGGGTAAAAGAGTTGGAAGAGCTATTGAGGGCGCATGGGGATGTAGAGAATGCTTCTTTTCCGCCTGTGCTTGCAACTGGCAAGCTAGATGACCATTCTCCGAGCCCTCTTTCACAAGGATTGAGAGATGTTACTAATAAGCCCAATGGTGGATCAGAAGCCGGTCTGGAGGTGTAGTTGAGCAGGAGCTGTATCATATATCATATTTATTAGAGTTATCTGCTTTTCTTTTCGTGCAGATGATATGCTTTTATGTTGAATCCTGTGCCTTGTTTGATGAACACTCTGAGCTTTAGACAGATGCTAAACGCTTTGAATTTGGCCATTTCCAAGTGCTCGTTGGCCTTCTCTGCGCCCATCAATTGAGCACTGTTAAACTGTTATACTTGAGGTACCTCTTTGTGCCATCCGTTGCAATGCAGTTTAGGGCATGCCACATTGTGTACAAGCAAGGTCAGTTGTCCGAGTGCCCAATTCATTTTATGTTACTTACATCTTGCTAAATCATGGTACTGGAGATTTTCTCATTCCTCAATCATCTGGCCTTTGATGAAAACATACAAAGTTTGAATTTTGTTCGAACTTTATGCCCGCAGAAACGAGATTGAGCTTGAACGTCTCATGGTATAGGACAAGAGCGTCTCATATCAGAGATCTCAGCACTAGTTTCAACATTCCCAAGCATTGCGGGATCAAGAGAGCAATCGACGATTCACAAAACCCTCTCTGCAGTTTGTGTGTGTGCCCAACTGGCAATATGAGACTGTGACTCGCATACCACTCTTGATGGCCGAAATGCTGAGCACCTTCTTTTTTTTTGTCCAGAGAACCAAAATGAAAGAAATAAAAAAGAAAAACAAAAAAAAAAAAAACTTTAGGGTCCTTCAGTTTGTTAGGTTGCCTTACCCGTTGTTGGCCCTCCACAACTTCCGATGTTTTGATGTTTTGCTTTTACGACCACACACTACGGGACATAACATGGAGATGGGGCACTAGCAGGTAAAAGAGATTTGCGCATCACTACTAGCCCATTGCCTTGGCCTTTTCATTCTGCGAATAACAAGAGTTGTCCTCCAAAGATGATGGAGCAAGGGCTTGTATGCGTCAAAAATGAATTAAATCGGCGATAGGGGTTTCGTTTGTTGCCAATATCCGGGGGTCATTTCACACAACTTGCCCACGTTTCACTCTGTCATTCTTTCTTCCACATCTGATCGTGATGCAGAACATCAAAGCTCGGAGTGGCCAGCGGCCCGCACCAAAGCGACATTTGCAGCTACAAAGAAGATGGGCGCCGGTCGAACCGTCCGTCAACGTCTCTCAGAGGTCAGGAAAACAGGCGTGCTGGACCTGCGAGGACTAAACCTTGGAAATATCCCGGTAGACGCTGAAAAGTTGCAGAACCTCTCTGCATTGCTGCTGTAGGTACAGCCTGTTGGGCTTCAACAGAGAGTTTGACTGACTAGTTGGCTGTTGTTACAGTGGGGAAAACCGCCTTACGTCCATTCCTGCGGACCTCCCGTCCATCTTTCCTCGTCTCACTACTTGGACCTTTCATTCAACAAGATTCAGAGCATACCGAATGTGCTAGTTAACTTGCAAGATTTGGAAGTTTTGGATTTAGAAGGCAACCAGGATATCCCATCACAACTTCCGACTGCGTTTAGAGAAGGGGAAGCTAGCGGTACTTCGTGGTGAGCCAGACTTTTCGCCCACGGACGTGCTAAATGAGGAGAGCTCTGCTGCAGAGAGTGAGGCAGTGGACGGAGAATCCGAATGGCCCGTTGAGGCCATTGTGGCAGAAAGAACCTATAAGGGAAAAAGAGAGTACCTTGTCAAATGATTAGGCCGACGGGAAAGTCCTCTTAGAAGATACCCGCTGTGTGGAGGCCGTTGCCGTGGTCGAAAGGTTACAGCTTGATCAACTGTAGCAGAATAGGCAATTCGAAGTACTTAGAGAAGCCGAAGAGCTTAGATAGACCTTAGAGTCTGACATTGTACTGGTAGTGCGCAGCTGGCTGAGGTCAAATGCATTAGTAAATGGCGCTATGAAAGGAAAGCGCTGCCCACAATGTGGGAATAAGGCCAGTTACTGGAGTTACCAGTCTGGTATAGCCTGTGTGGCATAAGCAGAGGAAAGGGAAAGCGTCTACGACGCCGCGGATGCTGAGAATCATCCGGAAGTGTCTGAACGATGGACAAACTAAGAAACGAAGCAGAGAGTGCAAGAGAACAGCGATATATTCAAAGATTACTGCCAAACACGATACATTCACTACAGAAAGTTTTCACTGGCATGAAAGTTCGCTGCTCGAATCGGTCCGCCCCATATGTTACGAATCGCGTTCATCCACAGGTTAGCCACCGCTCCTGTAATTTGAGCACCAATGGTAGAGTGAAACCGGATGTGAATCGAAGCAATAGGTACATTGGGAAACATGGTTTTGAGTGCAATCCATATTGGTACCTGTCCAGCGCCGGCAACAAAAACCTCCAAGGCTACATGGACCCCCAATTCTACTACGGCTGGATATACAATCAAAGGAAACATACTGTCATTCAACTCGCCAAGATAGATTCCCATGAGGCTTGTTAAGGTTGGCGGAATTGAATGATGGCCAGCGTAGCTTGGAAGTTCCGAGGCCCTGCAGTGAAACGTAAAACCAGATGAGATAGTTGGGCATACCTGCTATGGTCACGAGGAGCGCGTTCAGGTGGATGACCGAGGGAGATGGAATTGTAGGCCAGTGTGGTAAAACGAGCTTCGTGATCGTAGCCATGCCGTATGTAATCCATCGCGTCATCTGTTGGATTGGGCCTGTGCGAATGCTGAAGGATGGGAACTCCAGAGTGGAAAGAGCCGTCGCGGGGTACATGGTATTGGGCGCACCCACGTTCATATCGGCTGGCACCTCGGCTAAAACGCGCATATCAACTATGAAATGCGTGAACAATTGAAAAATATACCTTAGTGATGCCGCACGATAGCTCGAGGGCGTAAAACCACAATCATTGAACCTGGCGCCGATCGGGTGGAACCTGCTCGCCATGATTATCGCATCGGAAGGGGAGTTGTGATTGTCTGTCATCAGGTAGAAAGAACGAAGGCTAACCCGCCGATGCGTATTCTCCCGATCAATTGTCGATACGCCAGGTGGTAATGGAGGAACGTATCCCAGTGGACGAGGCGATAAGACGTTTATCCCGTAATTCCTTTGGATTCTCTCGATTATGTCCTTGATAAGGTGTGCCGAATCTGTCCCAGGCGGTAACGGCATGACCAACGAAACTAGAAATTCTGTGTTCCACGCACGGAAAATTGTCGTGTCCTTGATGGGCGATACTTCCGCATACCTATTGATCTCAGATGGGTCAGCTAAACGATGGATCGTGGCATGGACTTGTATCTCTTCCCGCCAGAACCGTCCACGATCCAAAGACGGCCCGACAGGTCTTGCTGCGACTTAACCCAGAGAATATGAGCTCGCCAATGGACACTAGTGAATTCTTTTGTTCCTCCAGAGGAGGCTGTTCGTTAATGGCCAGGAGAAGCTCGTTAGGGAGAGAAGACAACATTGCCATATTGGTTGGTGATGAGCTCGTCTTTTGACGCTAACACACAAAGAGAAAGGTTTTCAATGCTTTAGATGAGCGATGCTGCCTACCAGATTGATAACTACGACAAAGCTAGACAAGCTCCGACCGCCAAAAGGTGATAGCCTTCCGAATAGAACGTAACCTTCCCAACTGCGATCCATCATGTATTTCATCTATTGGTAGACTTGCTCATTGACATTGTAATTTTGACCTTGCAATCACTAGTCCTTCTTGTCTGCCTCAATTTGCTGAGTACTAATTGGGAACAATCGTTCAAGAAATATCAGATTTTCAATATTAATTTCACAAGGGAATTTAAATCAATTGTTACAAGACTAAGAACTAATCCAGTTCGCTGGTGAATATCAGAGCAATGCAACAACCCCGGCTTTACCCTCAGTATTGCTAACGCCCGTTGCTGATGCTGGTATGTCGCTGGAAGTCGGTGAATGTACGCTTCCACGTGCACCGGCTTTGGCTGTATCACTACGGACAGGTGTCTTTGCTTCCAAATCCTCAGAGCGAAGAAAAAGTTTCTTTATAAGCCAGAACATTGCGTTTTGGTAAATGCTTTCTGGAACGGGACGCTGTGATGCAGTCTCTGGATCCACCAGGTGAGCATCTGGCTGCGCGAACTTCCGATGGGATGTACCAGGACTCGGTACAGTAGTAATTGACTGCGTTTCCAGACACTTGTATTTTAGGTAGTGAGTTTGGACCAAGTGCTTGCGGAGGGATTTCCGTGCGTGCTCAACGGTCGGGTCCAAAAGAAGAAAAACGGTAGCGTTCATTGTGCCCTGTGTGTTTAAAGGTGTTCATTAGGATTTTTTAATGATTGATAACTGTGTTTTGCGGAACAGTTACCTGTAATGAGGCAAAAATGCAAGCCAAGTAAGCCATCCAGACTGAAGTAAATGTCCCATAGTTCCCCCCAAGAAGCAAATAAATATCCAAAATGATGTTCCAGGATTGGGCAAGCAAGGGTACAACGCAGTACCAACTGATACGGGAAACAGCTCTGTTAACGAGCTGCTCCTTCTTACGTGATTTCTTGCTTTTTTTAGCACTTGCGAGTGTGGATGTGATACGGTTGGGTAGCTCGAGCATCTGCTTTTGATTCTGGTACAGCACGTACCAAAACAGAAAAGTAGCGATGGAGCATAGGACGCAAACTAAGCTGATCCAGAAGTACAAGAAGCCCCTGGTCATTGAACCAACTATATGAGATTTGTGTGCGATACATGCGTATTAGAACTTACCATTCAGAGCCAAATGCGTTCGTTAAATCATCAGGCGGTCCTTTAAACCAGCACTCTTCACCGTTGAAACCTAATCTTTTTGTAGCTACGCCAATGATCGGTAGCAAGATGGCAACGGACGCTGATCCAATGTAATACATTCTTTCGTAAATAGGAGTTACACCGAATTTGACAACAAACACCTATTAGACCACATAACGATAATAGAATACAGATATTAGCCAGGTAAATTAACCAGTTTACACTGCACACACCTACCAAGAATATATTCAGCGCTATCGCCGCAGACATGAAGACCGATGCCAAATTGCCGGCAACAACAAAGTACATCACCGAGATACATTCAGCACCGTCAGCGAATGTCGAAAAATTCGAGCCGATCCATGCACATTCATAAACGATATCTGCGATCGCGATAAATGCCACCAAACGAAGTGACACGCGATTTGACTATCGTTCACAAAGGAATGTAAATGCTTTTGTTACAGTTTCGTCTGCTTGCGCAATGCTTACCAGGGTTGGGAGGTAGCGCCGCATTAGAGCAAAGACAAGAAGGGTTGCAAGGGACATTGCGATTGAAAATGCCGCCTAATGTCACATTAGCTTATGCAAAACCACCGTGGAAGAAGGTCATCACTCACTAGGGCCGTGGAGACAGGTGGCAACTTGTCCCAATCTGACGCATATGGATCATCCTCCCACGTGTAGTCACCTCCTCCAGTGCCGTCTGTAATGTTTGTATCAGTACTGTCGTCCATTCTGTGCCAGGCACTAGAAAACACCGGAGGAGGCAATTTTTATAAAGAGATTTTATATGTTGGACTAACTATTACATTAGACGGAGGTAAGTGGCGAATTGGAAAACAATACCTTGTCGAAATCGGGATACGACATGGAAAAATAAGGGCGTGTGCGTAAGGTGAGCATATGCAAAGAATAGTTACAAGAATAACTAGTGTCCCCCATCGCAACAAATCAAAGCATGGATCGCTATTGTAGAAACCTCTGGAATTGACGAAACTCCGTGGATTTTTATTCCATAAGGGTGTGCAAGGAGACAACCCTAATATTGTTTGTCAGCATAGAAGCTTTAGCGAGGTATTTGGTTCAACATACGGGTTTGATCCCCCGCCTAGTACAAACCGTTTGGGATCTGCAAACTGCACAGTAAGCCACAGTAAAGTCGAACAGCGATGCTAGATTGCTAAGTTCCGTCCTTAATTTTCTATAAGGAAGCGGTCTTACGACCAGGTTGAAGAGTGTATTATCCGAGAGTGACACCAGTTTTGGCGATTACTTGGATAGATATGTGGTTGCCCTGATTTGGAGTTCCTTTATGCAATATTCTTCAATTCATTGGCAAGATGACATCCGTCCAGTGAAGGAGATTGATGCAAAGAACCGTAGACAAAACTATTATCAAATACACGTTGTCCACCAACTTTCTCCCTTACACTTTGTGGCGCTTTGTAATCGGTGTTTGTGTTGAAACCTTGGCACACATTAATATAGATCTACTGACACTCGATATTTACATGATCTCTATGTCCCACGATAGTTTGGATTACATGAACTATTTGGGGGCCGTACTGAGCACGTAAGCTGAGTTACAGCTCGGATCCAACGGCGGGAGAATAATAATTGTATTTCTCAGTTTACAGGATCTGAATCCAACCCCACTTTTTACCAATGAAATCCCCTGATTCGTCGTGGCCTACCGAGGATTCCCCAATTGAGTTGAATGTCCTGTTAATATCCCACCAGAACTGATACGCTGAGTTGCCGTCGTTAACGGGGATGTCCACCAGAAAATATGCTTCGAGGGGGAGACTTGATATTTCGTATGAATGCTGCTTTCCAGTCAAAACTTTGCGAGGATGGATTGACGTCCTATTGCCGTCTTTATGGCTACTTCCAGCCGTTAGAAAGTGTGTGTGTGTGTGTGTGTGTGTGTGTGCGTGGAGAGAGCTTATCCATTGACCGTTTGTGATGTGCAAAATGCGGTCGACAAATGGAACAGGGGAACATAGTAAACGGATTTGCAACGCCCAACGGTTTCTGTGGTGAATAAAACATTGTCCTGTTCAAAAAGGGCAGTTGGGGAAGCCCCGAAACGCATCAATAAGAACAGAACGATAAGCCATGGTCCATGTGCCTTTACCCCTCTTTTTGACCGCACGGCAAAAGTGCCAAGCGGCTCGGATTCTTGAGCGGCTATCCCCAAATGGACTGTCCCAAATGGACTGTCCTTGTCATTCAAAATGCCGCTAAAGGAAAACCGCCAGAAAAAAATGGGTGCCTCTCTTTTACGCAAAAGGAGGCGGAACAGCCCCCCATATATCAACATTTTTACTGGAAATGGATAATATACGGCATTTTGGGCACACTTTCAACACTTGAACACTAACACATTGCTTGTAAACAAACCCTGTAGTAAACTTACCCAGTACTAAATCCCCCCCCCCATTGAGGAATGCGGAGAGTAAAATGTCCGCAATAACAAAAAAAGAAAAAAAAGAAATCCCCCTCCCATAGGAAATTGAAACGCTGGGTGTTGTTTTACAGTTGCTTTTGAAAATGTCACACTTTGTAAGAGTCGCGTTTCACACTTTCAACTCTTTTTCAACGTGCAACTTGCAACATTCCTTCTTCTTCTTGTTGCCCTTCCTTCCTTCCCTTGCCCTTCCTTGTTAACATACTCACAATAAAAGAGTAATAAAATTGAAACTTTTCACCCTTGTTTGACCGTTCGGACACAACGCAAGAGATAAATCCCCCTGTGATGAGTGACCGTGTTTCTCATTAGGCAATGGGACTCTTTTGTTGGTTTGTAGGCTTGTCTCCTTCTTTTGCATTCTTTAACGCTCAGCACATCTTACTTTCCACTCTTGTTCTGGGACAGCTGCAACGATTAGGTCGTGACTCCCTTCTGCTGTTTCTTTGGACAAGCTGCTTTTGTAACAGCGTAAAGAGGCAATCTCACACTCGAGTCATTCTGCCACACTTTTTTTTTTTTTTTTCCTTTTGGACTCTCTCTCAACATAAACTTGTCACTCTACCGTCACTCTTTTTTTCCGCGCTTTCGACTTTTTACCGTATATACGCTGTCTTGTCTGTTCGGTGTGTGTGTGTGTGTCGTAACGCACACAAACTAGACGACTCTATTTTCAGAGGGACACATGGTTGCCCTCACAGACATGGCATCTCTCCAACATGGACTCTTGAGTTCGACAGAACATGCATCTCCTCCTTCTCAACAACAACAACAACAAGATTCGCAGGGCGAGGCTGAGAGCGACTTGTCCCACGGACGTGGCCGAAGAAACTCGCTGTCAAATCCGCTTCCCTACAACCCAGATCTCTTGGATGTTTTCAACTTTCATGGCGCATTGAGACCACGGCGACCCTCCTTCTCTGGCACACTGTCCTTGGGGGGAATCGACCTCATCCCTCCCTCGAGCATGAGTGAAGGTGACTCTATTCTCAACCTAGAGTCTCAATTCTGCAAGGACTTTGAGTGCTGCGGTAACCAGTTCCCGAGTCTGCATGAGCTGTTGGCCCACTATGAGACAGCTCACGTGCACGTCAAGGACTTTGGAGGGAGCGAGCTGCTACCCGGGACCCACACGACAGGACCCTACGGTGGACTGGTTGGCGTCGGAAAGCTTGAGCCGATCCGAGAGGAAGATAGCGACTCGTCTAGTGGTGGTGCATCGTCGGTCATGATGAAAATTGATGAATCCACAGGGTCCCTTTCAACATCCACATCACCGTCACCGGCTCCTGCTTCTTGTACCTCAGATGCGTTTCCGTCACCAGCTCCATCCCATGGATCCCTATCAACAATTGTAGACGGAGGAGTTGGACACATTCAGGAAGGCATCCGACACTTGCACCTCGACCACGACCCTTACTTTTCCCAATACACCCGTGTCGCCAATTTGCACCAGCAACACCTGGAGCACCAACAAGGTGTATTTCTCACTCCAGCAGCAAAGCGAGCTCGTGCACCGTCACTTGTCGCCGCGAATCCACCTGACGACAGCAAAAAAGTTCGTGGAATGGCGCAGTATACGGACATGGATAAAGCATCTTCGACTGCAAATTCCGTCAACCCGTCTGCGGGCAGTCTGGTTGATGGTGCAAATAGCAGTGTCGACAGCAAGAATGCACCACTTCACGACTACGTGAATGGAATACACATGCCAGTGACACCGCCGATGGAATTCTCGGCACAGTCGATCCACTCACGCCAAGGACAATCGGAACAGACGTCAACTCACCAGCACCCTCAAAACTCTCCTCCGATGCAACACATATCACCACACATGTCACCAGCGCTCCTTCATGCACAGCTTCAATATGATCCGTCGCAGCAACAAGGCACTCACCATCAGGCCATGTCTCCTCATGTGGCGTTTCTAGAGTCTGCTGCCGCACAACATCATACGCACTCACCCATACCCCAATCACCTCAACCGAACCTTCCGCCCCACATCCGTACGTTTATTCGCCAAAACTCACCCGGCCCCGGTCAAATGACCTACCGCGCCAGTACACCCGGCATGCTCCCACCTGAGCATCCGCATTTCTCTGTTCCTACTCCACCGCCGCGCCCATCGAGCACGCCAGCCATGTTGCCCGTTGGAATCTATCCTGTCCAGGGACCACCGGGATATGTAGACAGCGACGGCGGCTCACCAGGCATTCTGGATGACTTTGGCGGTGTGTCCGGCCAAGGAGGTAGTAAGAGGTACAAGTGTCCCAAACCTTTTTGTAGCAAGGTAAGCTAAACAATGACTTTTATGTTTTTTTTACGGCTGCTGACCCCGTCATTAGGTATACAAAAACTCTAATGGCCTCAAGTACCACTTGGAACATGGCAACTGCGAGCTTGACTATGCATCCGCAGACATGGACGGTCGTATTGCACCCGCGCAACCGCAAGAAGCAATGTCCTATCACGCTCCTACCGGCTATCCCTACTACAGCCTCCCTCTCATGGGCTACAGCATGAACATGCAAATGGTGAATGGACTACCCATGACAGATATCAAGATTGCCCTACGGCCCTACTGGTGCCGCGTACCTGGATGCGGCAAAAAGTACAAGAATCTGAATGGACTAAAGTACCATGCCAAAGTAACGCACCCCGACATGGATTTCAAGAATGAGGTCAAGGGACATACGAGCATGAGTTTGTGAAGGGGTTGGTCGACATACGAGCATGAGTTTGTGAAGGGGTTGGTCGACATACGACTTGATGATTGCATAATTTGTACGAGACGAAACAAAAGCCGATTGTCTCGATTTTCCTTTTTTTTTTTTTTTCTTTGCTCCTTTCGGGATTCCCCTCCTCCTTTCTTCTTGTTGTTTTTCCCCCCACAAATGGTACGTTCAAGAACGTGATAGAAAGGGTTAAAAGTAGAATTTACGAACCGTGTATTTTGCCATAGAAAAACAGTTTTGCTCTGTATTTTACAGCGGGCAAAGCTGGCATATAGTTTTCTTTTTTTGTTTTATGTTTTTTCCTCCCCTCTCTCTACCGTAGACAACGTATAGTTATAGTTTTGCCTTGTTTTTTTCTGTTTCTGGTCCTTTATGTAGTATTATTTTCGTTTGTTTAAAACTTTCTACTAAATACATACATTTTCTTTACTATCCGCTATTCTATTCCATTTGCAAAAAAACGGGGCACTGATCAACATGCACAAATAATACACTTCTACTACGCTATACTATGACTGCAAACAAAAAAAAAAAAATAAAACTGGTCTTGTCTAAAAAGAAATTACATGACTACACACTCATCACATACTCCACCACCTTTACTCGACCCCCACAGATCCTCTTTTTCTTTACGGGCTGCTACGTGATGGGGAAGGAATGGGTCGGGTGTACTTGTCGTAAAATAGACGAGACTAGAGTAATAATGGGAAATGAATACATCCAAAGCATTACGAGATTTTTGTTATGTTGAAAGTGGATACCATACCTTTGAGAAGCCTCAGAAACGGGAATACGATGCAAAGAAAGTTGAGATTTAAGTTGACTCGTCTGTGCGAGGAGTTTTGCGAGTTTCTTTTCAGAGGGTGTCATGATTCTCGTTCCGTTGTTTTTCGAGTGTCCAATTTCAATATTGGTATATATATATATATATATATATATATAAGCGTATGTATTTGTTGCGTGTGTGGGCTCGGCGTTGTTCCTACTCCAGTGTTTTTGGATCCCGCCCAAAACAATACCAAATCAACTGTTTTTCGACCAAACAAAATGTTTGAAATGCCAGTGTCCAACGGATGGGGAATCGAATCTCTTTCCAACAGTACCGCCAACCAGTCCAAACTGAAATGTCAAACGAATAGTTTTTATCAACCTATATGTTGATGCAATGCGTTAATAAAAATGAATGGAAAGGGTTTAAACAACTCTTGTAGACTGCTAGACTAGACCGATACACACAACACCATCCTGCATGGCCAAAACAAAACTCACACACACATCTCACCTTTATCAAAAAACACCATCACTCGTTCAAGCCAACACACACACAAAACGCAACAATCAACAAGTTCAACAATCCTCGCTTGCAGTTTTACACAACCCCCACGCAAACAACAAAGTAGAACTGGCTCAACCAGGTGAGGTTGCAAAAAGGATCACAAAAAGCGGCCCGCGAGTGACTCATTGCTGTAATGAGTTACATAATCGAGGTGCCGATCGACTATGGCGTATGTGGCGCATGTGGCGCGTGTTGACAGCATATACTTTTTGTCAATTAATACGGGCTTATAAAATGGGTTTCCTCTTGCTAATACCCAGATTCAACTTGGTCGAGGCGGTATCTTGCAAATGCAACACGACGGCTGTTGTTTTTAAAATCTTTAATATTCAACCATGGAACCGTGAAGGGAAATTCAGCTTTCTAGAGCAGTCCACCCAACAAAGCCTCAAACCATTCCGCATTTTTGATAGTATCCTTGAATGGCACCCCACTCTCATCCTCACCCACCCCTGGACACCCCTTCTTTTTCCAAGCCACCAAAACTTTTTTACACTCTGACTCTTTATCTGCCCATGACAAGACAATGGCCAACCGTAGCAAGACAGGTCCAATGACTTGGTTGTCATCACAAAGCGTGATGGTTCGTCTGTAGTACTTTTCGGCGTTTAATGCGAGTGTGATTTGGTCTTTTGGGATGTACAGTGGGATTCGAATCAAATGGGTGTCGCCCAGGGTTTTGGCGATATTGGCGTTGGTTGGGGTAATGGTATATGCGTCAGTGTAGGCTGTTGTAGCGGCGGCATAGAGTGTCCGCATTTGAGTGAGAGCGTCATTTGCAGGTGTTGGTAATGACGATCCAGAAGCGGAACTTGTTGCCGATGCCAAAGAGGAGAGCATGTTTTCTGAACCGTTCATCGTCTTGATGGCATCTGACCATGATACCAGTACATCTCCTTTACAACATAACGCCTCAACATTCTTTTTATCGGTTGACAGTACCCCATCCAGTTTCTTGAGCGCCTCTTCATAACAAGATGTTTCCAGTCGCCGATACTGTTCTAAAACACTATCCGCTCGGGCGGCAAAGATTTCTGCACCGCGGATACCAAATTCGGCCGTATATGCAGATACATCCTTGACATCAATAGTCGAAGCGTATTTAGATAAGAGAGTCTGACCATGCGAGAGTTTTTCCAATGATTTTTCGTAATAAGCAGTTGATTCCGGATCCGATAGTTCTTTGAATAGTAACGTAAGAGTTTGGATGTGAGCATTTAATGTATCCAAAAGAGTGCTTAATGTCGTTGAATCCACTTTAGTAACCATCTCGTAGTCGTCTTCTCCTTGTCGTTCCTCGTGCTTTTCCTCTTGATCCTCTTCAACCGTACTCTCCTCATGAGAATGCGCAGTACACACTTGACCCTCTAATTCTACTTCCTTTTCCTTTCCTTTCTCATCACCCCCCTCCCTACTCCTTTCCCACTCACCAACCTGCGTACAAAACACCTTATCCAAAACACAATCAGCTTCCACCAACCCCCGTACACCCTCTGACACATCCCCAACACCTTCCTCAAGAACAACCTCAGCAAATCCTCGTAAGGCCTGTGAGAGATTAAACAAACAATCCACATTCCCATCTTGGGCGCCTTGCCGCAGTTTTTCTATGGATTCTTGTAAGAGATTTTTGCGGTCCTCGGGTACCGGTGCCGGATCCGTGAATTCAGATAAAAGTAGTAATATTCTACCCCAATTGTAAAGGACTTGCATATCACTAGGAACAAGTCGGTGGGCTTGTGCGTACATTTCCGTTGCACGGGTATAAAAGCGGTGGGCTTTAATCCCAGAGACATAGCGGTCGCCTTTATCTTCAAGAGACAGAGCTTCGTCTAGGAATTCTTCAAATGTGCTTGGCTCCGGTGGAGGTTTGGCTGCCTTTGTCTTTTTTGGAAAACGATGAGCAGCCTTTGAATCCTTTTTTGCAGGCGCCATCTTCTTTGGAACTAGAATTGTTTAAAAACACTTTTGGTTGTCGTCGTCGCAGTGTTCTTTTTTCGTCTCAAACCGACTAAGCACGACTAAGCACGCCGATCGTGTAATCGTCGGGCCCCAAGCTCGTTATCGAGTTTATTACAAGTATTTTGGATTCAATAGCTTTAAGCACACACAAAATAATGATATCTACAAGTGCTGTTGCTTCTCATTAAACAAAAAACTCTACAATAAATCACAAAAAGAAAAAAAAATAAAACCAAATTCACCAAACAGGATGTTTCCGTCCGTACTCTATAAAAAACTGTAGGCGTCAATCCTATCTTCTATCTGATCACATCCATCCTCTCTGAGCCAGCTCAGGAAGCTAAAAAAGAGAGAGACAAAAAAAAAAAATATATAACTTAGATATATCACGCAAAAAAAGGGGAGATCTATGTTTTCTTGAATGGGGGCTTCATGACCGTCAGAATGGAAAGGGACTCTGTGTTTGATTTTGATGCTGGTGGAGATCATAGATTGTTACATCTGTACAATGAAAGAAATAATAAATCAGCAATGTTCCAGGTTCTGAACTCTTTGAAAGCTGCATTTACCCACCTTCGCCAAAGGGCACGGGATTCTTCATTACACCATCACTCGATACTTTCCACATGGGCTGCACGTCGCTGATCGGTTGGTACTCTGTTTCATCAGGTAAAATGGGAAGCTCAGGTGGGTACATTGACGGTTGAGATAGCGTCGTTGGCCCAGTAGTAGCAGAGTAAGGTGTGGGTGATTGGAGCGACAAATTCGGTCTAGTCAGTCTAGAATCAGAAATACTCCTAGGGCGAATGACAGAAACAGTCGACGGAGTGGTTGGTGGAGGAGGCGTGTTTGGCGTCATGACTGTAGAGTTTGGCGATGATAACGGGGGTGGTGACATGAGTTTGGTGGCCGAATCATCCGGAATAGATGGAGGCATGGGATGATGGCCAATCAGTCCTCCCAAAGATTGCGGTTTCGAAAGGTCGATACCCATCATGCTCTGATGAAACATTTGCAGTTGCCGTAATTGCATCATTTGACGCACTTGATGGTAAAGCGGGTGGCGAGGATCATCTTCGGGCTTCAGCTTGCCTTCCTTGCGCATCCCTATCAACTTGATTTCGTCCTGCAGTCTCTGAACGAGAACCGCTTTTTTGCCTGACGAAGGAAGACCACGCTCTCTAAGCATGTCTTTGAGCTCAGCAACCGTGATATCGTCAAAATCAGTGCTGAGAAGGGCAGCATCAAGTTTAGCATACTGCTGCTGTTGAGTAAGCTGGTTCTGATCCTTTCGAGGATGGGCGGGAGGAATAGGAATAAGCAGCGTAGGGCTGGATTTTGCTTTGGGAGGAAAGCTCCCCGTCGAAGGGGATGCTATGGCTGCCGGTGGTGCGACATTGGACATTGCGGGGCTCGATGATGCAAAGTGAAGTGGTTGCGGGGACGGGCACAATGGGGAAGTAACCAGGCCGCCAATGAGAGGTTTCGGGGACGCACTCCGGTTCACAGGAGAGTGTAATGCGGTGCTGATCGCAACGGGAGAATGCGAGTTACCCTTGCCTCGGAATCCAGCCATGTCCCGATTGGACATTCTGGCCGCCATAGAATGTGGTGATTTTAGTGTGTACGGTGCATGATGCTCATGTCGTTTAGGAACATTGATGCCGAGCGCTGCGGGCTTCTTGTTGATTACCGGAGACCGCGTCATGTTTGTGGGAGATGAAAAAGGTGCTCGTAGTCCTGATGAGTGCCTTGGCTCCTTTCCTCCAAGGTCGTGCATGTGTGGCTGGCCCCATGATCCTGGAATAGTATTGGCACGCGGCCTCCGTCCAGCAGGCATTGTCCCAGATGGTGGCGGTACTGCCATCATTCCAGTTGCCGAGTCGTCCATCGACGTGCCAGACATATGGGCAGGGACAAAGCAGTGGTTCACTGGCGGGCTGCGGAGTCCAGAAGCCATAGACGACGAAGCTGCAAAGTGCTCGGCCATGTTGTAAGGAGAGGTAAGAGTCAATCGCTGAGGAGGTGCCTGTGCTGGGTGTGCACCCATTGATATTGATCGGTTACGGACGTGTTGGACTTGAGGGGATGACGGCCGCATAAGATGCATATCATCCATTGAAAGCTGTGCGGTGGCAGTTCCAAGGGCCTCCATGCTGCAAGGAGCTCCACCCATGTTTCCAGATACTCCCCAGTTGGGAGCCAGGTGAGGATGGCTATTCTGATGGTGCGGCCTGACCAACGTGTCGTCCGTCTGCTGAGTAACCATAGCTGCCCACTCTGCGTCAGACATGATCAAAAGGTCCGAGACCGACATGTTGTTTTGATCGGACATGTTGGACGATATCGACCCAACCGATACCGAATGCAAGTCTGTCATTGAGGTTGTCGCCGACTCGCCGTCGTTGCCCAGAGGTGTCGGTCGAAAACAACCCATCGCTGGATGGTTGTCCGTAGCGTAAAGAGCCGAGTGTTCCATCGTCAGGATACGTTAAGAACCTCTACGAGAACCCCAACTGAGCGAGAACGTGGGGGACTTTTTTGAAAAAGGGTATGAGTGGGCCGCTTTGGGTGAAAAGATGTTGCTGGGGAACAGGCGAGCGCGGGATAAACGTCCGGATAGAGGAATTAAAAAAAAAAAAAGAAAGGGGGGCCCCAGCAGAATCGGTTCAGGGCACTATTTTCAGGGCAACAAATCCAGGCTATAAAACAAGGTCACTAACTAGAGCGCATTAAAGGCACGAGGAAGATCCTACGCACACACACACGTACACACACACACAGCAACAACAAGACGAGGCAAGAGCACCGAGGAGGGAGGAAGGCGAGCAGGAGCTGGGGAAGGATGGAGCTGGGCGGGTTGCTCTTTCTGTCTTTTTTCCTGTAGTTTTCCTTGTAGGTTTTTTTTTCCAAAAAGTCGCCTGGCCCTTTTCCCTTTTCACACTTTTCACACTTGAGAAGCTGTCGGGGGGGGGGGGGGGGGGGGGCGATCGTCGCGCGATTGTTTTGAAGTTTCCACATTATCCACATTCGAATGGTTAATATTCCATTGCTGTGATTGGTGCAATCTAGTTTAAAGTGAACAGCAGCACAGAACTCCACGCTTTGTCATCAAATTCATAGATTGGAAGAAGCGTCACACTTCTGTGGGCTTTTTTCTGGGTCTTACCAACACAGCTTTATTTATTTTATGTTTAAAACACAGTCCAACATGAGGACATCATTGAGCGGAACATCTTGAAAGCAAAGGAGCAACTTGCAAGAGCTAGAAGTGCGATGGTCTATTTTTTCAACTCGAACTTGCGATGCCTAAATCTCGTGGCGTTTGGACGATTCCTTTTTGTGTAGGAGCTGTCGACAATTCGCCCAGAACGGAAAGTATCCTTGCCTGAACAGATGCGGGGAACAAAAAAAGAAAAACACTTGCGTGTGCTACCTGAAAAGCCTCGGGAACTTGCCGCCAGGCCAGGGCCTCGCGACTGAAAAGCCTCCCCCCCAACTTCCAAGGAATGATTAAAAGAACTCCAACAAAAGCTCCCCAAATATGCAGCCGACTTTTCCCGCTACCTCACTTTTGGTAGTAGTCAAATGGCAACTTGACACTTGAGTGACACGTTGACTGCACCAGTTATTGTCCTATACGTCCCAACATTTACAACCCAACTACTACGTTTTAGTCCCCCATGAAACTTCTTTGCAACCGTCCCATGACCATGGACTAGAAAGACAAAAAACAACAAGATTTCAAGATGCGTTAATCTTTTTATACATTGGCTTTTTTATCATTCCAACAGCACCTTCATGTCCCCCGTGATTGACGCCCAAAAAGGTCTTTTGTGGTTCAACAAGATGTGATCGTACTAGCTAGGTGCAAAAAGTTCCTTTGATCAGTTGAATATCCTGAAATTAGGGTATTGACTGCCATGTGGAATTAACAAAACTGGCGCATGGGACAATCATACCACCCTGAACAAGTTGAGCTTATTTAACGCATTAGCGCCATAAAACGACCTAAAATCTAATATTGATACCCTTCCGTTTCTTCTATCATTGTCCATTATCACTTTTGGTTTAAAGTTAGGGAATACCCAAGTTTCACATTGTAAACCCTTCCCCCATCCTTCTTGTATCTGTACCAAAACTCAGCGGTGCCCACAAAGCATTTGGGTTTTGGGACATTGCTGACCACATGTTGCCAGTCCAGCCGATTCGATCCGCCATTAGGTTGGCTATTAAACAGACTGGTTTGAAACCTGCTTCACTTGCCTTTCACAAGTTTCAATTGTTTAGCTTCCGCTTTGCTTCCATCCTCGATGAGATAAAATGTGTCAACTTTATTTTAGCCCGAGGAGATGGTGAGTTTAAAGGTTGTGAGCCATCAAAATTCAAGTGATTTCAGAAAGCCCACCCAACTTCTCCTCAATGCCCCATTGGGTATTATGTCCGCGCGAAATCCTCCTTGACTCTCCCCCGCAGCTCTGAATCAACTACACATTGATAGCCCACGAGAGCCAGCGCCTTTGCGCACCTCAACGTAGCTATATGGGCACTCTCAGCTGCAGCTTGCCGCTCAAATTCTTTTGTGTGAATATCAAACTTCCCTACTGCCCCCACAATGTCAAATAGCGGGTGAATTCCTAGCGAAAAAGTGCGTCAGGACATGTACTTTCCGCGTCCACACGCAAATGTCCAAACTCACCAGGGATCACTTGAGTCACATTGCCCATATCTGCACCAACGGTGTTATCCAATGGTCGATTTGCAAGGTACGACCGAACCTCACCTGTACTACCCCTTGGAATCTTTTCCAGCACTGCAATATCTCCGAAATCAGCATCCATTTTCATCATCTCTTCCTCAAACAGTTTGGCAAGGACAGAGTTGTTCTTCAAATCGGCATAGGCAGGACATTCTGTCACTTTAAAGGTGCATCCTGTGGCAGTAGCCGCACCTTGAAAGCATGCCGTAATGCGATCTTTCAGCGTGCGCAAATCAGCGATTTTGGCAGAGCGGATGTAATATTCCAGTCTCGTATAATCCGGAATAACTGAATTACGCTGAATTAGTACACCCTGCTGAAAGCAACGGGTCCACTGACGCTTACTATTGGCTGCAGCTCCACCATGAGTTATTATTCCATGAACCCTGTGTAGGAGCAGTATATAGCAGTGAGTCTTCTATGCAGAGTTTTACACTAGGAGAAAGAGTGAATTTCTTACCGATCAGTCGGAAGAATCTGCTGTCTTGAGTGTTTGCAATGGTTAGCCGCGAATCGTTACGTCCATGGAACCTCCCACCAACCTCATTGCGGATACTGAATTGTAGGCCATCACGGCTGCGTCCAGAGCGTTAATGCCTAAGCTTCCCCACAAGCGGTCAATGCCATGCGACATCTTTGCATGTATGGTAGACCGTAATTACCCGCCCAAGGTTCAGCGGCAGCATGAGCTGGTTTTCCAAAGAATTCTACGACCAGTTCCTGCATCGCCATAAAGAACGGTCGAGCGACATTAACGTTGCCAGGATGTGCCATAATGGCAATGTCGACGCCATTAAAGAGGTTCGCGTTCAAGAGGTCCAATTTACCGCCTCGAGTCTCTTCAGCGGGTGTTCCAAACAGCTTGATAGTGGTTCGAAACGGTGGACGTGTGACTTCCAAACTTGCTTTGCAGGCTATGCGTTATGTGAGCCTTCAGATCTAAGATGCATCGGGGTATGATCGTTCTACACCCACCCAAAGCCGCAGCGACACCTGATATGGCGATCCTTCATGAATGAGACGTATGCGATGAGCGTTAACAGCTACGACATTCTTATTTACAAAAGCTGGAATCTTACAAATTGTGCCCGCAAGCGTGGCTGGTTTCGCATCATGCAAAAGGAACAAAAACAGATCTCAAAACGTTTTTCTATTGGAGGATCTTCAAGTCAAGGAACTGACCCTATGTCTGGCAATGCATCATATCTGTAGATAACGAAGATTCATGAGTATTTCCGTTAACAAGAGTCCCAAGAATGCGTGTCCAGTTCGCACTCACTCTGAAAGGAAAGCAATCGTGACAGGTTCCCCATTCCCGTCTCCACCAACCTCCCATTCCGCAATAAACGCAGTCTCCACTCCACCGGCATGCTTTGTCACTGTGAAGCCCTTTCTGTCCAGAAACTTTGTTAGCACGTCATGTGCATGGTGTTCTTCGTAGCCCAGTTCTGGATGTGAATGTATCTGGCGGGCATTGTTCAGATGAGCGAACTCATTAAAGTGACCGTGGATTATATACCTCGAGACTCAATCGCCGCAAGTCGTCCGAGTGTTGGTCAATAGCGGTCGAGATTCGATCGCTTGATCTCGACATGGCCACAATCGATGGAAGAGATGCTGTTGAACACTTGGAGGCGTGCAATGAAGAACACAGCCACCTGCCCAAAACCCCGATCATTAAATTGCCTGGCTTTTGAAATTCCTTGTTAAACCTAGATACTTCCTTGGTAGACCATTTCAGGAGTTCTTCTATCTTTATTTCTAAGTTTCTACTATGTACATGTGAACAACTGAAAAAGCCCTCTACAGATGTGCCTGCTGCACTGATCGAACAGGTTGATCATCCGTTGCCAAGTGGTCTACTCGCAAACTGCTGTGCTTTTCCTTCAAAACCTCAAAATGCTTCCGCAAGCCATATTCCAGGTCATGGGTGTAAACGGGTAGTCCAATCACGGCAAATATGAAACCCAAGTTTACCAAAGTCCGAACATCACTAGAATTGACGTACATGCTGATCACGACCGCAATGTAAAAGGGACTGAGTAGGACTGTGAACATGAATGATACGGGTGTAGAGGTCAATGGGGATGTCAGTGCAACAGCAGCCATGACTATGTAGTTCAAACTCATGCCGTCCATTGTTTTTTGTGGCTCGTACGTGTTGCGGAATATCAAAAGGTGCAACCCCGTTATGAGAGTTGCTTGGAGAAGGACAATCACTTGCGCGATGAGGGGGCGTCTACGAAATACATGAAGGAGAAGAACTGTGACGGCCGTCACCGATGATACCCAAATCATCTATGTGAAGGAGGGTTAAGACATTGACAATAGCTGATCAACAGAGATCTCGATAGATACCATTAGCGTCAAGTGACCTTGAGAGACTTTTGTGATAGAGGATACACTACTGTTATCTTGATGCATCAGCACCGCTCCAATGGTGGTTGACAGTGCATTTCCAATTAATTCCGTCGTAAAGGAAGTCAGGAATTTTCGTGTGCGATATAGCTGGAACTCGGCTTCCACATCTCGTGCCATAAATCTTGGCATGATATGGCGCAACAAACCGCTTGTACTGATGTGCCATCCGTGTGACTCTTTCCCCGTTTGTCCAGCACTCTGATCCTCAGAGCCTCTACTTGTTACCGATGAACGATCGGTCGCCAAAATGTTTTCCAGCCACATTCTTCGCATAATTCTCTCACGATCGTACGCCATTTCTCTTCCACTTCTGATCATGGCAAAGGTTGATATCAACGACGCTGCATAGTACAGACTTGCGGATTCATCATGGGCAACCGCCATGAAGATAATAATTTGCATCAAAACGAGAACAGAGGCACATCCGAAGCAGTATCGGAAGGGGAGTGGTATTGTCGCAAAGCCGCAGCAGATGGTTAGAATTGTGCCAATTACGTTTGGTAGAGCGTGAATAATATCTATGGGACTAACGAGGGGTGTGGGGAGGGTGATGCCCAAGTCCGTGGTTGAAAAAAGGAGGTCTGAACATGGTACGAACACGATTCCGTTAAAGTACCAATGGAACAAAAGGATACGAAGGCAAATTGGTCGGAATCGGTGGAGGGATTTAAAGGTATACGAGCAGAGAACAGAGAATGTTCTGTATGTTGATGAAGAAGATCAATGCCATATCACGCCGTGCGGAGAGCATGTTTACTCACAGAAGTAGCCCAATGCCCGTACATGTGTTTCGAACCATCAAAAAGCCCGGCGGCCATCCTATCCTGGTGGCTGCGCTAGTGTCGGTCACCAACCCAACAATGTAAAACCCAAAAAGCATGAACATAGATATATAGGTGTGTCTTCCCATGGCAGCTATGTAAACTTCACGAAAAGCTGCTTCGTCCCCCGGACTTGGGAAATCCATGGACTGTCGGACATACCGCTTTTTGGTATGGTCGCAAATACGACGAAACAGTGAAGAACTTTTTGGTGTGGGTATCGAGTGCAGATTAGATGACGATTTGGCTCCTCGCATGATATTTGAAGGAACGCACGGAGGTATACTTGACATTCAGCAAGGTTATCTATCCCAGGGATGCTTCATCCTGTTCTTAACTCTGTGAAGAACCCAACAGACAAACTTGTTTATAGCTTGATCACGATAGGGTTTTGAGAATCAATTTATCCAGACAGGGTTGGATTTGGGAGGCCACGACGTTACTATTCATAGATGTTTACCTGTAAATATGCATATGCCATTCTTTGTAACTTTGACTCCCAGGCCCCTCGTTGGATTTAAGGGCGGAGACTCTGTCGATCAAGGGCGGACTTATTTACGTCAGCGGTGGTTCAAATGCATGGAAATGGTTTCATTGAAAGAGTTCCAGCGAGCCCACGCCAGAGGCCACAGAATTTGCAAATCATGATACATCCGCCTTCCCCAAAGTAAGGACCGAACGTTGCCATGTCAGCTGAGGAAAAGAAACGCCCGCGGAAAGCATCGCTTCAACCCACAGCGTCACCGCCTCCCAAGAAGCAGAAGCCTACCATACCAATAACCCGCGGCAAATTCAAAAACAGGTTTCTGCGAAAGCATTCAAGCTTGTTACATAACTGCAAGTCAGAGGGCCTTGAACGCCCTAGGGGCTTGATTATTACTTGTCCAGTAGGATCTGAAACGCGAGCCTTGGTGTGTTGTTGAGTGAGGTTTATGCTCAGCTGCTCTATTCTGGCGATAGCGTCTGTATTGTTAACAGTTAGGTTTTTTGGTAGGGCCAAATCCGCACATTCCTGGATAGATATCTTCCTATCCTTTTCCCAGAGCACAAGACAGTTTGGACATCACGCCCGCATGAATTGGACATTGATCTCAAGATCGTGGGTGCATCTGATTCCGAATTGGGTGGTGCACCACAGGATACTGGTGGAGATGGCGATGACAGTGCGGATGAGATGAATGAGACGAGGGAGGAAAGTGCAGACTCAAAGAATGATCGGAAATTTCAGGCCGTTGATGCCGCATGCGGTGGCGTACTGTTCATCAGGTTTCGAGTAGATACAGATCCTGTGGACTTTGTCGTTAAATTATTCGGTACGGTAGTTGTATCCGGGCAGCGCGATCAACTTGTAAAAGCTAATGGCAGCCTTGTGGATAGAATACATGAACACACTTTCACTATCGGAGCAAAATTCTCTCAAAAAAAGTATTAGTCACTGCTCAGTAAGTTTCTACATGCCCCTGTTGACTTTTCTTCATGTGTCCTAATGTTTCATATCAGCGCATCCTGCCAATCACCCACACAATGCCATCCACACTACCAGACATCCAATCTCACTTGGAGCCAGTTATCCCGCGCATGCTCACTCCACATCTTGATACATTAACCACTCAGCCACCAACTTTAGCCTGCATTACTGAAGTTCGCAACAGAGAGGGGTTAAAGAAGGAGAGTGTTAGGGATGCTGTCTTAAAATGTGTGCCGGGATTGGGTTCAGTGCAAACATCCGATAGTTCACCTCAGGTAGATGCCAAACTCGTATGTTGGTCGGTCAATTTAAAGGAACCCACTGTCGTCCTATTTACGACTGTATTCAAAAGTGTCTGTGGGTTTTCTGTCTTACCCAGATATTACGAGTACAAGAAATACAATGTGCAAATGATTGGGGTCCCATAGTACTCCATGTGACAGATTTTTTGATGTATTATTCAGCATTAAAATTCAGTACATCCCAGTACTGCGTCCTCCTGTCAATCCGACGGAAAGTCTCCTCGGCACGGAGCATATTCCGCTCCGATTATTTTATCTAATCTTGTTGGGTTTGCGTTTTTATTCTGCTACCTCGTCATTACAAATCCAAAGTCGGCTTCCGTCCGGGACTTTACCCGCTTTTTTAGTTGACTTTTGTCCGTCCCACCTTGTTGACCACCCATGTTGACCGCGTTCGCAGTGCGTTGCACGTTGACCCGCCCCAAAAGTGTTCTGATGTTTGAATTTGGAGCTCAGCGACCTTTTGGCACAACAGTTGCACACTTCATTGCCAATGTGTTCCCCGTCAAGGGCATACAAAGAGTCCCCCCTTGACCACCACACACCCTAAGCTCAAAGGAGGGCGTTTTTGGCCACATCATTCTGCATTACTCATCCAAAAATCAGGATTATATAAAGTGCATTCACGTCTCATCGTTCTTCTCATCTCACAATTAAAGCATCAAACAAATACAAGCATGTCTAGAAAAAGTTGGGTGGATTTGTGGGCTCCTGCCCCCGAGCCGCCGACAAAATTGGGTTACTATCGACTTCTCAGTCCGTCGGCTAGTGTTCGCGTATCCCCGCTTTGCCTTGGTGCCATGGTATGTGCTTACCGGCAAGCATGGAGTGTTTTCAATCGTGCCCTTGCGGGTTGCGATTTGATCATCTGTGCTGATTCGTATTTGTCTGATATTTTGGCCGTTCTACACCTCTAGAACATTGGTACGGCATGGGGTGATTTTTTGGGACCAGTGACGCAAGAAGACGCTTTCAAATTGCTGGATTACTTTTACGAATCTGGAGGAAATTTCATTGATACCGGTACGTTGTCAGCATTCAAATGATGCATGGTCATGGTGAATAACATATTAACTTGGTTTGTGCTCTCCTTAGCAAACAACTACCAGGATGAGCAATCTGAGCAGTGGATAGGCGATTGGATGAAGAAGCGCCAAAACCGGGCTGAAATGGTCATTGCCACAAAATTCACTTCTCCCTACAAAAGCTACAAGGTACGTTATCGCGATGACTGGTTGATACATTCAGTTACTAATACCGTAGACGTTTTTCGTTTAGCGTGATCAAACCATACAGACCAATTACGTGGGAAACAGTAGAAAGCATCTCATTGTCTCTCTCGAGGATTCTTTGCGAAAACTTCAAACAGATTATATCGATGTCCTCTACGTTCACTGGTGTACGTGAATGCTCCTTCCTTGCGTCTGCATGTCGAAATATCCATTCATTTGTCGTTTACCATAGGGGACTTTACGATGTCCGTCGAAGAGATGATGCGTTCCCTCAACTACCTGGTGCAATCAGGCAAAGTCCTCTACTTGGGCGTGTCAGATACACCTGCATGGGTCGTAAGCAAAGCCAACCAATGTGAGTAGAATAAATCTATATAATCGTGATGAGTCCCTAGCCGACTGATTGCAAATGATCTTTCCTATAGATGCCCGTGACCATGGTTTAGCTCCGTTTGTCGTTTATCAAGGAAAATGGAGTGTCGTCGATCGGTATGCGATGATCATGTTTCCGTGAACATGTAGTTAAGAGGGCTTACACTACTATTTTCAAGCGATTTTGAACGCGAGATCATCCCCATGTGTCGGGATGAGAATATGGGAATTGCACCTTGGTGTGTAGCTTGAACGTCTCTCTAACACTTTCCTGCGCATTCTTCTAATGTCGTGTCGACTTTGCTATTTATCAGGGGTGCCCTGGGAAGCGGCTATCTGAAGACCGAAGCCCAGCTCAAAGAAATGGAAGCAAAGAATGAAAAGGGGCGCCAGGTTTTCGGTGGAATTACACAGAAACATAGAGACTTGACTGCAATCTTGGAGAAGATTGGCAACAAGTACGGTGTTGGTGTTACTGGTGTTGCACTTTCCTATGTCATGCACAAGGTAAGCCTACTACCGTTAAGATGGGTGCGCATGTGAACTTGACTGATATATCGTAAACGACAATCAGGCCCCATACGTTTACCCGATTGTGGGTGGAAGAAAGATTGAACACCGTATGTCATTCTCACAAGTCCGCGGCATATAGCGTCATGCACCCTATTGATGATTCCGTACAGTTAAAGGCAATATCGAAGCCCTTGAAAAGGTCCGCCTAACGGAAGAAGATATCAAGACTATCGAAGATGCGTCGCCAATCGACCTTGGGTTCCCACACAACATGCTTGGGTACGTGCATGCTATAAAGTTATTGATACTTTTTTTTATTCACTTGTGCCTTTATTCGTTATTTGCAAAGTGGTAACGGTGGGCACCCGTCCGGCAACCCATTATTGGGCAACGCCTCGAGGCATGAGTTCCAAGCGTATCCCACATCAATCGATGCGGTCAAGTCAGAGAGAGCGGGCACCGTCGGAAAAGCTACCCAAGCTTAAATAAACATTGTTGTACATAGTATCGTGTTCACATTTGGTCCAATGCAAAGTTCATGAATATATCCTTGAAGCTTTCGTGCGCGTGAACGCAAGAGCGAGTGGTTGTGCATAGTGTGATGACCATTTGTTTGGCCTGGACTGTGAGCTCTGCCAGCCAGCTGTTGTTGCTACTGTTGTTTTGTAAAGCCCATCCGGCATGTCGGGTACGTTACTTGCATCTATGAGTTTATTCATGTATTTGGTATTGCACTCATTCAGCCTACAACGCTTTATCATTGGGGAGTTTGCTAGTGCGTATCCGACATACAAATGTTTCTTTTCGGTAGGATAAACAAAACCTTCACGGTGATCAGCCATTGCTAAATGCGGTTAAAATAAATAAACAAATGCCATTTTGAGACGAATACATGAACACTCTGTGCTGTCCAAGAACAATTGCGTGTCAATTTGGTCGAAAAAGAATATGAAAAAGTCAATACCTGCAGGAAACTATCCGTATAACAATTGCAAAAAACAGTTGATTTTGACTTTGTGGGGATAGCTTATGGGGTAATGGTTCGTTCTCAGTTGCCGGAAGGCGCTGAGTTCGATCTCCACATTGCGCGGGAGCCATTTGTGCGGACCCGCGACAGAACGCGAGGGATTGACGTAAGTTCAACCCGATCGTATGTGCCCCCCAGTCTGTTCTTGGGAAGTAGGGCCCCTTCTCAAGACGGCTGGTCACGTTTTTGCTACATAATCCATAACCCTGCCAGTTATTCGACAACCAACCTTTTGCATAAAGTTCCAGGGCAACCTCACAAGAATCTGGAATTTGGCAAAAAAGGTCCTCCCACCCAGCTTCGTTATTGATGTGCGCATCTGATGCACCACCGGTTGGCATTACCCAGCGATTGATGTTGGACTGTTGCGCTTGCGAATACAGATCCCATCCTAGTGCTATTGCCAAGAGCTTGTCTATCTTTACACAGTCAATATGCATGCATCGCGTTGAACTTTCCGGCCATACAAGGTTTGTATTCTTTTCAAGCGACCAACGCGCTGGGCTGCAACACAAGTCATGTATTCAATGCATTTCCTAAATGAAATCTTCTGAAAAACATATTGGTCGCGGTTCGTCGTCAGGCGTCCAATCTCAGCCTGACTCGATGGGGATGACATTGGAAGAAAGATACAGTCTGAACGTTCTTCTTCCAATCATATGCCCACGTACCTCGCCTTCCATTCCTACTCTCGTTCATCAGAAGGGACTTTAAAAAAACCTTTGGCCGAACTTTGGTCATAATTGGGGTTGGAATTTGGATAAGCCACATTGGATCCTCGCTTCAACTTGCAACCGGAAGGAGAGAGTCATTCTAAATAAGAAGCGACCCCAGCAGGCCAGCCCCGAAGGTTACGAGCAACCTCCAGCGCAAACCTCACAAGTTATGACTGCCGACCACCCAGCAAAACCATTCTCGCGCCGCTTTCATTTGGCGATGGACGAAACACCAGCGTCAGTCAACGCTCTCAAATATTGTTTTTCAAACCTGCTCCAGGACGGGGATTTCTTGGATGTTATCACTGCAGTTTTGGACCCAGTAGATCAGAACGCTGTGAATCAGCAAAATGTGCAATGTCAAGATGATGGACGATCGCATCTTTACCGAGACCATCCGGTAATATTTAATATAGATGTAAATGTTCCTTGACCGAGTCTCATCTGCCCTTATCATTTAGATTGTTAAGCGAATGCAGACGTTGATCAATGTCATTCGGGAGGGGTATCCAAACAAGCACATTACAGTATCCTTACACGCCGTGTGTGGTGAACCAGGGCATGTCATTGTTGAGCAGGCAGAGAAGCAATTTGCAAGTACCTTAGTGCTAGGTACAACTCCTAGATCCCATTACCTAATGCCAACTGGGATGAGTCTTGCCACTGCCATGTGCTATGGCACTGTGTCTGGGTACGTTGTCGAACATCTACCGCCTGAAATTAACGTAGTACTAGTGAGATATGTAGAACCAAAGCGAGATGACTTGGAAAGTGGTGACCAGTAGGCGATCTTGTTTTAGTATAGTATATTCTAGTTGTTTGTAATAATATGTATCATATCGCACATTACGAGTATGCGAGATTACTTCGGCAGTCTCTATCTTGCTTGCCAGTGTGAGGTCATCAGCTTGAGGCTGTTGACACGGCAGATCGACCCAGTTCCGCTTAGAGTTCGGAACCGCGGGAAAGGGTATATGATGCAAAGATCCCAGGAAATTACGTTGCAAGCTTATTTTTGCGTTTTGCGATGCGTACTACTTGTAGTAGATTGGGGTTCTTGAATGTGAATCATGTGGAGGAATTCACAAGCCTCCAAGTTTCTGTTGACAAAAAGCGTTACGGGAAAGATTTAGCGAATAACAATTCTATGAGATCAGTTCACTTCTTTTGTTAACTTTAGATTTAAGAACAAGTTTACAATTGCCGCTAGCCTTACATAGGTCGCACACCGATATCAATAAAATTGCAAAATGTCTAACAGGGTTTGGAGAATCGCCAAGCACGAGGGCATCGAGAACTTGCGGTATGAACATGCGTTTTCCACAATGTGACGTCTTGTAGAGAGAGGTTCATGGATCTGCTTCTGTTTAAAGTCTCACCACAGAGGACGTTCCTAAACCTGGACCAGGTCAGGTTCTTTTGCGTGTCAGGGCCGTCGCTCTTAACTATCGCGATTGGGCAGTATTGAATGGGTAAAGTCTGATGTGCTCGGCTCTTTGCAAGGAACTAGCCGTGAATTTCCGTTTTCCGTCAAATTTCAATAGATTCTACCCCCGTCCATACGCCGAGGAAGGTCGCCTTATTCCATGCTCCGACGCTGCCGGGGACATTGTCGAAATTGGTGAAGAAGTCACAAAGGTCAAGAAGGGTCAACGGGTCTGTTCCTTATTCTTCCAGACGTGGTTTAAGGGAGAACTGGAGGAAGAAGATATGCTGCAGACATTGGGGGCTCCCATTCACGGAGTCTTGGCCCAGTATGTAGTATTAAATCAGGTTCGAAACCGCCATTGGCTACACAGCATTTCCTGGCATGAGCTCAACCTTCATTTTAGGATGGAGTTATCCAGTTTCCAGACTTTCTTTCGTACGAGGAGGCAGCTACACTTCCATGTGCCGCATTAACAGCCTGGCAAGCAACCTACGTTACTACTCGTCATGTCGGGTGCGTTCAATCCAATAGTACTGCGTAAGTGTATTTGCTAATGATTAGCTGCATAGGCCGCACTGCACTACACTTACGCAAGGCACGGGAGGGGTTTCGATCTTTGCACTCCAGTTCGCCCACCTAGGTGGGAACCGCGTTATCATCACCTCCTCTTCTGATGAAAAGCTGGCCAAAGCAAAGGAGCTTGGTGCTGATGACTTCATCAATTATCGCAAAACTCCGGAATGGCACCAAGAAGCACGTAAAATCAACGATGGACGTGGAATTGACAACGTCATTGAGATTGGTGGTCCCGGAACTATAAACAAATCTTTGCTGGCGGCCAAAAAATACGGGGATGTGCAAGCAATCGGTTTCCGTACTGAAGGAACAGATACAAATGTCGCAACGGCGATGGTCTACAACTGTAGCCAAGTCCATGGAATTTTTGTTGGGAACAAGAAGATGTTTGAAGACATGAACAGGCAAGTAATGAATCACAAGTTATCTATAACCTTTTCATAAACTGCCATGGTTAAGCTATATTATTACTCAGGGCAATCCACAGGCACAAAGTGAAGCCAGTGATTGACAAGGTATATCCGTTCGACGAAGCTCGTGAAGCTTACAAACACCTTCACAAAGGTGCTTTTGGCAAAGTAGTTATCAAAGTTGACTGAGTCGGAACGATAGGTAGCCTTTCGTAGTTGCTTCTTGCAGATGGCTGTATTTCTATCATCATTTTTGCCGTATAAATATCATCTTACCCTCTAACCATGCTGCATCCATGGTTAGATTGGGCACATTTCAAAATCGGGGACAGATGTACATCGAGTGCTTTGGTTGTTAGAAATTCCGCACGGGTCTCCACTGTAGCTGAGGGCTGCGAGGATAGGACGCGTGACGGCTCTGAAGGGTGAAGGGGGCTCTAGACGACTGCTTGCGATGAGTCCCGCCGTCATGCAACTTCCAAGGGTTGCGAAAGCTATGACACGCAATGTGCATCAGCGGGAAAGCATGGAAGCTTGGCATAAAGGAGCTTGCAAAGCAAACGTGCTCTGGTACTCTTTTCATCGTTGGACTTTCAGAGCTCACAACTATCGTGTTTGCATACTGTTTTTGGCACCACAGCAGTCTCTGAAAAAAAGCGATAACCACTCCAACTCAGTAGTTCTCACCCACGCCAACAATAGGAAACATGCTGTTTAAGTCCATTCTCGCGGTCCTCGTTTCTCTGGCCACCTTGATCATTGGCCTTCCTACGCCGATCCTGCCTCCGAACCTAATGAGAGAAGGCCAACTCGGCTACTGCTCTGATGTACCAGCTGGTATTCTTTCTATCACCAACGTCAGCGTCACTCCGTATCCACTTCGCCCTGGGCAAAATGCGACATTGTCCGCGTCAGGAGCCTTATCCGAACCCATCAACCAAGGAGCGAAAGTGAGGGTAACTGTTGCGTTACCAGGAAATTTTACAGTATATGATCAGCAAGTGGATCTCTGTCAGGCCGTTCGCTTGGTATGAGCAAATTTACAATTATATCCGTCAATTGACGATCCTAATATCTATCTTGGTTCAAAGCTCAATCATTCGTGTCCCATCAACCCTGGTCCGCTGAACGTTACTGTCACGGAGACTATTCCCAGTCAGCTTCCAGCGGTATGTTTCCGTTGCTAGTGCATGCTTATTTCATCTCGATGCGTCATAGTTTAAAACATTGGTTATTGCCTATCATGATGTTTTACAGGTAAACTATACGGTTCGCGTGAATGCAACAAACGCTGATGGGAAGCCCATCATATGCTTCGAGGGTCCCATGCAAGTTAGCTCCTCCTGAGTGGAAGTAAGCGACCCTTACGCTTGTGGATCCTGTCGCGGAAACAGAGCTTTGCATGGACATGCGATACTTTGGAAACATTTGCATGTCAACCAATTGAGAGAGCCAGATTGTTCTGTAGTTTGTGCATATATGTGCTTAGGTTGCATGTGTTGTCTGTAGGTTGGCTGTATTTTGACTGTAACTAGCCAGCGGTATATTTGGAATTGTTTCTATTGCTTGAAGTCTTGAATCAAAGCACTATTGCAAGGTACTGTGGTCTCAACCTCATGTTACGTAATCATTGAGAAAGCAAACTCCGATGCCATACATGAGGACCACGAATATTCTTGGTATGCATGCAACACGGGCATCAGATACCAGTATGTAGGGAGCATATGGAAAGCATACGCTAACGACAAGAGCGCATTCCCAGAGGCGCTCAATGCACAAGATGACATCAGAATTGCCACGTCTTCTCGATCATGGCAGTCGATTTTGGGATCCATTATGCCCGGCTCGGGGCTAGGGATCTTGGAAATGCGACTTCTTTCACATGTAGGATTTCCATACCAGTGTCTCTTCATCGATGAGCTTGCAGCACCTTACGAACGTGCCCAATACTTGCTTGGCGTACGCCATTATGACGATTGCATCATTGGCCCTATTGTTTGGCATGAATGTTCGGTTTTCCTAGCATTTCAGATGTGATGACGTCGTTTGTAGAAAAATATCCTGTCTGCTGGAGTCGACTGGGCGGATACATAAAGGCGGAAAGGTCTCTTCGTCCTGTTCCATTCAAGCTCTGCAGCGACTCAACAGCGACGCATTTGAAAGCCAGATTCCTTTTGCCCTCCTCACATTAGTAACAATCATGAAGACTAGCCTCCTCTTTTTGGCTTTTGCAGTCCTCTTTGTCTCGTCGAATGCCGCTCCGGCGGTTGTTCGCCGTCAAGCAAATGCCAGCGTCGTTGCCACCCAACAGATTGAACAACCAGTGACCAGTCAAGTGGTTGTGTTAGTATCGAACATTCACCATTACGGTTTACTCTAGGTTGCTGACTCACAAGTGCTTTCTGCCTTTTAGTCAAACTGTAGTGCCACAAGTCCAATCCGTAGTTATCACCAAAGAAGTCCTAACACCAACTGCGATCACCAGGACAGTCGCTACACCAACCTCGACCATCACTTACTTCACCGCTACTGTGACTGTGACACGTCCTGGTCCTAGATTCCAAACATCTACAATGCTCGAGACTGTCGTCTGGGGATCTCAGACTCAATTGAAGCCAACTGTCATTCCCACCGTTGTCACTCAGGTATGCATCCAATGTCTCTGATGCTCTTTAGCAATCGGACCCTGAACTCATCAACATTTTTACAGTATATTACCACTCAAGTTCCCGTGGTTGTTCAGACTACCCAAACTCTTGCCTATCCCAGCATGTACCCTGTAACGCCCAACTTGGTCTTTGCTAGTGACGAAGTGGTGAGTGCTTTGCACGGATCTTTGTATCTAGCATGCAAGGAATGGAGTCTAATACTCGATTTTTTTCATTAGCGCTCTACCTTTGTCGCTGCCACCGCTCAGGTACCAGAAGTTGTTGAAACCCAAGTACCTGTGCAGGTCGTTACAGTTGCACCTGCGAACAACTCCCCCGCTGCTCCTACGCCAACTGCATAGGGCCCTCCGCTACGGATGGCGTTTTAAATGCATCGATGAACGAGTCCTGTGTTGCAGGAATATTTCATCTCTTTTTGACTTTTTTTTTGTACAAGTCTCTCTTTGTAAACTGCCGTCTTGAACGTCCACTTTGGCCTTCATGTAAACCACTGTTGAAATACACAAAAGTCTATTCATCGCTATCATGATCATTTGCAAATCCATCTCTCAAGCACAGGCACAACCACTATCGTGTGCGATCTTTTATCCCATCTTGCATTTACTTTTTCATACTGATCAGGCACCATTTAACACTCTGGATCTGTCACATGGTGGTAAAGAGTGGGGTAACGTGATACTTGCACACGTGGATAGCCGGGCAAATCTTGGCTTCCGGCGGCCTTTCCGATGTCCTTTCCCTTAAAGTTGGCTTGGTCATTGCAACCCATCTGACACTTGCATCCCACCTTGAAACCAACGATTTAGAATCCCCTGGCACTTGAAAACCCAGTCAGGTCCGCATAAAGTCGTTACTCGTCAACAAGCAAGCATGATCTCGCGTTTGGAAAAGAAATGGAACCTCTTTAATGACTTGAATTTGGTCTCCGGCATGCTGCCGGAAGTCGCAAAGTATGGCCAAACGGTTGCCGACGAGATCTATAGCGATTTGTTTTTTTCTTATTATGCTGCACCTTGATAGAGTCGTATATTGGTCAAAAACCAAAACTGGGAACATTGTGGACATCTTTGTAAAACACTCTGCTCGGTAAGCAAGGAACCTCCGCTTTCGAATAAACAATAAAGTGTGTGCAGAAACTAGAAGAGTCTCAATATCATGGGGAAGGGGTTTGGGCTATCCGCATGATTGAACGCTTGTGTCACACGCGTTTTCGATCATATCGGTTCAATGTCGGCGTGGACTCACATATGTTTTCCGGCTACAGCTGGCCAAACAAGGAGTGCATTATTATGGGCGATGAAAGTCTCACATTTAAACAGGTTGATGAAGGTAAGTACTGTATATATTTATTCCCGTAGTGGAAACTTGAGTACTCAATACGTACTCAATACCACCAGTGTCCAACCGCATGGTAGGTTCGACCGAAAGCATGTATTTCATATCATTCAACCAGCTAAACAGAAATAATGCTTGCATGAATAGGCGCATTGGCTTCTTGAGCAAGGAGTTAAGCCAAAAGGTGTGCATAGAGTACTTTGTATTGGATCTTTCGGTTCCCTTAACAACTTCAAATCTTAGATGTTGTGGCAATGGTGCTGGAAAACTCGCCAGGTACGCACGATTATACAGCCAAGTACTACACCGCAAATCATTCGACAATATTAATGGAAATTTTCAAGAATTCATATATACATGGCTGGCGATTAACAAGTTAGGCGCCGTTGCTGCATTTATCAACACCAATCTGCAAAGTAAGAGGCGTGTGATCCGTTGGATAACGAGTGGAATGTTTTCTCAACCATTAGTCTTCCATCAGACCAAGCTCTTGCTCACTGCCTAAGGATTTGTAACTGCGTTATGGTCATTTATCACTCGTCTCTTGCCTCCGCGGTGACAAAGGTTGCCCCCGATGTGGTCAACAATGGAGTTCAGCCACGTCTGTTCAGCTTTGCGGATGGAACTGGGCCTTCCGATGTCAACCGTGAGATCCTGAAATCATACAGTCCGCAACCAACGCCTCCAGAGCTAAAAGCTCAAGTCTGCATCGATGATCCAGCTGTGCTGATATACACAAGGTTGACCCGTGCTCAAAGTCTTGGAGTAAATGTACACGCATTAATGCAATGGTCTCATGCAGCGGTACTACAGGAATGCCAAAAGCAGCAGTTGTGTCGCACGGCCGTCACTATCGTACGTTGCAGAGGGCTCGTGCGGTTACCTTTTGAACGGCATTTACTGATACGAGCGATTTCAGTGGGAGGAAGCGTATTCGCTACTGCATACCATGTGAAGAATACGGATCGAATTTATTGCTGTCTTCCGCTTTACCATAGTTCGGCGGGTAAGAAGCACCTGCTGTTTGTCTCATTACCACTGGTTAAAATAGACCCTTTTATCAAGCTGTTATCGTGATGGGAATGTCGTTTCGCACCGGAGCGACCGTCATTCTCGCCAAAAAGTTCTCTGCAAGTACCTTTTGGGATGATTGCAGGCGTCATAATGCCACGGCTTTCCAATACATCGGTGAGCTGTGCCGGTATCTCTTGAACCAGCCGCCAAAGGACAACGATAAAAAACACAACGTGCGATTGGCAATTGGAAATGGACTGCGTCCTGACATATGGATGGCGTTTCGGGAGCGGTTCGGCATCAAGGAAATTGGAGAATTTTATGCCAGCACAGAAGGTGCGTAGTAGCCGACATTGTTGACTTACTGCTTGACGTGTGACCGTCTTTTTGCTCGTCTTAGGGAACACGACCCTATTCAATTGGAATCATGGTCCTGACGGTGCTGGAGCTGTAGGTCATGCCGGTCCCTTGATGCGACTTCTGATGACCCTGCGGTTGGTGAAACTCGACATTGAAACCGAAGAGCCTCTTCGCACCCCTGATGGGTTCTGCGTCAAGGTACGGCCCTTGAATACGACGATGGAAATTTGCTAGCCAGGCTAATTAGCGCAACGTTTGTTGAAGGCTGGCTTTGACGAACCAGGAGAGCTTATTGGAGAGATCATTCCTGGCGACCCTAGACGAGATTTCAAAGGATATCATGGTGACAAGAAGGCAACCGAAAAGAAGGTGATGCGCAACGTCTTCAAGCAAGGAGACATGTGGTTTCGTACTGGGGATGTGCTGCGAATGGACGAGAATGGGTATGCTTTCGCGTCTTGCATCCGGTTTCATTACTGCATGTCTGATTTCTCATCTGTGTCGCTGATACCTCACTCAGTTATTACTACTTTATGGACCGTAAGTGTTTGTGCAGTCGTCGTGAAAGTCGCATCGCAATAGTATAATAAATCAAATCTGTGTATGTTATTACAGGTCTGGGAGACACATTCAGTAAGATGGAGGCTAAGCATATTGATTCTATTGCAGTGGACTAACTCTATGAACCCAATAGGATGGAAAGGAGAAAATGTGTCTACAACCGAAGTTCAAGAGGCAATACTGACGTATCCAGGTGTAAAGGAAGCTAATGTTTACGGGGTACCAATTCCCGGTAGGTGCTTTTTCGTTACAAGACGTTCATGTGTGGGCAATGCAGCTGAGCCGCCACCATGGCTTATTTAGGACAAGATGGTAAGGCTGGAATGGGGTCTCTTGTCGTGGACGACTCGTTCGACATCAAAGGCCTCGCTGCATATCTCGGGAAAACTCTGCCAAAATATGCTATACCGATCTTTTTGAGAATTCAAGAGAGGTGAGATTGCATGATCAGTTACTGATCTTCACCACCATTGATGTCTTTCTACCGGAATTTAGCATTACCGTCACCGCAACTTTCAAGCACCTGAAGACCACTCTCCGCCAGGAAGGCTACAATCCCAATGTGGTCAAAGAGCCCTTATTTTACCAGCCTCAAGCTCTTAACTTACCAGTGGCGGACTCGAACGGCTATGCTCCGTTTGGCAAGAGTGAATTTGAGAAACTCATTGCTGGTTCGACTAAGGCAAAGTTGTGAGTCCGTTAAAGGGGCTCTATATAGGGGCTATAGTGTATATACCTCTTTTTCATACACACGTATGCCGAAAGCACATTAATATAGATTTATGAAAGACTCTGAATAATAATCCTGGGCAAGTCACTGGCAACAACATTTATTGACCCATTTACAAACACAAAAACACCGTCGATTAAATTAGGATGCATTATAAATAATTAAGGGATGTTTCCCGGCTCGTATCTATACTTCAGTTCCAGTCGCAACTTCATGTGCATACCGTAGTTTTCCTAGTCGGTTCGCCAGAAGTGCGACTTCTATATATAAATGCGCGAGAGAGAGCTGCTTGTATGTACAAAATCGCAGGCAAGTTGAAGAACGTTCTTTATCTTTTCAATCACGCTTAATTTAGATCCTTTGGTTCACGCTTGTGTTTCAGTCACTTCCTCACGTTCGCTGTCCTTTGGTGCATAGACTTTATTGTAGTCCATCATCATGAGGGGCATATTAAAGTCTGATTCCGCAGCAGGAGCAGACTCATCCGTAAATAGCGGACGGTTGCCTTCAAATGCGAGAGCGATACCAGCCATGCCACCAGCCATGGGTGGAGGACTAACGGTCGCAGCGTTGAGGAGGGTACGAAGGACGTGTGCGACATTGGAGGAACGTGATTTTTCGGCTGTTGCATCGGTTTCTTGGTCTTTGCTGAGTTTCTCAGAGTCAGAAGACGTGTGCTCTTCCTCCATCTGATCCGCATCAGCATTTTCGGCCTTGTTGCGCTTTTGTGATTTCTCAGCATCGACAATGAGATCATCAAAATCGACTGTGTCCGTGAGAGATCGTTTCCTTCCCGCGGAGAGGCTCATGACGAGGTCTCTAAACTTTTGATTTTCCTTACTACTCGCTTCAAGCTCTCTCACTAATGTATTAGCAACCGTAACAGCTTCATCCCGCTCCCTCCACCATAGCTCTCTCTCTCGCATCCAGCTCTCCCGATCTGCTGCAAGCCGTTCGGCAATGCATTGTATTTCAGCTAGCCGACTTTCAGCGTCCGCAAGACGGACTTCGAGAGCGTCGGCTTGAGCGGCTTTGACTTCCAGATCTTTAACGTAGCGCTGGCGTCGTTCGCGGAACGCGCGTTGAGCGGTCCGGTTTTGTTCCGCTCTTCGCGCTGTTGTTTTGCGCTCGCCTGCAGATGAGCTTGGTGAGCGGCGGGATTTGGTTGATGAGTTTTTCCTTGCGCGGGTAAGTTCTGTGAGTGCATCTGGGGAGGACTGATCGTCAGCGGACGAACCGGCGTAAGAAGCAGCTGCGGCAGCTGCAACAGAAGTGCCAGCAAGCTTTGCTGCGGCGCGCATCATGCGCGTTTTGACGCTTTGAGCAGTGTTACTGCCTGCTGACTGGTGGTCGGAAAGACCCAATCCGCTAGGGAATGCATTTGAAAGATAGCCTTTTGATCGAACGGGGCTTTGGTGACCAGATGTAGCGTTACTGTGTTCAGAACTTGGGGACCCAGAATCCATGGATATAGGACTGAGACGCATTTGCATCCCGTCGTCGTGATGGTCAATCTCGTCAGCAGTAAAAGCTGGATGCATCAAAGGCGCATGGTGAAGAGCATTACGGGTATATAGATGTTGATGGTATAGTTCAAACACGTTCATGGGATGGGATGCGTGATGGTGGATGTGGTGATGCGCATTGCCTGCAAGATCAGGTTCCGCTGCTGGCGCTCCTGCTGGTGGATACAGGCAAAAAGGGTTCCGAGGCATGTGGCGATCTCCGGGAACGGATGAAGGTGGGTGTTGGTCATGGTCATTGGGGAATCCTAGGTCCGGGGCTGCCATGGCTGTGGGTAAAGCTAGACTGCTGTATTATTGGGAAAAGAAACAGAAATTAAATCACGTATAAGCCAAAAGCCTCTTGACAAGACGCTTGATGCTAGAGCATAAGTATATTTAAAATGGCACACGAACCTTTAATGTTCACTCGAATGGAATGCTGTCTGTGAACCAGCAGTTTATGTCTCAAACGTAACTGTAGAGCGACAAGAGACTTTATGCGCGGTCGTTGTGGGGACTCGAGAGACAGACGCGCTATTTGAGCTTCGCGTGCTATGCATCAGAATACCAATAGAGCCTCTATTCAGAACAATGCATGTACCGAAGGCCCCTCAGACACAGTTTCCGTATGCTTCTACCGCTTCTCGCTATGACGATACTGAACGAGGGGCGACCTTAGTGGGAGCTGAGCGACTAAACATGGAATGGTAGGAATCTCATCATAAACTGACCATGGGTAAGGGTCGGTAGTTGAGTGATATGGGTCCCATGACCTCTGAAGAATGGGTGGTTAAGTGTTTATGGTGCTTCCATATGGGCGGGGTATTCTTTCAGTTCTAATTAATTCTTTGAAAAGTGCGCGCGCTTGTTTTTATCATTCAAACTCCGCTATTGACGCGACTTCGAACGAAAGCACATCTTGGACGGAGGCGTCACGAGATGCTTTAACAAACGGTGCAAATACCTACTTGGACTAAAAGTTTGGGCAGCAGCAAATGTGTCTATACCACCGCTCACCTGCCGAGGAGGTAAACATTACCCCGTCTGTCCATCGCCTTGAGACCCTCAGCGCAGCAAAGACCAACAAAGCCGCGCGGAGCGCCGGAGTTTGATAAGCAAGTGTTACATGGTCCAAATATAGTTTAATGAGAGAGTCACATGATGTACTCTCCAGCGCCCGAGCTTTGGACCTTTGGAAAGCCAAACAAGGTGGCTGTCGATCCCAAGAAAAATCAAACAGACTCCATCAACAAAAGCACCCTCGCTTGGAGAAATGTGAAAGGTTAGTGACGGAATTTGATATGGCTGCCATTGTCGGGTTGTAACGAGCATCTCATCTCATCTTTGCCCCCCTCCACGCGAAGGAGGATAGTGGAGTCTTCACACCTCCACAATTTATGCGTCTGGGATTGTAATCATACTTTATACGGTACCGAAATTTAGTACTGGCTTATTGTGGCTACCAACTTGTGGAAACTGCAGTAAATGCGGGTTCCGATGCTTGACCAAATGTCTCTTCCCAAGAACGCACCACCTCAGACCACATCTCAATTTGCGACGAGGACCCAGCTAAAGGCATATCGTGACTTTACAGACCTCATCAAAAAGGAGCCAGGCCTGTTTGATACCTGGCCAGAGTTTGATGGTAACAGCTAATATCACCGAGTCTCTTTGCACGTCTTACTGATAGAGGAAGTAATTAGATGCAGAAGTGCGAAAATCTGTGACACGGGCTGACGCAACTGCAAGCGAAAGCAATTTTAGAAATGGGGGGAAAGGGCCCAATCATCCGCCCAACATGGTCCACCCCGCTCCTTTGACGTACAAGCGCGTCCAGGACCGCAAAACGAGGCAGGGACGATTACTCTTGGTATCCTTATTGGAGAATTTCTGCACTCTGTACGATGAATCCCCGGAACGAAACAGAAGACTATTTTATGTTATATGCAAGCAGCTTCATAGTATGGGGGTAATTGACTCGGAGGACTTTCTAGAGGAACTACATGCTGTTCGAGGAAGTTACAAACGTGCATTTCGAGACTTGGTCGTACGAGCAATGGAGGCAATTCGGGAACAAGACGATCATCGGGTCTTGGATTTCACTCCTCCGTCGCCTGAACCGGACGTGCTGCGATCGTCCGTTGTTGAGCACAGATCATCTCTGTATCGCCCAGGAAGTTCGGAGGCCCTTTCACGCAGTACCAGTTTCATTTCTTCCCGGTTGGCAAGAACAGGAGAAACATTCGCATCTGTTTGGGACATGCGCTCATCCCGTTATAGCGAAGATTTCAATGAATTGCATGTCCTTGGAAAAGGGGCTTTTGGCCAGGTGTGGAAGGTCAGAAACCGGTTGGACAATGTTGAATACGCCGTGAAGAAGATTCCATTGAAGATGGGGATGGGAAACTTAGAGCGAATATTACGAGAAGTAAAATTTCACGCCCGGCTATCGCATACGAACGTTGTTAGATACTTTTCTGCGTGGGTAGAGGACATTCCTGTTGCTAGAAGTGCCAACCGAGGGAATCCCCCGTCCATCATTAAGGATGACGAAGGTGATTACATTCATACTACAACGGAAACGGCGCCCAATTGTCACCAGAAAAGCACCCATAGTCCAAGATGGGAGCAAGGGCGAATTACCGAAGTGGCTACTGATATGGAAGATGCAGCTATTGAGCAAGAATATGACGATAGCATGGAGGACAGTGTGGGTCTTGTATTTGCAGAGGACGATACGGCCGAAAAAAGTCCTACGCGCCATGACGAGCAGATAGTCCCGCGGTACTCTCAACGTCAACGTCCCAGGCGCTCGTTACCGTCGCCCGAACCGGATCCGTCGGACGAAGAAAGCACCCCGAAGGGTTTCTTTCAAACCAATAGCGCCTTTTACGCTAATATCAACGAACCAGAATCGTCAGATGATGATGAGGGCGCAGACAGTTCTCTGTACATGCGAGACTCTCAAGTCGCTGCCTCTACAAACGCCCGCCCCCAGCCTGTGGCTCATCCTACTTTGCCATCCCAAGCTAGTCTTCCCGATGACGTGGAATTGACCCTGTTTATCCAAATGGAGCTGTGTGGACAGACGTTAAGAGACTATCTCAGAGAACGTAATAGACGCGTGTCTGAGGGCAGTACTGGGGTGAGTGTATATGAATGCCGCAGGATATTTCGAGATTTAGTGGAGGGTTTAGTATATTTGCATGGATTTGGCATCATTCATCGTGATGTCAAGCCAAAGAATGTCTATTGGAAACCCGACGACGATGCGTCAGGTAAAGGAAGTTGGAAAATTGGAGATTTTGGACTGGTAACTGCCACAGATCTAGAATGTGGGGATTTTGTTGAAGTTAATGCGCATGAATGCGAGGATGGTGCGGTTGACGGACCGGAGTACGAAAAGGGGCCAGACGCAACACCCGTACATCCAGAGTCTGGTACTCGTAATTTCGGCCGATTAGGAAACCGGAAACCTCGTCGTCAATCCGAATCTCAGTCTCAATCTCAGTCTGATCGAACTGCTGGCGTCGGAACTGTTACGGTAAATGAGCTTTCTAGCCTGATTACATTCCAGCTTTTTGCCCTTTTTCCTTCTGACCAAGTCTTCTACTATTTCAAAGTATGCATCTCCAGAACAACTCCGTCCATCTCTATCTACTCCATACACCCCTGCTTCAGATATTTATTCGCTGGGGATAATTCTCTTTGAGCTCCTCCACCCTTTCGCCACTAATATGGAACGTGCCCGAAGCTTACAAGCGCTTCGCGAGGGGGCGATGCCTGAGAAGTTTATCGAAGAATATCCTGAAGAAGCGGGATGGATCTTTTGCATGATGCGAATGGACCCTACATCGAGGCCTGGAGCTGGTGAGATTTTAGAATGGCTTGATGAGGAAGCGTATCTTGGACGACGGCGGTCGCGTGCTACTTATAGATCTCAGAGTCAATTAAGCTTACTCGGAAGCGGGCTGGTGTCAGTGGATGGGGGAGTAGACTGCGACTCAGACACGAGCAGAAGCTCTCCCCAAAGCAGCCCTCCAAATTCTCTGGGTGCCGAAGTACCCGTAACACCTAATGTGTCACCCTCGAAACCTTCAGTTCTTTCAGAAGCAATGTCAGACAATCTTGTATCTCAAAATGAAATACTGAAGGCTCGAGTCGAAGAACTTGAGCGACGATTAAGGGACATGGGTGTCGCGTTTTAGAGAGAGACTTTCTCTGACGCAGGGACTAGCGGATGTAATGAAAATGTATGCTAAAATGTACTTCTTTTGCAAATGTATATAAGAATTGACGATATTGAGAAAATCTATGCTCCATCCACGATTTGCTTAACTGGGGTCGGAGTTTTTGTCCCGACGCTTTCATTGCCCCCAACGTTTGTGGCTGAGAAAGAACACGGTGGTACGAGTGGTCTGGCATGTTCTGGCTTCAGCGTCTGGGAGGCACATGGATGAGGATGGGGAGACACATGGGACCTTCGACATCCATTCAGACACTTGTTTGCATGAACGAGGATAAATTACGAGGGTCGATCCCATCTCTCCTTCGGGTCTGGGAGAGCATACGATTCCCATGTTGAAAAGCATTGTTCTAATTGAGCAGCAAACGGTGGCGGGGTGCTTTGAGAGTATATCTTTAGAATGAGGGACATTCAACTAGTCCCGACCAGCGTCGATATCTCCCCGCATCTGTGTCCATTTCTTATAAAAGGGACAAATCCTCCCCGGATTTCTCTCCTTACCAATACCGCCTCAAAGCCTGCGCGCTTTACCAAAACTTGATATATCCTCATTTATTACATATCCGTGACCGATACCACGAGAAATCAAGCTGGTAGCAATGTCGGCGCAAATTGTTGAAATCCCTATGGATATGCAATCCTCTCAGCCCGAAAAGCTAACGGGCAAACAGCAAGGCCAAATTGGCAGGCGCGAAATATTGGAAGAGGTCGAGCGGGCCAGTAAATGGCTCAGTGAGGCCGTTGCAAGGGACCGAAATGCCAAGGAAGCAAAGATGTTGGCGCAGAGGCGTCTCGTACATTTCCACGAGGAAGAGGGTATGGAGTTTCTGAATTGCGTTACTCTGTAACGAAGTGTACTTAATTCTTCTTTTTTACCTCAGCCAATATATTCGAGGCCAATCTGAAAGAAGCCCGTCAGCTCTACGAATCGCAGCTCGTTGAGCAACGTCTTGTCGAATGGCGGCAAAAGGACGCCGCGGATGACCTCCTCAAGGACGAGGAGCGCAAAACTGAACTAGTCAAGTTTGTGAACAAAATGGCTGCTCTCAAGATCAAGCTCAGACTGCAAGACGAGGCTCGAGAGCGAGAGGTTGCATTCAGGGAGAAAATCAAGATGAAGCGGGACGCACATCAGGCCCGAGTCAAGAAATTGGAAGAGCGACAAAAGAAGGAGAGAGACGAACTTTTATCAACGCAAGCCAGGATTGCAAAGGTATGATTTTACCATTGCTTTGGTGTGGCATCGTCTCTGGTGTGCTCATTCAGTTATCATTTCCTTAGAACCTGAAATTAATACAATCTCTTGAAGTCCGAGGTATAGACGAGGCAAAGAAACGTCGTCTCCTCCGCGAGTTTGAAATCCAGTCACAACAACTTGCCATGAAGCAGCAAAAAGAAGCGGAACAGCTCCGCGAGATCCAACTTTTGAAGATTCGACACATGTCGGAGGCCGTTCAAATGGAGTTCGGCAACATGACCGAAATGGAGGAAGTCGCAGCTGAGCAGCGGTTGAAAGAGATTGAGCTGGATGCAGACAACCGACTTGCACTTCAGATGGAAGAAGAAAAGCTTGAACGTCAGCAAGCGAAGCTAAAGGCTTTACAACTCAAAGAAGAGCAAAAGATCCAGCGCAACCATTTGAAGCAAGGACAAAGGAAGCAGAGCAAGCTCCTGGAAAGGCAGCAGCGTCACGCTGCAAAGCTCCGTGAAAAGATGATGATGGCAGAAAGCGCTGCAATCCTCGGCGGCGACATGGCGATTGGTTCCGGTAACAGCGATGCCGACGGTTCAGACTCCTACACCGGTGACAGTGCTTCGATTGGTTCCTCTGAAGCATCCCGCTCCGAACTCGGCGCGGGTGACGACAGCGAAAACGAAATGGATGCCGAAACGCGGGCCGTGACCGAAAGCAATGCCGCAGCCGACGCCGAGGCCCGCCGCAAACGAAGCGCACGAAATGACGCCGAAAGCGAGTTAAACGAGGCGTTGAACAAAGGTCGTGAGCGTGTCAAGAATATGATCGCCCACCAGCGCAAAATGATTGAAGACCTCAAAGTCTATCACAAGGAAGTTCGAGACCAAAAGGCCCGCGAGCACAAGCGCAAGACTGCCGAAATGAACAAGGATCACGAAGACGAAATGCGCAACGTTAAGACGGAGCAAGCGCAGGAGATGGAAGAGCTTCTTGAGACCATCAGCAACCAAGACCTTATTGCTGCCCAACAGTCATCGTTTGATAAACAAATGGACACAGTCGTGTCTAACCAGTTATTAGGAAATATGCTTCCCCGTCATGTGGCAGAGGAACTTAAAGCCGGTCGGACACCCGAGCCCGCCGCATTCGAGAACGTGGCACTCTTCTTCACCGACATTTACGGATTCAAGGAACTCGCCAACCGATCGTCACCGCGCCAGATTGTCGCGCTCCTTAACAGGATGTACATTGCCTTTGATGAAGTGATTGCCAGGTTCCCTGATCTCTACAAGGTAGAGACCGTCATGGATAGCTTCATGGTTTGTTCTGGATTAAGCGGAAATACCCAAAAATCTCGCCAAGACTGCATTCGTGATGCAACCATCGCCGCCGAATGCGCAATACAGCTGCTCGATGCTGTTGAAGCTATAGACATGTCTGACCAACTTGTTGAAAAGCTCAACCTCCGTATCGGTATCCAATGTGGACCGGTTCTAGCTGGTGTCATCGGAACCAAGATGCCACATTACTGTTTGTTTGGTGATACTGTCAATACGGCCTCGCGAATGTGCTCTACCAACCAGGCCCTTAGGATTCAAGTCTCGGAGGCCATGTATGATTTGTTGAAGAATGAATACATTTTGGAGGAGCGGGGCACGATCGCTGTTAAGGGGAAGGGAGATATGAAAACCTTCTTTTTGCTTGGGCGGAAGGATAAGGTTAGTGAGCCCAACCATTGATGGGAATGCTATTGGGCAGTTTAGTAAAGAGATTGAGCTCGTGGAGGTTGCGGGGTGGATTATGCATCTATTGTTCTCGTTTTTTTTATATTCATCTCCAACAAAATATCAAAAATCCCAATTGGTCATTTGCAAATGTTTGCAATTGGGTGAAATTCTTTCGGTCTTATTCATTTTTCGATTCCCCATTGCGAAAGGAAATTCACAACAAAGGCAGACCAGGTTGATGTTAAGCTTTGGCTGACAATACGCATCCCTCAAGCAGCACAAACGATCTTGGATCACGCATCCACTTAACCAAATAGTTCTAAAGCCGACATATGAGGCATTGTCTCCTCTACAGATGCGCGAATATGACCTGACAAACAGCGATACAAACGGAGCAATACGGAGAGGTCACGGTTTGGTTGGCGTTAACCAAACTGGGTGTATTTATCAGGACATTTTTACGAAGATAATGAGACCATAGACCATATTTGTGCCAAGACCGATTGCCGATTACACTCTACCTCTCTGTTTCGAAGATTTCCAAGCAATAGCGCCGCCTGATAGCTTAGAAGGCATCCTGGAGTAGGCTTCTTATTTGAGAGGTCTTCTCCCCAATCTGCATCGGAATACGCTTCAAGATCGTCGCTGTTCCAGTGTGCAGTTCTTCTCAGGTACCTAAATATCCTCTTCACGCTAGTTCAGTTGGTGTTTCCAAGAGCACCTCACAATTCTCAGCAAGTACTTTCTAGTAAGGTACAAGCTCATTAGGTAGGACTAGGTCTGGACCTTGGGTGTCCGGGGAAGGTGATTCCGCTAGAAACCAGGTTTTCTGCGTCGTCTCCTTCTTGCTATTGATGCCATCGGTCACTTTCCCAACCTTCTGATCGGGTTGTTCCCACTCCCAATCAATAGAAAAAACCCGCAATTCGGAGCACAAGCTAGCGAAATCACATATTCCTATATTTTGGAATGGGTCCATGTCCATGAACGGAAACAAATGGGTTGAAAAGTCTTGGTATATTCAAAAACAATCGTACCCACGCACGCAGAACATGAAGACAGAAAAGCACAAAAAAATATACGAAGGATCTTTTACAATGCAACCCCTTCACAGCCAAGCATGTTTTTCCTATCTCAAAGGTCATCAAACTTTTACCCTGCCAGCTCTCACTCTACACTTTCCAACACCCAAAACCCATCCCCCCCGTCATTTTTCTGGAACTTGAACCGGTCCCCAACCAGACTCTCTACTTCATTCGAAACCAGGATTCCACCCTTCTGGGCCCCAGCACACAACCGAGAAGCTTTGTCCACCGTGTCGCCCAACACGCGAAAATGGGGGACACGAAAGCCCACAAAGCCGGCTTTAACTTTACCACAGTGGATACCGATCTTAAGGTTAATGGATTCTTGGATTCCCAGATCGGATCTAGAGAGGGTTGCCGTTGCTTGTGTGAGTTGTTGGGCGCAGGTGATAGCTGTGGAAATTGCCTCGGTGATTTGCGAAGGGGATGGAGGGGTATCGGTTAAGCCAACGCACAGGATATAGCCATCTGCAACACTTTCAACCTGGTAGACTCCTTCGCATTTGGCGATAATGTCGTCAAAGATGGCGTAGAGTCTTTGGAGAAGCTGGATCATTTGTTTGGCAGTGTATTGGGTAGGTCCTGCGAGGGCGGTTCGGATGGTTACGGCGTTATCGTAGGTGGTTGGGGCGGGTGTCTGGCCGGCTTTGAGAAGAGAGGCAAAGTGAGGAGGCATGGTGTTTCCTGCAAGTTTCATGGTGGATATCTCGGGCTCGGCTTTATGTGCATTGATGAGCGCGGTTTGCTCAGCGTGGAGCTCCTGGTACTTTTTAATCATGTCAAACAGTTCTTCCATATCGGTTGCTTGTTCTGCTCGAATGGTTTGAACTTCTTCTTCTTGCTCTTTTAGAAGGCTTGCTTGTTTGCGTTTGAGCTCGCGAACTTTTTGGTCCCGTTGGTCCTTATGTTGCAATTTGAGGGATTCGTAGAGCTCCTTGTGGTGCGCTTCGAGTTTTGTGAGTCTTTCCTGGCCTTTTTGGAGGGCCTCAAGAAGCTCGGTGGCAGCGTCTTTGTTTGAACGCTGTTTTCGTTTGCGGTCGGCTTCGGATCCCTGGACAATGGCCTGGATTTCGGATTCGTCTAGTTCGTGTTCCATGTGCTCCACGTTACCACCGTCCGTGGAGGAGACTACGTCGGACGTATCTACCTCTGAGGTACCCGCAAAGGAGGATTGGTTGTCCACATCTCGTTCTTGCTTTTGATGGAAACTGTTGCCGACTTCGGCCATCATGGCTGATGTCTCATCAATGACTGCTCGCTCCCGGATTCTCGCACTCGCCTTTTGATTCCGGTCGAGCCCCCTCCGCTGCCGATTCTGATAAGAAAGCAATTGGGCTTGAGCGGTTTTTTGCTCTTCTTTGAGTTGGAGAGCTTTGAGCTGGGCCTGTTGGCGGTCAAGTTTGGCGGCTTCGCTGCTGCGTTCAAGGGTTTGATTCGCGACCAGGGCGTTTTCTCTGAGGGTTTGCTCGGCGAGAAGGTCTTCGAGGTCGCTGGAAGAAAGGAGATCGAGTTCCATTTGCTCAGACATGTGCCGGAGTTTGATGAGCTACGATATGAGTTTCATTTATAATGAGGCTCTGTGTACCGGAGCGAAAAGAGAAGCTTTAACTAACCTGCAACTCTCTCAACTGTTCCGCTTCCTTTTGCTGCCTCATAGCCAATTGCTGATATTGCAACTCATATTCCTGAGCCCGACCCCGTAACTCCATCTCCCCTAACCCCCTCATTTCGAGGGCGTGAATCATTTTCAAGTTTCTCGCAACACGCTCCTGGGTTTTGATCAACTCGCTCCTTTCCGTTACTTGCGATACTTGGATGGTCTTGGTACGCTTCTCGAATGCTTCGCGTTTCTGTTTCTGTTTGGCACGGAAATCGAGCTCGCGTTCCCTTGCCTGGTCTTGCTGGGTAGCGTGTGCTTTGAAGGCGGCGATTTTCGATACCATGGCGATGAGTTCTCTTTTGCGAGTTTCGCAGGAGATGAGATCTGCGGCGGCTTCCCGTTGTCGGTCTTGCACCAGGCGTTGTTCGATAAGTTGTTGTTCATACAGCTGTCGGGCTTCTTTAAGGTTGCCTTCAAAAATGCTTACTGTGGGATGTGTAATGTTAATAATGTACAAAACGAAATGTTTTTGGTAAAATATTGCAAATTTCTGTACTGACCTTCTTCCTCTTGGAAGGCTCCCATCCGCCTTTGAGCGGCAAGCTTTTGCTCCTTGATCTCACGATCGCGACGTAGAGTCGTCACAACAAACTTGTTGTGCGCTTCAACAGCAGACAGCTGCGTAGGCTGCTGGGGCAAGACATCTGTAGACATGATGATTCTTTTGGACAAATGTTGCAAACGAGTATTTAGGTATGATATCCAACAGTTTCAAATAGACAAATCCAGATGGATATAGCCAAAGGTGTGCTTTTATGGAGAAACCCTAGTTCAAGAAAATGGCGGCACTAGGAACTAGTTCACTTGTTGCAAAAACCCCAAACTCGAATATTTCACATCAACATAGGCATAAAAACAGGGGAGAAACCGCCTCCCATTGTACAATTGTATACAGACCAAACAGAATGTGAAGAGCCTCGAGGGGACCTACGCCCCCACCAGAACCTCACCGTGAAAAGCCTCGCCCAGCAAAACCTGAACGTTGTTGAGCAGCAGTAGCAAAGCGAACAATACCATTTACCAGCTTAAAAGCTGGAGTATTTGGCAAATGTCTTGCATCCCTTAAGGGCTGCTTTGAGCGTCGTCACACGGGTGTACGCCATAGGCAACATTGTTGTTTGTCATGATGAGGATTTTGAGTGCGCGATATGCAATGTGCCCTGGTATTGTTTCCTCGGCAGGCTTATTCAGCGTTTGTTTGCATTTTGTAAGGCCAAGAACCCGAGCCACGTTCTCCGGCATAACTAGTGTCAACAAACTCACAACAACAGTACCTGCCGACCTCACTGTTAATTTTCAGTGTCTTTTTGTTGCGTCGTCGAGGCCTTGCATGTCCTCTTTTCAAAGCGTATTGTCTCCCATGAAAGATATGCCGGAGATACCTAGACATCATCTCAAAGGAACATTTAACAAAGCGACTCGAAGACAATCCATCAATCCATCCAGTGTAGCGCCTCCTCTTTGACAGCCGTTGAATGGATACCCTATTCAAACCTTTGAGATGCGAGTCTTTGGTCCAACACCCAGAGACATTTCGCGCCCGTGCCGAAGCACCCTCAGGGTGAAATCCAGTGGGGGACACATTACCAAATCAAAACACAATGGGAATGGGAGACATGGCGGGTTGTTCAACGTCGCAGGTATAACTCACATACAGGGGCAGTCAACAATGGGTTTTGTCAAAGGTCCAGGCTTTTGTAGGAGGCGAGTGTGTTGCATTCAGCATCTCTTATTGTGTCTAGATTTCGTGAGTGTGGAACGGTTCTTGAAGTGTGCAGTGGGGGTGGGGCTTTGCCTCTGTTCTACTGCAAATTTCTAGAGTTTTCAGTGATATCTCAAGCTTTGAGAAGTATAAATCCTCCCCTGACGGGATTTCGCTTTCTTTGCTGATTTTGGAGCTTTCTCTTGGAGGAGCTCATTATATTGTCCCAATTTTTCCTCCAACTCAAGGACAAGTATCACATCTCCCTCTGCAAGTTTATTATTGCAGCAATGTCAACAGCAACCGACATGATCGTCCCTACGGCCGGTGGAGCCCTGGCAGCCCAATCCAGCGGCCACGCCGGCACAGGCGCTGTAACGCACACGCACCAAACAGACCATGAACTCGAACGCATCTTGACACTCATGAAGGTGGAAGACCAAGCCCTGGCTCTCGCTCTCGAAAAAGAGCGCGCAAGCATGGAATCCACCATGGAACGGATTCACCGTTTAAACAATTTCCGGATTGACGAAGCTCACATTCGGGAGTCGAATATTGCTGAGAGTCGGTTCTTGGTTGATGCGCAAGATGCTGAGCGTAAGGCACTAACTGTTCGTGAGGCTGAGGAAGCTGCATCGTTGAAAGAAGAAGAGGAGGACAAGCGCATGTTGGAGATGCTGTTGAGGGAGTTGAGGACACTTAAATTGGGTGTGAGGCAAAAAGCAGAAGCTTCTGAAAAAGTGATGGCGGTTAAGAAACGATTAGCTGAGAGGCGGACCGCGAATCAGTTGAGGCTGGTAGGAGTAGAGGTCAGACAGGAGAGAGAGAGAAAGGCGTTGCAAGATAGCCATGTCAGGATTATCAAGGTTTGCATTTTTTTGTTTTGTTTATGGCCATCCATGGGTATTTAACAATGTTCTCGTTATGAAACTTAGAACATGAACATGTTCCGCACTCTCCTCTTACAAGATATTGAAGACGCAGCTCTCGACAACCTCATCGCAAACGGCAGTATGTCAGATGATGGAACAGTTTCCCAAAAAGGAACTGACAGAGCTGACGCCGACAAGCTGCACCAAACCAAAATGCTCCAACTCAAGCTCCGGATGCAGAAAGAAGTTGAACAACTCCGAGAAGAGCACCTCATGAAACTTAAGCACATGATGAAAGTGTGTGAACTCGAATTGGAACAAACGGAAGAAATTGAAACCTTGATGGCCGAGCAAAAAATTCAGGAAATGGAAGTCGAGACGGAACAAAGAAAGGAAATTGAGAATGAAGAGGACCAAATTGCTCAACAGCGAGCGAGTTTAAAGGCGTTTCACACGCAGCGAGCGCTTCAAGCCAAAGCATCCCGGACGCTCGCTCATCAACGGTACGAAGCAAGACAATTGGCCCGTCAACAAAAAATTGCTGCCAAACAACGCGAGCGGCAGTTTTTCGCATCCGAGGAGGCTCTCCGCGAAAGCATGCGAGCAATGTCTCAAGAGGAACAGGAAGAAGACGAAGCGAGCTCCCAAGTCTCTGGTCATATTAAATCAAGCAAACCCGGCTCAGCCCGTCATTCTGTCGCAGGATTATCCGAAATCAGTTCAACAGACCAGAGCGAAATATCTGACATTACAACTGACTCGCACGCCGATACGGCCATTGGTGACGACGCAGAAGCATCCGAAAGCGCCCAAGCGGTCGAAAGCGTCGAACTTGAAGAACAAATTCGCAAAGAACGCTCTAGGATTGAGGAACTGACTAAACGACACTATGCAGCCATGGAGGCTCTCCGCATCCAACAGCGCGAACTTCGCGAAATCACCAAACGAGAGCATGCTACTCAAATGAACCGCCTCCTGGGCGAACAAGAAGATGAATACAAACAACTCAAAATTCAACACCACCATGAAACAGAAGCATTATTGAGCACCCAAAGCGCTGCAAATGCCCTCGAAGAAGACAATAAAGGCGCTAATGAATTGCTGTATGGAATGCTCCCCCGTTACGTGGCGGATGCAATGAAGATGGGCCACGAGATCCCACCCAAAGATTTCGAAACAGTAACGATTCTCTATAGCGATATCGTCCAATTCACAAACCTAACCGCGAAATCGTCGCCAAACCAAATCGTCAACCTCCTCAACAGATTGTATACGGCTTTTGATTCCGCGTTGGATGACTATGCGGATTTATATAAAACAGAGACCATTGGGGATGCATACCAGATCGTTGCGGGGTTGAATCAAGAATCAGAACAAGGAGGACGTGAAGCCGTTATTCGACGAAATGCAATGGATACCATTGACTGTGCGCTCAGATTCTTGACAGAAATCCGGAACCTCGACATGACGGACCAAGTCATGCGTGATTTGCATATCCGCATTGGAATCCATTCTGGGCCGTGTGTGGGCGGTGTTGCTGGAGTGACGATGCCAAAGTTTGCGATTTTTGGGGATACGGTGAATATCGCGAATCAGATGGAACAAAAGTCGAAGCCGAATCGTATTCATATCAGTCAGGCTACTTACGACTTGGTAAAGGACGCGCCGTTTGTGTTTGAAAAAGTGGAGGGTGCAGTTGTGTTGGAAGGTGGAGTTACTTGCCAGACGTATTGGGTGACGGGACGCAAGGATAGTGCTGCAAAAGTGGCTACTGCGGGTGGAAAAAAGAAGGCGAGGGTGGTGCTTCAGTAAGAAAACTTCCCATACAAACTTTGTTGGGGATAAAGGATCGTGGGAACTCTATCGAAATTTACACATCTTCAGTCTTCTGGTGTTGCTTAAAACGTTCAAAGTGAGTCAAGGTGCAATACCTTGGCATCATGCCCAAAGTTCACATAAAACAAACAAAAATGTTATTCTCCAAAAGCCCATCTCATGTATTAAAAAGTCCGATAATACAGTCCCGCTCATCAACAACAAAACTAGACAAACCCAACCAAATCCCAAATCATCGTCTCACTCAAATCCCCAAACATAGCTTGCAAGAACTGGTCCTCATGTGATGGTGCAGGCCCATGTTGTTGTTGTTGATGTTGTTGTTGTTGTTGTTGTTGTTGCTGTTGTTGTTGCTGATGTTGCTGATGTTGATGTAGTTGTTGCTGAGGTGGGGGTGCATGATGTAATCCATGCACGGTTTGTTGAGTAAGGTTCGGTGGTGGCACATTATATGGAGGATTAAGGAGAGGTTGGTTATTGTACATGACTGGAATGTGTGGTACAGATGGGGGCATCATCTGGATATAGTTGACTGGTGGTGGACGGGCAGTGGTGATGCGAAGGGGTGCGGTAGACAGCGGGGGGCCTGGTATGGAAGAAGAGATGGGTAAAGGAACAGGGTCTGGTCGTTTCACGTCATCAACATCTTGCGCCCACTGTCGGCGCTTTTCCACAGCCCAGGGACGGAGACGGGATTGTATGCCGCGGGCTTCGAGGGTTTCCGCCATGACGCCGATAAAGCCTTTCATGATGGGGTGTCTAACGGCAAGGTGTTCCAAGAGGCCGTGCATGCGTTCCATGCGTTCGTGAGCGACCATGTCGCCGGTCATGACGTCGGATAGGAGTGCATCCCAGGCTGTCGTGAATGCTGTGGGGATATTGACAAAGAGAAAGGAGACGCCGCCAATAGAGAGAGATCGGCCGTCGGTCGTACTGGATATAGGTGGTGTGATGGGAGAGGATGAACAAGTCGAGTCGAGCTCCTCGCCGGTTGACGCGAGGGTTTCCAGAATTTCAACGAGGGCGGCGCTCGAGCGACGGGACTCGGCGTCGTAGCGGCCCAAGAGAGCTCGGCGCGACGAGAGGACAATGAGGTGCCATGTCACATGAAGGGATTCGCGCCGGGTGAATTTGCGTCCTGTGGTGCCTCCACCAGCTCCAGCGCCGTTTTTGGGTAATCGGAGTAGAGGGGGTAGACCCTCTCTCCACAATTCGAGACGGGTTTGAATTTCTTCAACAAGTTCTTTACCGCCTTCGGCTCGATTAACGCGGCCCTTTTTCCAGGTAGCTCGCGCCGAATTGGCGCGTTTCATGACGAGGCCAGCGATTTCCATGAGGGATGTGTGGTGCCGGAGGTACTCTGCGTCTGCACGCTCTTCTTCCACTTCGGAAAATCCTTGTGGCCACGGAGTGTCCCTGTTTTTGTTCTGCGCCTTAGCTTGCCTGTAGTTACAAGTGCACCAACATGGACCTACCAGTCGTCATCCGCCACCATCATGGGCCTTCCGGTAGCCATACTAGCATATCTCTCGAGAATGTACGCTCCAAACCAGGTTCTTCGTCGCGTTTCTTCGGTCGCTGTGGGATCATTTAATCGAATGGGACGCCGAATATCTTGCAAATTCCGATGCAAGCCCAATTCCTGAGCGGCACGGACACCCGCCCCAGTCAACCGCCACCGATTGATGAACGCATTTCCCTTTCCCGATCCGCAAAGTGACAAGACAAGGTACGCCTGTGTGATCCACACATGCGGCGCTTCGTACTCTAACGTAACTTCTCGTGCTCTGTCTGTCAATTCTTCTACATCGTTTGCAGACAGTCCACAGCGTTCTGAGTTTGGCATGTGGTGTACTACGACCACAAGGACTGCGTACAAGAGGGCACGAAATGGGAGCGAGTCCGGTCCCTCGGCCAGAGTCCGAAAGTAGCTGGCGCGGTCAATGATGGGAAGAAAGGGGTGTACGAGTTGAAAGTAGGTTGTCGACAGACGCATAATTTGGTCATAGGAAAAGGGAAGGTGCTTACTGAGGGCAGTAGGTTGGTAGGGTGACGAGGGCGTGTTAGCTTGGGAGGGTATATTGAATGGGAGGGTGATCAGACCGTCCCTATATCGCGGAGATTGATTCAAGTATGTTGCAGCTTGAAAGATTGAAAGGAAATGCGTTCAGGATAAAGGAAGGTCAATGTCAGACACACTTAATCACTCACATCGCCCATAATACATTAGAAAACTCCCACTGAGGTCCATGCACAATAAATTTCCACTGGGTATCAGTCGAGGTCTCCTCCATGGCGGTTCTTCAGCGGTTTCGGATGCTTCGGCTGACGCGCCCTCCCAGGGCCGTGTTGAAGAGGCACCTTGTATATCTGAACCGTCTGCCGAGGTCGTTGGGTCGGTGGATGGGTCGCCTTGACTCCCTGGAGGTATGCCTGCTGCGAGCAGTGATTCCATCATTTTGAGTCTGAAGAATACTAAGTGTTAACTTTCCGTGGCTTCCCCACACGCATCTGCATAGAGTTGTTCGCACCTATTCTCCAGGGTTTTTATGGTATTCTTTCTGATGGGACCTCTCTTTTTGGTAGTGTCACTGTAGTGGCAAACAAACCCAAATGCCCTGCAGCCGGAACAAGGGTACTCTCCAGAGCACTTTGTTCGCTTTTTTCTACATGTATCGCAAGCCTTTGACGCGCGTGTTCTCTTTGGCTGATTGTGATGCAGTAGCTGCTGTTGGTGGTTCTGTTGCTGATCCTGTTGCTGTTGTTGCAGTTGTTGTTGTTGCTGAGCATGCTGCTGCTGCATTTCGTTGGCGAAATTGTTGTAGCTGTGGTGGTTGTGGTGACCACTACCGTGAGCCGACGGAGAGGGAGAAGCTGGAGACTCCATTGGCGGACCGTTTGGAGTTGTGAGAGGGGGCGGGGATGTCTCTGACTGGGAGTCATATCCTTGTGAAGCCGCGAGGTTTTGTTGTCGTTGTTGTTGCTCCATAGCGACGAGGGGACTGCGTGTGGTTGACAGACTCGAGATTCCGTCGAGCTTTGCACACGAGCACACAAGAACGAGTGCGAGTGCCAAAAAGATATCCACGCAGTCACAAACACACACACAGGCACACCCCGAGAGCGAGAGCGACGACAACGCGACAGGAGGAGAATGTCACGCAAAACCTTTTCCGCACTGTTCTAACCAACGACTACAAGAGCCATGTACACAGTAACACTAGTAATAGTAATATCAACGACAGCGATAGAGTATATCACGCATGCAACAAATGACCAAAGATTGAAAATGTTGAAATGTCCCAAGTGCCAAATCGTCGAAGGTGTTCTGCAGGGAACACAAAAACACGACCTGGTCTCTGGGTCAAAGGAATTATTTTGATTAGGTGATTTCTTACCCAATTCCTTTTTTTCTTGGTTTTTTAATTATTTTATTTCGGTTTTGGTATTTCCGATATGGACTTCCGACGGTATTTTTGCAGAGCATCGCACACAGCGATATGGAGGGGGCAGGATAAGGGTGTGTTTGTGTGATTCAGTATGAGCTATATCCAAGGCAATGGATACGTGGAAGTGTTCTGAATGCGTTCTTTGAAAGACTCGATATAGTATTATCATGACCCCTTCCTTCAGAACCAATATCCGTATAAACCTTAGGTTTTAAACGGTCTAGAGTCCAGGATAAGAGTCCAGGGTGGAATTAGGCGGAGGGAGGGGGACGCAACACTGGGCACATCCTTGCGGACGAATGCACTCACGGGCAGAGACAAGCAGGAGCAGCTGGACAGCGCTGCAGGCTACCGAATCTTGTTCATTTCTCCGTCAATCTTCAAATATCTCGAAACATATAAACACAATGCAATTCGGAACGCACTAGTTCTCATACACATGGATGTCCTCTTCAGTCTCACTCGCTGTTGCTCACAAATGTTTTAAAAACACAAATGTATTGGGGGACACCGACCACACTACACTGTTGCACACTCTTGCACACGCAAACACATTCGAAAAGCATTTGGGAATATCGCTTGCTCTTTTTTTTTGTCGCTCTGACACTTGCACTCTTTCCTTACCCGCTTCTCGTTATTTTACAGCCAGAATTCAAGTTTGTTGGTGCTGGAGGCAGTGCAGCGCTTGTCGCTCCTTTTCCGTCCCATGATTCTCGACATTCCTACTCACATATGGATAACTATGTTCATTATGACCCGTCGGTATGGCATCATCAGTATCCATTACTCGTCAGTGGGCATTTTGTGAAAAGCATAACTCACCAGTCGATGGACGACCGCCCTGACTGCTCTTTGGGCTTCGGATTCACAGGACCAGCGTCAATGTACCTGCACATTCATATCGTGCTGCAGAATGAGCTTTGCGTACAATTGTTTGCTCTAATGGATGGCGTCCTTACATGCTCCTCGGACTCGTGTCGTTCATGCTGTCTCGAAAGGCTGCTGGGTACAGGTCTGCGTTTTTGTCGGCTGGTAGAGATTTGCTCATCATTTTATTTTGTTTTATGATATTTGAACAAAAAGTTTTGAGATACAGGCAATAATGGCCCTTTGCGACTGACTGGATAGCGTTTCTGGGTTATGGCTTGCGTTTACCTTTCGCTGCAGATGTCACATGCTTTTAACCATTATGACGTCCGGATCAGGGCTGACCCGACGCACACAGCAGGGTCGTTGCTGAGGGTTACCCAGTTGCCCACAATCAGGAATTCAGGGTCAACAAGACCAAGGTATGCTATTCAATGGAGAGGCGCACACGTTGGCATCAAGAAAATCGGGCTTTGGGGTTACCCGTCATGTTACAGCGATAGTTGGTCCTCATCCACTTTCATATATAACATGGTATTTGGTGATAGCAGATTAGAGTCCGCTCAGACAATACTATGTATGCTCGAGAGCCACGCAAAGGGATATTCATCACTTGACCTTCATGATGGCTATTCGGCAAACTCGGTTATCTCCAGTGGCTGGTATCTCTGCCAGGGATTCATTATTTCAAGGCCCTTACATCTACTAGTCGCATTGCAATATGCCCTACCACATTGCATACACAAACAGCGTCGGCTCAGCAATATTACAATAATGATATTTAAAATTTCGATTATCCTACAAGATGCCTGCCTTTGCATTGGCAGTTATCATTCCGTTTGCACTATTCAATTTGCGTACGTCGACAGCCGTACACGAAGATGCAAGCTTGTATTAGGTTGTTCCCCTTGACCACCCGCAGCAGGAGGCGTGATTATCGTCTGATTCTTGCCTGGTGACCTTTTCACCACTACGTGCTTTCCGCCGTTGCCGGGTCAAGACCCCAAAATCTCTTCCCTGAGGACTGAGGGTTGATCAGCTTCAAGTCGAAAATAGTATATTGTGTCAAAGCGCTGTGGTTGGGGTTGCCCACGACTACGCAAGGTCGTCACTCCCATCCGTTAATCTCTGCAGCTCGACCGCATCCCCCCCATTCGAAGTGCTCTGCCTCTTTTTCGTTCCCGCCAGCGTGATCGGCTCCATCTCCCTCTGCATGCACAAATACTCGCCCCCTAACGACAAAACAACCAGTGTACACAAGAAACAAAACCACCAGAAAAAGGATTTGGGGAGCGATCGGCTGTACAGAGTCGTTATGACAATGTGCAGAATGTGGAGCGTACAGCTAAAGTCGAGGCAGAGTTTGGCCCGCTGAACAATTATCAAGAGGTAGTAGCTCCTATCCCAACAAACCAAACACTCGTAAGTTTAAAAGGTGGCCGTGCAGATTCTGCCCATCAACATACCCCAACCCCGCATTCATCAAATTCGCTAGAAATAAACTCCACCCCAACACAGTATCTGTCCGCAGCTCGTCGTGCATCAAAACATGATTCAACGTCACGGGCGATCCCGTCAACAATTCGAGCACAAAGACAATCAGCGATGCAGAGAGGTAATATGTTGACTGTAGTGCCACTAATATCGAATGTTTAATGTTTCCTTACAACTGCAACGGTACGCTGGAACGTACCTATCTGCGCGGAAATAAGGATAGGATCAAACGTTGAGGTACGGAACGAGGCACTGGACATGTTGTCACTTGAAAGTGACGAAAGTTAGCAGAAACTCTTTCACACCGGTTGTCATGCACGATCCCCCCTTCCCCCCAGCTCAAAAAACCACAGTAGAAAAAAGACTCACACATGCTCCAAACAAAACCCCGGCCAACCTCGCAAAAGAAGCACAGTCGACGTTCGCTGCCATCCATTGTGCGCAGCAACGCCGGTCGCAGTTTGTCACGTGTTGCTTGGTCATCAAGTCCCGCACGCAAGTTCAGTTGGGTTTTTGGCTTTCCTTAAAACCCACCAGTCGCCCCCGCCGACAGCAAACTCGCAATGCTCCGTGGATAGCAAAGACAATATGTTACGCAGACTACTATGCTTTAAGCGTTAGGATGGGTGGCATCCATTGAGGCTCGTTTCAACACGTTAGGCACTATCCACATTTGAATCATGCATGCCTGTTCAGCCACTACGCACTCTTTACTTTACTCCGGACACATCCACGGGATTGACTGTGCATCATCTACCTACATGGCACTTCGTCGCTTTCGGCGAATGTCACAATACACTTCACAGGTGAATCAGCGTGAAAGGGGACAGTTGGGTAGTGTAATCCTTTATTCTGGACTTAACGTTGGATCATCGAATACGGCCCTGTGTCTGGTAGGCGTTCCGTAAGCGATTTGACGTGCTGGTATCGGTTCTCGTATCGGTTGTCGTACGACCTTCTCATCGTGTAGCAAGTTGTTGTCGAGTTTTGTTCACCCCAAATATCAAAGAGTAAATGTCATCTCGTGTACTGGTACTGGTTGGAAAGATTGCAAGTTTAATTTAATGGATATCTCACAGAGATAACTTTACTAGCTCCAAGAGTGTTCATAACGTCCGAATAGCCATAACAAATCTCAATGTAACATTAATAAAATAAACAATAACATATCCCAATTGCATTCCCAACTCAACTACCAAGGCCGTGACCAAATGACCATAGCTCTCCTTCATAGGTGGCCTGCACACCCACCCTAAAATAAAAAACGTCACACTTGCATCACCACCTCTTCAACTGCCAAAGCATATAAATATATCCCCCACTCATCTCTTCCTCCTGTCCATACAAAATAACGCAACCATGAACCAAGACACAACAACCCGCATGAACGAGCTCGGCAAAGCTCACTCCACGCGCTCTCCCGCACGCGACACGACCACTGGTGCAACAGCATACGAGAGCAACTGGGTATCAGACGAATCCTTTACAAGTCAAACCATCGTTAATGGAAAACAGGATCAGAGTGGGTGGCATTCTCATTCGGAGGGTGTCGCCGATCCAGTAAGTTGGCCGCGCTTTGGTTAGCAACCTTAAGTGATGGATTTTTAAGCGAGCACACTTGACAGGACGGAACACCCCAAACAACAACCTCGTACACGGAAGAATTGGGAAAAGATGGATGGCATGAACAACAGAGGAGGATTCAAGAATAGATTCAATCATTATTAAATCGAGCCGTTTATCCCATTGTATAAAAAAAAATCATCACCATTCACATATATTTATTAGACTTTAAGAATTTGTTGCAGAATCTTCCGTTGTCCATCGTTTCCTAAAAAAAAAGCTGATGAGCGTTAAGATAACACACTTGCACTACACAGAGATCTCACCTTTGTCCAACATCCTTATCACATCCTCAACCCATTCTTCACACTCCCGCGCAACAATCCCCTCCAACAAACGTACAACCCGTCCAAAGTACAAATCACATTCCCTAGTCTACTTTAGAAAATCTTGCCATCTAAAAGACAGTAAGCAACACACTTACCTGTACCGCCCAAACACTGCCTCCACGAGCAAACACCACGGAACGCTTTGTAGTTCCTGCAAATCATCTACAGCCGCCCAGCGGACGAGAGTCCCGAGGATATCCAGAATATATAATACGGTGGTCGTTTCCTTTCGGCTGTACTATAGTTAGGTCATTGTCGAATGCATTGGCCATTATTGACGTACCCTGAACGGATAATCTCATCCACAACACGACCCAATTCCCCGACATGTTGCAAAACTATTGGCAAGATATCGGGACACAGTGGTGGACACCCTTCCCTCTTCACACTTTATTCTGTCAACCCATCATCCAAAATCCGTACACTGCATTCATACTTACCTATTCATGACCAATCCACACAAAACCCTCACACACTCTGGCCGCCGTTCCATCACCCGTTCCAACAAAAACCGGGCGTTAAACCCCGTGAAAAGCATATAGCCAAATGGATTTCCAGCAGCCTCATCAACGACTCTCAGCAGTAGATCCGCAATTCCATCCAATGTCTGGTCATCTGCAGCTGTATGAGCATCATTCCTTTCTGGTAGGTGTGAAAAAACGTACCGGTGTCAAACATTTCACTCAATTGAGTTATATAGGTCCGGCACGCTTGTAGTCGGTTTGCATCCGTTTCAAATACAATAGAGAGAAAGCAGTCTGCAATGTTTGCATCGTGTGCATGGCTAGTAACTGTTCAATACGCTTAATACGCGGAAAATATACGATAGAACGTTACGTACCGGACCAGGATGGACATTGGGCTGGGCGTACCATGCAAAGTCCAATCCCCAACAGTCCGATCGTGCCGCAAAAGGTACAAAAAGAGCTTCCTGGGGGCACGTTAATATCGTTCATCGGCAAAGTTGTCTTGGACGATAACCAACCTGAAATACCTAAAAGCAAAGCTTGTAACCAACAACAGCCATTCAGGAAACGGATATCAAACTCACATGAATTCCTCATCCCCTTCAAATTCAGCCCACATGACTCGTACTAAAACGGTCCGCACAAGTCAAATTATTAACATGCCGGAAAAGACAGTACGAAGAAACGAAAAAAATCCCAGATGCGATACATACATATTCGCACCACCAACCACCCACTCAAAACATTTACATCAACCTTACAAAGCACATCCACAGCCCGTTTATCCGTCATGCTCCTCCGCACAAGACGCTCTAGCGTACCTAGTACTAATATCAATACATTGGACGAACAACGTATCTGTATACGCTACCTTTTGTATTTAGCCACCCGACAACACGCTCATCAACGATCGGATCAGCCAACTCCAAATACCGGTCCAATAACCCTTCGTCATCTACTCTTTTATCGGTAATGTACGCATCTAATATTAGAGGGGTCGGGACCGGGGGCGGTGGTACGCGCGGCTGCGGAAAGGGTTACCACAGTGTACACGAGATGGACTGAGGCACGTACGTTTGGGTAGGGTATGCGTGTTGGTGGCTTAACCAGTGTTAGCTTGGAATTGAAGAGATAGAGAAAGGGCTACTTACTGGTGACGATATTTGTGAGACTTGCAACATCTTGCAGATGGAAAGCGAGATCTGGGACAGGCGACGGAAGGACGTCCAAGTCCGATTCATGACTGTGCCGCACACTTGCTGCGCCATGATTGTTTTTTGTGTAAGCAATTGCAGCATTGCTTTTTGGGCTTTGCACTTCGAAACTGTGTTTATTTTTGACAAGCGTTGGTTCGAGACATGCCAGCACAAAAAGCCAAAGCAAAAAAGACGCCCCCGGTTTCCAAAAAATCAAAACGCTCCATCCTCTTACAGGAAATCCTCTCACTCGGCGGGGAGGAATCGGATCTCGCTGTTATCGCCGATGCACTGTCCGGGTCTGAAGCGGAAGATAATGGTGTGCAAACGAGACGAAAGGAGCGAAAGGAAGGAAAAGAGGAAGAGGATGAGGGAGCATTGTTGAAAGAGTTGATGGGCTTTATGAATGGTGTTGGGATTGATCCGAAGAAGAGTGTTGTTGAGGAAGTTGACGACGAGGAGGGTGAAGGTGAGGATGGCGGTGAGGATGTAGATCAAAGTGAGGGACCCCAAGGAGGAGAACAAGAGGAGGAGGATGAGGACGCAGAAGAGGGAGACGAAGATGCGGAAGACGATCATGAGGATGACGAAGGAGCAGAGGAAGAAGGAAACGACCAGCTCAAGTACGGAAAAGAAGATGCAAATGAGGTCCGATCCATGGTGTCCCAATTGCTACAAGGCCAAACGGTTGACGATAAACTAAGCAAAAAAATGGCAAGTCTCACATTTCCCTCACCTTTATGGTACAGGATCTCATTCCGCACGTACATAGATCTTTGAACCGACAAGCCGCTGGTACGACCATCCACTCCCCCCCATCACCGGCAAACCCAACACCTCAGAATCCACCCTCCAAACCACGTACACTCGCGCCAAAACCCTCTGGACACAAGAAAGCGCCGAATATACATCCCTCAAATCCCGATCAGCCGACAAGGACTTTATTTCCACTGTGTTGAAGTCGGGTACTGTTACAGACAAAGTCTCGGCTTTAACGCTTTTGGTACAAGAGTCCCCGTTACATACCCTCCATCTCTTGCGTGACCAGCTTGTGAATGGGATGGCGAGGAAGAAGGCACGGAGGGAGGCGGTACTTGCTATGGATAGCGTCAAGGATTTGATGGTCGGTACATTACTGCCTGATAGAAAGCTGCGGTACTTCAGAGACCAGCCCTTGGATTCTCCACATGTCAAACCTGTGCATTTGGTGGCATGGTACTTTGAGGATGGGTTGAAGAAGACCTATTTTGAGTTTATTCAGCTTATTGAGGTATGTTGTGTATTCCACTTTTTAGCGTTTGTCATGACCTATATAAAGACATGATTGTATTTCAGGAATTGGCCAGGGACCCCCTCCTCCACATTAAAAACAAAATGATCCAATACATCTACGACCTCCTCTCCTCCAAACCCGAACAAGAGCAAAATCTCCTCTCCCTCCTCGTCAACAAAGTAGGCGACCAGGACCGGAAACTTGCTTCCAAATCCGCGCACCTCCTCTCGCAACTCTTGGCCACACACCCTGCCATGAAACTCGTCGTCATTAAAGAAGTCGAGCGACTCTTGTTTCGTCCCAATGTCACGGATCGAGCACGGTATTATGCTGTCACATTCTTGAATCAGATTGTGTTGAGTCACCGGGAGGCGGATGTAGCGGCTGCCAATCGTCTTGTGGATGTGTATTTTTCAGTTTTTGATGGGCTCGGCAAGCGGATGGAGGCTGCAAAGATGGAGACGGACATTAAGAGCAAGAATGGCAAGAATGGCAAGAAGAAAGGGAAAAAGGGAAACAAGAATGCTGGAAAAGGGGCGAAAAAAGCAGAGGTGGTTCCTCAAGATCCCGAGAGTATGACTCTGGCTGATGGTATCGACGCCAAAATGATGGCAGCCTTGTTGACTGGAGTCAACCGGGCCTTTCCATTTGCAAAGATTGAAGACGATGTGTAAGTAGTTTTTTATGACTCTTTGTTCTGTATACACGGGTCCTCACTCTCTACCAGGTTTGACAAACACATGAAAACGCTCTTCACCGTCTCCCACATTGGGACGTTCAACACCTCCATCCAGGCGCTGACACTCATCTTCCAAGTCCAATCTTCCCGCCAATCCCTCTCTGACCGCTTCTATCGAACCCTCTACGCCTCCCTCCTCGATCCCCGCCTTTACACCGCCTCCAAACAAGCCATGTACCTCAACCTCCTCTACCGGGCCCTAAAGGCCGACACGTCTCTTAATAGAGTCAAATCCTTTATTAAGCGCCTTGTACAAGTCTGCGCATACGTTCAGGTGCCATTTGTCTGTGCGGGATTGTTTTTGGTAGGCGAGGTGGCCAAAGTGCGTCCTGGAATTTGGGGGATGGTAAATCAGGCTGAAGAGGATGGTGATGTGGAAGTGTTTGTCGATGTGGATGAGGACGGTGAGGTATTCAAACCAGATGTAAAAAAAGTGACGCAAGGATATGACGGCAGAAAGAGGGATCCGCTATATTGTAATGCGGAAAAGACATGTTTGTGGGAATTGGTAAGCCTTTGCTGATGCGATACCTTTTTTTCCGAAAATGCCAACCCGTATTCCTAGACTGTCTTTTCTACCCACTTTCACCCAACTGTCTCACTCTACGCCAAAACGCTCCTCTCCGGCACACCGATCGCCCCTCCCCCTAATGCAACAAACTACGATCCCCTCCAAAACCACGCTCTCAGCCGTTTCCTCGACCGCTTTATTTTCAAGAACCCTAAAAAGGTTTCGACGGCCTACAAGGGCACATCCCTTATGCAACCTAGAGTCGCAGGCTTGAGTCTCTCTGGTCGCGAAGAGGAAGGCCACGAGCGGATTCTGAGTGCGGCCCGGAAAAGAGGCGTCGTCCTCGAGAATGAGGAAATTGGGAATAAACTCCCCTTGGATGACACACCCGTTAATATCGTTGCGCAAAAGTGGCTCGAGAATCCCGAATCTGTTCCAGTTGATGAGGTAACTTCAATCATGTTGTCTGCAACGTGCTCTGACTAACACGTCTCCAGGTCTTTTATTATCAATACTTTAAAGAAAAGGCTAGGGATACCAATAAGATCAAGAAAAAGAAGCAGGCAGTGGAAGAATTGGATGCTGCCGATGATGAGGACGAGGAAGAGATGGATGAAGACCTGGTTTGGGAGGCTATGCAAAAGAGTGCCGGATTTGATCCTGCTGGAGAGGATGAGGATGGTGATGAGGACTTGTTAGGTGATGAGGATGATGAGTTGAGTTTGGAAGATATAGACAGTGATGAGGATAATGTCGAAGGGGAGAATGATGAGGACGATCATGATTTGGACGACGTATACAAAGCCATGGATGGCATCGACGCGGCTTCAGGTTCCTTGTCTGACAATGCCTCTGGCGACGACGACGATGATGAAATGGCCAAATGGGCCCAAGACTCAAACGAAGACACCAACATTCCCTCTGGCGACGATGAGTACGATGACGATGATGACGATGCCTCGTTTGCAAACATGATAACAGCGGAAGAAGCGTCCGACTCTGAATCTAAGAAACCCAAAAAGCCCACACACCTCTCCACCAAAGCCCGCGCACTCGGATACAAGGGCACGTATTTCGACACAAAATCTGCGTTTGCCTTTGCGGATGCTGATGAGTTTTTGGAATTGATTGAGCGAGAGGATGGGTTGGATACTGGTGACGGTGCAGCTGCTCCTGTGAGTAAACGTAAGGGTGAAAAGAGGAAGCGAGAGAGTGCATCCATGGGTCAGGGGAAGAAAAAGAGGGTTAGATAGGTGTATGCCTGTTTTGTATCATACATGTTGAGTGCATAGCTCGTAGCTCATATTTAAATAGACAATTCAAGCATGAGTTGTTTAGGTGCGCTAATCATTGATATGTGTACGGGCAATATTTGCACGGCACGGCAGCCCTCTACAGCCAATGGTTAGACATGTATTTCACCCAACGTCTAGCACGCATCTTCTATGAACCTTCCCCCGTCCCTCGCACCGACGAGCGACGCCCCTTTTTCACTGCCGACCCAGCATCCGACACCACAATCGTCGGTGCTGACGCATCGGATATCATGCGCAACTTTCTAAATAACTCTTTCGCAGGTCCCAAATTCCAGACTGAGCCCTCCGGGGTATGCACAAACGGAAACGTGTGGTGCCTCTCTCGATTAAATCGGGTCGACAAGAGACTAGATTGATGTTGCGGGACACTTGTTCTATGCGCGTAGGTGGTTATTTCCTTTCGTCCTATACCGCCGTGTAGAGGTGTCGAGGGCGTCCAAGGGCGATAGGTCTGTACCGGAGGATTGATCGGATCAGGAGCACTCCATGGAATTTGCTCAGAGTAACAAGAACTCGTCTCCTCGGGATGCATCAAGGAAGCCGACACGAAGTGCTGGTCCAAGAGAATCGTACGTGGATGTGATGAAACCACTGGTTCCTCTTTTTCCTCATCGTCCATGGAGTGAATGTATCCTTGTTGATACAGGTACCTCGTTATGGGCGACGGAGGATAGGACGCAGCCGTGCTCTTAAATCCACCCCGTCTTTGTACAATGCCCTTCATTTCCTCTTTCCACATCTGGACGCCTAGATCAACTGTAGGCGGGATGGACATGACGGGACTGTCCTCGTCATCGGACGATACCCATCCCAAAGACTTTTTGCAGGCGGCTGTAATGAGGTTCAGCATATGGTCCTTGTTGGGTTGTGGGGACGTTGCGGGTCGCGTGGGGCGACGACGGGTACGTGGACGTCGTAGGTCTCCTTTACGTTCCTCTTGAAGCTTTTGGTGAACATCTACTTTGGGTCTCGCCTTTTTTATTGTCATCATTTTAACCTCAAGCTCACATCCGCCTGCTACTTCCCCCTCTCCATCGCCCGGTTCTGCCGCAACAGGAACGTACTCAGCCTTGGATAGCCGCCTGGGAGGACCCGGCAAATGCCCCGAAAATGACCGCGTACGAATCGGAGACCTTTGTCGTGATGGCTTGTTGTCTTCGGCCTCGGACGCTGTCGACCGTGGGGAGGCGACTTGGGATTTGTTAATGATGGAATGGGGAGAGGTTTTGGGCATTTCTGCATGTGCGTGTATAGAAAGTAATAAACTTGGTTTCTAAAGCAATAACCTGGCTATCCATAACCCAGTCAATCAACACCAAGAGGCAAACAGCACGAAAAAACCAAAGAACCACGCCATCCAACCCCACAACAGTGCAACAAAACAAAACTACCGACAAAACACCCTCCACACGCCAAACCCAACGTATTGACTTATCCTCATGACACCCTCGTGTCTGGCGTGTGCCTCGTTTTCATTAGATTAGTTGAAACTACCCTCTCGTCAACATCCCCCAACCCGCACAAGAAGATTGAGGCACAAACCCTCATCTTTCGATCGGAGAGATTACGTAACGGTCAAGCTGATGATTTTCATTTTTGTTACGGGAGCATTGCCTACGGTTCGCTGCGACGGCTTTTCGATTCTTACGCTGGGTTGATGGTTTTGTTAGATGTGCTGCTCCTTTGTTCTTGGCAGGGTTGCTGGGGTGTTTATGTCATATATTGGGCGCCCATGCCGGTTGAACTCCATGGACGATCAACACAAGGATGGGTGGAATGGCAGTGTATGGAGATAATGCCCACAGGATCTTTTGGTTAGATTTCTGAAAAACAAGAAAACGACTTTGGTCAGTACGTTCTTCTTTTGTTGGCAAGTGCAGGTTCAAAAGATCTATCATGACATGCGCGCGACGCGTCCTTCCAAAGCGCAGCAGCAGCAACACACCAGTCCTTCTTGTGCCGTAAACCAGTGTTGAAAACAACAACGGCCCCAGTTCAGAATTTCCAACCCGCTCCCGTCCAGAACTTGCTGTGCAATGAGCGCAACTGGCCGATCCGCTCCATCCGCCGCACCCCAACCAAAACCACGTACGGACGAGACAACCGAAAGCATCATTTTAGGATGGGAAGACGACACAGATGATATAACCAACCCACACTCCCCTCGCCCCAAAAAACCAAAAATCCGCAATCTTCCCTCCCAACCTTTATCCTTTACTGAACCAACAATGTCCTTCTCAGCCAGCACAACAAGCGCATATCGCACACAAGACCACGTTGCGGAATTACAGCGACACGTGGAAGTCTTGAAGATTGAGAAGAGGGAGGTGGAGCTTGAGAGCGATGCCCGTGTGCGAGGTCTCGAAGGACAGTTGAGGGAGTTGAGAGGCGTCGTGCAGGATTTGGAACGTCAGGTTCATGTAAGGCAGATACTTGATATCCCCAGTCATTCATCAGAGTTCAATAATGAACGTGGATGGTAGGTTCTTACGGACGAGTTGGAGGTCAAAAATCTATTGCTTCGCAATGCCGAAATTCCCATAGCCCAATCTACTGAGCAAGCGTCAGATCGGTAAATACTCGTCGAATATGTAATGGATTGACCATGACATGCTCACTTAATCCCCCGAAAAAGACCTCAGATTAGTATCTCAGTCCTCACAGAGAACGCACGTTTGCGTGCAGAGTGCAGTGCACTAAAAAAAGCCTTGGAAAAGAGTGCAAAACCACAATCGGTATCGTTTACTAATGAGCAGAGCTCAGGGCAAAGTATGTGTGAGTGTAGTACGACACTTGGACTGGGAAACTGATGCTGGAATCTAGTAGCGGAAGAGGTGAACCGCCTCTTGAGCAAGGCTCCACAAAGGTCGGCCCGTGTCCCATGTACGTAAGTTGTTTTCTCCTGCCCGCCGGAACTGGACAGTCTCTTATTACTTCAGCAGCTCCTGTCCGTCAACATGTGCGTCGAGTTGATCAGACTTGTCAAACGGACACGATAAACCTCCACAAGTGCTCCCACCAGTCACAAGCCGCTCTCGTAGATAAACTGACCGCCGAACTGAATGCCGAAAAGGTTGATTCTCATTCCGACAGTCTTATCCTCTATCCGCATTAAAATGCTCTGCAGTCTCAATCTAGAAAGAACGCAAAGGAATTGGATGATATGAAATTCCTTCTGAAGGATTCACAGCAAGAACTCAAAAATCTCCAACAAAAGTATCACATCCTCTCTGTTCGAGCTGAATCCGCATTGACAGCAGAGCAAAACCTGCGTAATGCATTATCGGAGCATAAAGACATGCTAAACAAATACGAGGACCAGATTGTGGAAGGTGATTCGCAGGTGGTATGTCACCCATAACTTTAGGCAATATATCCATCATCAACATTGTGGACTGCTCACAACGACCCATGAGCAGAAACACTACAAGACGGAACTGGATCGTCTCAGCGCTGAGTACAAACGGTACAAAGCTGCACAAAAGTTGGTGAACGAATCGAACGATAAAAACATTGAACACTTGAAAGAGCTCCTGAAAAAGGTGTGGTCGGACCGTATCATCGCGGCATCGCTGTCAGCTGCGGTGGGAATTGACAGTTTCCTTGTCTCTCTTAGGCGCTTGAAAGGCCCACCTCATCTACTGAGAATAAGGTAATCCCCGACCGCGTCCTAATCAATACTCAAAGCTCAAAAGCCTCATTTTATCCACCCCTCAAGGATGTACTACTGTCGCCATCCATCGCTGCAGAACTCAAAATGTACCGAGATGGCTACGAAGGCGAGATTGCACTGCTCCAGACCCAATTACGGACCTTGACTCTGTGAGTATCCTAATGTCCCTTAATACCACGAAATCAAATATTTATAATGCGTAGCGAAAAGGACGAAATCGAGAAGCGATTGCAAATTTCACAGCAGGAGGTAGAACGTTTACGCCAGGAGGCGATGCGAGCAAGAAAATTGGATCAAGATGCTCTGGCATTGTAGGTTCCACATCATTGGATATAGAACGTTCCATGTGGTAATTTCCCCTCTACCTTAGAAACTTAAAAGTTGAAGAAACACTACGAAAGTTTGCCAAAGTCAAGCTCGAGCTCGTCAAGGAACGCAGCTTTTCTCACGCGTTGCAACATCAGATTGAAGACCTGGTATGCTGTCAGCTACGTATACCGTCGAGCTTTGGTCGTGGCATGGGCTCATTGGACAATGCCTCTTTTTCAGACAACTGCACAAGAGACCAACACGAGGATCCGAAAAAAGAAGGAGCATCTGATTTCGAACATGAGAGCCGAAATCACGCGGAAGGTATGTAGAGTAGGACATGTGTGGGAAAGCAGTGATTTATTCACTGTTGCACATCAACAAGGATAGAATGCTCTTATCAAAGAATCACAAACGGAGCTGCACAAGCTCACGACCTCCTTCAAGGAACTGGAGCAAAAGCACAAGGCTCTTGGGTAAGGTGCTCCCATATTGGCCTTTTCGTTACCGAATGGTGTGGATTTACCAAATGATCAAATAGTTCATCACAAACGAGCAAAGATGCGATGATTTCAAACTTGAAAGCCAAGAACGACACTCTTGCGCATCAAATTGAAGCGATGAGCAAAGAACGCGAACATGTGGCGGATAGTAAAATGAAAGAGGTGGAGCGCAAGTGGAAAATGGAATTGAAGCGAAAGGGGGAGATGGCTGATTCCTGGAAATCCCGATGGGAACAAGTATCAAAGGTTTTTTGTCGTATTCAACCGTCGTCCCCATGCTTCCCCATCCGACACCTCCTTACCAGTGTGATTTTTAGGAACTCGAAACGTTGCGCAAACACACGCAGACCTTCATCTCACCTAAACAGCACACAAGCACCATTGAGTCCCTGCATCTTGCGACAAAACGCCTACAAACAGCAGAAGAACGCGCCCAGCAATGGCAACACAAGCATGAGCAGCTTCAGCGTGCTTTGGAACGCATCGTCGAGAATCTCGTGCATCAGAAAACTCTAGGAGGCGGGAGTTTGTATGAATTGCCACCAGTGGGTGACACAGATTCTACTATGGACCCAGCTGTTTTGGAGAAAGCAAAAGAAATATCAAAACGAGTATGTAAAAATCTGCGTATCATACTGCTTGTCTACAGTCGTTGATCAATCATTCCTTCACAGATTCTTAACGTAGATTACGACAATATCATGGCACCATCTACAACGATGAGTCAAGACTCTGGAATTGATATACTGTCCGTATTTGACTCCAATGACCTACGAATGTCGTATGTACAGAGAATGAAAGAATTGTAAGTCCTAGTATTCGTTCACGGACCCATCGATTGGACATTTGAGTTTAATCTGAAAGCACTTTTTCTGCCAATCATGGATCAGATTTTTGAGGCCGCAATTTGAAGAAGAGTTGGTGGGACTCGTATCTGAGGTCGTCGCTGGGTCTTAGATTATTTTATACTATATACATGTATATGAAAGGTTCATTCAAATATCTTGCTCCATACGTGTGTCTTTTGTTAAAGAAAATGATGGCTGGCTGCGCTGCGCTGCTGCGCACGGACTGTTTTGCTTACGTAGCGTGGAGCCGCGTACTCATCCAGACGCGGGTTAACACAATCTTTTGACTTTGACAGGCTCAAATTGACACCTTTTGCTTTTTGAGCAAACTTGGACAACATCACAGCCTTATAGCAAATTTGGGATATATCGCAATCATGCCTCCAGCACGGCTACGGAAGGCTACCACCATGGAGGTAGACGGTGAGCACACCTCGTCACACTTGCGGCTGCGCCTTTAGTCAACAAGTTGAGCTTAACAAGGTCACCATGTGTGTTTATGCAGATCTTAGTACCGCAATGGCAATATGCTCTATTGAACCAGGGCATCTCGCGGGAATGGCTACTGCAGCCGGTAAGTCGCTAGAAAACGGCTTCCAACACCTGTCACTCGTTGAAACATTCAAACTCATGTGTCGCACTGATTATTTAGAGCCGATTGACTTTGAATCTGATTCGGACGATGACTCGTATGTTCCTGACAGTAGAGACTCTGAAGAGGATTCTTCTCTTGAGGAAGATGAAGGTGACGAAGAGTACCGTGATGGCGATGATTATGACGATCTCATGGAGGATGATTGCAGTATGTAATGCTGGGCTGATGCTGACTGCGGACAAGCAGTGCTGACAGTTGGTTCTTAGAACTTCTCCTCCAGGAATCACAAAACATGAATACCGCAAGTTATCACATCGACGACGATGACGACGATGACAATGGTACCACGTTTCGTTTGCAGGTGTACGCCTTCTCTGTTTCTTATCATTAACATAATACAGTTTCAGAATACTGTCCCAGCGACACTGAGGAAGAAATTCGTCCTTGTCCTAAACCTTGGAAGATCCGAGCACACAACGCGGTTGCCCAGCTGAGCCAGCTTTACAATCTCCCGCCCACCACCCCACTTACTCACTGGATCGCGCGCATGAGAAAGTACAATAGGCATGAACACAGATGGATGGATAAAGGCCCAGTAGTGCTTTACATTCCCCCTGGACGCCCTGATTGGCTGTGCGCGAACTATCTCTACGGGATGAAAAGTATTGCACTGAATATGAAGAGTATGTCTCGTCGTTTCTGTGCATGTACCTTAGTGCACCAGATTGTAACACTATTTTATTAACTTTTTTCGCTAGTTCCGGAGCATTGGGCGCGCTATCAGTCTTTCAGCGGCAAGTACGCACTCTTTTCAACTTGCGGCCACAATGGGATTTTCCGATCCACGTGGAAATATCACCTTGTTCCCATTACTTCCCTCATTCCCAACCAGCTCCTGGAACGCTTTGCCGACGCCGAACCTGATAGACACATGGTTATGCACTATGTTCACAAAGTTGTTCCTGTCCAACAACGTACACCAACAACTGTATTACTCCGGTTTGTCGATGTTTCTGGTAGTAAAAGCGGCGAAGATGTATGCGCCGATTTTCAAAGGAGGATGCATGAGAATGTGGAATGGGTTCGAAGAATGGCTTTTGAAGAGAGGTACAACAGCTTTACTCTGCCGCAAAATGTATGGGGAGTGGAAAGGGTGTCCATTTACGGAGCGTGTGCAGAGTTTGTTGAAAAGGTAGGTATGAGCTTTAATGACAAAGCAGTCCTTATCGCTCTGATGTGTTAATGATGTGTTGACTTTGTGACAAAACAGCTCGCACTCACCGGTCTTAAATGGAACCCGGTAGAGGCACTCGAGCAAACAACTTGCACATTCTGTAGTGCCACCCTTGCATTTGATAATCCTTCCATAGACCCCGTCATCGCCCATAAACAACACAAAGATGCCATGCGATGCCGATGTCCTTTTGTATATGCTCCCGGCGAGATCCCTGCACCCACCCTCCCTGTGTACACTCTAAGATGAATTGGTAATGCTATGGCTGGTGATTATCATGTGGATAGATGGGATATTGTGGATATCTTGTTATTTTGTGGATATGCTCTTTCTTACGGGCAAGGGCACAGCGACAACACCGTTGTTCTCGCTTTGCGGCCAACAGGGCCAGGTATTATAATACAGCTCTTATGTACACACACTACTTTACAGTTTTACAACATGCCATTTTTGGGTATACCATCCCGAAGACTCTTAGGGCATCATTGACCCACCAAATAAAAATTCGTCGTCATTCTCCCCCTCGACGGAATTCTGATGTATTCCCAATCCGAGCACTTCATGTACCTCATGCCCACGGACAATTTCCGGGCCTCCCCTCGGGAGAAAATAGCTCATTTCCTGCTCTTCTACTATGAATTCTTGTTCACCACGCGGAGAAGAGTCGGTTGGAAAGAGATGGGAAATCAACGATGAGTAGTTTATCGCTTTGGACCAATTCCTGGTCTGTTGAAGTGTGTGCCACCTGTCTCCGTAGTTGGGCATCGCTATACGGTTGTCTACCACAGAGGTAATCTGAGTAGAGCGAATATTACTTTGAGCTCCTTGATCCGCATGCTGAGGTACAGAGGTTGCGGGAGTGTCCGTCACAGGGTTCCATAGCAGAGACTCTTCCGCTGCGGCTTTCAAAGCGGCTAGTTGAGCTGGACCGATCATGTCAAGGAGATCATCCTCGCTCATCGAATCATCCTCTGAATCTTCCAACCCTTCATAGTCGCTGCTCAACCAATCAATATCCAGGGCATCTTCATCCGATTCAACTTGCTCTTCTTCCTGATCGCTTTCTTCTGCCATCTCCCCTATTGAACCATATAGCCACCTAGATACCCATGTTACCCAACCAGTGCTAGTGGAGTTGGTCGGAGGCGCGCTCCTCGCCCTCCCATGGTGCCTTTTGGCTAAATCCGCCTTCTGCCGGGCCGCACGTTCACGACGACGACGATTCCATAGTAAGAGTTCAACCTCAAAGAGATCTAGTTGAGTGCTACCTCTTGCACGGTACAAAGGATGGTCGATTGGCGGGGGCATGGATGGCAGCGGGGCGGGTGGTGCGGCGTCACTCTTTTTGGGGGTATGACTGATTGTGGACTCCCATCCCGGCCCCAGAAGACGGGAGTAGATGACATTGATATCCACGCCTCGGTTAGGAGTCCTGGTACTCTTTGATTGCCTTCTACGAGCTCTGGGTGTCCCACATTTTGAATTATTTCCATTGCTTCGCAAGGACTGCCTTCGCGCTACACTGTTTGCTCCGCCAATCGCTTCTTCTAACATCAATCGCCTCTTCCTTTTGGCTTCTGATGTAGGTCCAAAGAGAACGTCTGTAGTAGATCCCAAGCCGCTCAAGGTTGCCTGTGATCCACCGATATCAGTTGCACTACTGCCCCGTCTGCCAATCGAGGCGGCTGATGACCGACGCCGTATAAGATCTACGATCCGCTCATTACGCAATAATGCAACTTTTACATCATAGGCATCGTCAGTTGTCCCATTTTTGCGTATGACTATCGGCTCCACAGTACTAAAGCGTCTCATAGCAGTCGTTTGGGTCGGTGCCTCATTCACTTCCTGTCGTTGCGTCTTTAAATGCATCTTTTTAAGCAATTTTTTAATCATTGCAGGCTTTGCTTTTCCGGTCAGATTGTTCTGTGGTTTGGTCAAAGCAGTCAAATCAACGACGGTGTTGTCTTGCCCATTTTGACGCTTATTGGCTCCTCCACGGTGCGTGAACCACCTTGGCTTTTGCCCTTGTGATGGCAGTGCATTTGAAAGGGAAGACGTATGAAGGTAATTGTCTGGGATGTGAGATTGGAGCATGGGCTGTTGTTGGTAGTTTGGCATGGTTCTCTTGGCACTTGGACACACTGGAGAGCTTGCTCTAGAAACGCTGGGGTCGGAAGGTTTACGTAAGCAACCAGCCTCGATTACGTTTCAAAAGGCACCAAACTGTCCTGTGTGTTTTTCTTTTTTTCAGGCCTGCCTGCTGTCAGTGTGGGGAATGTCCAACTCCCGGCCAATGGCCACACCATGCTGAGCCTTGGGGTGCATCATATCCACAAAAAGATTAGAAAAAAAAGGGATGGTTTTTATACTTGATGATGATGATTATTGCTTTCAACCGACATGAATGCATGCAAAACATTGATTATCTGCATAATCCATGGCGAGCAAATACTCTCGATAGCATGTCAGATGAGTCCCAACAGCCAGCAAAGCAGGAAACAAGAAAGAATGCAAAACGCAAGTTGACACTTGTTCAAACGATGACACGTGCATGTGTGATGTGTGTGTGATATGCCCAAAAGGTGTTCCATTTCACACCTTTTTTTGACTTCCGCAGCCCAGTTTCAAACTCGGAAATTGCGCATTAAAAAGAAATTCTGCCAGTGCGCAGTAAACACTCGCCCAAAAAACAACTGCTGAATGGAATTTACCAACACACAAGCGTAGGGCATGTCAATTATTTACGGAAATATTTGATTAAAAAAGACGTTTTTGTATCGTTTTGGCTTGGGAGACCCTCAACCCAGCAATGTGGGCACAGTCGTGCGAAACGTGTGGTGGCCCTTGATGAGTTGGGATGATGACTTTCTAGTTTTTGTTTTGCGATAAAACCTCCGATCACGCCGAGATTCGTGAAAGCGATTTTACGGTTTGAAGAGTATAGCGGTTCAGGAGCTCCTGAACATTTTAAAGGAATTCCCTGTTGTCGTCGTTTAAGCGTCGCTACGGGAAGCAGACTCAGACAGACTCTCGAGGGCCCAGCCTTTTACGGCTCAAGGTTGACGAGGGAAAATCATGTCACAAAAGCCCTCTGCTGTCCATCAACCTCGTCTCATCGTCGCCAATCTTTTACGGGCATTGGGGTTTCCCGTCCCATCTGCTGCACCACCACAACCGCCACCACCGAAACCAAAGCGACGAATATATGTCAACATACCTCTTCCTCCCGTCGAGTGCGACCACCTTGGCCGTCCGCACCAACATTGGACAGGCAACAAGGTTCGCACCTCAAAGTATACGCCCTTGACATTTGTCCCAAAGAATTTGGCAGAGCAATTTAGACGTCTGGCGAATGTGTAAGTGACAAGAAATGTCATCAGAGAGAAACGTGGCCCCCAGTTGGTCCTCTCTCTCTCGGCTTTAGCGTATTCACATATGCCAATGATATTCATCCCTTAGCTATTTCCTTATGACCGTGATTCTTCAAATATTCCCCATGTTCGGCGTTGCTTCTCCAATACTTGCCGCGATGCCCCTGATCGTCATCCTGACAGTGACTGGGATTAAGGATGGGTTCGAAGACTGGAAACGACACAAGACTGACAATATGGTCAACAATTCAATGACATGGACATTGAAAGGAAATTGGAAGAATGTAAACAGACCTCAAGCAAAGAAATCATGGTTGAACTTTGGGCGAAGGGTGGCGCCATGTGAATGCGGGCCCGGGACGGAGGACCCGCTATGTGCAAATTGTGCAAAGAAAGCAAAACCGAAAATCATACCGACTTTCGACTTCCAACCTTCAAACGGACGTGCCTCTTTGACGACCATTGAGCCCCCGGAAGAAATGACACAAGGATGGGCTCGAACACCTTGGAAGGACCTTCATGTCGGCGATTTTGTCCTTTTAACAAGCGACAACCGCATTCCGGCCGACATTCTGATCCTGTCCACATCCGACTCACACGGGGTGTGTTTTGTGGAGACAAAGGGTCTCGATGGGGAAACGAATCTCAAATCCCGCGAGGCCTTGAAGGAAACTCTTTTCATCAAAACGGCGGCTGACTGTCATACTGGGCAGTTTATCATTGAATCTGAGGCACCCAACATGAATTTGTACAGCTACAGCGGGGCGCTTGTCATCCCGCCTCCTTGCGCAACTCTCAAACCAGTTCACGCCCAGCGGCGGTTATCCCATAAACCGAGTATGATCAACGCGCTGGATCTCTTTGACGGCAGCCGCTCCGTTCCCATCAACATTCAAAACATTCTCCTCCGTGGTTCAATCCTCCGGAACAGTGCATGGGTGATTGGCGTAGTACTCTCAACCGGCATAGACACGAAGGTGCTCTTAAACGCTGGCTACACACCATCAAAGCGAAGTAGAATCGAACGGCTCATGAATCCCCAGGTTGCAATGAATTTTGCAATTTTGCTTGTGATGTGTGTGATTTGTGCCGGGATGGTCACCGCAATCATGAATGGGTGGCTGAAGGATAAGCCTCCATGGGTTACAGCAGGACACGATAACGCTAGAGTATCCGGGTTCTTTACCTTTTGGGCGAGTATGATTATGCTGCAAAATGTAGTGCCCATTTCTTTGTATATCACCATTGAAGGCGTGAAGACCATCCAGGTAGGTGTCTGAGATATGCATTTTGACCAGCCTTGCTTCCAAAGAATTATGCTGATAGCCGCATTCCAGGCATATTTCATCTACAGCGATATTGACATTTACCATGAAGAAACGGACGACCCGTGTGTCCCTAAATCCTGGAATATTGCAGATGACCTCGGACAGATCGAATACCTGTTCTCTGACAAGACGGGTACCTTGACCCAGAACAAGATGGAATTTATGCGATGCAGTATCGCGGGTGTTCCATACGGGCAAGGTTATACGGATGTAACAGCAGATCGCGAAGGGCTGGATCCTTCAAGTCGAGCTCAAAAAATGTCTGAGATGTCTCTCGAGATGCGCAAGACCACGAGCGCCATTTACAAGAACCCTCACGTGGAACCCGACACCCCGCTTAGCTTTGTGGACCCTAACATTTGGAGCGATTATAACACTGTGGATGGCCGATCGGTTATTCGAAACTTTTTTACGCTGCTCGCCCTGTGTCATACTGTCCTGCCACCAAAGCGCACAAACAACAGCGTGATAGAATATGCGGCCCAATCTCCCGACGAGCAAGCATTAGTCACAGGGGCCAAAAACTGCGGCTTCACTTTTTTGGACCGAAAATTGGACGAAGTAACCATTGACGTCCTCGGAGAGATCAGAAAGTACAGGGTGTTGAATATCCTGGAATTTACCAGCTCAAGGAAAAGAATGTCGGTCATAGTGAAGGATGAGCGTGATGGAAAGATTTGGCTGCTCTGTAAAGGGGCGGACAGGTTTGTGAAATTGGATGCTTCTTCACCAGTATATCGCAGTCGGTGACTCATACGTCATTTTCACAATTCTTAGTGTAATATACGAGCGCCTCGCACCAGGCCAGAGCATAATGTGCGAACAAACGTTGGTGCACCTCGAACTCTTTGCCAATGAAGGGCTCCGTACCCTGTGTCTGGCGCAGCGCGTGATCCCGGAATCTGAATACATTTCTTGGGCTGAGCGGTACCATAAGGCTGCTTGCACGCTGGTGGATAGGGAAAGGGAGATGGAGATGGTTGGAGAAGAAATCGAAAAGGAATTGGAATTGTTGGGTGCGACTGCAATTGAAGGTACGCGCTTTACCGTCAAGGAGCAGTAACGTTCACGGAGCTTAATGTAATCCGATGTGTGAATAGATAAATTGCAGGAGCAAGTTCCTGAATGCATTGCCTTGTTGCGACAAGCCGGGATTAAAGTTTGGGTACGTAATCATACAAAGTCGTCGTTAAACGTCAATGGCAAAGCTAACCAGTGTCCTATCGCAACAGGTCCTAACCGGGGATAAGCTCGAAACAGCCATCAACATCTCATTGGCTTCCAATCTCCTTACTTCAAACCAAACGCTCATTGTACTGAAAGCTCATACGCCGCAAACCATCTTCTCCCAGCTCCGGGAAACTCTTGCCGAACATTCGGCAAACACAAATGTGGCACTCATTATTGATGGTGATTCCCTTCGGCATGCACTGTCTAAACCGGAAGGACAAGATCTACTTCTTCGGTTGTGCATGATATGCCAAAGCGTTGTCTGCTGTCGAGTGAGTCCAAAGCAAAAGGCACAGGTTGTTAGGTTGGTTAAACGGGGTGTTGGAGCCATGTGCGCTAGTATTGGAGACGGCGCGAACGACGTTAGGTTTGTACCGGCTTCTACTGATTTCTGATCGCCCTACCCGGTTATTTACCTATCGCGTGAACAGCATGATTCAAGAAGCGCACGTCGGCATTGGCATTTCGGGACAGGAAGGCCTTCAAGCAGCCATGGCTGCAGACTATGTCATTGCACAGTTCAAATTTTTGTCAAAGCTGTTACTTGTGCACGGTCATTGGAGTTATTATCGAGTTGCGGTGGGTATTTAAAGTTCACCCAACATTTTCTGGAGCTGGTGACTGAGAAGCTATTTTGCTATAGGAAACTGTAATGAATTTCTTTTACAAGAACTTGGTATGGGTCTTTTCATTGTTCTGGTATCAATTCTTTAGCGGGTAAGAATGAATGAATTCCGTAGATGGCAGGCACCATTTTTTCTGATTAGCGAGCTGGTCTCTTCTCCACTCAGGTTCAGCGCGGAAATCCTGTTTGACTACACCTACCTGATGTTCTTCAACCTCCTTTTCACTTCACTCCCTACTCTCATTCTGGGTATGCAAACGGAGAGTCGCACATGGCCAAAGAACCAACTTTCTGATAATCCTGATATATTTTATAGGTGTATTTGACCAGGATATCTCTGCACCCTACGCACTGTCCATTCCCCAGCTTTACGAACGAGGCATTCGACAAGAATTGTTTACCACAAGACGTTTCTTGTTGACGGTCTTCGATGCACTTTACCAATCGAGCGTCTGCTTCTTTTTTGCCTATGCCCTAACGGTAGAATCAACTTGGGACTCATCCGGATACGGTGTCGATAAACGAGCTATGGGCACAATGGTTGCCATGTCTGCGATTATTACGGTCAACCTGGGCGTAGGAATGAACATTCGAAATTGGACATGGCTTGTTTTTGTGGTCATATTCGGAAGCACCGCATTGTTTGTTGTTTATGTTCCTATCTGGAGTGTACTTCCTTCCAGTACGCTCAAAGGAGTAGTGACACATGCCTATGGAAATGCTTCATTTTGGCTGGGCGTCATTCTTTCCGTAGTGGTGTGCCTGTTACCGAGGATTGTCTGGCGATTGGGAAAAAGTATGATCGATCCACCTGATTTGGATCTGATACGCGAAAGGCAAAAGTATCGGCTAGGAACACCTCCGAGACTTGTCAGAGTGCACGAACACGCGGAAAAGGAGGAAAGTGTCCAAAATGGTACAGCCAAAATCGATTTGGAAATGACTGAAGTTCGAAGACGAGTTTCGAGTGTGCGCCATAGGCCTAGCAAGGTTCTTACAAATGCAATTCCAGAAGAACCAGAACCAGGAGAAAAGGAAGAACACCCGCACGGGGACGAAGACGAAGCAGAACTCGTCAGTCCCTACCCCCTATCACCCATATACCCGACAGTCCCACCAACGTCTCCTACGCAGGCAGAGGCACCGGCTACACCGTCCCCCGTTCGTAGCCGCCGGCCCATCTCCGCGCCAATACCACGTATTACCACCAGCGGTCTTCCCCGAGCAAACCACGCAGACCGCTCCTTGTCAGCCTTTATCACACCGGAACCACATCATACTTCCCTCATCTTCATGGACTCGCGTACTACATCCCGAAACACTGGATACGCATTCTCGTTTGACGAAGGAGTTGTTTCACGGGATGTGGTTGGGGCGTTTTCAACAAGTGGTCTGTGTGAAATGCGGGACAAGGACGAAGAAGATGACACGGAGGATGAGGAGATACCCAAGATTTTGTCTGGCCGCAAGGCATGTGCCTCGGACGGAGAGTTATGGAAGGAAACTCGACGCTAAGATGTATCACAAGAACAGTCTATAGTAGCTATCATATGAAATTTTGTTTGGAACTATGACACTTGTACAGTCAATTGATGATTATCTTACAATGTAGTAACATGTCTTTTGTTTACAGCCGTGCTATGCTGCTTCGTATATTCTTTGTTCTACGCTCAGAAATTATTTAAAGATAATATTATACAATTATAAAAGATGGTGCGTGCAGCGCTAGAATCCAACAGCAGGTTGTCGTCGGGGTCGTGTCTTATTCCAATTTCTATAGGAAATAGGGTGAGCAATTTCGCATCAATATTATGAACATTTTTCAATCATCGCAGCCCTTACTTGTTAGGATAGCTTGCTGATCCTAAATCCAATGAATTATTAGACTGGTATAATCAAGACATAAGGGAATGACGAAAAAAAAGACTCACCAATAGTGTCCATTCTCGGCACAAAGCTCCCATATTTAGTCGCCAACTCGCTTCCAGTATGACGACCCCCAAGCCTTCGAGGAATTGCCCAGTCCGGTGGTGGACTAATATTGGGCACATCAAGCGGTGGAAGGTGATTGTGCGGCTGTTGTTGAGGTTCGGATCGTCGTACTTGGCGGGGTTCAGGATTGGTTGGTAGGGGTGGAAGACGAGGTGGATGCTGGAGCTCCTTTGGTGGCGAGTGAAGAGTGTTTGATTCTGTTGGTGGTTCCGGCGTGGTGGATTTTGGTGGTTGCGGAGTGGGAAGATTGACCGGATGTGACAGATTGGGAACGTTTCCGGGCAATTGCGGGCGGACATGGTGACCATCCCTGGTGATAGCCTCTCTTGAATACCCTCTTCGACATCGATAGTCTTTTACATGCCAAGATCCATTTGTGATCGGGTTGGCATCGGATCTGCCTGTTTGTTTCCCGTTTGGAAGAGGCTTCGTGGCATGTGGTGGAGTGTTGATGACTCGTCCGGTTCTGTCTTGTTGGCGGAGGGTCGAGAGTATTAGTTGCAAGGCCCTCGCCCGTGTGGATGGATAGTCACATACCCGGCTGTAAGGAACCCAGTCCATATTCTTTATACACTACAAAGTTGTTGACCTGTGGAATATCTACGAAATTGACAGGGTTCGGTCATTCAATGCGTATACCAAGACGCAATCTGTGTCAAACAAAACTCTACTCACATTCGTAAAGTCCATAATGCTTTTTTAAGAAGGCTAGCAAGCGAGGAGAAGGGCGGTCATACGCAAGATGGCCTGGTCTTTGCATTTCAATCTGAGTAGCATCACGAACATGAGGTACACTGACAGCGACTGGATTACCAACCAATAGGTCCTACTCTACCATTAACATATAGTCAAATAGGCGCTTCCCATATCCTATGGAAAATAGACGTTAAGGAGCTAAGCTATTCCGCACAAGGAGATTAATCCGCTTGCTACTAACCTTTCCGTTGGTAGGCCTCGTGGACATAAATGTCAAGAACACATAGCGGACTAATCTGAAGATGTCGGCCAAATTCATCCTTGAGATACAAATGTCACCAATTACTTTCGCAACATTCGCAATCTCCTACAATGTTTTTCCAACATACCATCACGAATAAATTTTTTACTCCAAGCTTGATCATGCCTACGACCTTTGTGTTCGTCCGTCCAGTCATCATCGCGTGCGGCTCTCCAAATGGATCTGAAGTCCCCAGGACGCCGCTCACAGCAGAGTTGGAACCCGCGCAAACCTCTTCATGCTTCATAATATAAATTCGATGATTGGGATTTGATTGAAGCTTGTCGGTTGTCGTCACTGGATGGCGGAGGCCTTGAGCCTGTCACGGTGGATTGTTAACTCTTACAAGTTTTTGGAGAAGCAGTTGCTCGACCAAGAGATGCTACTTTTGCGCTGGCCACTCCGAGTTCGTCAATTATTTCAATTACTCGTTCTAATCTAAAGAGTGCCATGTGATGCTTAGAACCCGCCGACTCGTCATGGCGCTTTTGGGTGTGATGCATCGGCCATCCCCTTGACTTACATGGTCGGATTTCGGGGTAATGTCTCAGACATGAAAACTGAGATAGGCTTTCTAAGCACAGTGGAAGCATCGAATTTAAATTCCATGATGCAATCTAAAGGTTGACAGTTGGCAGCCGCCAAGTGACAACCAGTATGTTATGGGCGGGATTTGGGCTGACGTGATCACAACAAAAACCTTCAACCTAGGGTGCGTGACGGGATTCGAACCCTTGATATTTGGGTTGCCATCCCAACAACGACAGCCTGTACAAGCCACAGACAGATGAGGAAGGTGTTGCTGAAAGAAAAATATCCCCCACGCAACTGTGTTGAGATCCTCGTTCTTGACCTTTTATTGAAGCAAATCCCCGCACGAGGAAGATTCCATTTCTTTCCGGTGGTTGGTGCAGGTGGGTATTTCGGGTTGTTTTTGTGAATCACAATCGGGCGAAAGTTTGTGGAGGGTGTATATTGCCGAGGTTGGAGAACTGCTGGAAAAGCGATGCGTTGCGCAGGAATGGAGAGCCATAACGTTGAGGAGGCTGGAAAGACACATATGCTGATGGAAATTGGAAACTGGGTCGAAGGGCCTCGCACGGGATGGAATCTGGAATTGCAGATCGTGGATGTCATTCTTGGATTCTTGACACTCGCCACGAGGTTAGATGGAAGGCGCACATATGTGTCCCTTTAGCGATTTGGATATTGATAGGAACGTGGAACGCACGCATTCTTGACATCTGATCATCCTGTGCATGCCTGAAAACCAATCTTGCGCCGTGGTCACTGCTATCATTGAAAGATGACTTATCCGATGGTGTCTTCAACCTAGATCTATTCACTATGAACGCAGAAAAGTTGGCAAAGCTGCAGGCGTCTGTCCGTATTGGAGGCAAGGGCACTCCCCGGCGAAAGGTGAAGAAGGTCCACAAGACCGCCGGAACTGACGACAAGAAGCTCCAAAGCCAGTTGAAGAAGCTGTCCGTCCAGCCCATTAGCGGTATTGAAGAGGTCAACATGTTCAAGACCGATGGCACTGTCATTCACTTTGCCGCCCCCAAAGGTTTGTAACGAATCATACAGACACGACATACATTTTTAGCGTAATGATTTTTTTTTTTTGGCAGTCCACGCCTCCATCGCTGCCAACACCTTTGTCATCTACGGTGCCGGTGAAAACAAGGAACTCACCGAGCTCGTTCCCGGTATCCTCAACCAATTGGGACCTGACTCGCTCACCAGCCTCCGGAAGTTGGCTGAGAGCTACCAAGCCGCTCACGCGCACCCCCACGGCAAAGAGGAGGAAGGAGATGATGACGTACCAGAGCTTGTTGAGACCTTTGACCAGGCTGAAGAGACCAAGGCGTAAGACAGTGGAGGCGCATCAAGTATGTGTGGGCCGGCTTCGATTTCATCACCGTGTTTTTGGTTTACTGATGGTGGCGTAGTTCCTGCAGTGTTTGCAAGAGGAGTGGAATGGTTTCTGTATAGTAGGTCGCGGGGAGCTGCGAATAGCCCGCCAAACTGTGGAAGAGATTGGCCATTGTTTGTCCATCTGCTGCTATTTTATAAATTAGCTACGATGTTGGGTTAGTTTGCGGGGCCACACCTGTTGATTAGTATGGCTTTTCTTTATAAATATACACGCCAAAACAAATTGTGCATGGTACACGTTTCTTGGCATAAAACAAAGGCTCATCAAGGGCTATTGCCACTGGTGACGCCGAGAGACACGCGATCATGTGGTGGGCAGGCAGAGAAACAATTCAACAATAGCAACGCTGAAGGAGTTTACGCACCGAGTTCAACCTGTGTATTGGTCCACTGCGCCGCATTGGGCGTTCAACTGGGATTCCAAGGATGATTGCATAAGCCGCACATTCCAAATTCGTGAGCGTTCTTCTCAAGGCTTTTTCATGTCTTGCGTTTGGCCTTTTATTCATGCAAAGTGCTTACACTTGTGCTTGCAAAAGGTGGGTAACCAAGTCCTTCTGTTGCAGAGGAGGAGACAGAAGATGCTCCATGGGTCCGTCCGTTAAAAAAAAAATGAAATCAAGCCCCCATCGCTCCGATGCTCCGATCGTGGTCCGCGCTTTTCTTGTCCTCCTGGGGTGCAAGCCGGGGATCCGGTTTGGCGAGAATTACCAGAATCCAAGCAAACCAAATGACATAGTAGTAAACAAAAAGGGTCACCCCCTTGGGACACCAAGAAGAGATCAAAAGCGCATTTCTCTCGCTTGGTTTTTTTGTGTCTGTCGTTTTTCGCCATCATCTCCCCCATCTGCTCATGTGGACGATTCGAGGCCACTGACGAGTGGTATCGTCACTGCAAACCCTTGCGGTGTATCCGTTTAGGCACCTACGTAGAGATCGACTAGTCTTTCTGGAGCAACCAACGTTGATTACTTCCCACCGAAACATCCCGACACCAATTGCGAACACGCGCCACGTTTTCATTTCCGCAGCACCTTGCAATCACTCCTTGTCTAGCACCAAAGAATATCAAGAGAGGAAAGCCAGGCTTTCTTTGTGTGGAACGTTATTGTGCAAAGTCCGCGGAGTGTGTGACTTTTTTCATCTCGAAAAGTTGGCACGATTTCAAAATCTCTTGAAAGTGGCAATGGGTGAAGACGATAACAAGGTGGAAATTACGGTTGAGAACGTTGAACCTACAGCTTCATTACGGCATAGACCGTGGTGGCTGTTCCGGCGGCGACGAAATGCTGATTCTCCGACCAGCCATGGACTCATGACGATAGCCTCAAATGGTCTCCGGGCGAATGATACAGGAACACCGTCATTGCATGAGCGCAGCGATTCAGGCACAGCTTCTTCACGAAATACAAATCTTTCAGTGAGCCAACAGAGTAAACGGTTTTTTCGAGAGTTTCTTTTGGGAAAATGGGATGCCTTTGATGACGCTGTGGAGAAGAGATACCAGGATGTCGTTTTAGCTTCCAACAGACCCGTCATGAAGGTGAGAAGGGAAAGCGAACTTGTCCCGCGAGTTGGCCGATCAGGCTGAAATTGTATTCCTGCGTCCAACGCCTTTTTTGCAACTACTTTTTCTCACCTGTATAAATCACAGGCAATGGCCATATTGATTCTCATTCACTACGTGTTTCTTCTCTTGAATTTCTACACGAATACTGGGTGGGTACATAGTACAATTCTGCCGCGATTCCGGTTTTACTTATTCTACATCTAAGACCAACTAGGGGAACCCTCACAGATCGGTTCACCAATATCGCTTTATATGTTGCCATTATCCCCGTTACGATCACCATGCCAATTCTAAGCTTCAGATCGAAGCCATTCCGGCCATGGATCCAACACATTATCGTTTGCGCCAACGGGTAAGACGACTGCTTGCGGACGACTCTTGTGCACCATCGTAAGACGGTTGATCTCTGTATGGTTCTTTATAGCTGGATATGGGCGTATGTCCTCTTGGCCAAAAGTGTACTGTGTAAAGCGGGCGCAGAGCCGCCTGAGAAATGCGTTGGATCGCAGACACTGAGCTCTGGGTTAACGCTATATGCAACCGTTGGTACGTAATGCGGCAGCCCAGTTTTTGCACGTCACAGCGTTAACGCCATCGTACAATATATCTCTATGTTCTTAGGTCCGCTATTTATGCTTGCGGTTTATAGACTAAACCGAGCCATCTGTCTTGCTGGAGCTGCGGTCTTTCTGGCATTGCTCACTTGGATATTGAGCGCAAGCGTGCGGATGTTATGGCAGAGTGTCATGTACCTCGCCGGCTTCTATTTATGGTTGGTTCAAAAAAAAATGGCGCATTAACCATGCATCATCTAACGGATTTGATAGGGCGACGTTGATTTCATATTGGAGCGAGAGAGTAGATCGAGGTAATGGCTGCTAACGGTTACCTTGGTGACTAGCACTTTCGACTAAATGAGGTTTCCATTTTTCAGATAACTTTTGTCTTCGTCAAGAGCTGAAAAGCCAAATAGAAGCCACTCGACAGGCTAAAGGTGGTGAAATTCGGGAAGCTGCAAGTAAACGACGGTTTGTTTCTTATATTTTCCACGAAATTAGGTAAGTTACTCTCACGATTAAAAGCCTTTTTGAGATAGATTGTTAACCGTGTGTCATGCTTTCTTTTGTAGAGTACCATTCAATACCGCGGTTCTAGGCTTTCACAATCTTGAAGATGAAGGCGCTTTTCATAACCTCGATAGCAGCCAACAATCTGTACTAGACGCGATCAAGAGCTCTTTCTCTATGATGGAGAGCGTTCTAAATGATGTGAGTATCTCCTATCATTGGTGTCCTCTCATGGTGCAGTGCATGTGACCTCGTCATGCATTTGTAGGTACTGGACTTTCAGAAAATGGAAGAAGGCCGGTTTGAATTACAGTCTCGACCCTTTGATATCACATCAACCGTGCGATCTGCAGCATATGCTTTTGCGTCAACTGCCCAGGAAAAAAACATTAATCTACAAATCTCGCTGGACCCGAGAATAGCAACCTCCGGCGGCGGCCAACTCCTTGGTGATGGTATGTAACTTTTGACATTTCAAGAGGTATGACAATGCTCAGATTCTGTATTCTGTTTGCAGACATCAGATTCCGACAAGTTTTGAACAACTTCGTGTCAAATGCTCTCAAGGTACGCTATGTTCTGCTGTCATGATAAATGCAGTACCTCATCGAAATTGGTAGTTTACGCCACGAGACGGTTGTGTTCAGATTGCTACCACTTTGGTTGACATGAATCGCGACAAGCACGATCTGGCAAAAGACATTGCACATACACCATCATCACTACCTCACAGTCTGACCATTCGAACATCGGTGAAAGATTCGGGCGTTGGTATTTCGCCTGAAGATCTGCCAAAGATGTTTCAGCCGTACATACAGATCAACAGTTGGAGTACACAGGGCGGAAAAGGGACGGGCTTAGGTATACCTTCAAGTGCTCATGATTCATCGGCCATTCGTACATCGACTTATTCATATGTGTGATTCAGGTCTGGCAATCTGCAAGCATATTATCCAATTGGCCGGCGGTACATGCGGTGTCGATTCATCGCTAGATCAGGGAAGCACGTTTTGGTTTGAGGTAACATGGCCGGTCGCCCAAGGTCCTACAATGGTTCGATCTTCAAGTCTTACTTCGAATCTCCGGAGGCCACCGGAGATCGACAATGAAAAACCCCGTCCGAAACCAGTGCTCCTGGCCAATTCGCTATCCACTTTAGGACATACTGTCGACTTGGGAGAGCCTCTGGCACCCGCACAATTGCCAGCCCAAGAGGCACAAACACAATCATTGCCGACATCCTCCTCCCCACTGGTGTCGTCACCGCCTTCGCGTGCTGCAACGCCACAAATGGTACAAGGACACGGCCGCTCACTTCGAGTTCTTATCGTGGACGACGACAAGATAACGCGGATGCTAATGAGCAGACTCTTGAACCAAATGGGCCACCGATATGAGAGCGCTGTGGATGGACAGGAAGCCGTTGATATACTGTTTCGAGCGAACGGGACTGGAACGAACGGAACGGCACGCTATTTGCGATTTGACGGGGACGCTCCACCCCCACCCGACGTTACGAATACCTCTGGCGCGATATTATCACTCCATGATCGCGTTGAAATCATTATCGAAAATTCCGCATCTCGTACAACTTCCCCTTCACAGCCATCAACTCCAGAACCCTTTGATGTTGTACTCATGGACAATCAAATGCCACGACTAACAGGCGCTGAAGCTGTCGCCGTGTTGAGACGAAATGGCATCCTTGTCCCCGTGGTTGGAATCACCGGGAACGCCTTGAAGGAGGATCAGGATCAGTTTGTCGCAGCTGGTGCGGACTTGGTCATTACCAAACCGCTAGCCAAAGGCAAACTCATCAGTGCTTTGCAGCTGATTCCGTAGGTGGTGTGGCGGGCTACCTTTTGGATCAGCATCTAGCCAAAAGAGGGAATCTTGAGCGTCATGGACGGGCCAAATTATTACAGTGTGGGGATTGGGGTAGAATGACAGCATGTAACATATTGGACTTGTTGTGTCACATTGTAAGAGGGAAACCCATTGGGTATCTTCTTGGTACATATGATTGGACAATTGATTTTTTCCTTAATGAAGTATTATTCATATAGAGTATTGCTTGGAAAGTTTATATACGGGTTGGGAATGCCCACTGTCCCAATGCCAAGCTTCGTTTGCGGCAACCACACATGAATTATCCTTTCTCACGAGTAATCTATTCATCTATCTTTTCCGTTCGTAACCATTAACAATGGGCTCGACGACCTAATCACAATACACACATTAGTAAAAACCTACTCAATCCAGGATGCCACAGACAACACTTACCGCGTACTCAAGCGGTTGAGGATCCAAACACCTTCTGAAAGCACAGGACTGAATTTCATCAACAAGGTTATTGAACAACCTATCAGCAGTCCAATAAAACCCCGTTAGCATCCACGCCTCACAGCCAGAACGCACTCAATCAAAAAAAAAAAAAGAAAAAGCAAGCTGACCTTTCATCTGTACAATATCGCCACATGTGCACTTTGAGCACCTCAATGTCAATTTGAATTTGTTGAAACCCAGTGGTGCCCAATGTCACGAGTCGGAGTTCCTCCATGTAGCACTTCAAAAAATTTAAAAGGAGAATGAACAACTTGGCATTCAACAACTCTAAGGGGCAACCCACATACCTTGACAACGAGCTTCGAAATGGCAGTCAAAATCGCCGACTTGCTCAACTCCACCTGCCCATAATACTCAACCCGTTCCGCAAACAACTTATCAATGTGACTTAAAAGGGGATCAAATTTTGCACTGGGTTTGTTTAGCCCTGCTGCAGACTTGAACGAACTGGTGGACGATGAATTGCGCATGTAAGAGTGGGAGGTGGAACCCGTTCGGGAGTGGCCTGCTGTTGATGGTCTGCTGTTTGCTCGGGTTGCCTCGGCTACGATATCAGAGAGCTTGTGATTAGCAAAGAGCAGATTCGTAGCTAGACCTAGAGTAGACATACCGGACCGCCCCGGTCCTCGATCTCTCCTCGCGAATGAACCATCGTCTTGATATAGTTGGTCAACGTCGTGCTCCATTGCACTCATTCTGTCCAAAACGGCAATCCACGCATCAGATGCACCGTTAGCGGTTGTCAGTTTGAGCCAAGGTGTGGTTTGAAGATGGTTCTGTACTACTAGGGTCAAGTCCTGGGCAATTCGTTCTACATAGAGCCTTACTAGACGCTGAGGAGACGGACCGGCGTAAATTACGGAGGTAAATTACTATCCAATGTGAGGATGAAACAGACCTGAGCCGCTGTCTTGCAAATACCAGAAATCTCTCGCGCTCGAGCCATCGTTTCGTGGGACGTCCCAGAGGCTTGAGATCGATTGCCGCCACGGTTCGCATAACCCGGCCCCGCGGCACCTGCGACCGTTCCACCGCTAGCGGTCACAACCATCAACTGCGGCCGGCGCATTGATTGGGTGGATATCTGAGCATCGGCGGCATCGCCTTTTCGGGAGAATAAAACATCGGTATAGGCGGACATTACGCCCTCTACGGTGCCCAAGGAAAGCTCCAATGCAGAACGGGACATCATCAGAGTTGTGAGTGGTGGAGGTACTGGATCGTTTGAGCCTTTAGGCGGATTATTAATTGCCTTTTGTGGCATGATAATCGTATTAGCTGGAACTATCCCTTTATGATATCGAAAACTTGCACTCTGACACATCAAACTTACAATCATGTCCTCGGTAAATGAGAGCCAGAACACGTCTAAACCCCGCTGTATCTGATCCAAAATATCATCCGTTCCAAAAACAGAGTGCTTCATGAAGTCGATATTGGGACTAATAAATCTCTAGGTATTCAAAAGTCGAAAATCAATAATGGAAAGTCCGGCGCTGTGAATAGGTATCGATTATTTTACCTCGAGAATTGGCAAATACTGGTTTATCAACGTATTTTTCATCCATGCGTTCAGATCCTTGATGAATACAGCCAAATCCAGATCCTTGGACTGTTGAATATCTTTATACCGATCTACAAGAATAGCATGATTTAGAAACTCCTCAATTAACCCATGAATGATCAGGACAGTCTGCCTACTGAAAAACTCTTTTTTGATCTTGCCAAAAACGGCTGTAATAACTTTACTGAGCAATTCAAAAGACATGGCGTTAATCCTCCTGTCCACTTTTCCAACTCGCTTCAATGGCTCCATGTCCTGCACATCCTTATGAACACGATCCAGAACATGTATATACGAGAGTGGAGATATTTTGGTGATATCATCCTGATAAGCAAGAGGAGGACTTAGATATAAAGATATCAACCATTGCTATGCCCATGTTCTTCATACCGGAATATGCAGAAGCCGCTCGATGACGTCGATATAATCCTTAGTGATTGATTCTACAGTGGCTACTAACGCAGAGCGAACCTCTTCCTGTTGCTACAAGGTGTACAAAGAGATTCAATTTCCAATTCAACACCTCAGTTTCACTGCCATTTTACCTCCGGCGACATCTTTGCAAAAGCGTTGGGCCTCAAGTCCCCAGTTTTGGTGTCGGGGGACGAAGCATTCTCTTTGGAAGTCAAAAAGAAGGTATAATAGCATTCTACAAAGCTTGCAAAGTCCCGAACGTAAGTATTGTCGAAATACTGTATCTTCTCCATTGCTAGTTGAACGTCGGATGGCAGAGGTTCTCCCGAAAGCTCAGATGCAGGTTTGGCATCTGATATCTGGATATTGTTCATATGCTTCAAGCAGTTGATTTTGATTTGTTTTAGCTGGGCCGTGGCGCTATGCAATTGCAGTTGTGAGAATGAATATTCATACGGAAAGCAAACTTTAAAATAGTAGGGCGACTTACGCACGTAGATACGCTCGTGCCAGTTCAACAGGGAACATGGCATTCAATCCTATCAATAATCCGACGCATTCAGATATCTCTGCTAATGTTGACTACAGTAATGGTATGTATTAGATACCGTAGGTCAGCAGATATAGCAGTGGATGTTCATGTACGCATACCTGATCACTGTTGAGCTTTTGTTTAATAAGTCGAGCGACCTTATCAATTATCGTGCGGCATTCCTCCTCAATTTTGGAAAACACGGACATATGCCGATATCGTTCCAGCAGATTCGAAACACGTGAGTAATATCGAACCGCCTGGGCATGTTGACCTTTGTCGACGCATTCGTGTAGGCGGTTTGGAAGTTCAATCACAAAGTTGAGCTGCATTGATCAGGTTTTTGTCATCAGGAGAGAATCTTTCGTAATCAGAGCTGCGACTGATCGGTCAAATGCACTGCACCTTTTTAAGTAGGTTATCGACGCCGTTAAGTTGGTGCAGCTTTGCCCGCTGATCTTGCAACCCATTGTTTATGGTTGTTGACGAGTCACTGATTTTAGCAATGCTCTTTGAAAGCTGGTCCATTTCACTTTCCATGTTTTCAACGTTCGTTTTCATCTAATGGACCCATCCATCCAGATCAGATATCCAATCGTGGAGAGCACCACGGTCGCCGTCAAACCTTTCGTATTGTGTCTGTCGCGCTAATGAACTTGCTGTAGTTTTCGTAAACCAGGGTTTTCATATCACCGTCCAATTGCTTGATTTCTGGGCAACCATAACAAGGAAAGCAAGGTGGTCAACCGTTGTGAACACCAGCACATATTTCTTCATGCCCGCACCTGTCCGCACCTGCAACGAGCTCATTGTCGCGCTGTATCAGATCTGGCAGCGCCATCTCGTTCATCAATTTATTGAGGTGCAGCTCGGCATTGAAGGCATGGTTGTCTATTTAAGAAAAGAGAATTTCATTTAGGCATCAGTCGAAAGAAACCACTATTTCATTGCGCTCAATCTGTCTCTCTTGAGACATAATCATTAGGCCAAGTTCATCCTCACAGCACAGCGTCCCTTTCTCGTATAACAAGACGTCAGCCCTAATCCTGCAACGCGTGGTTGACATCTGTTCCATGCCTGGCATGTTGCATTGACGCCATCCGAAGCATCCTATATCCTCCATTATAGCCACTAACCTATATCCAAGGGATCTGGTGGCTTCTCCTTTTTGATAGTGGCCTGAGGAGCACTCTCCCCTCCAATCCCATAGTACTGCTTCAGCAGATCTCGCCTTTTCCGCTGACGAGCCGCAGCACGACTCCCATCGCCAGCGTCAGGGGTAGGTCCTCTCGGGGAAGTTGGACTGTGATCTGGCTTTGGAGATGTCGCTACTGGGGACAGCATCTTTTTTGCATATCAAAATGCGTGGGTGCAGGATGGGGGAAGAGCGATGGTGCCCATTGGAAGCCGTAAGCAATGACGGTCACGTGTCTAGGCTGACTCACACACCTGCTCACCGTCGCCGCGCGATCTTGCCATCTACTGAGAGTGGGATGGCCACAAATGGAAGAGTGCCTGACCGGCAAGGAAGGGTGGGTGGTTTTCAACCGATAGCATCATCCAATCTCTCTGCCCCCGCGTCTGCCTCCTCATTTGGACTTGATGTGGATGCATTTTTAGCCCCAGATTTCGACGTGAAAGAGTGGATTAATGACGCACTGGCTGCACCAGCGGCCGCGCTCAGAGCCCGACGGCAAAGCAATGCAGAAGGTAACAGCGAGTCAGAAGTGGACTCAGAACCATTTGCGGGTTCAGAAGAAAAGGTCGAGGATACGTTGGAAGCGTCCGGATTGGGTGTGGGAGAGGTGGCAAAGGAGCGGACGAGTATCTCGAGCAAGCCAAGTCAAGCATCCGCAGGAGATCCATCTTCTTCAATGTCGGTAGAACAGTGCGCGTCAAATTTGGTTCTCAAACTCCAGTTGCTTAGTTTGGATATTTCGACCAAGTTTGAACAGTTGAGTGAGGAGGCGGTTCGGAATATACCACGGACGTTGTATAATCTCGACTTGATCCGAAAGGACGCACAGAGAGTAAGAGAAGCGATTGACGATGCTCGGCGAGGATTTGACCAGGCTGAACGAGGCGCAGGGGGAGCCTTCAAAGACCTGGTGAGGCTCGATCAAGTCCGGAATCGGATGGCGTCAACAAGACTGGCCTTGAAAGAAGCCGAGAATTGGAGTACGCTTTCTGGTGAGATGGACGCAATCTTTTCAGCTAGAGACTACACGAAAGCCTCGATTCGGCTGGAAGAAGCGCAAAGGTCTCTAGGTCTTCTTGCCGCGACCCCAGATTACGAAGAGCGACGGGATCTTTTGGCCAACTTGCAGAACCAACTCGAGACATCACTCAGCCCACAGCTTACCGCTGCCCTGAATGATCATGATGCAGAGGCTGTGCGAAAGCTTTATAACGTTTATAATCGCATACAACGATCGGATGAGTTTACAAAGCTGTACAACAAGTCTCGCATATCTGCATTGGTCAGGTTCTGGCAACAATATGACGAAGAGCTAACAATACGGGTGGCAGCATCCGGAGGAGACCAAGAATTCGGACATTGGTTGAACCAATTTTACGATGAGATTTTGATGGTACTCAAGAAAGAACTATCATGGTGTGCATACATATTTCCCAGCCCGCAAAAAGTACTACACGATTTGGTACAAGAAGTTTTCGAAGCTTTGCAGCCCACTGCTGGGAGCAGGATCAGAGGACTTGCGAGTAGACTTAAGGATTCGTGCTTGCCCAGCATTGTGAATGCATATCAAGCCACGGTCCAGTTTGGGATTAAAGTGGAGAAGCTTCTGTTCTTTTCCAACGCTACCAAGGAAGCGTCGAGCCCTACTCGAAGCGAAAACTCTAAAGAACGCTTGTCGGTGGATTCGCATCGAAGCGACGTTACTGCACCTGCGCATGATGACCTCAGCAATTGGGGGAATATCGTCTTTGAACCCTTTGTCACCTTTCAACAAGGTTATGATAAGCACGAACGAAATTACCTCCTATTCGCATCCTCAACCATACTTGCGCTGGACAAGAAGACGGATTATATGGAGCTAGCACGCGTTATGACTGAATCGGTGGCAAAGCTCTTTTCGTTTGCTGAAGCCGCTGTGGGACGTTGTCGATTATTTACTACCGGTTTTGGTGCTGGTGGTTTGGTCGATGCTCTAAATGACTATTTTGCGGCTGTCTTTAGTCGATACGGCAATCTTGTGCAACAATTGCGAGGCGATGTGGGACTGGATAAACCTGCACTGCAACGTACCAATAACGAATTGGATGATGACGACGAATACGATTTTGGGAGCGGAGAATTGGGAAGACAAGAATGGGGAAACTTTCAGGTTGGATTACGGTTATTGGGATTGTGCAGTGCGATCAATAAGCGGCTCATGAGCTTTGATCGCGTTTTACGAAACGGTCTTGGTGGAATTGTTAGGCGAAGATTGGATGTTGGATGGGACACGCCAATGAACTTTTGGGTGGATGAGAAAGAGCATGGGGAAGAATGCTGGGCCAGCTTCAGATTACTGAGCATGTCCACTCTGAACAGTTACAAGCTCCGAAACGTCCTCAGTGCCTTTGAAGCAATTGGTGATGGAGCCAATATCCAAGCTGTGCGAGATAACTCAATCGAAGGCGAGCCTCGACTATTTGAACGGGCGCTGCTCCATCTGAATACCCTTACCACCACATTTCAACGCTTTGTTTTTGACACCTTATTCGCGGTGGTTGAAAAGCAGCTGGCACCTTTACCCAGCATGGATATCTGGAACTCGAATGCGCCCACAACCGCAGGCCCTTTCAATCTCGACGTCCCTCAATTCAGCTTGTCACCATTATCCTACATCACGCGTATTGGCGAACACCTCCTAACCCTCCCGCAACAACTCGAACTCTATGTGGACGATGACGCTCTAAAATTCTCAATAAAAACCCTCCCTTATCTCAGTCCAAAAGACTTTGATTACAATGAAGAAGATATACCACCGGAAGAAGACGACGTGACGCATCTGTGGATCACATCGGTCTCGCGCGGCACAATGTCAACTTACATCAACTCCCTCCTACGCATCCCCCGATTAAGCCAGCACGGTACAAAACAACTCTTGACGGATGTGGGATACGTTGCCAACGTGTTTGCAGCCATGGATATCGAGCTCTTGCCAGAATTTCGGCGAGTGCATGCGCTTTTGGATATGGACGATGCGCAGGTGAAGGCGAGATTTGTCAAAGTTAGACAGGGTAAACCGGAGGTTGAAGGAGATGGATTTATCTTTGGTGATGAGGATTTGGTTAGGAGGGTGACGGGAATTCGGGGAATTGATGTTGGCAGGTACCCTTGAGGATGTAGATCCTTTTATCCATTTCGAAGGATTTAATAATAACGATAAAGATACAAAACTGGCTGGAACACGGATACAGTTTTGGTTGTGTCAATTGAATTGGTTGACGTGCTATAATCATGTACTCCTGAGACATGAACCGAGATGACGGCTACCTGAGCCCTTACATAATGTGGAATCAATGTTATGCACAACTGGCCATTAGACAGCGTAGGCGATCCCCATACTAGTAGACATTGTGTATGGAGAAAAAAAAAAGTTGTTAACACGCTTGTACTGTGACCAGTTGGCAACAAAGGGCAAACATGATCTGGGGGGTCGGCAACAAAGGGCAAACATGATTTGGGGAGCATCAAGGCATGCTCCACCGAAATGGGACGTGGGCTGCTGATTTCTTCGGAACACAGTCTTGGAGTCTGGAGAATTGCTTTCCTCCCTTGCTCATGCATAGATCAGTGGCAGGGAAGTGCAAGCGAAAAAGGGCACAGCCGCGAGAGTCATCCGTTGCGGCCTTCCACATGCTGAAAGGTTTTTTGTTTGCGCATATAACCCTTTGTGACATGTAACGCCCTCGCTCGGCACTCCAGCCTTGCTGATGACAAACCTGCTGTTCCACAACCAGGTGAAGCCCGCCCTCCAAAAAACAAGAAAAAGACAGCGATCAACCCATGTCCTGAACTTTGCTCAAGGGCACGCACGCCAAGAAAATGCAAAGGAAAAAAGGAGGGAGGAAGAAAAAACAAGAGAAATAACGTCAACGCGTCAACCATAAAAGAAACACGAGCTGCGAGGTTTGAACGCGTGAGTCCTTGAGACGAACTGCCGGGCGAATTTGTCCGAAAGTTGGGACAATTTTGGAGAAATCTTCTTTTTAGTGTAGAGGTGACAGAAAATGGCACTAGCTACTGCATCAGGGAATAAACCGGCGACAACCGGTTTGGAAAAGCTAAGCTACTACTAAGCAATTATACACGCAATACGTAACGGTTGTTCTAACCGGATAATTGCCCACCACCACACACGGTCCCTACCAGGCCTTGATCTGGAACTCTTGATGGCATTGAAGCCAGAGTCTTTGCAACATTGGGGAGACTCGCAAGCTGGAGGATCTTCAGTGACAAGGCTTGGAGACTAAAAACTGCATGTCAGCGACAGAATAATATGAAAAGAGATGATGCCATTGGTACATACCAACCAAGCTCAACAAGTGTAGCAGCATAATAGCAGCTTTGTTGGTTCCGAGGCTGCGCTGGTTCCAGTTGCTTGTAGTCATCAGGAGGGCGAGGTCCTCAGCACCACCACATCTGCATTCTCATGATGGACTTGAGAGTCGCGATGAGGGTTGCGCAGATGCTTTGAGAGTCAAGGATGGGTAAAGAGGAAAGAGGGAAGAGGGAGCAGGTCCCCTTTTATAGACCTTTGGCATGCGCCTCACCGCGGTTTAAAAAAAAAAACGTTACATGCATGCCACACTGCTTTGAGCGATGGGGGGTTCTGATTATGCGATATGATTAACCGGATTGAGCCGGATAATAATGGGTCCTAGTGCCATTTTCAATCACCTCCACACTATGTACAAGACTTGTCTTCCGCCCTTTCTTTTGTTTACGCTTTTTTTCAAAATGTCGCCTGAAAGCTCTCCAAGTATTTCTTCCGATTGTAATGCTCAAACTAGGGCATTTTTCTGATCAAAAACTTGTAGATCGAGAGAAAGAAAATCGACATGGCAGAGGAAAAAAGCTCACCTTGTTATCCGCCCATGTCATGACTCCCCACGCCACCATGGCTGGAGGTCCAAAAAACAACGCTTGCCGGCTGATGCGTTTCCAAAATTTAAACAATCCCGGGTTGAGGAAACCTTTCATGGGGTTGGTGTAAAAGGGTGACAGACCGTATTCACGAAAACCGTTAATGTGTGAAAGATTGCCCCACCATCTATTTTGCATGAGGGGTTTACTGATGTGTACAATGCTGAATTCTAAATCCATCTGATACGAGACAACTCACTTGTGTTCTAGAGGCATTTTTTGTCAAAAGCTAAGGCAAGCGGATACTCTTGTGTGTGTGTGTGCTCGAGCAAATCGACAGGGGACTTTGACAAAAGACAAAAAAGTGTAAACACCGATCTCGGGTGTTTTACGGAGAGACAGACGGCTGGTGCGGTCAACATTAACACCCCCTTTCATTATTACCGATGAATTACGTGGGCCCCTTACACTGTCCTTGTGGTTTTCTCCTACGTAACTCGTTTTCGGTAAATTCCTGGGCGGGGCTTTTTTCGCCTTTGTGATCGCTGGTGAGTACATCCATTTGGTCAGCAAACCCAAATCCTGTTTCTAAGCGCATGTCAAGCATATGTTTGTTTTCTCGGGTATCTGGTATGATTATAACATTTTTACATTTACCCAATATCTAGTCGTCCCGTGTCATCCCTCCCAACATCACACGCATGAGTCCACCCACATTCACATCCTTTCACGCGCTTGACATTGCGAAAAGTGAGACTAACCCGTGTTCCCCGCTCAATAGCCCGTCCATGCACGATATCTGTCCGCCGTGGGCGAATAGAATGCTCCCATTGATATCTGGCATTTCCCGACATGACCAGCAGTGACCGAGGTGGAAGATGGATATTTATGCAATGATATGAGAATGGTTTACACGGATTGCTCACAGTGGTGGACGGTGTCTCTTCTGGTCGCCGAAATTCCATGACAACTCCGCTTCCCAGACTTAGAGCAATCACCACGTCCCCAAAGATCGAATGTCGATCGGCGTGAGGCGCAATTCCGGCGCTCGGCCAATACTCATTGACGGTCAACTGATCGGGCGTCGAATGCAAAGGAAATGTGCGGCAATACCTACTTAAAATTTCTTGACCCCATGGTGGTATAGGGTCAATGATGGATGTGTCAAAATCCACCGTGTTGAGCGGCTACAGGACGGTTTGAAAAGAGAAAATTGAGCCCCGCCCAAAAAAAAAAAGAGCTCCGCTCAGCTGGACAAGTACTAACGTAATCAAATCGATAACCATAATGCTGAACTCGACGCTTGTTGAGGCTGACCCAACTATTGGCATTGTCCTTGACACATGCCAACAGATTCTGCTCTTCCTCGCAATCTACAAAGTCATGCAAGAGGAACAGCCCAGGGACTGCCTCCATAACATCCTTTGGATCGGAAAGAGCAATATCCAGGGAGACACGGGTCGTAAAGGTCAGCAGGAGTGGCTTGGAGTTGGAGTGGGGAATTGGGATCGGACTATTGTTCAAAACGGTGTAAGCCTGGAAAGCTGCTGTGGGTGTGTTGTAGACCGCATAGGAATATGGTTTTCCTAGCATCATTTCGACACCCAGGAATCCTTCAAAAGCACCAAAGGCCCTTTCAAGGTCATCCACCGACACTCCTCCCACGTCCCCTGTGCTCCCTGCATTCAAAATAACAATAAATCTCGTTGGGTCCTGTCCATTTTCCACGTCGACAACCAGCTCAGAAAGTGGCAGGTTTTCACTTTTAGCGAAAATATCCAGTTGTGTCGCGCGCTTCCGAGCAAGCTTGTGTGCCTCCCGTAGGATACGCTTCTGGTTGGATAGTGAGCCTGTGGAATGTCCTGATGCGTCGGCGGCCATGAGCAAAAGGGAAAACCCTGTTGAAACTGATCTTGAAATGATGGGCTGTCCTTGTTGCCATGGCAACTGATATCCAAATTCTGCTTGATGTTTTGCTAGCTAGTGTGAAAAGGAACACTTGCGCAAACAAACCCAGCATTACCAAAATGATTTTTGAACGACTTTTGAAAGGAAAAAGGCATCTTTTTTTGTAATCAAATGGGCGCTTGCAAGCGTTAAAGTCCGCCAAGAGCCGAAGGGCCGAAAAATGCGGCGGAAGCGGAAGTCGTAAAGCGGTAGGGAGCAGTGACGCCCCGATGGAGGGATGTTTGCGGAGAACCTGTTTTGTCGCCCGTTTATCGTCCCCCGTCCAAAGCGTAAGTCAAAACGGCGGAGTCTGTCGGGCGAAAAAGAAGGAAAAAGACCAGGAATTGGGACAGCCCAACCACAAGAAAAAAAAAAAAGAAAACGAAACTGCCGTGAAATTTCAATTAACCTCCTAAATTCAGCCTGACCCCCCTTCCTTTCAGGGTTGGTTTTCCCCGTCGAAGCTATTGGCGCACCGAGCAATTGGTAACCACGACCACGGCCAGATGGAACAGATATTTGGATTGCGACCCTCCCCCGCCATCTTTTCCAAGTTTCCTGTCGTCGTCCATTCGCGTTTTTTGACCTTTTGAGGGCCTTCCTGATTTTCAAAGGGATTCATGTGGCCTTCCCCTCATGGGAGAGGTTATAGCTCTTCCTATGCGGACGCTGCTTGTCAGCAGCATCCACCACTACCACCTCCAGTATCCACCGTAGCTCAATCGGAACATTCGTATAGTTCTTCTCCATTAAATGCCCGTCCATCCTCTTCTTCCTCCTCTACCTCTCATCCGAATGAAATGAGCCATTATCGTCAGCAATACCCAACTGCTCCATACATGCCTTTGACGGCTGAGCAGCGCATACAGCGACCCCCAGCTGAGCACACTACTTTTACGCCGCATCGGACATCCCATTCGCTCTCATCTCACCCATCCGTTCCGTCGTCACAATATTATGGTGAACTTGCCCACTACGACAGCAGCGATCTCAATCCGCGACCGATCACGAGTCCATTTTACATCGAACAACCGCGACAATCACAGGAACCACAACAATTGCACCCTCGATTGCCAGAGGGTGACAGGGTCGATGAACGTGTTCAAGGACGGTAAGTTTGTTATCATGTTCACAAAGCAGTGGTATTTTGGACTACATTTGTGTGTGCAATGGCTGAGGTTTGCTGGGTCAAAAGAAAACAACTAGTCAGGTTTAAGGTGGCATTTGTTCACATTACATTTTTCTTTGCTGGGGGGGGGTCAACTGCGGAGTTGGGGAAGGTCGCGCAGTGATGACACGCGTTTTACGCTCGTTGGTTGCCTTTTCGTCGTGCGTTTGTAAGATCGATGCCCTTTTTTTTTCCGGGCGTTGACTCTTGGCGTGACCAAAAGGGCAATAAAGAACGGGAGGGAAAAGATCGTAAAGAAGGGGGAGGGGGGGAGGTTGAGGGTCATAAAAAACGTAGCCCGTGGGGTTACAATGGGATCTCTCAAGTAACGCGCGACGATATTTTAAAAACGAACTTGATGTTGCCAGACATGCTTATACTTCTTCTATCACCCTCCCACGATTTCCCTAACCCTCCATGATTTATCCGGGCACCGATAGACGATACGAACTTCGAATTCGACAGCAACCTGCTCGAGCACGCATGTCGGGATTTGGAAATTCAGGTACAGAAAGTTAAGACTAGTTACCCACTTGGCGCGCGATTTTTGCTCGTTAGGAACACTTGGATTAATACGCTTTGCTTTATAATAACAGACCGACGACCGGTCGACCCAGTAAGTCTCGCAACTTTCAACTGTCATGTGTGTCGTTGTCGCATCCCGTTGTGCTCACCGTTGTTTCTTTTTTTTTTGTAACAGCCACCGATACTGCAGCTCTATGCGTATGGTCCCCGCGGTGTAGAAAACATAGAGTACGTACGAATAGAAAAAAAACTTTTTGACATTATGGATTGGAAATACTGATATACGCTTTTGCAAATAGCATCGACGAGGCCTGCCAGCTTGTCGTCCACGCATCGCTCTGGAGTTCAGATGGCTCAGAGGACCGCAACATTGTCGTTAGTCCATACTACTACGTCACACGACGGGAAGGTGCAGACAACGAGGAAAGAGGCGACGCCGACGACGAACGCATCGAATTTGGGTCCCCATCCATGTCTCGTCGCTTGAGTGGATCTGGCGGCGCTCCTAGCGAAAGCATGTTGGAACGGCGAAAGAGCACTGGGAGCGTCAGCCGGGAGATGCCGCGTGAAACGGATCAGAGGCGCGACATGATCCAAACGCTGGTGGGATCTGTGGTGAGCCCTTGCGTCGCACTGGAGGATCTTGAAGAGCGAGAAGGCCTCTTTTTTGTCTTTCATGACCTATCCATACGAACACCTGGACAGTACCGGATTCGGTTTAGTCTATTGAAGCTCTCAAGCAAGTACGTATCGACTGTGTGTGTATGTGTGCAATGGACCTTCTTTTTTTTATTCATAGGATTTCTTCTTTTTTATGTTGTTGTTTTCGCTGGATTAGGGCAACAGTAGATGGAGCCGATCCAGGAACACCCATCCTTGCAACAGCCATGAGTGATGTGGTTTCCGTGTATCAACCAAAGCGTTTTCCCGGTCTATTGGGCACGACTGAATTATCGGAATGCTTTGCACGACAAGGCATACCCATCCATGTACGAAGAAACCGAACAAAGAAACGAGGCGATTGAAAGGAACCCTTTATTTTTTTTTTTCTTTTTACTTGAGTCGTAATATGTGTGAAAGGGAGTAATTTGATGAGACTGTATAGATTTTCCAACTGAATTCAGGATCATTATGCATCGACATCGTGCAATACAATGAGTATACATTGCATGATGAGAGTCTTCATGTCGCCCCGATGAATGAATTGCATACAAATGTTCTCCTTTTGTCGGTTGGCGAGTTAATCCTACTGCACGAAAGCTTTCTTGCCCATCTCCACATTCCAGAAGCAAATCAACGAAATATGTCCAAAACCCATCTCCTACCCTCCGAAACGCTCAGCCATCAACAAAAACCCAGCTCGCAGCTTCCCGTAGCGTCATGAAAGCAAGAGGAAAACAAAAGAGATGATCAGAATTCTATTGGAGGCACAGTCATAACATTGCATGGCTGTGCACAGAGATGAGATATGGCACAGTCATGGTTAGATAATCAGACACAAGTGTTCGTCTGGCCTTTGATCTTCCTTGCCCAAAATCGTTGACGATTTATTCAACACTGCGACATTGGGTGAAAGGCTTGCGACATCTTGTCAGAAATTTGATTTTGTAGTTTTTGGCTACTCTTTTTGTTCGTTGGTTGCCATGCCGGTAGCATCTTGCACCCTCTCTAGAGGGTCCTTGCAGCGGGTATGTATACCTTGACAATGATCTGCACTCTGGGAAACAGTTGACTTATATTTTTACCTTAGATCCTCCGCCGCAGTGCTCTTTCCCAATGCCGTCGTCGTTTGGCCACAACCGCTCCCGGTCTCGACCCTGTTACCCCACCCTACGAAAAGTTGCTCAAGAATTTGGAAATTGTGAAGCGCAACCTGGGTAACCGACCTTTGACTCTGGCTGAAAAGATTTTGTATTCGCATTTGTCGGAACCCGCTGGACCTGTTCCTGTGAAAGGGGAAAGTTACTTGAAGCTGTCACCTGGTGAGCAAATATGATGGTTGGGCTCGGGATGCAATATCCTCATGATTGGTTGTTGCTTTGTTCTAGATCGAGTGGCTATGCAAGGTTTGTTTGTCGAAAATATGTTGCATTCATGAACGTAGATACGGGAATGAACATGATATATATGTAGATGCCAGCGCTCAGATGGCCCTTCTTCAGTTTATGCTTGCGGGACGAAAAACGACTGCTGGTACGTACACGCTAGATCCTGTTATGCGATGCAGGCTAATTTTGTCTTTGTGTTTGGTTAGTGCCGACGAGTATTCACTGCGATCATCTTATTGAGGCCTTCCAAGGTGGAGACAAGGATGTGGATCGGTCATTAGTCACCAATAAAGAAATTTTTGATTTCCTTGATGCGGCTGCTGAAAAGTACGGCATCAACTTTTGGAAGCCCGGAAGTGGTAAGATTAAGCCGCGAATCAAAGAGTGTAAAAAGGGGAGAAACTGACTTGTCACGATAGGTATCATCCACCAGATCGTGCTGGAAAACTATGCCGCTCCCGGATCACTCATGTTGGGCACGGATTCGCACACTCCCAATGCTGGAGGTTTGGGGATGTTGGCCATTGGTGTGGGAGGAGCTGACGCTGTTGATGCTATGGCTGGGATTCCATGGGAGTTGAAAGCACCAAAAGTACTCGGTGTACGATTGACTGGCAAGCTGGATGGATGGGCGTCCCCGAAAGACGTGATACTGAAATTGGCCGGCTTGTTGACGGTTCAGGTGAGAATTCATAGCTTTGGGAGTGAAGCAAAGTGCGTTGGCTGATCTGGTTGTTCGGGCACCTTTAGGGAGGAACAAATCACATCATTGAATATTTCGGGCCCGGTACCGAGACTTTGAGTTGTACCGGTATGGCGACAATGTGTAATATGGGTGCCGAGGTATGCAGTGTCATATGCGCAGACGGTGAGATGATACTGATAGCGCACGACAGGTTGGCGCTACAACCTCCACGTTCCCCTACTCGGCGAGTATGGCCCGGTACCTTCGAGCAACTCAACGTTCACATGTTGCAGATGCGGCAGATCGAGCAGCCGCAACCGGGTTCTTAAAGGCTGACAAGGGTGCCGAGTATGACAATGTGATTGAGATTGATCTTTCAACCCTCGAACCGCATATTAATGGGCCCTTTACACCTGGTATGATTCAAAGTGTTGCCATAGATGATGATTTTCACGTGTACTGATCATATAATAGATGCTGCAACGCCCTTGTCGAAATTTAAGGACTTGGTGCAGAAGAATGGCTGGAAGGACGAGGTGAAGGTTGGGCTCATCGGATCATGCACGAACAGTTCCTACGAAGATATGTCACGTGCAGCATCTCTTGCGAAACAAGCGCTGGAGCACGGATTGAAGGCGAAATCTGGCTTCTTCATCACACCTGGTTCAGAGCAGATTCGTGCCACTGTGGAACGTGATGGTCAGACTGATGTGCTGTCGTCAGTTGGTGGGCAGGTCCTGGCCAATGCGTGTGGACCTTGTATTGGGCAGTGGAAGCGCACAGACCTGGAAAAGAACGAGGAAAATGCCATTCTTACGTCCTTTAACCGAAACTTTCGATCCCGTAACGATGGATTTTCCAAAACCATGAACTTTCTTGCGTCACCTGAGATTGTCACTGCAATGGCCTTTGCTGGCCGGTTGAGCTTCAATCCGACCACAGATACCCTTCCCGGCAAGGACGGCAAACCATTCAAGTTTGAACCGCCACGAGGGGAGGATCTTCCTGAAACTGGATTCATTGCGGGACGCGAAAACTTTAAGCCACCAGCAAACCCAACTCCAAACCCTAATGTCGCAATTGAAGTTGACCCCAAATCCAGTCGGTTGCAGCTCTTGGACCCGTTCTCACCATGGGATGGACGCGAATTCAAAGACATGAAGGTGCTTGTCAAGGTGCAGGGCAAATGCACAACTGATCACATTAGCGCTGCTGGGCCATGGCTAAAGTACAAGGGACATCTTGAGAACATTGCCAACAACACTCTGATTGGTGCAACGAACGCGTTCAACGGCAAAGTGAACACGGTCTTGAATGAGCTAACAGGAGAGGAAGGAACTATCCCGGATGTTGCCCGCCATTACAAGGCAAATAATGTTCCATGGATTGTTATAGCTGATTCCAACTACGGCGAAGGATCCGCTCGGGAGCACGCCGCGCTCCAACCACGATACCTCGGCTGCCGCGCCATCGTCTCCCGTTCCTTTGCACGTATTCACGAAACTAACCTGAAAAAACAAGGTGTACTTCCCTTGACTTTTGCCGATCCCGCCGACTGGGAGCGCATTCCGCAAGGTGCGACAATCTCAACAGAGGGCTTGGAGAATATTGCACCTGGGTCTCACGTCTCCCTAGTGGTGAGACCGCCTTCTGGAGAAGCCTTCCGGGTTCAGGTTAAGCACACGCTCAGTGACGATCAGGTGGAATGGTTCAAGGCTGGATCTGCTTTGAATAAGATTGCGGCGAGTCAGGGTGGTGATGCTGTTGAATCTAGAGCTTTCGCGTAGGGAGAAGTATGGTGTTGATTTTCTGGCGGTTTTGTTGATATTTTTCTTTTAGAACGAGTATGTAGTTTGGAGAAAGTCATGTTTTTTCTTTCACTGGTTGAAGGGCTGTCACTTGTCAATAGATTGCGCAAATGTGGGAGCAATTGGACAACCTATCACGTGAGAAGCTTATTTCCCTTTGGATTTCCACCCTTTGAGTTTGTCTTCTTTCTGCGTTCGGCCTCAGCTCTGTATTTTCGTTGAGAGCGCAACCTCTTTTGTTCTTGTATTGCACCAAGAAACGCACAATCCCCAGCAACATTTTTGGAATTTTGCCATTTGTTCATTTGTCAAGAAATGGGTAGGTAACCGACAACTGTCAAACTCAACGCCAAAACCAAAACGAACTCTAAAAGCTGGCACGAAAAGCTCCTAAACCCGTAACAGATCGTATTTACGCACCTCCCCACTGGTCTACCACTGACTTTGATCCCGGGAAGGAATCGTATCGCAAGCTATTGTACGTAAACTTTTAATTTGCATTATTCATGCCAAAGTGGGTTTATAACTAGATCTGCAAAAACAGCCAAATAGCAGAAAAGACCCGTACATCTCTAGCATACCATAAAGCAACCCATGCGATCGAGATTGTTGGAATGAATGCTGATACTGTCCTTAATGCGTTGGTATCACTTGTCATTTAAACAAACATTAAAGAATTCTTTTCATGATTTGTCGAATCTCTTTTTCCAAAGGCGACAGCACCTTGAAAACATGTTGTCCCAAACCACTGTGAAGAATCCCCGGCAGTGGGCTCGACCTGAGAGGCCTGGCATATGGGGACAAAGGTATAGTAGCATTTCATCTTTTGTTGACGCTTTACGAGATGTTGATTGGTGTTTGGGTGCGCATTTATATATAGGCGAGACAAACTGTCTACGAAAACTCCTTGTGAGAGCGAATTAAGGAGGGAGCTGAAACTGAATTCTGATAAACAGAACGTTGCGCTTTGATGGCGAGTTTTTTTGCTGAATGCACATGAATTGTCCGGTATAACTTGAAGCAGTAGTGGAGAAGTAAAGAGAATTGTAATGGCATTATTCTTTTTTTTGTGCATTAACCTTAATGGAATGAGGTTGCCGAATATTCCAAATGGGTTTGGGTTCTTTGGGTTTTATTATGAACCCTACTAGTTGGCATTCTTTGCGAGATCCAAGACCAAATGTCGCCAACGGAGGCAAACACATTAAAGGGTGGTAATTCCATCTGGAAGAACACACAAAACTCTATACGAATTCTTGTGTGCGGGAAGGGGGACGACGACGACGCAAGTGCGGAGAGTTGCCCTTTTTTCCATTGTCATCAGAGGAAAAACATGATCGGTACAAAATCCTTCCCCCCCCCCCCCCCCCCAACCTGCCCTCCTCCCTTTTGATCCTTTTGATGATGCCCTTTCATCATCCCTCCCATTTGCCAAACATCATCCACCTAGTTTGCTCAAACCCAAACCGCAAAGCATTGAGGGATGAAAGAGAGTGTTGCTGTGTTAAATTAAACTCCAAAAAGCTCCTTTGGACAAAAGGGATAACAACTCACTGATGAGGGCGGCTGTGTAGAGAAAGCCAAAAGGACACGCGTGTGTTCGCAACCGGGTTTCATCGCATTTTTCAGACCCACTGCAAAAGGTGTGAAATGGGGATGCATTGAACTAATGACATTTTCACCCCTTTCGACACTTTTATTTTGAACGTTGAACTGCTTAAGCGAAAAGGAAAACTGTCGCCCAGTTTTCTGTTTCCGGTCAGGTTGACTGTTGCCGCGTCCGAATCGCTAGGCGGTTTTTGTTTCGTCTTTCGAGTTTTGTGGGGGGGAACTCTGTCAACAAAACCTGCATTGGCATTTTCGTGCAGGATAGGACCGGGATCCGATACGAAGGGTGCCTCTCCCGATCGTCCTTTTCCCTCTTTCGCTCTCTTCCCAGTGTGTGTGCGTTGGTTTGCCCATTCCTTTGTGTCATTTGACATTCCCCACAACGCCACTTGTTTTACGTCCTCAAGATTTTCCTCATGACGGAAGCAAGTCCGACGCAAGCTGATCCACCTTCAGCGGCAGATATAGACTCCTCCTTTGCCTCTCTTTCGATTACGAACGGTGAGAGAGACCCAAGTTTGGCACCTCCCGCGAATGGATCTCTGCGTCGCAAAAGTGCGGAAGAACGGTCGAGTCTGAATGGAATTGCAAATGGCGATGGCCAGGGGAGAAGGGCGAGTGCACCGACTGCAGAAGGAAGACGGTCTTCGAATGGATCGGTCCAAGGCGCATATGCTACGTTGCATTCTCAAGAGCAGATGAATGGGTATGCTGTTCACGGTCATGACACAGTGGATGCAAGGTAGTGTCTTTTTCGTTTTGAAGGTCTTGAAAACACAAGACAGAGATTTTGGTTCCTTACTTTGAACTACTTTGGCTGTTCTAGATATATACACCCTCCTCCACCTAGCCCTTACCCACGACCCATGGCATTCGACTACCGCGGATATCCGCCACCGGGACCGTATGGCCATGGGCACCCTCCCGCTCCAACGATGGGACATTACGGTCCACCAATGTATCCCACCTTTAGCCGTCCATACCCTCTACCCCAGCGCTACGGGCCTGGCGGACCTCCTCCCCCCCACCATCAATATTACCCGCGACCAATACGTGCGCCGTTGAATCCATATGGCCGGCCTCCACTCATACCTCCAGCGAATGGGTTCGTAGTCAATGGGTATCATCCTATGCCAAATGGATATGCACCGTTCCCACCTCCTCCTCCAGAAGAGGATAATGGGAGCAGTCGAGGGAGTGTTCAAGAAGGGAGTGAAGGAAGTGGTGAACCGCGTTGGGAGGGGGAGAGGAGAGCGAGTGAAACGGAATCTGTCGGGGGAGCGAGTCGAAAATCCAGTGAAACCGGCTCAGGCATAGAAGACCCATCCGTAAACGATGCTCCTAGAAATTCCATCAATGGAATGGCTACCCCTGGTCCCGACACATCTACTCAAAGTATCCCGCCTCCTCCACCGGGTGCTATGCCCATGATGGTAGCACCGGGAATGGGACATGGTGGAGTCATTCCCATGTTTGCTCCTGGGCCATATCCTGTCCACCAGTCATTTACACCCCCAATGCGTCCACGGTCGGACCCAGATAATATGTCCTTCCGATCTATGACGAGTGTCAATACAACACAAACGACTCCGTCAGTGCGAAGTGCGATTTTGTCGCAAGGCGAGTCGTTGGAAGTGTACAGGCAGACTGCTAAACGAAGCAATGATCCACAAGTGCAGCTGGACTTTGCAAAACATTTGATCGCCACCGGAGAAGGTGAGTAGGGAAGCAATGACTTGAAAGACTGGCCATCTTAACGAATCCTTCGTGTTATTTGTTCAGGTATAGACTTGGATCAGGGGGATCCAAAAAAACAAAAGAAAACCCAAGAAGCTCTGTTTCAGGAAGCATTAAAGTGGATTAAAAAGTTGGCAACCAACGGTGGGATAGGTATGTTCCCATTCTTGATTGTTGAATGGCATTTCTCTTATTCATCAAAAATATATCATCAGGGAAATCTGCTTTTCCGGACGCACAATTCTTCCTCGCGGAATGTTATGGAAATGGGTCTCTCCATCTCCCAGTTGACCACGATCGCGCGTTCAGTCTCTACGTCCAAGCCTCGAAACAAGCACACCCAGCCGCCACATACCGCACCGCCGTCTGCTACGAAGTTGGAGCCGGTACGAAACGCGATTCCGGCCGTGCCATGCAATTCTATCGGAAAGCGGCTGCACTGGGGGATACTGCTGCCATGTACAAGCTGGGTATGATTTTAATGAACGGGCTTTTGGGACAGGGCCGAAATCCGCGGGAAGGTGTGACTTGGTTGAAAAGGGCTGCTGCCCAGGCTGATGAGTCGACGCCGCATGCGCTGCATGAGCTGGCGCTATTGTACGAAGGGAGTGGAACGGAGAGTGCAGGGAGTGTTGTTATTCCTGTAAGTTTATAATCCTTAAGAGCATACCTCAAGGTCTGATAACTCACTCATTTATATTAACCGACAGGACCCAGCTCACGCCCACGAACTCTACCTCCGCGCTGCCCAACTTGGCTATGCCCCCTCCCAGCACAAACTCGGTTACTGTTACGAATACGGCCTTCTTAACCTTCCCGTCGACCCTCGCCGTAGTATTGCCTGGTACACCCGCGCCGCCGAACAGCAGGAACCTGAAGCAGAACTTTCCCTCTCGGGATGGTATCTTACAGGAGCAGAAGGTGTTCTTCGACAATCTGACACTGAAGCGTACCTCTGGGCACGTAAAGCCGCCGACAAGGGCCTGGCAAAAGCGGAATATGCTGTAGGTTATTATTCAGAACATGGTGTGGGTGTTCGACCGGATTTGGAAGAAGCGAGACGGTGGTACCTCCGTGCGGCTGCCCAAGGACATAAACGATCGATACAAAAAGTCAAAGAGTTGAAGGGTGTTCTGTATGGGGGTGCGGGAACTAGGGCTGGTAGTGAACGGGCGGGTGAGTGGAGAAAGAAGGGTGAGGCAAAGGATGGGGACTGTGTGGTCATGTAGTCTGTGTGTGTGTGTGTGTGGATGGAGCATGGTAACTTTATGTGTATAGTCTCATAGGAAGGAAATGATGTGCAATGATAGGTCATCTCATCATTTTTTCGTTCCTGCTCTCCCCCAGTACTTTACAATCTGTGGAAGCAGGAACGTTTGACGTTTGATCTTTATGTGAATACAATCAACTGCAATACTTCATTATTATCTGTTATTGATGGCCTGGTAGAGTATTGGCGTCGCCTCATCTTACCGGCACGAAATTAAAAAAATATCCATTCAAAATACACTATATGTCATCATCATCTTAACCACCAAATCCACTTCATTGCCAAACTAACGCATCCCCCAACAAGTCCGGCTACACCGACAATGGCAAAAACTCCCCAGGAAATCCCTCTCTCAACACCGGCTTCCCACGCCCAACCCGCAAACGCCGGTCCAATCGTCTTCATTGCACTTCCCAAGCATCCTGCAACACCATGGACAAGTCCAAAATACTCTCTCCCCACCGAATTTGTCAGCAACATGATAGAAGACAAGTAACACAATCCCTCCCCAATGCCAACCAAAATCGTCGCAACGTATATGCTCGGCCACATGTAAGTGTGTCCAAAGACTGGTGCTACAAACGCCGCGGGAACAATCAAGGTTGCTCCGAGAGCATATGAAGTCGTCGTTCCGAGTCGTTGATGAATCGGGTAATACGATGCCTTTGTAATTAGTTTCGCGATACTTAAAAGCGTAAGGGCCAAGGAAGTGGATTTGGGTGGAAGACCAAACCCATTCCGGGATACGGGAGCCGAGGCGAGTAGGGGCAGGGCGGTATGAAAGAGAGTGTGGGTGAGCTTATAGAGTGCAAATAGGAGAATAGGTGCAAGTGTGCGTGGGGTCAGGAGGGTTTTGTATGGACCAAGAAAGCGTAGAAGACGATTAGGACGTGTTTTAATGGGTGATTCTAGTTCCTCTAATAGTTCTTCATCTGTATTCTGTCGCCGCACAGGAGCTCTCTGAGAAATTTCCATTTCCACATCCTCGGTGGATGTGTGGACGGCCTTGTACGGCCTTGGTGACTTTATGAGCCATTTGAGGGTAACAAACACGCCCAAACAAGCCAATAGGGTCCCAAACGAGCATGCGACAAAGTATGGACGCTTCTTCAAGAATTGTACGCCATCAAAGAGGGCGGGATCAGCTAGGAACCCTCCGACGAGAGTCCCACTTATCCCCGCCGCACTGAAAACGACGCCGTATGCGCTGTACGCCCAGGCTCTGGATGAATCGTCATGGGTAATCTCTCCAATCATGCCTTTGGCAACGACAGAATTGGAGGAGAAGAACCCTGTTAGGCACAACGAAACAACCGCAAGCCAGTAGTCGGTACTGAGGCCCAGGAATAATGTTCCTATACCGTACCTGGAAGAATACACCAATGTAATAAGCATGCCTTTCCCGAATCACCTTACAACGGGTATAACTCGCCACGCACCCAATAAGACCACCCAGGAGGACTGGTGGGCGGCCGACAGCATCTGACAAATGTCCCCAAACAGCGTCCATGAAAGTTGTCGGAAATGCGTAGGCGGATTGCAGCAGCCCGGCATAGTAACCCGTCCTATTACTCTGTTCTGGAGGAAGGAGGGATCTGGTCATGTAGGGATATAGCTACATAGGCAAAGTTAAGCGAAATATTGTAGATCTACATATAACACACAGTACTTTACCGGAGTCAACATGTGGTGTATGAGAATCTCGGGAAGGACTGTAACAAGGAGGAGAAGAGTTTGACGGACGGGAAGGGAGGACGGTGGACGGAGGATAGAGACTCCCGGCGACTGTTTGGCCTGCGGGTACATATCGCCGACCAGCGAGGACGACGAGTTCTCAGGATCGAACATTGCCATTTCGTCCTCCAGGTCAGAGTCCACAGACGAACGGGAGGGACGCGGAGGTGTCATCACTATGGTTGCTGTCGCTGTGGGGCTGGTGGTGGTGGTGGGGATGCGGGGGATCGAGCCATTGAGTTTCTGCCCAATGGGCGCTAAAAGGGAAAACAAACCAAAACTCGAGCGGCGAAATCGTCGCGCGAAACGCGTGATTCAGCAACCGGGCAAAGTCCGTCGAAGAGTTTCTTCCAAAGCTGTTTTTATTTGATCTACATTTAGTTTGCTGCTTCGTATTTGGGAACTTGCCTCAAGCTGCAGCGAACAAAAAGGACTTTTGGCAAAAAAGTGGTTGAGGGTTTTTGGGGCAAAAAGGAGATCCACTACGAAAAATGACCTCAGGTCTGCTGTCGCGTTTGTGGATTTGAACCATTGTCGCTCTAGTTTTTCATACTGACAATGCCTGTTGACAGTCGACGCTCTAGCAAGCACGTTCCAAAAAGTGCTGCAGATATCTGAAAGCGGACATGTAGAACAGCTCATGCAAGCCCTTCCAGACCTCATCCCACACGATGGTAAATCTTGACATTGTATAAACTTGTTTGAACCCATCTTGTTGACATGAGAAACATACAGACGATACACGCGCATTCCTCGCAGAACGAGAGGACATTATCTCATTCCTCCAACGCTTGTTGGATACAGCCGCAACAAACTCCAACACAGCTGACGTGCCAAAGTACAAAAAGCTCGGTGCGGTGGTGGCGCAATTGATTGCCGAAGCGGCCAAAGTAGGTAAGAAAATAAGAATTCGATACTGAGGTACATCACTCTAGTAGTATGCTCAATGCCATGTCTTAGAGGACACGCGCGACCCAATTGCCGACGCTGGGACCATCCCCACACTCATACAGTTGTTAAAGATTGGCAACGCGCCCATGGGAAAGGGCGTGCAAGGGGATACCCTGGACGATGACCTTGTTGTACAGTCTTTGAGAGCCTTGGCGAATCTATGCTACGACCATGGTATGTTACCGCGCGAACCGTAGCAGTGGATCAGCACGGAGTTGACAGGCGTGTGGAAGATGGAAATAGAGAACGGGTCCTGGAAGTCCAAGATGGCATTCCTGAAATTGTAGCTTGTCTCAATTCACCGAGCAAACGTGTGATGATTACAACCTGTGGAGCTTTGACAAATATCACTATGGACAATGGTACGATAGCTGCTCTCGACGTATTTGATCGAATATTGATAACCTCCCTCACATTATTTTCGTTTCAATCAGAACCTGTTCAGATTGAAGCACTGAATGCCCATGTCCTTTCACCGCTGCTCAAAGCACTTCAAGGGAACATAGATGAGCCGTTTGAGCAAGGTGTCAAAGGCGCGGTGAGCACCGCGGTTATTCGCGTTATGAGTAATTTGTTGGAGACAGGCGAGTTTTTCTACTGCGAGTGATCAAGTTTGATTCGGACAGAATCCCTAACTCTTCTACATAGAAACGGGTATTCAAGAACTACTGGCAGCGGACGGACTGTCCCTTCTCCTCCGATTGTTGAAGTACAAACACGACAAGGTTTTGCATCACACCAGCGCAGGGACACGATACGAGAGCGCTGTGGAGGTCTTGGACGCTTTGACGACAGTTTTGGAATCCATCGGCGAGAATGGTGCGATTCTCACAAGTTCGCATTGTGATTGTTTGTCTAATCGCCCATTGCTCGACATTTAGACACCATTCAACGTGCGATTGTTTCTCAGGACTTGCTTGACATCCTTTTGGACTTTGTTGATCGACGTCCGGAAGGCGTTGCAGTAGCCAAGACTGGGGAGGATCTTGCCACCTATACCGAGATACGGAAGACTGTTTCTCGAATTGTAACATTGGTTACAATGAATGGTTGTTGAGCACTTTAGCGATGCTGACGACCAGATTGCTGATGATTCAAAACATTAATTATAGATGCAAACATGGTGGATCTACCCAAAAAGCGTGAAATTATCGACCGATTCAAACAGTGGATGACGAACGGGTTTGCACCGTTGGATACGGCAGAAGAAGACGAAATTAGAATGTCCGGAGCGCTTTGTATTGGGAATTTGGCACGAAGCGGTATGGACGTGCTCGTGAGGTGCTGGGATTATCAGTTCATAAACTCTTTTGTCTAGATGAGACATGTGTGTCCTTGGTCCAAGAACATGATGTGGCACGGGCTCTTTTGAACCTACTTGCTTTGGAAGTGTCGAGGGTGAAGCAGTCGGGAACTGAGCTGAAAAGCACTGTCAAGGTCCTGCATGCGGTGATGGGATCTTTGAAAAACCTCTCCTTGGCTGGTAAGATGCCTATCCGCGGTCTCCGTAAGCATGCCATTGAATTGACGGTTTGGAAATTCAGCCGCCAATCGACCAATCATGGGAGCTATGGGTGTCATTCCTAAAGTCGCGGATCTATTGGAGATACCGAATATCAAACCTGTTCAATATGGCGCTACTGGGGTACTGAAGAATCTGTGTTCCGGAGATAACGGTACGTTATAACACGCGTGTGCCGGAGTTTCACTCCATTATTAACTGCTTGGAGGCAGAGGCCAATGTATACCGTATCATTTCTGGTCAGGAACCACCAGGAGGAATCAATCTTTCGCAATGCAGCGTGCCATCAGCAGGACCGAAAACTCCGCTGGGAAAGGTAATCACCCTGGTTTGGACGGCGACGGGGGACAATGATACCGGAATCAGGAACGAGGGGGGACGACTTTTGGTCAATCTCATTCGAGCTTGTCATCGGGGCCGCGGTGGGTACTGGATCCTTGTCGGCCCTTGGGTCAGTACTTACAACAATTTCTCATAGCACCCCACCTTCTCAAGACAATTGTGGACGCCAACGCAATCCCACCCTTGATCCAAATCATTACTGGAGCACTCTTGACCAGATCGCGTACGTCATCCGACGAAGGCACCGACGTCCCTGAAGATGAACACCATGTGCATTTTGATGCTATGCCTTTGGAGGGTCAAGTATTTCCCATGGTGCAGAATGAGGGCATTGTGGCGCTGATCCTTGTTGCGGATGGTGAGAGAAAGACGCTTACATTAATTCTATCTGACGGTTATTGATATTCGACTTGGCTGTAGCGTACCCGGAAGCAATACCGCGCATCACACGGTACTCTGCATCCCTAATACCAACATTGATCGACATCCTCAGGAGTGGAATCCAAGGAATTGAGACAGCAAAGGATGCACAGGAATATGAGTACGCGGATGAAGCGAAAGCCAACGTTTGCGTATTGCTGCAATCGCTCATCAGTCGTGATGGTATGTTCATTTCGTGCATTCTCATAGACCATGCATCGTACTCAAACTTGTAAACTCTCATGCACAGATGACTTTGCGAAACGCCTTCAACAAACCGCACTTAAAGAAATTCTTACAAGCCTTCACAAATCGAGTAAAGCCCATCCTTCCGTCCCCCACCCCGCACCTCCCACCCTCCCAGCCCACCCGCGCTCCCCACCTATGGACATTGGGCGAACAGGAACAAAATCTGCCAGAAATCTGGCAAGCCAAGGCCCTACGCGCAGTGAATTGCTTGCGAGCTTTGGGAGTGGACGACAGGTTGCTGTTGACGAGGGATTAGGGTTGCGGGAGGCAGTAGGGAACTTGCTGTTGGGTCTTTGAGGATTTTTGAATGGGCGGTTTTTTCTTTTGTTTTGCTTATTTTGTTTGTTGTGCTGCTGATTTATTTCAATGGAATTTGAATAGGATGATGATGCTGATAGCACTTTTTGTAAAGGGAGAATGATGAAGACAAGCAAATATCTGTCGCAAAGGATGCTTGTAATCACGTGATATTACAGTTTCCCAAAAATCTGCTAGGTGGTCGTTTTCCATTTCTGCCATCGCTGTACCATCTCCATCCTTTCCTTTGAGCAAATCGGCCCATAGGCGACCCATCGTACGTTCTTTCTCAAAGGAACATGGTGGGGTGCGGTGCATCGTACCGGCGCATGTTACGCGGACTGAATTATATACCAGTGATTTATGAACAACGTAACCTCCGTTCTAATAGCCAGCCCGACCGATTCCGTGTCAGACTGGTTACAACACGGAGAATATAGAGTGTCCTTGTAGAATTGTGATTTATTCCAGGATGACTTGCTTTGGTAGTTGCCTTGGTGGTTTCTTATAAGGTCACATCTAACATGGTGGATAAAATACCCAATGGGGTTGAGGTATCTGATAATGTAAATAGGAAAAAAAAACCCGGTAAAGACAGTCTTCTATGCCACTTCGCCACTAAATAATCATTTACAAATGATGGTCCAAGACACAATGGCCAATCTGACAAACACCAAGCCAGCAAAAAAAAGACAAATGACCAGTAAAAACGAACATTTGTTCACTTCCATCCCACAATCCCTAGCTCTCGTAGCTGACTTTTCCTGGTTGGTCCAATCTGCTCCTCAATGGTCCCTTCAAACACATCCAAACGGGTTGTCGCCTCTTCGACAAGGGATAATCCGCCACGAGTACGTGTAATTGTATGTGGAGCCAAATCTGTCGTAAAACATATATCAGAGAGGGATACAAAGCTTTTGGTGTCTTGGGGCTTAGGTGGTGTGGTTGTTGTTGATGACGGTAGGGGTTGTTTGGTGGGGGAGTTGGAGGTGGACGATGGTCGGGGTTTTGGCGGGGTTGGTGGGGGAGCGGATGGGGTTTCGGTTTCGGTGGGTGGTTTTGTTATGGGGCGGGTCATGCGGAGGACGGTGGTGAGGTGGTTCATCATAAAGTTCTATAGTCAAACGATGCGTAAGCGAATGGCGCTGGGATTAGAAAAAGTGGGGTGCTCTTACCTTCAAAGCCAGGGCTACCAATTTTACGCAGTCTTCAGACTCTAATCCTTCCGGTAATCCTTCGATTTGCGCTTCCAGAGCCATCGCATCACGCAAGGTATCCAGAGTTGGTAATGCGCGGTCTTCATGGCACATGGGTGGTATACTAGTGATCTCTGTTGAAAGATGCGTCGGTATGCAAAACTGGCACGAGAAAACCAAACCTTCAGTATCACGCACCTGGCGCCTGCTTTGACAAGACGCTGTATGTCGGTGGTGGTAATCGATGATGCTGAGGGGCTCGTGCCATTGCAAGGGCCACAGATCGGTTCTTTGAATACAACTAATCAACAGTGCTCGCGGCGCAGCGTATTAACACGTCCCCCAATCACTTACTGGCAGCAAATTCACAATCCTCTGTCGATTACTGGCCGCAAACGACATGACCTCTCTCCGTCGCAACTTTACCCTCCATTCAGGCAATAATTCTGTCGCTTTACGTTTCGTCCCTGCCAATGTTGACGGAGCCGAACTCTGCGTCGTCGTGGAAGATGGTTTACAAGGGAACTGTGCGTGAGGGACTGTCGTAGTTGGTGGTGGAGCGTTTTTGTAAACGTTGTGGAGGATGGCCATGATGAGCTTGTTGTGAAGAGTGACTAAACATTTGAAATGATCCGAGCGCAATTAGCTACAATTGCCAAAGTCTGAAGCCCATAAGCCACATCACGTCCTAAAAGTTGGAAATACGCACCCTTTCTCTTTTGCAAGATAGCTCCCGCAACCGCATCAAACTCTTTCCTCGAACATTTCCCATTAATAAACTCTTTAAATTTTGACCAATACTCGGCTCCCCTTTCTCCAAGCGCGGCCGCCAGCTCCAGCTTTAGTGCCACCGTATCCTTTCGCACAGTGCGTGGCGGTGAATCGGAGGAGGAGCCCCCGTTGGAGGGCGGGGGTGTTTGGTGGGGCGCCAGAATGGAAGCGTTTGAAAGGTCAATGCAAATCCCAGTGCCAATCGAATCACAAAGCACGAGTCAAGGTATAAGTGGGCAAAAGTTGCCCAATATGGTCAAGTGTCCAGAGGTTCGTGAAAATGCAATTCCTGAGCGGTGCGTGTTTTCGGTTTGTCAAGTTGCTAGTCAAAGCGCTGATCTTGGGATCCTGGATGGTCAAACGAGCGCAAAGCTCGGGAATTCGCCGATGTCGGGCGTTCAGATCCTGGTCCCGTGACGTATCACAGTCTCGCGGCTTAGCAAATCCAATCGTCGTCGTTTAGAAAGCAACTGCACGGAAGAAGGAAACGATTGCAAAAGAAGTAGAACGCAGTTTCCAAATTGCAAAAAACTACTATATTAGCTAGGCCCAAAGCAAAACAACACATAGTCCATAATTAGAGTGATCCACCGATTTTACAACTACTTAAAAAATAGATACAGGAATCTGAGAAGAACCAAAATGAAAACAACCCACTGGTTACAGCTGCACTTCAGAGACTGAAAGACCCTTCATTGCCAAAATTTCCTCCACCTCAGCCTTTTTTCCAACTCGAACCCGGCCCGAATCGTCTACTTTCGCCTGAATTCCCGCCTCATCAAGCATTTGTTCTGACTCGGGTGCAATGCCTTGAGGGGTTAGCGATGCAACAAGATCCTGGTTTTCAGTGTTACCATCGCAAAGATTGCGAATGGCGAGAATAGCGTGCTCTTTGATATCTAAAGACAACACAAATACATAAACAAACAGATCAACATACTTGATATAAACAAAACACTTACATGGGTTGTTGTCATCCACTCGACATTCGTTCAAAATTACTGGGATACCTCCGATGCGTCGTATCTCGTCTTGAACTTCCTTTGCCTCGTAGCATAGATTTGCAAGAACTTTTACGGTGTCGGATTTAATCATGAAAAAGCCTTGCGGTGGTACGCTTGATGCTGGAGTTGCATCAGAGCTGGATCGCTTAGAAAGTGTACTTCGTGGATACAATTTGGAAGCTAGGTTAAGAAGAGCTAATCGCGCAGCAGGTTACTTCAAAGTTTCACTTTGCATGAAAATGGAGCAATCACTTACTCAAAAGCGTGTCTGCAAGTCCCGCTTTGACCAACTTCATTTTTGCATCAGGACCCAACTCGGGGGTCACTCTTGCAAAAAATTGCAAGATTAGAACTAGCCCATCCACATCCAGACCAAACACGTCTGTGGCTTGCATATTGTCTTTCACTTGTTTGGCATTACGGGATATGGAATGCACGAGCTTTTTCGTGACAGCTACAAAGAAGATAGCCGTGTCGATACCGATTTCAATAGGTGGACGATCATCGCTGCGGTTGGCTTGTGCATCCAGCATTCCGTCGAGTAGCTGCAAAAACGTGACGTGATACTGACTAAGAATACGCGTGCTGCGAATGTCAGAAATCAGCAACTGTAGAGAGTGAACCACAGCGCGAAACGATCTGCTCTCAACTCACCGGTGAGGATCCATTCCGTCACATATTGCGTCCATAATATTGGGTGTTAGGTCAAGCTCAATCATGTTACTGAAGATTGCATAACTGGACAAAAAAACTGCTTCAGTTGGTCATCACAATTGATGTTAACATCAGAATGCTTACATGAAATCAAATGCGGAGCATTCCTCCTGCAGCATTTTCTGAGCTTTAGCAAGCAAGCATTTCAGAATGTCACGACCGAGAGGGGTTTGTGTCATGTACTTGCTATGTAAGGAGCAATAAGCTGAGACGCTATTCAGACATGCTGACAAACTAACGTTACTCACCATCGTTCGGGACATTTGTGTATGCAATTATGTATGCATATGAGCACAAACATGACACGATGGATATCGCATGTTGAGAGCAATTGTCTGGAAAAGGAAGGTTAGTACGTCAAGCATAACGTATGTCGTCGACACGAGCACCTACTTGAATATATCCGCATCCTCTTGGAAATACCGTGGCCACATCTTATCCTGTACTTCTGGGTTGCCCGTCATCATATTTGCAAGCATTTGAGTTCCCATGTTAACGCATTTGGATACTGTACGTAGACAAGCCAATGATAAATAAACAAATCGCCACGATTCAATTCCAACGGAATACCGCCCACCTTTATCCTTCATCATGGTACAGCAATCTTTGGTGCTTGTGAGCCAACTGCACAGATACGACATGATTTCCTCCGCAGGTTCATAAAGGCCTTGCTCCCTACCATCAACACATTTAGAGACAACCAACGTCCAAAAGGTATAAACAAACAGACTTTACCATGCGTCCTTCTGGTTAGATTGGACCTGTGCACAGAGGTTCCTAACCAGCTGGAAGTGGGCGGCAGCAAGGTCAACCGCCCGTTCTGCACGAGTAGGACACGCTACACCCTGTTTGCCGACTCCGTAAACACAGAATAAATGATTTCGAGAGAATATAAAGGCGTTGCGTAGGGAAGGCCATATTCCCGGTGTTGACCCTATCTGCACTCTGTATAGACGAAGAGACAAAATGGTGACGTGAGACTCGGCTATTCGCCAGTGTTCCCCACACACAGGATGCCTGCATGCGCTTCACACTCGAATCCCCTTCCAAACCCGTTTCCATTACTACCCACCTCAACTCTGGCTTCTTCACCAACGCCTTTGCTACCTCGTTTACAGCGCTCGTAGCAGCCGCGAGATGTTCATAGGCAGGCGGTGCAGAGCACCCGGCATTCATTCGCTCCAAAAGTGGCTGCCATGCCGTGAGCAGTCTAGCAGAATAATCCTCGTTGTCTTCAGGAGTCGTCGACATGCTTGATGCCAAAAACACAACGCCTTATCGTCCTAACCAAATGCCAGCAAACTAAAGCAAGACGAGAAGGATAAAAATGACTCAAAATACTGGAATTAAAAAAACAGAAACCCGTTTAAAAACTTAAACTTCTCAGCGTCCCTTCCTTCCTTACAAATCTCAACTTCCGAATCCGCACCCTTAGTGTCACTGTGCCACTAATGATTTTGAAATATATCCATATATGGTGATCATGTCGGCTTAGAAGCTTTCAAATCCAATTCTGCGCCATTTGGCTATGGGGATTAGGCTTTTCACCAAACTGCTCGAGGATCTGACGACAAGGCGCATGGATGAAAAGTTGGGATTTCCTGCATTGAGCAAGAAGAGGAAATGCCATGTGCAATTGCCGTTGAATATAGAAGACGGAGTTAGTATCTGTGGAAGCAAAAGACGATTTGGGTTTTGGATGTTAGGTTGCCAGCCGGTATCCACCATACACCAACGACGAGTTGAGGTTTTCCACTTTCTCTGTCAAACGTACATGCTGGCAGTGGAACTCTACATGGTTTCCACCTAAGCGCAATGCATCGACTTTTTGTAGTGGAAAGCTATTCATGCCCCAAGACCTTGTTTGGCGTGCCTCTGGATAGCTTTCCGATCACCTTCGAAATCCCTGATGCCTGCAGGATTCGTAAATGCCAGATGAGGCGCACAGGTCTAATAAAGGCAACCAGCGTCCCGAATGCCATGTTGCCTGAAATTCAGAAGGATCATGACAGTAACCCACAGGTCCAACTTGGAGGACTGATGCCTGCCTCATAGTGTGGAGGTGATTGAAAATGGCACTAAGACCCATTATTATCCGGATAATCCGGTTAATCATATCGCATAATCAGCACCCCCATCTATCGCTCGAAGCGGTGAGGCATGCTAATGTAATGTTCTCCAAACTGCGGTGTGGCATGAATGTAATGTTTTTTTTTCTTTTTCAAACTGTGATGAGGCGCATGCTGAAGGTCTATAAAAGGGGGACTTTTCCCTCTTTCCTCTTTATCCATCCTCGACTCGCAAGCATCTGCCCAACGCTCATCGCGACCCATTGCAACCTCATAGCGACCCACACAACCTCATCGCGACTCGGTCAACCATGAGAACGCTGATGTGGTGGTGTCGAGGACCTCGACCGCCCGACAGCAACAGTGATCAGAACCAGCGGCAACCAATCGGATCCGATAACAAAACCTACTATTATGCTGCCACATTAGTTGAGCTTGGTTGGTATGTACCAATGGCATCATCTCTTTTCATGTTATTCTGTCACTAACATGCATGTATAGTCTCCAAGTCTTGTCACTGAACATCCTCTGGCTTGTGACGCTGCCCAGTCGATTCGCTCCTGGATGCAAAGTCTGGCTTCAATGCCATCAAGAGTTCCAGATCAAGGCCTAGTAGGGACCGCGTGTGGTGGTGGGCAATTATCCGGTTAGAACAACCGTTACGTATTGCGTGTATAATTGCCTATTAGTAGTTAGTTAACTTTTCCGAACCGGTTGTCGCCGGTTTATTCCCTGGTGTAGTAGCTAGTGCCAGTTTCTGTCACCTCTCCACTAAAAAGGCCTAAATAATCGATGCTGCATGCATGTGTTACTCATTAGATACAAAAAAGGCTTAATGAGAATCACATGATTTCTATAGCAACCAGCGGAAATTGAAAGGTGAACAGATGCAAGACCGTCGCCGAGCAGGTCGGCGTTTGACCTTACAAAACTAGAAAGATGCATAGCTTTGTGGGCCGGGCACGACAGACGGTGTTGCGGCAAGGCTCAGCAGTGACTGGAACTGTCATAGCTACAAGACGCGGTATGGATTTTGCTGTTGATGGTTGTTTGTTTTTATAGCGTTCTCAAAGACGAAACACAGCCCAAGTTCTTCTTTGCGTAAACAATGTCGCCAAATCCACGTTTTTCCACACCCATTTCCCCCAGCGTACCTCCGCAACTTCCGAAGAATCCCTCGATATTCCTCCAGGCGTCACACCCACCTTTCACAACGCATACAACTCCCTGAACGATGCACTCAACTGGTCGAAAACTACTCCAGCAAGCCTCCGTCTTCTTTCCTACAATATCAAAACTTCCGCTGACGCTCAGCTGTTTCAAACTGCACTAAAGAGATGGCGTAAAGCGCGGCAACCACAAAATCGCACGGATAATGCCTTGTTTTTGGACATTCTATTCAAAATTGGGGCGTATGAGACGATTTTGGAGATGCTTTGTGATCGGCCTGGATATAGGGTTTTACCTGATTTCCAGCATATCAGCGAGCTGATGGCTGGCTTCAGGAATGTGGCTGTGAAAGGAGAAGGCAGTGAGGAGGAGGTGATCGCGGTCTTGGACAATGTGTACAAGACTTTTGCCTTATTTCTGTACTACAGTATTCCTCCGACGGCTGAGATCTACTCGGCGGTCATCACTTCTGGTGTGTATTGCGGGTTACCAGAGGGATGGAGAAGGTCCGAGGTGACTGCCAAGGAACAGATTTCCCTTGGACTACCTTTCGAGAAGGAGGCGGTGTACGCCCTAGCTCACGGATACATCCTCAGTGGGGATTTTGACGGTGCGCTGACAATTCTCAAACACCTTGGCGGGGCGGATACGATTGGGCTGTTCTTTCAATTTCATTCTCTCGCATCAAAAGGCGACATACAGGGAGCCATTCAAGTCTTGGAAAAGCTAGCGGCAGCGGATCAGGTCAATGTGGCAAATGTTGTCGGGTCAGCACACTGGAAATCGCTGAACGAGGTCGTGGAAGCATTACTCCCACAGTTGAGCGAAGTGGAAAAGAAGACCGTGCTGGCGTTGGCGGAGAATGCTAACGTAAAGTTATCATCTGCATAAATTTAATACTAGACACTTTCTTGTTTCTATTTCCTACCGCATGTTTTGTTTCATGGTGCGATCCAATTTGTAGCAGAACCCACAGTCTTCACACATCTTATATTTACACAATGCTCCTCATAACCAATTAAATACCCACACGCATCTCTACCCTCTGTACAAACAATCCCCAGTACTAATACTCTAAAATCGGGCCTCCCACCTCGGTGATACACGGTATCGTACACTTTAAATCAAAAGCCTTTGCCAACACAATCTTGAATATCTTTTGCACGTTAATGGAATGTGATGTGGAGCAAAATATGAGGGGCGCTTTCATTGCTTTTGCAAATCGTCGGGCCTTTTTTTCAGAACAAACTCAACACTTGTCAAGCGCTGACAAGACATAAGGAATGTAAATACCTGCTTGGTAATCTCCTCCTGCTCCTCTCTCGAGAAGGTTACAAACTGATCATACTTTGTCCCAACCAAAAACGGAATCGCCGTCTACGATCAAAACCCAAAAAGAAACGTAATCAGATCCGAGTGTTTTCTACCAACCCGATCATCATTGCATTCCCACCTTATTAAAGCCCCTTGCCTGTCGATACCATTCCTTGATGCTATTCAATGTCGACTTTCGTGACAAGTCAAACATGAAGAGAATGGCCACGGCATCGTTACAGACGAGAGGAAGCATATTGACAAACTCGCGTTGCCCTGGGATAGAGAAATATCACGTTAGAACCAAGTACAAGAGAAAGAAAACGCTGCGTGGAAACTCTATGGACATTACCACCCAAATCCCAGATACTAAACGTGATCTCCGTATTCCGAATCGAAATGGTTTTTTCCATAAAATTGACACCTATCCATATCAACAAAGCCCAAAATGAATACCAAAATCTCCTTCCATCTTCACCAACCAGGAATCCACATTATGAACTATCGTACCTAACGTCTGGATATAATCCTCATCAAAACTCCCTTCAACATATTTGACCATCAAGCTCGTTTTTCCGATCTGGCTATCCCCAACCATGCCAACTTTTATCACCACACTTGATTAACCACAGAATTGAGTATAGCTAAACTTTACAAAGAATCACATAAAAACGACAATGCATACTCACCTACTCTTCCGGCCCCCAGGGTCCCCAGACGAAGCAGACGGTGCCGCCGCGTTCATATCTCCAAACACCTCCAACTACACCGACAGATGACGAGTTCGGTATCTTCCCAAAGGTTTGCACCTGACGATTAGCGTTATGCAAATGGAAACAGGTGCGAGATGGGTGAAGCGTACGAATGAGACCGCGTTCGGTAGGATGGGCTCCCTGGGGCCGCGCAGCAGGTAAGCAGGCCTGACGGTTTTGGCTAAATGATCAATATCACGTGAAGTACGCGTTCTGCTGATGGACGACGACAGACGACAACGACGATCCCCACAGGTCTTTTTGTTAAAGGAAAATAAATATTACAAGAATCAGAAGAAAACAATCTTTCACAAAATAAACAAGAAAAACAAAGGCATGTACGAAAGAAGAAAGATGTTTGCCCTATCATCGACCACTCCCGTAGCCCAAATCCAATCCCCTCCTAACCCGCTTTCCCCCCTGTAATGGTGGCAAGGTCCCTGTAGGACTCTTATTGATGATTGTTCCACTAGAAGCATGTTTGACGACACTCCCGGATCGTGCCCCAGACCAATGTAATCCGCTTTTACGGCCACTTCCAAGAGTGTTATGGGTAGCGAGAGTTCGACTTGAGCCTACGACGTCCCGCATAGAGTGGTTGATGATACGTGACTCGTGGGCTCTGGGTTGCTGGACGCTGGCAAGGAGCGGATCAACATTATGACTTTTGGAGCGGAGTCGGCCGCCTGGGATGGCGAGGTTGGCAGGGTTGAATGTTGTCGGGATCGAGTGACCGGGGAAGGAATTGCTCGTTAATATTGGCGGCATGCCATAGTGGGGAAGACGCGTATTGGTCCGTGGGAGGATCGAGTTGGAGGCGTTGGGTGGGTGGTTGAAGCTTTGTCCTGCGAACGGCACAAAAAGCCATGTGAGCGTCACCACCCAGCACAACGCCTCGAAAAGGTATGTCAAGACCCACCTCGGACCTGCAAATCTCCCAAGACCCTTTTCATCTCCCTGCCTTCATGGAGGTTCTCCCTTGACGGCGAAAAAAACCCTGATAGAAACCCACTATTTCTTGGCTTGGACCCTGGACTGGTCGCCAAGTTCCCATACGAAGGGATACGGTACGTTGAATGACGGTCTTCTTCATATACATGATGCGGTGGCGAGTCGCGGTCGGTCGACCCAGCATAAAGGCTTGTGGAGGATCCATCAGGTGCATTTACGTCATCTGTAGGATCGGAAATGTGTTCCGTTGAATCGTTAGGTCGTCGTGCGGGAAAGAAACGGGGTTTAGGGCGTTGAACGTGATCGGGATTTCTTTGGGGTTGATCGACAAAGGTGGGTAATCGAGATCGGCGGACCGATTGTGGTTGCTGTTGGCCATGTGGCGGAGAGCGTTCAGGATGAGCAGCTGCAGCTGCTGGGCGTCGTTGGGGCTTGCTATGTAGTGAGGGAGAAGCATGTCCGTGTCCGAGGGTTGGTCCATCTTGTTCCCACCCTGACACTTCTCCATCCGCGTGAGACAGTTCGTCTAACAGGGAATCTATATGTACACCAGAGGAAGATATGTCAATATCAGGTAAACCCCCTCCAATTCCTGGTAGCGGCCGATATGGCTTTCCCAGTACTACTCCTTTGCTTCCAAGAGACTCTCGTTCTGCAGATCTTGGTTTATTTTGACGATTCTGCTCATTTGGATATTTATTTGACGGCGAGGCGTGCTGTTGTCGTACCGATTCGGCACTATTGCGAGCACCTTTATCGCCACCTTCCTCAGCCGAAGATTTTCGTCGGGCTGGACCAGGAACCGAGAAAGGAAACGGTTTGGGCGTACCAGTTGCTTTTCTGGATGATGGCGTAATGACAGGTGTCGCCCACCGTTCCGTGTCCGCAGAAAGAAGTGATGGGCCTGTGGCACCTCCATTGAGAAATCGTTCACCTCCACCATGATGAATTTCGCTACCACGCCCGAAAGTGAAGGCAAAATCTTTCCCCGAATCCGCCTTAGGCGAAATGTGCTCATCATGTATAGGTCGCGCACTAACGTCACCATTACTCCCATTGTGTTCGCTCTTCAGTGCCGTCGTTATAGATTCTCGTCTCACGCCTGTCAACGCTTCCAATTCGCTCTCAATTAACAGTAGATCCAAGGAAGAGGCAACGGATGCAGTTCGATCAAGTCCGCCCCGCAGACTCGTTCGACGTTCGTCCGATCCATTAGTTTTGTCGAGGTCCTCCTGCACGCTCATCCTATATTCCTGTTCATTCCCTTGCGCGTCTTTCCGCTCTTCGACCAAATCCAATGCAGGTCCAAGTGCAGGAAGAGATAAGGCACGCTCACCGAGCGGTGTACTCCAGAGGTCGGTAAACCAAGGATGCTGCAGGGATTCTTGAGCTGTAGGACGTTGGTTGGGATCGTATCGAAGCATGTCCGCCATGAGTTGCAAAGGGCCATTGGATGCATTAGGTATCAGTTGCGCTAGAGGTTGGGAGGGCATTTGCGGGAACCGGAGTTTCATGGCTCCAGCCAGTCGCAAACCCTCTGGCCATACTCCACCCGGCATGATAAAGTCTCGCTGAACGAGGGGTGCAGATGAAGAATAGTACCCGCCTGCTCCTCGACTGGCACTGCTTCCACCGGTGTCCGAGTCTGGACATCCAAGCACCTCAATGATTTTGTACAATTGGTCCATCTCCGATGTCCCCGGAAAGAGGGGTCGAAGGGTGAATAACTCTGCTAATATACATCCAACCGCCCAGATATCGATGGGGGAAGAATATGACGTTGATCGCAAAATGACTTCTGGAGCTCTGTACCTTCACCAAATCCCATTAGCCCGACATTATACATTTTGTGCACAAAACGAGGATGCAGGCCATACCATCTGGTACTGACATATTCGGTGTAGGGCGGTCGACTACGAATTTCTCTAGCCAGCCCAAAGTCTGCAATTTTGACGTTGTTCCCAGACATAAGGAGGTTTTCTGCCAGTCGAAAGCACCACTCATCAATTATCATGTATGTAGTCACACTAAACTATACAACATACCTGGCTTCATATCGCGATGGAAGAAGCCATGCTTGTGCATGTGTGCTAGTCCCAACAGAACTTGAAATCTGTACCAATATGATTAACATGAGCTGCGAATTCTTTCGAAATCTCGCAGATTTCCGATTACCCACATGAACATCTTGACTTCCTGTTCGGTAAACAATTTGCCATCCCGATTTTTCGTCAGTTGGTACATATTTCCATCCATAAATTCGAATACAAAGTAGAGCTCTTCGTTTTCTCGAAGGACCTCTTTCAGTTTTACAATATTTGGGTGATTGCTCAATTTCACGAGGGCCTGGGAATATCCTTTCATGTTAGCAGGGAGTATCCAAAGCATAAATCTCTTGCCGGTTACCCACCTTGACTTCACGGAGATTCACAGCGTCTTCCCAGTTGTGGTACTTTTGTTTCATTTTCTTGATCGCAACCTAAGAAATGTCTCGTGTGAGAACAATCTGCTGATGTCGTCCAGATGCATTGGCCCACCGTTCCCAATAGTAAAGGCAGAAACCACTAACCCGCTCTCCATTCTCCCTGTGCTCAGCCATAAGCACCACCCCAAAAGACCCATCCCCAATCTGCTTCGTAACCGTGTACTTGTTCATCTTCACAATTGTAAAATTGCCCAAACCAAAGATAAGATCGTGACTCAACCCGATGGAAGGAACAAGGTGTCTACTTGGGCGAGAATGTGAAAATCGGTTGCGATTGCCTGGGACACATCACGCATGCAAACAATGTGTTCGTGGGAAGATGGGCATGTGCTGCCTTAATCGACGCGTGTGCAATTTGGTGAAAGATAAAGTTTCTAGAAGCGATGGTGAGGTTGTGTTTGAAAATGCGAACGCTTCTCTTCAAACGTGACGCTATAGCGCAAAGGCCCGCAATGGGCCAAAATGGTGGCAGGTAAAAACAGTGTTTTCGGAGGAATGCTCTACGATAGTGCGGCTGGCAAAAGGCAACGTGACGGTCGGATTCGAACCCCGACCCCCATTTTTCATTCTCCGATGAATTTTAGATGTTCTTTAGTGTATTAGAGTGACAGAAAATGGCACTAGCTACTACACCAGGGAATAAGCCGGCGACAACCGGTTCGGAAAAGCCAAGTAATTCCCTCCTTACAACCAACTACCACTAGGCCCAATTACACATGCAATACATTACGGATTATGCGATATGATTAACCGGATTATCCGGATAATAATGGGTCTTAGTGCCATTTTCAATCACCTCCACACTATGGTGTTTTCGATAAACGCTCGTATGAGCATGATTTGGCAAGGACCAAAAAAACATGATCTGAACAAAGATGGGGCATGCATTATCCATCTTTTACCTACGCATTCATGCCCGTCGTGCCAATTGTGACCTGGTAGTGATGCAGCATGCATAGCATACACGCGTGCGGAACCAGAAGGATAGCTGCCGCATGTCGGCCGACAAAATAAAGACAATGCAAGCAGCCTTCCTTTTCGCCTACAGCACCGCCAATGCCTCCAGCCCTCCAGCGACAATCGCCCTTCGCCTTGAAGAAGCCGCAAGTCCTCAGATATGCTTATGTAATACATCGCTTAGTTTGATGGCGCAGCAACTCTGCTCCCGAAATTCAAAATCCTCCAAGTCAAAGCTGCGTCCTTGGCCAACACTGACCGATCCCATTTCACCATGACGGCCATGACACCAGAAGAAAAGTAAATATGAGCTCTTTCCTCCGTTCATGAGGAGACAGACAACTCACATTTTTTATACAATGTAGATTTGAGCTCATTAACCGCAACCTCCAAGAGGTGCTTGGAGCGGACCAGATCAAACAGATCCTCGCACAGCGGGATTTGAATTTGTACTGGGGTACAGCGCCTACGGGGAAGCCTCACATTGGCTACTTTGTGCCTATGACCAAGATTGCGGATTTCTTAAAGGCGGGATGTCATGTACGTCTTTTTGAAACCAAGTTTCTGTTGAATGGGAAGAATTGGCAATAGTCTAGTGACTGATATGTTCCCATACCGCATTTAAAAGGTTACGATTCTCTTTGCCAACCTCCACGCGTACCTCGACAATATGAAGGCTCCTTGGGATCAACTAGAGCTCCGCACAAAGTACTATGAAGCGACCATCAAGGCAATGCTCACTTCCATCGGTGTCCCATTGGATAAACTCAAATTCGTCGTGGGAACATCGTACCAATTGAGCCAGGAATACTCACTGGATGTGTACAAAATGCTCGCAATCACGACCGAGCACGATGCCAAGAAGGCTGGCGCCGAGGTCGTCAAACAGGCTGCGTCACCGCTCATGTCCGCGCTTGTCTACCCTCTTCTCCAGGCTTTGGATGAGGAGTATTTAAAAGTAGATGCCCAGTTTGGTGGAGTAGACCAGCGAAAGATTTTCACGTTTGCGGAAAAGTACATGCCAAATCTTGGATACAAGAAGCGGGCACACCTTATGAATCCCATGGTGGCCGGTTTGCGAGGATCCAAAATGAGTGCGTCAGACCCAGATTCCAAAGTGGATTTACTAGATGATGCCAAAACTGTAGCCCGCAAGATCAAAAAGGCGTTCTGCGAGGAAGGGAACGTGGATGATAACCCCCTTTTGGAGTTCCTCAAAGTCGTCGTCTTCCCTGCCCGATCTTTGACTGACCCAACCTACAAATTTGTCGTCAAACGACCGGAAAAATTCGGTGGAGACATTGTATTTGACTCTTACCAACAAATCGAAGATGCCTTCCGCGAAAAGAAATTGCATCCGGTGGATTTGAAGACTGGGACGGCGGACGCCATCAACGCACTCCTGGAGCCCATTCGAACTACATTCAAGGACGAAGCATTGATTCAATTGTCCAAAGATGCGTACGGAGACGCTCAAGCAGCGGCCAAGCAGATCAAGAAACCCGTGCAAAACTCTGCAGAACCTGATGTGGAAAACATTTCCAAATTGGATATTCGTGTCGGGAGAATCGTTGACATTAAACTCCACCCGGACGCTGAGGTTGGTGCCACTCCAACCCTAATTCTGTTGCACAAAGATTAATCAAATGGCTTTAGTCCCTCTACGTAGAACAAATTGACCTGGGCGAACCTACTGGCCCACGGACGATTGTTAGTGGTCTAGCTAAGCATATTCCCCTCTCAGAACTCCAGAACCGTACCGTTCTCGTCCTTACCAACCTCAAACCCAGCAAACTCCGCGGCATTGAATCCAACGGCATGGTCTTGGCAGCTTCCACCTCAGACAACACAACTGTCGAGCTCCTCGATCCTCCGTCGGAAGCCTCTGTAGGCGATCACGTATCGTTTGAAGGGTTCGACTACGCTCCTGTACCCATCTTGAATCCCAAGAAGGATGTGTGGAAAAAGTGCGCGGGCGAAATGAAGGTGGACGGCTCGGGGGTTGCGGTTTTCAGGAACGTGCCTTTCGTGGTGGGTGGGGGTGCCGTCAAGGCACGCAGTTTGAAAGATGCCTTGATTGGATAAATGTTTTGGGTTGCGGTTATAGATGTGGAACTCGTTGGTTATATGTACTAGAAATCCAATTTATATACATGTATTTCAGGATTGTTGGGCGGACCTGACAACGCCATGACTTTAGAAGGTTGGCCAACAATATGAATGAGGAGGGGAGATGCACCTAGTATACATTAACCTTTGACTCAAACACACACATATACATACACACAACAACCACAATTGACAAAGTATGACCCAAAAGAAAAAAAAAATAAAAGAAAACCAAGGACATGTTCACGCCCAAAACCAACTCAACTCAACCTATCTACATGTATATAAAAAAAATCACAATATTCCAACGGTTACAGGCCAAGGTTACCGGGGTGACGAAGAGGAAGAGGAAGGTAGGACTGGGGTGATTGAAGAGACTGATGCAGTAGAATACGTTGTCGGAGATGCCGCCAACGGCGAATGCGATGGCGGAGATAGCTCCTCAATACATGCACAAGGCAAAAGGCCGGTTTGACCTGTTGCTTCATTAACCCCCTTTGGAGCGGAAACAGAAAAAAGTCAAAATAATGCCAAATGCTTTTTAGCGACGGTTTGAAACACAAACCTTTGCCCAGCCGTCATCAAACAGTAGGAAGAGCCTCACGACATCCCCGGTACTCAATGCAATCTCGTCATTCACTGCCGGTACATACGGATGTACGACTACATAGCGTTTCTCGAGGACAGAAGCCAGTGTCGGTGTAAAGGGGGGCTTTATTTGCGTTTCTGGATCTGGGAATCTGGCTCTTCGACGGCGGTAAACGACGACGAGAAGTGTGCCTACGGCGAGGGTAACAAAAAGCGCGGGACCTAAGATCCATATGGGGGCTTTGGTGCTGCTGGATGCTGGAGATGCAGAAGAGGCAGGTGGAAGTGGATTTGGAGTGTTGGCAGGAGTTGGGACGATGCCCACAACTGGTGTGACATTGGGGGAAACGGAAACGGAAACAGGAACAGTTGACACAGGTATGGAGGGCACTATACTTGCGGGACGGGTAGATGGTCTCGTGGTGGTGGTTGTCGGTGTTGGTGTGGGTGTCGTTGTGGTCGGGGAGGGATTGGGATTGGTGCCGGGTTCCTCGATGCCATGGCTATTCCTTCCACAATTTTGGGCAAAGGAGGGAATACCCAAACAATCCGTTGGACAGAGATTCTGTAGAATCCAACGCTCTGTTTTGAAAGATGTAGTGAGTTTTGCGTGTACATGTGTGAAGAAGGATAGTATGTAAGCGTACTTGACGTTGGATCACCTGGTAAACAGGAATCCCATTCAATAACACGGCGTACTCTCAAAGAGGAGGTTGCAGCAAAACTTACAAGCCATGTAATTCTTCCCCTGACATCCAAACACATCCTGCGCGGGATCACACGCACCACCCAACACAACCGATTGTGCACCAACTCTTGATATTGAAGCGAAGAAGGCGACTCCAATGGTCCATGTCGTTGTTTTCATTGTAGTCAGACGGCCTTTTTTTCGTTTTTGGAATTGAACGTTGTCGGAAAGATCAGGATAAACGTCAAGATATGGATACTTTGCTAAAGGAAACCGCACCTGTAGGTACTCAACACACGAACGGACACACGAAAATGCAGGCAGGCACGCGCACACCAGCACACACGGACGATTATCAGATATAGGCGACAATCGACAACACACCCAAAGGACTTGACCGCAAAAAGAAGAATAAGAAAAACCGGCACTCCCCCCCAAAAAACCGTCGTCGCTCCCTTTTTGGGCGGGTCTGAAAAACGCGCGCAAGAAAAACGTTGGGCTCAACTAGTTCAAATGGGCTGTGCATTCTCCCCTCCAAAATCTGATTACGATTCGACATGACGCGTTCGCGTCTTTTTGGGATTTCCTGCTGCGGAAGGTTTTTGGAAAGTTGGCAAGAGACAAGTGACATCTTACACGTGGAATCAAAAGATGACGATGAAAAAGAGTCTTGATTCGCAATATGTGTGTGTGTGTGTGTGGGTGTGTGTGGATACGTGGAGGGGGAATGGGGCAAGGAGAAAAACCAAGAAGAAAGCCTCAGTCACCAATGGATGAGTAGGGGAGTTGAAGCTTCAACTGATTTCATGGAACTGCATTTGGCCAAAAAGTTCAAGTTAAAGGAAAAGGGAGGGAAAAGCCATGATGGAATTTGCTCTGGTCGATCGCGACCGACTTTATCCATCGCCCTTCCAACAGCGCAAAAACACACTCGAGACACGCACACGAGTGCAGAGCAAACAATGCATGAGGGGTTAGAAAGGAGTGACGCTGCTCCCAACTTATACTCTTCCTTTACCCAAGCGTGGTGGAATGACCTGTATCTCAACCAATCTGTATCGTTGATAGCCAATTGGGCAACCCGTTGGCCATGGTCGTTGGAATGAGTACATTGGTAGCAGTCATGAAACCTTCTGATGAGGTGTGCTGATGACAAAACGACTGAGTATGATGACGTAAGGATTTTTTAGTGTCACGTGGAAAAATTCCATTATACCTTATTTGGACAAGTGTGAATTGTGTCAAAGGCGAAGGAACACTTTCCTCGCGAGTAGCGCGCGCTCTTGGGTTCGTGTGTGTTTGGAGGGTTGGACATTTTGTTGTGCCATTTGATTGACATTTGGCAGTGATTTACTCGACACCTTTTTCGACCAAGTGGACACTGAGTATATTACAATCCTGTTGACAGCATCGGTGGTGTTAAGGTTGCTGCACATTACTCCATTTCACCAGAGGCACGCAGTTAGCAAGGGGCCTGCACTTTTTGCCAACCACACCTTTTGCGTTCGCTTTCCACAACAATGTTTTATACCGAAACATTACTCTCGAAAAAGGGTAAGCTGGCCAAAGTTTGGCTGGCTGCCAACTGGGAGCGCAAGTTGAGCAAATCCCAGTTTTTGCAGACGAATATCGAGGCCGCTGTTCGTACGTATCTTTTTTATTTTCGGTGCTACTAACTCCACAGTCTATTCAGATGGTCTGCTAATAATTGAGCTATAATTCCTGGTCACAGACTCAATTATCGAAACCGGCCAGCAGCCCTTGGCATTGCGTTTGTCTGGACAATTGCTTCTGGGAGTTGTTCGAATTTACTCGAGAAAGGCACGATATTTGCTCGAGGATTGCACAGAAGCACTGGTCAAGATCAAAATGGTGCGTTCTGCTGTAGAATCTATCTCCCCCAACCATTTTAATCCTGATAACATGTCCACGGCTGGTTGTAGGCCTTTCGTCCTGGGGTTGTGGATATGCCTGGCGATCACGCTGTGGCCAACGTTAATGCCATTACCCTAGGAGATGCATTGACAGAGTTTGATATTTTGATTCCTGAACCTTCCCTTGATTTAAGGTAAGCCTTCATGTTGTATTGGAGGATGTTCATCCCATTTCTGAGCCATTTTTGCTCGTGTAGAATGTTTGCCCAACCTCTCCCCGAAACCCGACCGAGTCAAACCGTATCTAGAACCCAAGACATTACACTGGCGGAGCCCTCTCAAAAACTCTTCCTAGCGGCGCACGAAGAATTGCAGGAATTGTTTGGAATAGAGCTACCTTCTCACGCTCCAGAAATGGAAGGCTGGCAGCTCGATTTAGGCTTGGGCGAAGAAGAAATGGCTGCCCCAGCAGCTGGTCCACTCCTGGCAGAGGAGTCTATTGAAATTGAGCGTGCTCGTGAAGCAGCAGCCGAATTGCCGTTCTCACCGCGACGCGAGAGTATTTCAATATCAATTGAAGAGGCAATCAGCGGGGAGAAGGAGGCTCCTACTCCTACAGCGCCTGAAATCTCCTTTGATTTGGGGGGTGCCGAACCCATGGAACTGGTCATGGCCGGACCCGAAGTGCCATTCCCAGAGGTTGAACTTCCCCAACTACCCGAAATTGGAGAAGAAGAGTTTCACGTACCAGAAACTGTGACAGCAAAAGTGCCTACAGCAGAGGCTGAAGAGGAGGTCGCCGCTGCACAGGCTGCCAGAAAGGAAAAGCGCCATCCAAGCCGAAAGCGTAAATTGGTGGTGGATGCTGAAACGGAGCTGTCCTCGCACCGTATTCAGCGTCAGTTACGTGATACATCGGATATCACTCAATCGGTATGTGACAATCTCTTGTTGTCTTTACAGCGGTGCGACTGCTCTCTAACCGTTGCTTTTCGCTCCAAGGAACGCTACGTACCCGCATCCCGTAGAATGCAAAGATTAATGGACATTCGGCGCCAAGGAGCGTCATATTATCTGGAGATGTCGGCCTTTGATGGCGTATCCCCCGAATTGCATATTCTCTTTCAGAACAGGTGGCGGGGCTTTAGAATGCGTCCTATTACGGAAGTCACGTCCCCCGCGCGCAAAAGGAAGGGGATATCGGTGGAGCCTGAGGTGGAAGAGCAAGTGCGTCCTGAAGAGGCCGAAGGTATATATATATATATATATGCAAATGTGTCGTTTAGCGCTATGCGCATACTGGTCGGTGGTGCTGACCGTTCCTTTACAGAGTCATTCATCGTCCCACCTGCCGAGGAACTCCCCATAGTCCCCGAAGAAGAATATCAATACCAAGAAATCAGCCTGCCTCACATTGAAGAATATTTGACAACTGCTGAACCTATGCCCGAATCCCTTGAGCTCCGCGAAGAAGAAGAGATTTCAGTGGAGCCACCAGAAAAGCGGCGACGAACGGGAGCGTTGGCAGAACTTCCAGAAGAGCTTTCACCGCCAATTGAAGAAGCGGAGGAAGAGACTCAATTTGGGTTCAGCAAGAGCACTATTTCGACCATTCGGAGTTTGCAGACAGCATTTGATGAGGAAGGGGTGGATTTGTCATTTAACGCATTGACTGCCTCGGTATGGTTTCTTTGGTATTGCGTCACCTGCCATTCTATTTTTGATGCGGAATTGCCTTTAGGCGAGACGCACAGAAGCTGCCCGATTGTTTTTTGAGCTCTTGGTGCTGAAGACTAAGGATATTGTGGACGTGGAACAGCAGGAACCGTACGGTGATATTGTAATACATTCAACGGTAGCGTCCTGTATTTTTCGATACGGTCTATCGTGGTACTCTGTTCATACTTTTTCAATGACTACAGGAGGCACTTTGGCAGCAGAACATCACCCCCATTCCAACCATGTAAACATAATTGTTATGTGAATTATTCACAGATGGGAATTGTTGAGAAATGGGGCTAGTTAGACGGGAAGCGTGTTCTGCTTTGCTTTATCTTTTGTATCTTTTTTTGTTTATAGCGACTTCTAAAAAACGAAGCTTGATTGCGTAAGCGCCTGCGCCTCCTCTGACGGATGTGGCTTGGGGGAGCGAAGGCAAGCAAATGGAAGGGTGACATCAACGTCGGGGATTTTCTGGACTGGTCGTTGAGGGACATGCCCGTCGGGGATTTTTACCATTGACGTTTCTTTGTTTACATTTGTTCACGAAGGGCAGTGATAACATTGAGAAGAGTTGAAGGCATTGCCTTGCAGCGCTGTATACCCGTATCTCGATTTATTCCGCCCTGACCCCGGGACGCCCTACAATGACACTGATAGGATTCACACCGCTTCGCGCCCGCCGACCACCGATATCGCTTCGCTCGTCTGGTTTCTGCGGTCCGGGCTCAACACGCATCCTCCACTCCAAAGTCCCGCATCCTCCTCCATCCTTTCAGTCTCTCTGGACGCGCCTCCGCTTCCTAGCTCAAAGCTATACCCGCCGACCGCGCAAAGCCTTCACGTGGGGGAGTTCGCGGCCATATGCGGGACTAGCACCTGGATTTTTTGCATACAACCAGTGTGCTCATGCTGCTGTCGAAGGGTCAACGTCTTTCGCGGGGGGTGTAGGAGGCGGTCCTACCACACCGGATCGAACAACTGGGAGATTAGTCCGATTTTTCTTGGAGAATTGTCGAATGGACTTTACAAAACTCGCACAGAAAAGAGGTGACAGCGTCGATCGCATTAGCTTTCATTTATTTGGAAACGGGATGAGGAATGATGTGAGATTGGTCCCTCTCCGACGATGGACAAAGCACAATAAGCGATTCTATTCTTCTTCCTCCAATTCAGAGTCTAATTCTGCTACACAATCATGGCGAGTCGCCCGAGCGGAATTGTTGGACAATGTGGGAGGGTTTTGGCCTCGACTGCGGTTACGGGTTCGACTCTTTCTCATGGGTTCCATGCGCCCGTGGAGGGCTGATGATGTATTTGCTATGTTTTCATGGATATTTATGGGACATACGCTGTTTCTGCTGGTGGGCACAACTACGTTTCTGTCGATGCTGATTGGGGTCGCGAATAGTCTTCAATTTCAAGGTCTGTCTCTGACCCCAGTATAACGACTTTTTGCACCTGCTGATACTTGCATTATCGAAATAGCCTACCTGGCAAAAGCCATAAGTGACTATATCACCCAGGAAACTGGGATGAAAGTTTCTTTTGAATCGGCCATCGTCCCACGATGGAAGGAAGGCGTCATCCGCCTCGAAAATGTTTCAGTGGTGTGCGACGACAAAACTTGGATGGAACTTAAAAATGCAGAGCGGGCAAAACAGGGACTTGCCCCGTACGCTCCTGATGAGCTGGATACCAATTGGACGTATTGGGATTTGACTTTGAGGCATATAGATGTTACATTGTCGCTTTGGAGGTGGTTGGATGGGAAGGGCTTGATCAAGGAGTGTACGCTCAAGGGCGTCAGAGGTGTAGTAGGTACGTTCATACACTAGTGCTATTCTCCCCAAATGTAAGGTGTTCCTCATGAATGATCTGTACCTGATTTCCAGATCGTCGGCATATCACCTGGTCAGACGACTGGGTCCCAAAGCGCCGGGATCCGCAACCAGGAGATTTCGAAATTACCAAGTTCGTCGTGGAAGACTTACTCATCACCATACGCAACCCAAACTTCCGACCCTACAGCGTCTCAATTTTTAATGCCGAACTTCCCCAACTCCGGAAACACTGGCTACTTTACGATATTATGCGTGCCGACATTATGAATGGCATGTTTGACAATTGTCTCTTTTCAGTGCACAAGCCTCAGGGCCCGAATCTGGTATTGGACGATACTGGCAAAATCAAGGGCGGAAAATGGGCCAAAATGAGTCATTTGAAACTTAACGGCTTACCCATCGATCACCTCAACGCAGGCATCGAAGGCCCGTTTGGATGGATTACCAAAGGATTTTTGGACATTGATCTCCAGCTCCTTTTCCCCCAAACTGACACCGACAACCTACTCGACATTCTCCGAGACGAATTAGAGGAAATCACTGACACGGCACTAGACAAACTCGAAGCCGTCATATCCACCCATCCCGAAACGAAAAACAGGCACGCATCCAGTATTGTAAGACATTATCGTGCAAAACATGCCGCAGCAGCCATCCCACCACCCGACCACAAGGAAGTCGAACTAAGTGAACCAAGATTGGAGCCAGATTTCTCGTCAGCCCCCTTTTCAGCTCCTTCTCCTTCTTCTTCTTCTTCATCATCTTCTTCATCTTTTCGACATGTTTCTCATGCTAAACCACCTGCCATGGTCATGCGCTGGAACGTGCGTTTAAACGACATTAAAGCCTCTGTCCCGCTCGTTTCTCCGCATATATCGTATTTGAACAGTGCGCTTATCCGGCCGATTGTAGCGTACCTTAATGCAGTCAAGACTAGCATTTCGATTTCGTTTAATGCAAAGATGGATGTGGTATGTTTTCTTTTTAATGTTTTCGTTTTACTCGACTCGTATTCTAAAACAATGACCGCTCTTTTTTTTTTTTTTTTTTTTAGAGTAATTTCGAAGGTGCTTGGACAATTTACCAATCCTCCCTCGTCACTATCCTCGATGAAGAAGTCGGACGGGCGTTAACGACCATGGTATCAGCCCAACGAGCCAGACATATTAAACGGATCGGTATGTGGAGTTTGGCGAGTGTTACCAAACATTTGGCGGTGTTGATGGAGTATGCTAGAGGGGCTAGAGGGTATTATGGTGTTCCGGGACAGGTTTGGGGTGTTGGGTAGATGGGGGCTGAATTCTTTTTTTTTTTCTGTTGGAGTCTTTTTCTTTTTTTGTTCTTGGTTTTGTAGATATCTCTTTTTGCTTTGCTTTTTGTTTGCTTTTTTCTAGGGTTTGTTTTTCTTTTGGATACCAGAGGGTGGATAGTTTCAAACGCGGATGTCCCTCACACACTGTCGTGTTCTTTGCTTTTAGATTTAAGATAGTTGGCCACCAGTTGGATAAAACGCTGGTGATTATGGAACGAGTAGTAAGAGACTTGATGTGTAGCAGTAGCGTATATCATCTCTTTTTTTCGTGAACATTGCCTTTACACTTTTTCTTCAACCAACTGGTTTTTGGTCAGTCAGTCTTTCCGAGTGGTACTAAAGGGCTCAACAAGTTTTTGACTTGAAGTACATTATCAGAATGTCAGAACTCGGTAAAGTGAACACCAAAGACAGAAAGTTTCTGCAAAAGTTCAGCGGTTCTGCCACAGTGAGCCATGGATAAAGTTGGGGAATAGTCGCAATTATGAAAATAAAAAAAAACGGACGAGACCAATATGGGAGTCCGGCTTCCCAGAGTCGAACTGGGGACCCTTAGATTCCTGAGCAATTACAGTCTAATGCTACTACCAACTGAGCTAAAGCCGGGTTAGATTCAACATAATCGTTTTTCTTGATGAGTGATACCTCCACTTTCCATAAACCACTTGAAAAAGCCAATTGAAATAAACTTCAATCCTTTACGACAACTTCACCACACAAGCAATACAAACCAAACAAGACTCATCTTTATACGAAAAGTAGTACTATTTATCGACATGCTCCAAAAGCGCACACCTCAAAAAAACCCAACACCAGAAAAACAAAAGCAAAAACCCACAAAAAAAATGGTGAGGGTCCCCCTACGAATCCCCAACACACAACATACAACCAATTTTTTTAATCCCGCTCTCTGTCTCTCTCCCTTTCTTTCCTCTCACCCCGTCTATCATCCCTTTCTCGATCCCGATCTCTTTCGCCGTCGCGTTCCTTCCGAGAGCTCCGGGAGCTTCGAGAGCTTTTATGATGACGACGGGAGCTTTTGCTGTGTTTGCTTTTACGGCGTTTGGAGGATGGATCGGCTGTGTCGGGTTCACCGCCATCACGGGAGTGTGAGCGGGATTTGCGTTTATGGTGCCGGCTTCTGCTGCGGCTGCGGCTTCTGCTATGGGATTGGCTGCGGTCGCGGGTATTGGAGGTTAGGTCGGTTACGGTCGGGTCGCCGGATAGATCTGGTGGAGGTGAACCGCTTTTTTGACTTTGGTCGTCGCCGGGTGATGGGCTTCGGCTTTTGCTGCGTGATGCGCTTCGCCCGCGGCTTCTACTCCCTTCGCGTTCGTCGATCGCCATGGGCTCAGCGTCTGCAGGAGGAGAGATGGGTGCATCCAACTGGGCAGACGGATCCGATTCTCTTTGGTCATATTCGCTCCTCCGGTCCCTTCCCCTGCTACTGCGGCTCCTCTTGTCACGACTGTGGCTACGACTCCTGCTTCTGCTCCAACTACGATCCCGTTGTTTCCGATCGTAATCTCGATCATAGTCCCGGTGGCTATCTCTCCGTTCGTAATCGTCAGTTGCTCGTTCCTTCACGTACACCTCTGCTCCCGGCTTACGTCGATCACGTTCGCGATATCTGTCTCTTTCTCGATCGTAATCTCGGCTTGGATAGCCACCTCCTCCACGCCTATCATACCGTTCGTAATATGGGTCATCGTAATAAGGTCGACGGTCGTCACGAGAGTGATAATTACTACTGTGCGCTGACGTGACAGACGGTCGCTTGTCGTAGATATCCTCGCTTCCAGGGTAAGGCCCAGATCCTTCTCCGCCTCGTTCATCGTCCTTGCGACGCTCGCTTTCGGAATGAGCAGGAGGCTCGGGTTTGCTTCTACCCTCTGTTGACTGCGCTTCCCCTTCCTCATCGTGATGCACGCTCGGGCTTTGGACGCGGCGGTGCCCATTAGCTCCATCCAGTTCCGATGCCGCATCACGTCCGTGACTGGTAGAGCTTGGCGGGCCCCGGGGACCAGGTGGATAAGGTCTGCAGGTGTGAATTGTGCAAAGGTCAGTCAAAGTTCGCATTCGCAACCACAAGCGTCATTTACAGACCTTCCATATCCCCTTCCAGCGCCGCCACCTCTCCCAAAACCACCACTCGATCCATATCCATCGTACTCGTAATCTGGACCATCAAAGTAAGGACCGGGGGGGTATGGTCCGCGTTCAAAAAACCCCGGCCCATACGCGTCGCTTCGAGTAGGACCGCCACCACCATAGCCTCCTCGCATTCCGCGCCCCATGCCTCCTCTAAAGCCGTGTTGGTCAGGATAAGGTCCGCCCATACCACCCATCATATGTGGTGGAGGAAAGAATTCTGGCTCAAAAAAGCCTGGGCCTCCACCCATGTATGCTCCACGACCATAGTTCCCGGGGGGATATGATCCTCGACCTCGACCAGCGGTAGCGGCTCCCCTTCCTGCAATACCCGCGCCAGCCGCAGGTGGATAACCTCCGGAATTCACTGCAGCCTGAGCGGCAGGAAGAACACCGGCTACCGTCGGTGCCGCGCCGGCAGTTTGGGGTATGGTTCGCTTCATGGCTTGCTCCGCTCTAACCTCCTTGGGATCCTTCGGAACGGTACGAAACGGATTACCGTGCTGTGTCGCAGGAACCCACTTCACGACAGGTTTGCGACCGTGGATCTCGCTGATAAACAAAAAATCATATAGTATATTTGAATACTGTGCATACATCCATACCAATACAAATTCCACACCACTTTTGGTAAACCTTTAACTACAACTTGATACCAGACATACATTTGTTCAAAGAATTCCTTGGCTCGTGCGGCCGCCTCCGCGGTGGCGAACGGAAGATAACAAATTCCTTTTGACTTGCCGTTGACTCGGTGCTCCGCAAATGATAATTCGTTAGGTACAAGTTGATCCACCACTCCAGCTTCGCTTATGGCCAATCTCATATCATCATCCGAAGTCCACTGGTTGTTCAATGTACGAAATTAAGTTCAACCACCACAAGCCAGAAGTAGGTTACTTGATCCAGTCACATACCCAAGTCAACTCTTCAACATACAATGCTCTGCTAGCATTGGATGCAGCAGGAGGCACGCCCCACGCCTTTTGTGCCATTGCAGGAGGTGCCGCGCCTGCAGGAATGGCTCCAGCGGGTACCCCGGGAAGCGGCTGCGTAGGAGTGCCGTTCTGTACAGGGTGCCCGCCCTTCACTTTGTCATTTGCTTCAGATTTTACCTCTTGAGGCTGTTCCTTTTTCTCGTCAGCTTGGTCATCCGGCCCATAGTCAACAGTATCCGAGTAACTATGAGACTCTCGCCGATCAAGATCAGGTTTTACTTCGCCGGCAGGTCTTGCAGAGAGATCTCCATAGAGAAAATCATCTTCGTCCTGGACAACCCGTCAGGATTAGGTTTCTCTGTGAGAGCAGTAGACTGCTAGTCTGATCCATACCCCGCCGAGCCCAGTGCCTCCCAAACCGTCATCGGCGTAGATGTCGAAATCGTCCGCCATGGTGGGTACAAACAGATATTTCTTGGTGAACCGAAGAACGAGCAAAAACTGCGCTTTTCTATCAAAGGAGGTATCTGCAGGGAAACCCAAACAGTTAGACGACGGTCATCAAAAATAGATCCACACCACGGTGACCGCCCTGCCTGACAATTCGCTAACGACATGCTCAACATGTAGATGCCTTATACCCAGCCCTGATACTCTACATGTGCCCGTCTTACCTTTGCGGAGACGACTGTGAGTTGGATCTGCCTTCCCGTCGTGGGCACAAGCAACTTGGAGGGATTCGCTCGCTGCTTTCCCAAGTCACCAAATGCTATGGCAACAAGATCACGTGATATTGCATGGTGCATTGATTGCAGACAGGTGGTTGCAAAACGCAAATGAACATGACGATAGAATGCAATTAAAGGTCATGTCTAATATTCTCGCTATCAACCACATACACAGGTCTATATAAAATGCTCACTTTTTAGCTTAATGCAAAAGCCTATCATCTCTATTCACATCATACAAGTCATTGTCCATCACTGTGGCCCAAACCCGTTGGGTGGCGATGGATATCGCGCTTGAGTTGGCGGTGCACCATACCTCGGCTGGGCAGGTGGTGGAGGATATCTGGCATTAGTTGGGGCATAGGCTATTGTCGTAGCCGGTTGCCATCCTCCCTCATACCCATACGGCTGACTATACGCTTGGCTCGATGGAGGTGGTTGGGAGATACCGTACTCTGGTTGGTATGTGGCGTACGGCGGTTTGACATCCTCTTCTATATATCCAGGTCCTGCTTTCCGTCCCACCGTTGGATATGCGGCATACAATGGCGGGGGCGGTTGGCTCTTTGTGTCGCCGAGCTTCCCATAGGGTCCCATTCCATTATCAGGATGATTATTGGGAGAATTGTGGAACACCCGGTTGAAAGTCCCCGTTAGTCTCTTTGTCAATGGGAGGTCATCGTCATCAGATTCCTTTTTGATAACCTACACAGATACCTGAAATTAGTCTACCGATCTGCAGATCTGATGGGCTCTTTTGTCTACATACCTTGTGGTAACCCAGCACGCTCAAGCCACAGAGTGCCACGAAGCCCACCATGGAGCCGCCGATAATGAGAGTAGATTTGAGAGCTTTTGGCATACCACCACTACCTCGAGTAACAGTCTGATCATCTTGCACGCCATCAGTTGGAGTGGACGTGGCAGTTGCAGTAGGCGTTGGGAGAGTTCGCGGTAGGGTTGGCACAGGCAGTCGACTTGAGGGAGCGCTCTGGATAGGAGCAGGACTAGGTGCTGGAAGCTCTCGATTGCTACTAATTGCCGGCGGCGGTCGAACAACGGAAGGAACTGGGGGTCGAGGTGCTACGACTACTGGAGTTGCGCTCGGAACAGGGTCTTCAACCTCACTGGAGGGAGGAGCGGGTGGTAACCTTGGTGGGTCTGCCGATGGTGCGGACGTCGGTGGTCTTGGTTGCAGTATTGGTACGGTTGCACTGGGTACTACTACCGTAGCCCGCTGCCCAACGACACCAACCAGACTTGCCGAAAATAGTACGACCAGGAGGAACAGGCTGCGCAAAGTCGCTCGCAGCAATGCCATGATAGATCGAGTGAAACTACTGGTATAAGGTGGATTTTCTGAGGAAAGACTGAGGGGGTTTTTTCTTTAATGCAACCACACGAGGTTCTGTTTTTCTAAAAGGATTTGCAACTTTAAGGGTTTTACGTCGATCCAGCGCCGCAAATCAGGAGGATTGTCTATAAAGTCTACTAGATCTATGTTTATAAAGACGACCAGCGCCGACAAGTTTCTTCTGAGCAAAGGACAGCTCTTTTTACAAGCTCGCAGGGATGGCCATCAACAAAAAAAGCGTTGGAAAAAAAAGAAGAAAATGAAACCGCAAGCTCTGCGATAGACGTGCCCTTGCAAGAAGGGCAGCAAAGGGAGATAGCACACACACAAATAAGTTTTCTTTTCCTGTGTGCGAAATGAATCGAAAAGCGTTCAAAGGAAAGTGTGAAATTCCTTGCATTGCATTTGAATGCATTGGAATGATTCATGTTGAGTTGTATTATCATTGGAATCCACATGCAATCGGATTGCAAATGTACATTCAAGGGTGTGCAATACTCCACTTTCACTTTTCCTTTTTTTTCTTGTGCTTTTTTGGGGGGCACTCTGGTATAACTCGTAGGGAGTGAACGGCAACCCTCTTGGTCGTTGAACGGCAACTGATTCAAGTGTTGTAGAACCATTTGGGGCGTACCATGTCGTTCCTACTTGCACTCTAGTTGACAGCTCAAAAACATCCAAGTGTATGCTCTTCATCACACAATTTGCTCTCATCACTCTCGAACATTCAAATCCCCTATTTCTTTATAAAGTTTCGCAATACGGAAAACCGATCATGTCCCGCTTGGTTTTCCATTAAAAGCTATTCCAACAATGCGAAACCCACCCATAAAAGACTCAACTTGAGCATTAAATAACTGAAACGCGTTCAATTCCAAAACACTGTTAAAGAATCATTAAAGAATCGCTTGTTGATTGGATTAGGAACTTCTGACTTGGTCCGAAACAGCTAGCCGCTATATGAGTTGGAAAGGTTTAGTTTTGTTGTTTGGAGGGCAGGAAGACCCAACTTGCTCTTTGTTTTTTTTCCTACGCTCGTTTCTTTAAAGCAGAACGGGCAAAAGAAGCATTTTTCACAACAATCCTTTTATACAAATATAATATAGAGTTACACTGGGCATTCTTTTCATCGTTCTTCTTGTTCGCAAGCGACGCTCTCCATCCTGTCTTGCCCGTTCGCTTGTCCGTCGTTTGGAAACTATAACAAGCAAGAGGGCAGGCCCACCACGGCCCTACCACCATGCTCATTCGATATGAGCCAAAGCAAGCATTCTCGACATGTCTGCTAGCGCTCTTCTTCCTCATACTCTCTGTCTCTGCTGCTCCCTCAAAAACCGTTGTAGTCAAGAACCGAGATGTCGTTGCGGACATGCCACGCTTGTATGGAATGAGCGAAGCCTTGCGGCAGCTCTTACCAAACGGTCATGCAAACCTCACTGAAGGAAACGCTGACGGCTCCATTATAATATTGAAGAAAAACATTAGCGAAGCGCAAGGTTTGGCGAAATTGTCTTTTTACCGCTCAATGTTTCTATTTAGCTCAAAATGTAATAACTTTCCAGTGCGAGAACACTTTGACTGGCTCAAGAAAAGATTTGACACAGTAAATAAAGAGGCCAAGAATGCAACAGTGTCAAAAAGGGCTGTTAAAAATGAAGCTCGCCTCCACTGTCTGTTTGAAATGGGTTATGCTGGCCACTTTCCCGCTACCCTCCGCGACGCGCTTGCTAGTCGGCCTGAAGTTGCAAAGATAGAGCCGGACTCTGTCTTGCGTATTAGCCAGCAGCTTGCGGGCCAACTAAGCTGGGGGTTGGATAGGTTAGATCAACGGAAACTACCGTTGGACGGAAAGTACCTTGCGAGCGGCCCTCTTGGGTAAGACCATGACCGATTCTTGCGTCTTCACCGCAGCTCCATATTGACATAATTCACAAATTTTCAGATCGGGAGTCGACGTCTACGTGCTTGACTCTGGAATCAATATCGCCCACCAGGAATTCGGTGGTCGCGCGCGGTTTGGCGTCAGTTTTAGTGGGAGTGGCAACGAAGACGGAGTAGGACACGGAACCCATGTTGCAGGCACCATTGGGGGAAAAACTGTCGGCGTCGCCAGGAATGTGAATCTGGTTTCTGTAAAGGTTATAGACAATGATGGAAGCGGGTCAGCTTCCAGCGTTATCATGGGATTAGAATGGTGCGTAGATTATCGACCTGTGTGGTCTTTCATTACTCGCGTCGACGCCGCTGACACGATTTGTTTTCACCTGCAGGGTTACTAGACAGGTAACCACCAGCCAAACACCAAGTATCATCAACATGTCCATAGGCGGTTCCCGCTCCACTGCGCTCGATATGGCCGTCTTGAACGCCGTAAAGGCGGGAATTACCGTTGTGGTAGGACCCGTTGTGTCCATACTCTGTTTACATGATTGTCACTGTTCTCACATCATGTATATCAACAGGCTGCAGCCGGAAATGACAATCATGACGCATGCCTCGATTCACCCGCTAACCTCATGCCTGTCATCACTGTCGGCGCTTTGACCCAAAATGACACCAAAGCATCGTTCAGTAATTATGGCACCTGCGTTAAACTGTTTGCCCCCGGAGCGGCTATTCGGTCGGCGTGGAATCAAGGGCCCCAGAGTTATCAAGTACTAGATGGGACTTCAATGGCGTATGTAGCTGTTGCTGGCTGTAATTTGCGCTCCTTGTCATTTGTCTGACATTTGAAATTTTTCTCCAGATCGCCTCATGCAGCTGGAGCTGCAGCCGTGTGCTTGTCCCAGAACCCCGAGTTCACTCCCCTCCAAGTTCGAGACGCTCTCCTCAAAGGATCAGAAAGTGGTGTCATCGGGAACCTCGATTCGACTTCGCCCAATAAATTATTGAGTCTCGCGGGCATGTTCGACACGGATGATTTTACGGGTAATATTCCCCAAGGCACACCAAATACACCACCGGGCGGGGTCAAGCAGGGAGCATCAACAGCCGCACCGTCACCAGCCATGTCGACCAAGAAGAAGACGAGCGGTGCTCAACGTAGAAAGAGTGTTGGATGGAGTAGTACGGCTCCACTGATACTGGCAGTAGCTTGGGGTAGCTGGGCCCTTGCATGATTCAGTAAAGAGTTTTTAGTTGGTTCATATCTTTTTTCTCTCAAAGGTGCATTGTAGATAATCAGCGCCCTCTGTATAAATGTAGGGCAGTTTAGTGACATTTTGGTGGGACTCTTTTTTAGCTGTACATATTTTGTAGACGAGATTAGAGTCAGCTGAAATAACACTGACCGTGCAACGTGAAGCGTTGGTGTGTATTCCCGCTTGCTTTTATTTTCTGTGTACAGCTGTCACTCTGGATGCAATCAAGCAACAAAAAAAATCGTTTCGAAAAATGGATATTATGTAAATGCTACTCTACAACTGAACTTTAGTTATCATACAGCAAATTGCAATTTCCGTCCATCCGTTTCCTTTTTTCCGCGTTGTTTCAAATATCATGCAAAACGCCCCATTCTAACTTGGAGTTCTGTTTCTTTCGGGTTACTTTGTCCATCTTTCCTTTCGTCTATTGCACTTTTCCGTTGTTTACATTGATCCAATATTCTTTCTCATTCAAATTCGGGTTCCTGAGGTCCCCCAAATTGCCGGTCCCATTCAAATCGCAATTCGTATCTGGGCAATCCGTATCGGGCGTGCATGGCCGGTAATGTTATTTCATCCCGATCCCGTTCTCCCCATCTGCCCCATACTCGCTTCCTTTGTATTATCTTCATCCTGATGAGGGCCACCTTTAACCAAACGATAGGGACCTCGGCGACGTATCGATTGTGTTGTGCAGTGTTCAGTTTAGCGTCTGCCCTAATCTTGTGGCCGCGCATGACAAGCTTGGCTCCGCCCCATAGCAAGTACAGTGCATACGCGAGCCTAAGCCACTTCATTGCCTTGAGCTTTGATGTCGCGATGCTCATGAAACTGTTGGCCAGGCTTTTGGTTCGGCTGTCTGTGAGCCAGGACATTTCAAACATGAGATGAATGGCCGATGCGGCGTGGTGAATTGCAAGAGCGGGAATATAAGATTGCTCGCTTCCAATCCTCTTTAGTGCGTTCATAAAGTTTCGGCAGATTGCAAGAGGATCTATAATGCGGCCAGCCCGAATATCTGCTTTGGCTTGAACGCCTAGATACAATAGCTCCATTGCCGGATCTAGAGCCACTGGCAGGGGCGACTCCTGCCATAATTCATGAAGCCTATCCGATTGCTCCTCAATATCGTCCACAAGGGAGCTGTCGTTGAGATTGGTAAGAAAGAGCAACGTCCCCCAAAACGAGCCCAACCAATAATCTTCTTCAATTGCCCATGAACGTAGGGCATTGGCTTCTTTGCGTGATTCTGATCGTTTTTCCGTAAAGAACATGATAATAGCTTTCAGACGATGAGCACGCTCACGAGCTACAATATCGCCCGCGATTTTTGCAGCTCGGATCACTTCATCTAAATGCTTGATCGCATCTTCGTATTGACCCACTTGAAAGTGCATTTGAGCAATCACTTCATGTAAATGTACCATGCTGAATACATCGCTACGGCGTTCCAACGCGGCAGCAGTTTTCATAAATCGGAGTCCTTCTTGTTCTTTTCCTTCATGTTGTATTCGTAGACAGCCATACATGGCTAGGAAACGACTGTAAATGGCTTTAAGTGGGAAATTGTAACAGAGGTTGAGACCCGTCACCACGCAATACTTGTGATGTGTTCGGCGATGATCCCGGAAATAGATTTGGGCAAGGATCAACAGGCATAAGCGGACGTTATGTAAAATGGCCAAGTTTGGATCTTTGCTAATGAGGTCTGCTAGGTCTGAATCTGAGGAATCGTAATTGTGTGGTTCGGCCGGTAACGGTGGTGTCTTTGTTGATGCTGCTACTGAAATCTCGCGATAGTGTCCGCCCTCTGGTCTCTCAGCGTTTCCGTCACGGGTCTCGCTCTCCCGGGGAGACTCTGCTCTCCTCTGTTCCACGCTATTTGCAGACGAAGCTGATCGTTGATGAAAATCCATCGCCTGCTGGATGGTCAACCCACCCGGTTGTGTTGAAGTTGTGTCCTTGATGCTGTGCACGGACCGCTCGAATAATTTGCGAGCTTGCTCCATGTCGTGTTGTTCAGGCTCATCCTTGTCAAAATCCGAAATTTCTGTGGCGGGGATAGTAAATCCTTCCTTCTCCACCTCCTCAATCAGTCCATCTTTCCATCGCTGTTTGTTTGCCATTTCTCTATGTATGCGCCAGCGCAGTGTCACAGAGGACGTTGGAATATCATGTCCAACCAGGTGAAGACTTTGAACTAAATGACGCTCGGCATTTAAGACGTCGTTTTTCCAAAAGTATGCCTCCCCCAACTCCCGATGCCAGGTGGCTACAGTGGCCTTGTCGAAAAACACGAGACCTTTTTCTTCTTGAACGTTTTCAGTCATCTTCATGAGTGTGTTGTAGTGCTTGATGGTTTCTGCAATCCATCGCTGTTCCCAACTAAACTTTGCAACTTCCGCTTGATACTTTACTTTCTTGATCATCTGATTGTCATCTGTTTCCATATAGTGCTCAAAAAGCGGAACCAAAAGACTCTGCCGTGCCTCTTCGTCCTTTTTGATCTTTGCTTCATAGTACAATGCAATATTGAGGTGCAGTTGTTGCCGCTGGGACAGCACCATCATTGAGTATATGCAGTTTCTGACGGCGACCGACTTGAACTGAAACGTCATTCCCTCCCTATGCTTTACCAAGAAGCCATACTTGTCGTACTGCTGAATCTTGCGGGCGATCTGCGAGTAGTTGCGACGCTCGAATCGTTCACTGAAGACAGGCATGTCAATAAGAAAGTGTAGAACATCGTCGACAGCAAAGCGCTGGCCGAGGACAGCAGCGATTTTGAGGAACAGTTGAAAAGTCCTATCCAAGCGATCAAACTGCGCCAGTATAATACTCTGATGATCTTGACCGACGACAATGTGGTCAAAATTGAAATTATCCCCCTGCGTAGTCAAGAGACCATTCGAGTCGACTCTGTATTGTCCCGACTCTTGTAGCGCAGTGACGAGGGATCGAATGTAGAGAGGTTTCCCTTCTGTTCGCTTGTGGATGTTCTCCACTAAATAGTCATCCACTTTTTTGATGGGTGAGGGCCATGTATATTGGATTAGCTCTTTCGTCTCAAACAAGCTCAATCCATTGACTTTCAGCCTGGCGATACGGAAATCATTGTGCCGTTTAATCTTTTTGAACGTCGCAAGTGCTTCTTGGTTATCAAAATACTTTTCCAGGCGAGTGAAGACAAACACCTGGATTCCTTTACAGGATGTGATGACATCAAACAGTAATTCCCAAGAAAGAGCATCCATCCATTGCGATTCGTGAAAGACGAGAACTAGGCTGTTGCTAGCTGCGACGGCTTTGAGGATCTTGCAGATGACCTCAGTAAGCTCTTTGACTTGCAGTTTGGTGGAAATGACCTGCCCGTGTTCTTGATGAGGGACATCGAAATCATTAGGGAAGATGAGACCAAAGATATATGCCGCCACAGTGTCGTTAAAGCCCACCAACGGCAGCGCAGCGAAAATCTTGTCTTTCATGGACACTTGTTTGATTGGTTGAGATGGCGAGCAGCCTTCAGCTGGACTATTCTGTTCAATTGGGCGAGCCTCGCTGACTTCAGCCACGGCCTTTAGCTTGGCCGGCTCAGTGTCGATATTCGGTCGTCCCATGGAAGAAGATGCTGATGAGGCCGATCGCGCAAGTGATAATGGCGTAGCACCCTCTGAGCCAGCAAAGGATACCGATCGCCTCCCAGCGTCTTCTCCTCCCATCAAGGACTTGCGAGATCGTTGTCGGACAGAGGCCCAAATGTCGCGTTTGACGGTCGGAATGGTCTTTTCTGGAGATGCAGCCGCGGGGGCTTCAGGCGACTTTGGGATAATCATCATCTCATCTGGAAGTGGAATGAGCTTAAAAGTCAGAGTACCATCTGGGTTCACGGTGGCCTCAGTGATAACGTTGCATAGATCCGTGAGAATCTCTCGCCAGGCATAGAACGGCGTAGCTTTTTCAGTTTCACTTGCACCACCAGTACTATTCAAAAGCAAAATGAAATCATGAGCCAATTGTTCGACAAGAAAAAGTTGCAAAAGACTTACCAAACTGCTATGCTACGCCTAGCCGCGGCCATTTGTGTCCACTCCACAAAGCTGGATAGGCCTTGTCCACTTTCAGCTTCAAGAATAGTGATCATTGGGTCTCTGGTCTTCACATCTTCATCGTCGAATTCTTCCAATGCGCTACGAATCGCTTGCTTTTCTTGGTACCGACCGACAAGTTCTCCTCTTTCCAAGGCGAGAGGGTTGCGGACAGAGGCACCGCGAAGAGACTTTTCCGGTACAATACCCTTGGGACGGAATATGGAAATTGGATGGGTTTTGCCCTTTACTTTGGTTTCTCCGAGCTTGTCAAAGACAAAGTGCTGCTCGCACAAGTTGAAAGATCGCTCATCGCATAGGAGGGATTGCTTGGCTTCGGTATGGCACATTAAGCGGGCAGCCATGTTGATAGAATCTCCCATCTAGAGAAGTAAGACTTTCATGGCCGAACCAGTGTATAGATGGGAAATCGGTGATGAACTTACCACTGCGTATTCAGTACGAACAGAGTTACCTACACCACCAATGGAAACCACACCCGTAGTGATCCCGATTGAAAAATCATCAAACATTTCCGTGAACTGTGAGCAAATCTCAAGTGCGGCCTTGATGCCGAACGTAGCATCATTCTCATGAGCCAAAGGAGGAAGACCAAAGAAGGCCAAAATAACAGCACCCTTCTCGTCAACATGGAACTGCCTCAAGCTGCCTTCAAACCGGGTGAAAGCTGACTGAACAATTCTCATGGCTTCTTGTGCCTCCTGCAACTTTGCAATGCTTTCCCATCGACGTAGTGATCCGATACGAATGAATACTGTTGTGACTTGTCGGAGCTCATATAGGCCGAGAAGGTCAGTTAAACCCGATTCGAGATGAAATAAACGGGACTGGCTAATATCAGCTTGAAGTTTGAAAAGTGCGCTCTGGTTAATAAAGTTGCGATATAGCTCAACGTTGACCGCGGGAGGCACAATATCCCATAGCGCTAGATCATCGTTGGACGCGGGAAGAGGAGGGGCAAGTTTTCGACGAGCCTTTTCGAGACCCTGCAGGATGATGCAGCGCTTGTCGTAATCACCGATCGTAACGCTCCCGAGTTCCAAGATGACAGAAAGTGATCGAAGAGCTTGATGAGACATGGCCAGTTCACCTGTAGGAGGCGAGATATTGCCAGTACGATTAACCAAGAGATCTCCGATAGACATTTTTAAAGACAAAAAGCTAGTAGTTTACTCAATACTCACCAGCTTTTGCTATATCCAACACCCCTGAAATCTGGTTGACTGCATCGCCAGCGATGAAATGCTCCCATCTTGTTGGTACACCAACGTGAACATCATACACAGTTCCCGCTCCGATACCCAAGTGAATACGCAAAACTTTGATTTCGCACATGGGGATGTCGATAGGGAAAATGCCGAGATTGTTGAGTAAATCCATGCAGCAGTAAGATGCTTTGAGAACCAATTCCCCTCTAGTTGCCTCATCCTCGATGTCCTCCTTACGGGGATCGAGAGACCAGTAGAAAATGACGGCATCACCTTTAGGACCAGTTGTGGGTTAACCTACAAGTTCAACTCCGCATAGAAGAAAATCTCCGACAACTTACCAGCAAACTTGACTATATCTCCGCCGTGCAGGAGAATGGTCTGGATGATCTGTTCAAGAAAGAGGAGGTTAAACGGGATCAAGTAATCATGTTGCGCAAAGAAAGCAGAGCATGTGCCATTACCTTATCTAAATATCCTTTCATCGTCTTACCCAAAATTTCAGCGCCGGAAGGACCTCTCTCAGCCAAAGTGGAGGTCAAGTTAGAGTAGCCGCTCACATCAGCCATTACCACTGCTGCAAAGGTTTCTTCAGCGCTAGGCGCCATATGAGCCAGGTAGGGACTCTCTAGGGTATCAACATTACAGCAAGCAGAATGCCTGTGATGTACTATTTCCGCCATTGTAGGGGAGGCGCCGATAATATTGTCAATCCCAACTCCTGGAACGACAGAACTTGAAATCTTGATGGTCTTGTCTGCCTGGACCCCAGGTGAACCGGCTTCAGCACCTTTTTTCAAGCGATCATCATGTTAGCAAAAATTCAAATCCCAATTTTGTTTTTTCTCCGCAGAATATCTTGTAATATCAAACTTCTTACCTGGTTGTGCAGGCTTGTCAACTGGGCTCTTTGGGCAGTGATGATCGCACCACTCTCGGACATGTTTGGATATGAAATTGGGTAAGATGTGCTCAAGTTGGATGGGTTGTGACAACAATTGGTCTCCCAATCGGCTGTTGTGAATGGAAAGGAGGTTGTCGGTCGTAAGTGCATTGGTGGTGGTTCTCTCTCGAACATCTCCAGAGGTTGATGCTGGATCGGTCGCAAGATTTGCTCGACTTGCGCCTTGATTTCGCTGTGGACGGTCCCGACCTCGACCCCAACGGAGGGGGACGTCCTGTCGGCGATCCATCTGGTTACTGTAGGCTTGGAAGCCAGGAATCACTTGGGAAACTTGGTCTGCAACGAATGCGTAGATCTGCCGACAAAATGTGAGAAATCCCATGCGGTCTGTTAGGGATAGTCGTCTCGTGGTGAAGGAAGGGAGACGGGGAGAAAGATAGATGGACCCTCTTTTATTTCATGCACTTGGCGGAGTTCCCGGGGATTTTTTTTATATAGAACGGATTCCATAATACAGATGGCAAGCTATAAAAACTGCCATGGGAGAGAGGGGAATGTGTCCAAGATACCCTTAGTGGGGACCAATCCCATAATGTTCCGATGTGCTTACTGCATACGACGAGCTGTTGAGCGCATTCGACAATAGCGTTTTGATCATAACTATTTCATGGAGACCCTCATTCCTGACTGGCAAGTGTCTATAGAATATCTCGTATATAAAAATAGTAGCCAAGCATAATCTGACCCTGTCGCGGCCTATATTGTTCCATAATAGAGACATTGTGGTTGCATACCAAGGAAATAACAAGTTTCACGAGCCATCTTGGCAGCGCTAAGGTCATCAGTGACATAAAAAGACTTGTCGGACAGCCGGTCCCTTGTTCATAGCATCTTCGTCCGTGCCGTTCCTACACTCGATCACAGATACCACTATTCCTAATGAAGCTGTTTAATAAGAACAAGGATAGGTTAGAACGACAAAACTCCAATCCGCTCTTAGCAGAGCAGGCACTGCAACGTAAGAATCCTGCTAAGAAAATAATTGAGCGGGGGCCGGAAGCTGCTCGTGAAGCGCATTGGCAGCCACCCCTTCAACGACACATAAAGCCTGATGATGGATCTGAATTTGTGACTATCCGAGTTCGCATCCTGAACGGTGATGCCGAACACGACTTCAACGCAAAGTTTCCAGCGGGGCAATTATTGGGTCAACGAGTCTGCAATATTATTGCCGATAGGGAGGGATTACCGCCAGAGGCCCGCAAAATGTTTGCTTTGTGGGTCGTTGGAAAGGATCTTGGTAAGTTTTGCGCAAATTCGCTGGAGGTACTTGCAGACATCTCAAAATAACTCTACTATATGTCTTCGTGTTCCAGAGCTTCAAGTTCAGCCCGATTTGGACATATTTTCCTTAATGAACAAGTGGAATACATTGTAATGATCTCCATCAACCTTGAGTTTCGAAAAGAATACTGACGTCGAATAACCTAACTTTAGAGTGTTGGATTTCACACATTACCCCGAAGCCATCGATCCCACGCATGCAATCAACCGACATTGGTTCGTTTACCGTCGAGAAGCGACAGTTACCAAAAGCTTTGAGCGCAGATTTACCGACGATCCAACTGTCCGATTGCTTTATGGCGAGGTGCGATTTTTGAGGAAGCTGGCTTGCCAAGCAAGTTTCCGAGCTGAATTGCAATTCCTCTAATCACAGGCCAAGCGCAACGTGATGACCGGCCGATATGTGTGCCCTTTAGAAGATGCAGTCTCACTAGGTGGAATTATGTTAGCCCTTGCAACGGGACCTTACGATCGCTTGCGGCATCCGGACGGATATATTCTGTACGTATGCAACGTCTCCCGGCACAGGCATCTCACTTCCTCACTGAGTTTCGAATGTTTGCGTAACATTAGGAAAAACGATTATTGGAAAACCTTGATCCCAATGCGCTTACACGGAGAACTGAAGCCTCAGGAATGGGAAGATTGCCTGCGGAATGAGCACGGCAAGCATAAAGGACGACCAGTCGAGGCTCTTCGTATGATGTACGGATAGAAATGATTGAGTAATGACTGGGCTGTCATTCATCTTATTCTTTTCCGCCCTGCTTTTAGGTATTTAGAGTTCGTCAGGGAATTTGCCTGTTATGGATGCTCCTTCTTCCCTTGCTGCAAGCTCCGACCTCCTGCCGGGTTTTTCGAGTTCCGCTTGCAAAGGTGGATGGTAGGGATCAGCACAGATGGTCTTGTGGTTTTGGATCAGGACAAGAATGTAAGTACGTCTGTCACTTGTATCTTCAGTGCACCCATATCCAACTGTTCATGTATTATTAGGGGTATGCATTTGCAGAACAATGGGAGAATCTGACAGTTAAGAGGTCAACTGATCGGATCATCCTCCGATGGAAAGATAAGGAAACCGAGAAACCCAAAAAGTTGAAGCTCTTCACCCCACAAGCACAGATGATCCAAAATTTGGCATTGCGTGCCAAGTACGTAGCATTGAAAACACAGCACGAGGCAGAAGAAAACGCTCGGAGCCCACTCGTTCCTGCTACGCCCGTGTCCGCTAGCAGTAGTTCAAACTCTACAGTTCAAACTCGCCGTGCATCGATACAAGCCAGTTCATTGGGCTCTGGCTCTGGGATCCAAGTGCGCGGATTTACGTATGGTGATCCATCTGCCTCGGGATCCACCTCGCAAGGAATGCCACGGGGTGCATCGAACAGAGATATGAAGGGATGGGATATGCCACCTGTGTACGAGGATGCACTTAGGCGAAGCCAGCTTGATCTTGGTCCAGATATGACAAATGACCCGGGTAAATCTTATGTGTACGGAGCGCAGAAGCAACAGCCAGCAAGTTTTGAGGCCGCTCGGGTACGGCCTCCCTCACTCATTGTATCCAATGGTGAAGGGAGCAGCTATTCAACTGCCGCTGCTCATTTACCCCCTCGAATGGAACAGTATGCGCACTTGATTGATGGAACTGGGCCAACAAGCGAGCTGGATGCGGTTGATGCGATGTTGGTGTCCGCCGTTGCAGATCTTGACAATTATGCACCATCGGCCCCTCCATCCGCTCCGCCTATGGATGTTCTGAGTCCTCATGCGTACGCACAAACCCCTAATCCTGCTGGTATCCGCCAGTCAGTATCAACAGGCAACGAAAGACCTGCGCTCTCATCATTTAGTCGATCCCCTTCTTCAAATGCAACACAACCGCTCAACACATTTGCTAATAGCCGCCGCCCATCGATGATGGCTTTTACGGCCATGCAGGGACAAGCGGAAGATGCGTCTCGGGCACCCCAAAAGCAAGCTTTAGGAGCCTTCGCAAACGCCCGTAAACCGTCCATCACCGCATTGTCCGCCTTCTCCCCGCCAGGGGCTGACAACGCCTTGGCTGATTCCTCGAGGTTGCAAGAATCTCCGCTTCAGCAACCGTCCCACCTTGGACCGGCCGTACCCTCCAACCGCGGGCCGATCAGCCGTCGTGCGTCCATGCGTCAATCATCTTTTAGCGATGCCGCACATGCTATTCCTGAGACCTCAGTGTACACATCTTCCTATGTCGCCGTCTCCCATACCCCCGACGTATTCACAGCCGTCGAAAATTCCGGCAGCCGACCATCTTCATTCCAAGCAGGGACATTCGGTCAGGCGCAAAGTAATATAAGTCGGGATACCTCCTTTAACTACCAGAAACCATCCATCACCCCATCTAGGTCGAGGAGTTCTAGTATTGTGAGCGCCATCGCAGGGGCTTTCAAAGACACTGGCGTCAGGAGAGGGGCGGACGCAGGACCTGATTTTGCAGCAGCTTTAAATCATTACCTATGAGAACGGCAAGGCACACACATATTGCTCCCACTATTGTGGTGATGATTCCGTATATTAGCTATTTCCAGGCTCATCTTGCCTGATCATAATGAACGCAATGCGCTGTGTGTAAATACAAAAGACTTATGCAAGGTTCTCTACATCAAATACAAATGAGTTGTAGACGGCCCATCCTAACCACCCAAACTATGCAAGGGTCTCGTTCGCTTCTATAAACAGTGTCCGCCGTCACTCACTGAGCCGCCTTTCCTTCCCCGCCCAAAAAATCTTCTCCATGGTGTCGATCCGTGCCTTATCAACCGCCCCAGTCTTCCCGCCTAGCACTGCTCTCCAATTCCGTGTTTCCCCGCCCTCGTGCTCAACCCTCCGATGTTCACCTCGAGTCCACGTTGCACTACCCTCCGCATCCATACTGGTGTCAGAATCCACAGCGGCCTTCCAGCTTATTCGAGTTTCTCTGTTTCGTACACCAAACGGATCATATGTTTTCGAACTTCGCGCCGACGCGGGTAGTCGTGGCGGCTTTTGTGCTGCTTCCTCCAAAGCTGATGCCACAATTGTCCGACCGCGCGATACCGATGATGACGCTTTTGAGACTCCAACAGCTGCTGCAGCTGCCGCCATGCGGCGGTATGCAAGAATACTGTAGATGTCATCGTCGTCTGTTTCATTATTATCTTCATCGGGTACCATATCAATATTCTCCTTTTCTTCATCCCTCCCAAGACTTGCCCGTTGGTGAACCCGCAGATCCGGTGGAAGCAAAGACGGCGACTGGTATTCATCCGCGGCATCGTCTTTCTTCGGCAGACGGACCTTGATGTCCTCATGGTCATTCTCAGACACTGTTGATGTCACAATGCTATTCGCTAGCTGCTCGTCGACAGCGATAGTCTCATCATACTTCCCGTCCTCTGCATTGACGTCCGCCTCGGCGGTATCGAGCATATCAAAGTCATCCTCATAATCATCCTGACTGGCTGCAGCTTCTACTGCGTCCAGCCGCTTTGCTAATGTGGTCCAGGCCAGCGTTGTGACCTGCGAATCTGGCACCTGCTACAAAATGGAAGGAGGATGAAATTTCGAACCAATTCTTAGACTAGCAGATTCACTCTAGGCAATTACCTCATAGCCAATATCTGCTATCGTTGTACCTCCATCACTTGGCAGCACTTTAGTAGTGTCACCGACTGCAGAAGCCTCAACAGATCCAGAGCATGCGTCGTTTGCCTGATTGCCCTCTACAGTCTGCTGTGAGACATGCACAGACTTATTAGGCTCAGATTCGTCCTGTTCATGAACGCTTTTCTCTTGAGCAATGTCAGCTTCTTCCAGCATCACTGGCTGCTGGTTCGTTATATCCCTACGGCTGCTAGTCTCTTCTTGCACCAGTTGTGCCTTTTCGGGCGAATGAATGTGGCTCTGCGCAATGACTTCAATTGGCCTGGATACTTCCTTGGAAGGTGTAGTCAAATAGGTCAATCGGAATTCCTCTTTCTCTTCGAGTCGGAAAGAAGCGGTATCGCTGAATGGGACGTCAGTGGCCAGGGCTTGCGCTTTCGATGGATCCGGACCTCGACATGCAGTCGAGGAATTGCCTGATTGGTACCCTGACTTTGCGGATGCTGGATGGGTGGGTGTTTCATTGCGTTCAAATCTTGGGTGTGCCTTCCAACTTGGGCTTGCAGTACTTCCCTCATCTGCAGGCAAGCTTCGATCCGGCTCGAAATCTGCTACCTCTCTTTCAACGTCGTTCTGTTGTATCATTTCCGTCAAGTCAGTGCCACCGGTCTTCTCTTTCAGCTTTTGGTTAAGCTCCTCCAATTCTTCCATGGTCTTTTGTAAACTGCTTCGTAAGTTCCCTTCACTTCTTTCCTCAGACGCATTCCTGCTTTTACTGGGTGACATCTTGGCGCGATCATTGCCTTGGGCTCCCTCCGCAACATCAACGGCCCGCACTTCGACTTGTCTATGCTCCCACTTATGCCCTGTCCAGACCCAGGTATCAACGCTCTGCGGGTTGGTCACAGCCGTCGAGTCAAGTGAAGAGGAGCATAGTCCAGCATACGCACCAATGCTTTCGCCTGTTGGGATTTGCCGAACAGAAGTGGCGATACCAGCTGGCGTAACGTCATCTACTGCTTTACCACATGCAGCCTCTAGAGGCCTTCGACCAGTAGCCTTGATGCTCCTCGAGGAATGTCTCTTCTCCTGATACCCCGTGAGCTCTCTAAGCACGGCTCCTACATTTTCCAGTGGGTGTACCTTGATCAATAACTGCCCTTTCGACACTCCTCTTCCGTCCAAGATATGATACCATCCATTGATCTCCTTCAATCCTCCAAAGAGACTCCCCAGGTCAACGCGTGCTGTACCAAGTAGCTCAGATCGCGTCTCATCGTTAATCTCTGGCTTATCTCGCCCAGCATGTTGGCGACTAACATTGACATTGGGTGCATGCCATACTTTGAAAATGATAGCTTTCTCATATTTCAGCATTTTGAGAGCCTTTTCAGAGCGCTCTTGGGACACTGAAACTGTGACGTTCCAAGTTGGAGACCTCTGGGCAGTGGCAACATGGGTCCGCAGTGTTTGACCAGATAAGTCTTCCTGCTTGTCGCTTCCTGACCAGTCGAAGGTCACATAGGCATTTGGTAAGACGGTTTGTTTCTCGTTTTGGGAAACAAAAGGCGAGGCGAGATATTCAGCAAAGGGATCAGCCATCAGTGGCAAGTGAAGAGCTCGTTCCACGGTGATCTCAACAGGAATTCCTGGTGATTGATGTTGCGCGCCACCCGGAGACAATTGGCCTCGTGCTCCTAGATCTGTCATGCGGCCTGGAGGGGAGCGACCGATTCCTTGGCTGGATGGAAGTTGTGCAGAAGACCTCGAGATGGGTGGTGGATCCCGGACTTTGGATGGGGACACTGGTGACATTGAAATTCGCACGGTGACCGAGGCGCCCATGAGATCCGGACTTTTCGGATTGATCAATGGAAATGATCCTTCCACCAGCCACTCGGCTTCGCTTTTCGTGCGTGTCATCTGTCGCCCTCGCCTCCGCTGAGAGTGGCGAGCCTTGCTCACCAGATCGTGCAGGTCAATGTAGGCAGTCCCGATCAACGTGTCGCCTTCGCCTTCTTCCCCCCTTTGCCTAACTTCCATGTTCAATTCTCGTTCCCGGAACCATCGGATAACCGCTTGCGTCATCTCGATGTCGACACTTTTGCTATATGACATCTCGACAGTTGTTAAGCGATCTGGATGAACAGGACTTTTACTGGGTACTGCGGGCGATTCCTCCTCCTCAATGCGCAGGCCTTGTTCATCTTCTGTAGGTACCGGATATTTCCATCGAACATAAAGTTGACGTCCCGCTTGCGTTTCGGTGAGGTTTCCCTTCTGCTGCAAGTAGTGTTTGACAACATCTAGGTGATTCAGATGCAATTGCAGCTTCGACACGCCAACCTTCAAACGGGACCACCATCCAAGACCACGCGTCGCATCCACCCCTTCTACAACATGGCCGAACTCAAATCCTGTGCGAAACCGCATTGACAGCTTGATAGCCGCTTCGACCTTTCCTGGGTCACTTCTTTCAAACCTCACTGGTACCCAGGTCCCATCTATTCCATTAGGTCGACTGAGCAGAGCGCCGAGTGGCAGGCTGAAGGTTCCTAGCAAGAAATCTTCCCCATCCTCTTGATCCGTGACCTCCCCAGGGACGTGATGCCAAATCTCACCCCGAGCCTCCCCACCCTTTCTAATCCATCGGAGAAGATTTGTGTCAACTCCCCGGATGGTCAACGTAGCAGTGTGTTCATATTCCGGTGTAAACGTCTGGGCCACAATTGGTGAGATAATAATAGCATCACCGTCAAAACCTTCATCCTCATTTGAATTTTGGTTTGTGATTACTTGTACACTCTCCGGAAATGGGTGAAAGCGCACGTATGAGTTGGGCCCGATTTCTTTTGCGAAATCCAGTGGAGTGTATTCCTGTATATATTTGCTACTTTGAGCAGCTATGAGTCGCCTGACAAGTGCCCGTAACCCACACGCCCGATGGATGCTGATCTCAATCTGGCACTCTGTCGGTATGTCATTCCGTGACACGTCCTCAGCAGTGATGGTAGGCGAATCTGGAGAATCAGTCTCTACAGTGACATGTCGTGGTCGCACCCTGGCAGCGTCTCTTCTCCTCGACCGCCGACTATCTTGTCCACGACCCGCTTGCCGTTTCCGAGCCATCTGTACTTCCGAGAGATCCTCGTCATCAGCGATTTCGGAAGCACGCGATACTTTTCGAACTCGTCTAATTTGATCCCAATTACCCAACGCCAGAAATGACCTGATCCAGCCTTTAGCAGTGCCGCTGAAGGGATCCGTTACCACGTACTCTGCTTCGGGTATCATGACAGGCATGTCTTGCCCCGAAAATGATGCGCCTTGGTTTTGCTGCAAGGTGGCAGCCATTGTGCCAAGTAAATGATGAAATGGCAATCGCATCAAGCCTAACAGCTTTGCTCCTCTATCCGTATGGTCAGCAAGTGCGTTACGTGCATTGAGCATCGATGAGGACTTTAGGCTGTCACCGTCAATCACCCATACCTCTACGATTAGTGGCGTCTCTCGGTGCGAGTCAATAAACTCCTGCGTCACTGCCAGCGGTAGTGTGTATGAGAACGCAAAGTTGGGAGGGGAATTCAAGCGTCCGTTGGTGAGATCAAAAGGTGGACTGTATGAGATGGGAGGGGTCTCAATCGGAGGAGTGGTGGCAGAGAACAACCGAATCACGAGATAGAGAAGCGTGCTGTTGCCTTCGAAAGTTGGTAAAATGGATAGTGACCGGGCTGTAGATATATGAAGATGAAGATAATATGGCGTGACAGGTGGTAGCTGCGATTCACCATCATGAATCAAGCGCGGTTCAGAGTCTTGAACTGGCTCCATTTCATCATCCGGCTTCTCCGGATTTCGACCATGAAAAGCTGAGGTATAGGTTGGTCTCGCATCAGGTTTTGATAATGTGACCCGATCACTAGCCAATTGAACCTTCATAATCAGATATCCAATTAGATGACGATGATCTCGTTGGCTTGACCGACGTTTCCCGATATTCGGTATCATAGGCTTGCGTTTGCCTCCAACACCACCTGTTTCACTTGACCATACAGGTATTCTTCCGCTCCACGTAAAATTGGTAGCGTTCAGTACATCATCACACTTGAGAATACCAGCAGCCGTCCAAAGTTTCTGATGTGGCACTGTCCCGTTCCGACTCGCAGGTGCAAAGAATGATTTTCTCTCCGCTACAACCTGGACCTCGATGTCCTGCATATTCCACAATTCAACTGTGGTGGAATTGAAGGTATATGGAAAACGTTCCTGATGATCAAATTCCAGGACATACATAGGCGGATCATCTGACTCAACCAAGGACCGTCGACTTGCATTGCGAGATACAGTTAGACGCGGAACAGTTTTACTGGAAGCCTTTACGGTTGTATCAGTGCCCGTTCCCGGAAGCCGGTACTCAACAAAATATGTAGCTGATGCATGCGGCAATACGTCAGGCACCAATTCTAGGCCTCGAATTGTGATCTCCACATAATCGACACGTCCAAGCGATGTCAGCTTATTCACCGACAGATCGTTCTGGACATGGTTGCCGCCGCCCATTGGTACTGCAGATTTTCTCGACTGGTTCTTCCAATTCCTATCAAATAAAGCCCTTCGTTTGCGCTCATCGTCACTCATATCAGAGACTTCATCCTCTGAATCGCTGCTAAACCTCTCCTCCGTCCGGGTCCTCGTATCCAGATTACCGTCGTGCACATGTTCACTAGACGATTCTCGTGCCCTTCGTTCAATGAAACTCTTCCCACTGGCTGAGTTGAGGGCTTCAATAATGAGATCGTCATCAAAAAGATCGGATTCAGACTCTTCGATGCCAATACTGTGTGAAAGCAGACCGTCATCGTCCGCCAACAGGCCGGCCACTTCGGCTGATATAGTATCTAGGTTATCAGCGTCATCTAATTCATCTCCTAGCGCCCGGAGAACATCCGCTTCATTTGCATTTGGAGATTTAGGTATATTTGTTGGATCAACCATATTTAACGGGGTTTCAGGGTTGCCACCAGTGGATGTTTGTGGTTCAATAACCTCTTTCTCATGTATAGGAATGCTGCGCGATGACGTTAAGCTACGTCCTTCGCTCTGGCCAGGTGGTCGAATCTCTCTTTTCGCATCCATACCTTTCACCTCTCCGCTATCGTCTCTTGGCGACACCACCCGTAATGTTTCGATATTAACCGAAGCCCGATGCGAGTCATCAATAACCTCTGCTTCTGCTTCATCAAGGTGTTTTAACAATAATGGTGGTTCGGGTAGAACTGATGATCCAGTCGTCTCAGTGCTTCGCGACAAAAAGGTATTTTCAGGATGATTCCGATCCGTTGGTGGGCCCGGTGGTTCACGTGGTTGGTGCTGAAGCAGCGAGCTGTCGTCCTGCTCGTTTCCCAGGTCAAAGATTCCGTGTGGAGCCTGGGTATAATGGCGATTCAGTTTTACTTGCCCACTGCCGTCATAGTTGGGTAGCGCCGTTTCAAGCATCATCGCCAGATGCAACTCGCCCAGTTTACGTGGCTGCCCTTTGTCTGTGAAGAAATCGCTGTTACTTGGACTCTTCTCCACCACGGGAAAGAATCCGTTGATAGGTCTGGAGGGTTCATCAACTAAAATGGAAAGATCGTGGACTTTGACTTCAGCGGCCACCCTATCATGAACAATCACCAGTAACAGCAGCGACCCCATATCCCGAAAGTAAGCACGTAACTGCCGCTTGGAACATCGGACGGGATAATGTACAGTATTTCGTCCCGGAGAGGATGTGGTCGTGACCGGACTTGACCACGTCTTTGCTCTTATTGGAGGGACCGGAATTGAGGAAGATGGCTTGGAAGGAGACATGCGCGTGCGACCTCCAACGCTTTGCGGAGAAAATATTGTACCAGGTCCGTCCTCGCCCCACCAATGTAATCGAACTCGCGGCAAGGAAGCAGTGCTGCTTCGCTCTGGTGAGGGTGGGTTGGTCCATACGAGCTTGGAGACTGTAACGGACAGAAAATAGCGGACAGGACCGACCACTTTGGGAGGAAGTGACAGGGGCGGTGGTGGAGGAGGAAGGTTTGAAGTGGCTGCAGCTAAAATGGGCATGGAGGATAGTGATGTGCCCTAATAAAATAACCGATCAACACAAGGGCATCCGTCGGTCTTTACACAGATAACCTATCGGGTGGCAGTGCTTTCACCCATACTTCTTTCGTGAACATCATCATACCTATGCAATTCAGTGGTTATGTGGTTCACTTGTAAACATGCGCTGCTCATTCATAAAGAATCCGCGTTCCAGAGCAAGATGGTGAGCGATGCACGACATCAGCACGCCCAATAGTATCAGTGGCTGTTGCTTGCGATATTTGCGCGTTGCTGCGGTGGCAGACGCATGTCAGGAGCAGGAAACGCTCCTTTGTAGGCAAGTCAAAGCACGCGAGAGTGCCAGTTCGGAGTGGTGCATGTCCGGTAGCTTCGAACGCACGTAAGCACCCAAAACGCGACATGGCGACGGAACGACGGCGGTCACGAGAAGTGCTGAGTAAGCAGCTGGATTTTGGACGAGATTGAGGGAAAACCGCCTGTCCGTCAAAGCTCTTTGATGTAAGACCTTACGGTAGACTTTGGACCTAGTAGGCAGCGTATTGCAGGTATTCAGAGGAGTAGAAGGACGTTGATCATCGTTACGCGACATTCTCAAAGTCGGCGCGTACTTTGCATTTGGACTTGTCTACCTCAGAAAGTCAACTTGAGACATGACCCACACAACCGCCGACGCACTTCTTCCAGCCCGATTTCTGACAACAATTGCCCACTTTATCACGACGCTCATGGTGTTCTTTACAAAGGTACAAAGCTAATGCCTGTATGGTTGGTGGGTTTTAATGAATATTCGCCAGGATATATATGTTCGTGCCGCGTTGCCAATTGGAGACTCCAGCCAATACGCGAGTTACGATAACTCGTAAGTAACAATTAAATTGGTGAGCGTGAATGACTCCATCTCATGGAATTACCAGTTTAACTGCAGCACTGGCTTTATCCTGGGTATGCTTTGCGATCGAGCTTTTTGGTTTGTTTTCGGGAATGACAACGTTCAATCAAGGGGCCGGGACCTTGTGTAAGGAAACTAAAGTATGCAATTTGACAGGGATTTTCTAATAAATCTTCATAGATCTATGGGCGCACACAGCCGGAATCATCGCTCTCATTTTTTTTGTCCTTGAAGGTTGGCATTACATGATATATTGGTACATTTTCACATTTTGCAGGTACAGTTGGCTGTCGTTGGCGCGAACAGCAAAGATGATACTCAATATACAATTTTCAGTGCACTGCCTGCATTGATAGAAACCGGTCTGCTTTTGCTAGTAACACTACTTCGAGTCAATCAATACTAGGAAACGAACGAAACCAGAATGTCATTGATAATATACATAGCGTGTGTAGACAAAGCCAAACCCCTCGCTACAGGAAAGTGTCGTGGAATTATTTCTTTTTAGCTTGCACCTGGCCTGCTTTGAAGTCTAATCACATGAAGACAACATCCATGAGTTAATGGAGGATACCAACCACGTGAACCTAACATCCAGCACTTACAGAGTATGTCCCCATCCTGAACTATGTAATCCTTTCCTTTTTGAACATACTTTCCGCCTGCTTTTACTGCGGCCTCGGAGCCCAGCTCCTTCAAATCATCGTACTTCATCACTTCAGCCATAATGAAAGCCTATAGAAAGGGGCCGAAAGCACGTGTCAGCAAACATGTATCTCACCCAGATGAGCAAATGGTCCGCACCTTTTCAAAATCGGTGTGAATGGTACCAGCTGAAAAAGATAGCGATCAACAATGCATTTATCGCTCACAAGGTACAGAACTGTTCCCCTTACCAGCTTGCGGAGCTTTAGTATTCTTCCGTATCGTCCATGCCCGAACTTCGTCAGGCCCTCCAGTGAAGACTGAAAGCACTAATCAGCGACATCCCAACAGGGTGACGGAATTCTTCCAAACTCACAGTAAACTAATTGCAGAGCGTTGTATCCAGCAACTATGATTTTCGGTAGTACAGAGACAACAGGGGCTGGGCTTTCGTACTTCTGTTGTAATTCTTTAAGATATGCCTCTTTTTCCTCTGGTGTCATGGACGTGAGCTTCATTTCCAAGGCGCCAGAGTAAGGTATCAACAAATCGCCAGGATGATTTTCATCGATCCAAGCCTTGATCTTCGGCAACCACTTGTTCTTCTTGCGGACGTAGTCGCGTTCGCTCAAGTTACACTGATTAATCGCTGTTAGGTACGTTCGCAGTATGAGTGTATTCGTTCAAATGGAGATCTTACCAGGTACACCACAGGCTTAGCAGTGATGAGTTGCAATGTGTTGATGATTTCAATTTCTTTTCCATTCCATTCGCCGTCTCTCACATCCTTTTTGTCATCGACAACTAATTTATGAACCTTTTGAATGATCTCGAACTCTTCTTTCTTCGCCTTATCCGCAGCGCCTCCACCCTTGCCCAATCGGTTCACTTCCCTGCTTCTAGATTCCACCTGCTTAGTCAAGTATTCTTCGTCTTTCAGTCGCAATTCTTCATGGATGATGGCAAGATCTCTCACTGGATCTAACTCGCCTTCGACATGAATGACTTCGGCATCATCGAAAGCGCGTAAAAGATGGAATATGCCATCCACGGCCTTGATGTGACTCAAGAAAGCGTTTCCCAGCCCTTGCCCTTCTGCGGCACCCTTTACAAGACCAGCAATATCAGTTACGGTAAGATAGGCAGGAACCTTCGAGGCCGGCTTGTAAAACTCGCACAACCAATCGAATCGAGGGTCAGGAACGGCTACGCGTGCTTCAGAAGGGTCGATGGTACAGAATGGAAAGTTTTCAGCAGCTACTGCGCTGTTCGTCAAGGCGTTGAAGAAAGACGATTTGCCAACGTTGGGCAAGCCAACAATACCCTAATGTTTTGAACCACGTTCAGGTGAGGCCAGCCTACAGCGCTAAGGAATTCTCCATGAAATACCATCTTGAGGTTATTGCTGGGCCTTCCCAACAACGGCTTCTCTGTCGTTTCCTGCTTCTTCTTCGGTGGCATGTCAAAATATTGTAATATGGGCAACAACCGATGGCCAATGATCTCGACAGCAGCATTCGAAGTGTTTTTGCTGTTGCCATGGTCACCATCCACTTTGACTTCAAGTTGACTTTGTTAATTGGAAGATAACTTAAGTTATTAACAAATTAACTCACCATGGAAAATAAGAAACGCCCCCGCGGTCTGAAGAAGTCGCTTGCACAAGACAAGGAGCAGCAGAAGAAGCGCATAAAGCAGGACATCCCGGACGGAGCAGCTCCAAACCCAGAACAGGACTCACAATTGCGTACTGTGGCTATCACTTCCGAGGACCCTGACGAGATATCAATATTGAAGTCATTATACGATGCGGCAGTAGCAAAACAAGGTGCGTATAGCCGTATGAAAGTGTGAAGCTCGACCTCTTGTTGACAGAGGGTCTTCGTTATATTCCCCCCCCCCCCCCCTTTTTTTTTCTATCTCTCCTTATTTTTGGCTTTTCTTAATAGAGAGTGCCGATCTGGAAGGAGCCGTCGACCTATTTAGGGGTTGTATTCATGAGTGTGACAAAATCCTTCGCATTCGATGTGGGGAGGTTCTCCATACAATCGATGAAAAGGGAGAAGATGGATCTTTGGAAAAGAAAGAAACGGGACCACTACCTCCTGCGTTTTATCTTGTGTATGGCAATGCCCTAGCCCAATTGGGACTTCTTAGTTTGAAAGAGGACGAGACAGCAACAGAAGCCTTAAATGATCATCTGGAGGCAGCCCTCGAGCGTCTGGAACGCGGCCTTGAGCGCGCACGAGAAGACGGTATCTCACCGCCATTACGCTTACGGATTTCACTCGGAAAAGTTTGCCTTTTGTTGGTCAGTTAGAGCCAGCGTCCTCATGACATGCATTATTACGCCCTGGATCCTGATTCTATGGATAGGCTTCAAATATGCTGCAGAGTGGTAGTGCCAGAGAAGGCGAGGAGAAAGTCACACGTCTCGCTGATCGCGCCGCAGAGGAATTCAAGGTTAACTTCAACTCGATCACCGACTCGGATAAAGACGAGGATATATTGGAAGCAGGAGCTGCTAGCCAAAGATATGCGGATTTACTTCAAGAGCTTCAAGGTCGCCAGGGCTGGAATGACATTGCCACAGCGCTATTCCAAAAGCTTCTTGAAGGTAAGAAGTATATCAGCAGATTTTGAAGAGCCATCAATGTTGAGTGAGTATGCTTTACAGTAAATCCAAGCTCTGTCGATGCGAGTATTGGTATTGGCGCATGTCAACTCTCTATGGCGAACTATTATTTGGAGAAAATGGACGATGGGGATGAAGTAGATGGTGAACTAATCATCGGCCCCCTGAAAGAAGGTAAATCCATAGTTTAGCGCTCAGCATATGTCATTTATTAAGGTCCTTTCCATTAGCGCTTTCCCAATTTGAAAGCGCACAGCAACAGTCCAAAGACGCTGACACAGTCCATGTTCCTCTGGCGTGCTTGGTAATGATACCTTCTAAAATCCCTCTACTTGACGTTACCACCCTACTAACCGGTGATCTAATATAGATGGGAGAGACTCTTGTGAATCTCGGCAATCTTTACGATGACACCGATGCGGATAAGGCTGAGGATTACTGGAAGAATGCCATCAAGTGCTTTCGCAAGGTACAAGAAGTGGACCCGGAAGCCCTACCCGAGCAGTTCAAAGACTTTGTTGATGAATGGGAGAAGGACCTGGATGAAAGCCAGGAATAGAATCGCGCTTGCCGTTGCACAGATGACCGTGCATGTAGATTATATTATACTTATGGAAGCATCACAGCCCCCTCTCTTTTCCTCCGTCGTTTAAGCAGATTTGCAACACCCGATTTTTGGAATTATAACATTAATAAAAGGATACTGTATGGAGAACCTGCGCATTGGTTCGCGCGGCAAAATCATCCAGAATCATGTCCATTTCCGCGTCTCGGTCCTTGGATTGTGCTATCATGTTCACTAGTTGCAGTATCAGCTGGCCGCCAACTGCAGCTTCTTCATGATTATCTTTGATCTCGATGTTCACCAGGTGTACTGGGCGATTCAGCTCTGACGGTCGGTTGTCCAGATCTGTGAGTCTCGTATCAGAACGCTGCTCCTCGATAGGGCTGAACATCACATATTGTCTAGTCCGTATCCATACATACCCTCGCATGCAGAATCGAAACATCGTTCCTCACAAGATATTATTACATCGAAAACGTCCCGAGCTTCCTGGAACCTTTCCGGCGCGCGCTTTATTCTTCTATTTCTGTCTAACATTGGCAAGAGACCGTTCGCTTTGTAACTTGAAGGATAGATAGTGGAAGTCAGATTGCCAGCCGTCAAGCGGTGTAAGCAATGGGACTTACAGTTGCGGATCTTTCTTCAGCAAGTCGTTGAAGATGTCGTTATAGGGAACCCCGAAAGGATATATATTGGGCTTATCAGCAGCGGGCCCAGGAAGCCGCACAGCACTTCCAGTTCCATATGATGAGAGTACGTATCCGGCTTTCCTGTGGACAGAGCGTGCTGATGTTGAGTCAGTTTTCTCCAAGTGATAAATGCCACATTGGCCCCAAATTCCAGGACATACTGCAGTACGTTATGCGCCTCCATACTCCGATTTTGATTGCTGGCACATATTACCGCTAGCCGAAAGGTTTGCTGCTGTGGAGGCGCTGGTCCTTGTGGTCCTTGAGATGCCATTTGTTCAGAAGGATGGAATAGAACTGGCAAGTCACCGAACCATATCCGTATTGGCTGCGCCACAAAGGTCCTGGGATATATTCGATCTTGGGCGAGATCTCACCCTTGGTCGACCTTCTGATTTCGCCATGTCTACTCAGAGACGTAACGCAGAGAATTCAAAATGCTTCCAGCTCTTTGCGCTGCCGAGCGACATTCTAGCGTCTGTTACTGAAAATACCCAAGTGGTGGAAGGTCTGCCCGGCATCTCGACTCTACCTTCAGTCGCGAAGCCCGAACAACCTTGCATCCAGCCAACTTCCACCTCCGGATGCAGTACCTGCGGTGGACTTCAGTTTCCGTCTTCAGAAGAGATGCGAACACATTACAAGAGTGACTGGCATCGGTATAATATCAAAAGAAAGGTTCGCGGCCAAGGGCCAGTGTCTGAGGAGCAGTTTGACGATCTTACCGAAGTAAGCAGTATCGAAGCCAGTGATGAAGAGGATGACGAAGAGGATAGACCCACACATCCCGACATGATTAAGGCGGGTTCTATGCCAGACTCTCCGTTTGTCATGCTGCCGCTCGGGAATGAGGAATGCCTTCTTGTTTATAAACAAATCTTCTCATCCTCAAAACGTGACATGAAACGAACTGACAACGCTGCTTTGATTGTTGAACGCCTGCGAAAGTACCAAAGCTTACAGCAGCCCACCCATTGGACTCTCCTTATGTTGGCCGCCGGACATTTTGCTGGGACTGTAGTCAATTGTAAAGATGGAACCGCCATCGTCCACAAGACATTTCATCGATATACCACACGAAGAAAGCAGGGCGGTGCTCAAAGCAGGTGCTTACATTTCTTGCGACTCCATGGGGATTCTCAGTTAACATTGGTTCCGATATAGCAACGACCAAGCGAAGGGGAAAGCAAATTCAGCAGGTGCAGGTCTGAGACGGTACAACGAACAAGCCCTTCAGGTACCAGTTCTACTCTACGCATATTGTGACTACTAGTAAAATAGTAATGAAATCCGGCATGACACGATTTATTTGCGGTTTTAGAAAGAAATTCGCGATCTACTAGTGGAATGGAAAGATTATTTGTCGACAAGTGATCTAATCTTCATCCGTGCGCCAGCTGCCAGCAGGAAAGTTCTTTTCTTTGACGGTGGGCCACTGGACGCAGGGCATGACCGCATTCGCTCCTTTCCCTTCACCACTCGTCGACCCACGTTCTCTGAATTGATGAGATGCTTCAAGGAGCTTACTACGATACGAATTGAACGGCTTCCGGAGATACCTGATGTACACGCAACATCCCAAAGCGAAGCACTGCGGCCAAAACCACGCCCAAAGCCAGTATCGCCGGAGGCTGTCAAAGACAACGAGACGACGGCTGGCATCGATCCACTCTTCTTGAAGCTTGCCGATTTTTGCAAGCGAGGGAAGCTAGAGCTATTTCAGTCTCACCTAAAAGCGAATGAAGGCTTGAACGTGAAAACACGCTTGCCCGACGAGGCCGGGACTAGTCTTTTACATTTAGCGGCTACGAATGGCTGCTCCGAAATGGTAAACGCCCTTCTCTCCTTGGGTGCTGATCCTACTATGGGCAGTGAAAAGCGAAATTTAAAGCCCTACGATGTAGCTCAGAGCAAAGATACGCGTGATGCTTTCCGTCGCTTTGTTGCCTCCCAACCTGATATGTGGGACTGGAAGCAGGCGCATGTCCCGGGTCCTCTCACTCCAGAGATGGAGCAACAGCAAAAGGAGAAAGAGAAAGAGAAGAAGAAGAAAATGAAAGACAAACAAAAAGCCTACAAATCTTCTAAAGAGGCGGCAACTCCCGTTCCGGAGCCGGTCCTTGTTCCTGCTCCATCGTCAAAGAAAACGGCTCTGTCAAAACTTACCAAATCAGAGAGAGAATCCATTGGGATGACAGCCGAACGCCGAGCAAGGTTGGACAGGGAGAAACGAGCTTTGGCTGCAGAAGCTCGCATAAGAGTGATGCAAAATCAGTGTGGAGCGTGCGGCAAGTCTTTGGTGGGGATCACACCTTTTGAAAAGCTGCAATTTCGGTATTGCTCCATGCCGTGTGTTACGGTATGCGTCATGAAATTAGAAGATATGTTCTGTCGATGAAATCACATAATCATCATTCGTCTCCATTGCCAGAAACATCAAATCTTGACGTCGTAGGAAGATATTCGTTCGTCAACGCCCACCCCGTTTGCGGATCGCTGCCGCAGTGGCCATAACGAGACGGAATTGCTGGATACCGCCCGGTCCCCGAGCACGTTCCAGTACGTTCAAGTGACATTTTGCCCCCGCGAATCCAATCAAAATTCCCTTAAACGTCACTTGGAGACTGAGCAGGCGGGGCTGCATTGGCCCTCGCATGGCACTGCTCAGTAGAAGAGGGTGGCAATTTCCAGAATATCATGTAGTTGCTAAGCTGCCGCAGTTATACTGAAGATCTGAGGATTTCGCGCATTTGTGCCGCTAGGCGATGTAATCTGACAATAGCTCGGCTCGACCATCTCGTGTCTCTTGATCATCAAATGTAGTGATCCTATTTGTATGCTTTTACATTTTAAAATTTGTTTGCAAGTGTCGTCTCTGATATTCGAAGTCACGCGGGCGTGCTTTTCATGGCGGTTATAGGAAGCTGCTCGCTTGTGGAATGAACTTTGCGACTCACCCATTCCATGAGTCTTTGCTCTGAGGAACTAGGTGATTTTAGAGGTGATTGTTTTCAGCCCTGTGAAAGGACATTGAAGCCAGAACCATCAACTTCCTTTTCTCCTCATACACTCAGCCAAACCACAAAGAGGTAGATTAAAGGCCCAAAGTCCAGCAAATGACTTAATGCACGGCCGTACAGAAAACATTGCTTCGTTTATACAACATGCTCTATAGCGTAGCAAACCCATTGAATTCACGCCTGACCCAGTCTTACATGAGATTATCACTCATTGCTGCTCCCTGAAGTTAGATAAATTTGAGAATCTTCTTCTAGATATGTGTAGGCTCTTTCCACATCTCTGAGACTAGATGTTTCCAAATATTCGCTTAAACCCCACTCACACCCTGGAGAAAATGCCATACGAGTCGCAAAGCGCCCCTAGAATCACATATTGTCTGTTTAGAGTCCCTGATACTAGGAGTATTTGACATACATCCATTGACAGGAAAATGAAATACTTCCAAACCATCCCGATGAGGAAATTATACGTGTAGTGTCGAATCTCTCGAAGTGGGTTCAGGTGGCTTAGCTACGCGATCCGTCTCCCACAGTATGTCAGACTTCAACAGATTTTGGTTTGCTGTTTGTTTAAATGCTTGAAACCTCCGCAGAATTGTGCAGTTAATTGAAGAAATGGCTCCTAAGCAGGGCTGCACTTTTGTCACAAACACAGGACGTTTACCCGACACAGGCGTTGGAAAACAAAATCGCTCCCCATTACTCAGATTCCTGGGTTATTCCTGTAAAGGTTTGCGTACGATGGATTTAGTAGTAGTTAATGATATGATTTGGCTCCAGCGACAGAATCCTTCATTATTTATCTAACCTGGTAGGCATTTAGCAAAATGTGACCAGCGGATTTTACGCTCATCGTATAAGCCGCTGGGGGGCACACAGAAGTCTAACCCCGCCTCGGCGGAAAGCGGCTGACCGCGGAAAGTGGCTGACCTGTGTCGCGGGTCCTGACTGTGCAGTTCCGCGCAATGTGGGGATCGAACCCAGTGCCTTTCCCCAACTGAGGCCACTGAGAACGAACGCATGCCCCATAAGCTATCCCCACAAAGTCACATACATTGCTGCATAATATCCAGATAAATTTAGGCCACATGTTTTATGCATTTATTATGTTATTTACAAAGCATTATAGCAGTTTGGGTTCCTTGCACATCAAGTATATCGAGTACACACATAAACTTTAGTTTTTATCAGTTGCGTCGTGTCTCGAGGCTGCTGTATTCATGCCTTCCGTACTACGGAGTCCAACCAATGATAGGCGTCTAACCACCCATCGGCCATCACTCCGGTGCTGCAAAAGTGGACGATACTCGAGCTTGAAGCTATTACCAACGGTCCTTGACAAATCCTTCTCACTCGGGCTGCGCACATCATAATAACCATCTGGATCTGAAATGCTCGGGGGTGCCACCCTACAGTATTAATATAGAGCGACCTACTTACTGATCGAGGGAAAATATTGTTTAGATACCATATTTGACGGGAAATATGTTACCAAACGACAGCGGATGACAGTCCCTTCATAGAACGGGCGGCAGCGGTAGGATTTCCAGCTGAGGGCGCTTTTCTATGGTGCGAGCCGCTTCCGATATGTATCGAGGCATGTTCCTGCTCTCGAGGGATAGCGAGGACGATCCAATCCCTGTATTGACGAAGTTTATATTTACGTGCCAAAGGAAATGGGAGATAGATTTAGAAACTTGTGGCTTTGCGATTATGTTACTAATTCAACTCTACTAGCCCAATTTAGAACCCCTCGATCAAAGGTTTGTAAGCAGTGTGCCGCCCGACTGGTGTTAAATGCTCTAATATCTTATAAAAGATCTGCTTTCTTTTGAAACTATTCTCATTCACCATTCTCGTCTCCAACCGCAAACCGATACAATGACTTCCGTACCTTATCCTGTGTCTCCATTTCGCGCTCAACTGACAAAGGAAATTCCCGAATCGGTTTTGATCGCGCGGAATGGATGTCATTTCTGCCAGCGATCCCGTCTTCCGCGAAACGTAAACTTTGTCGTCTTTGACTGTGAGGAGTACTCAATGTTCGAGTCCGACATGATGAGCAGTGAACAGATTGGCTGGACATATCCGGAAAGTCAGCGGGATAAGTCATTGAACTTGCGATAAATTACGAGAGAGTTTGCACGGATTGTGCCAAAGTACACTTGCAAGCCAAAGAAATTCCCGAGATTTGCAATCGCTGTCACATGGAGTATCCGGCTTACAGGGGCGAACATAAAGATAATTATCTCACCGGGATTATCACTCCATACGGCATCAACTCTGGGGTTGTAATAACGAAAACGGCGATTGGTGCTGTTGTCAACCGGTTTGGATGAAATTTCACGAAAACACAAGTAGCGGGATAATTCCGGACGAATTACAAGTAGGGGATTGTGTGTGCGATAACTGTATTATCGATTTATACATAAAAGGACATATCGATGCCGGGACCGATGGAGAATTGTATAAGTTCTTGGAGAAGAAAACTATTGTATAATAACGTTCATAAACAGGCACAACATGGCATTCATCCCGGTTTCATTTTTCAACTTGCATACGATCGACAAGCCCACGACACCTGATATCGTTGCTTGATTCCTAATGTTTTGATGCATTTATGAATCAGGACATATTTTTCTTTTGTTACTTTCATTTTGCTGCTATCTATGAAATCGCTCCTTTACGAACCGATATCCGTTCCAAAATTGTCTAGACATATCCCAATGTAGTTTTCTTCGTAGTCATATCCGGAATAACAATCTCCTGTATCAACGACTTTGATCTCTTTTTTTGCCAACAAATTTCCAAGGTTTCTGTAAGATTAGAACTATTTGCGTCTCCCCACGCCATTCCTCGCCATTGAAGAACGCTCCATAACGAACCCACGCACAAAAGTCTACACCCATACTCCGAACGATTATTCTGGATGGCGAAGCGTTGATTATGTATGAGCGCCGCCAATCAGTATGATACAATGCTAGTGCGCTGTTGCGGAGAAAAATCCGATATCTGAGCACACAGCGCAGAGGCTCCCTTTCAATACTCTGCTGTAAACGTTCTCCGAATGGAACCGACCCTGCAACAGCCACTATATCAACGTTTCTCAGCGGTTTGGTTCCCAGCTAGACCTCTAACTGATATATCGTAAACCACCTAGGTTGACATATCAGTATTGATGACGCTACACCACCACCAGTAGCCGACTTAGCTATCGTACCTCCTCGATCTTCTTAACGTCGTATTTGATGCTATCGAATCTCTTTCGTAGAGCATCGTTCTTTAGGTTCAACAATTGGAACCCAGAATAGAGATCCCCCACAAACTTTGATATCCTAGGGGAGCCTGCATCAATGCCTAACCTAGAAAATGGACGACCTTGAAAGCGTACCGTAAGGGTCTTGAATAGTCACCATGTGTTACGCAGTTGACTGCTAATCGCGACTGGAACGAAAAGGGGCCTTAGCGATCGCGGTACAGTAGACCATCAAAATATTCTCCTCACCAATTCGCTTGTAATCGAGACAAGACCATGCAAGTAGTCCTCAATCCCAATATGAAAAGTCGGACTAGTGCCACGTAGACTGACCTCCACTGTTCGTCACATATTAGCGTTGCCATAACCTTGAGCCAAGCAAGTGTCGCGGCCCAACCTCCAAGCATCTCCTCCACTTGAGGAACAGTCAATAACTTCTCCGTTTGAAGGTATACAATATAAGCCGCCAAAAAAATCGCTTTTGTTTTGAGTTAGGGTACAAGACCGGCAAGGGTGAGGGAGTATGGGGCATGCATACCTTGTTGCAATGTGAACGTAAACATGCCGTTATATCTGCAACGCAAGTTCTCAGCTTTGAGTGAAAGATGCCTTGCCCGCATCATACGAACCGATAGTATTGCTCATGCGGCACTAGTTTAGCAACATTCTGAATATCGGCTCGGATATTTGCAAAGCGGTCAAGTGCGGCATTGACTTGCTGGCCGACATCTTAAAGCGAAAATTGTAGGTAGAAGTATAGTGGGACGGACCGATAACCTATACAGTAACCAACCTGAATCTGTGGTCGCCGAGTGGACTTGACTCAAAATAGCCGCTGTAGCAGGAAGTCCAACATTAAGATTTATTCATACAAAAATATCTTTGCCTTCATAACCAGCCAACTGCAAGCTGAACGGTTTGGAGTTCACGTACGGTAACTGCAGCATATCTTTGTCCGCTGCACAGCAAGGGTGTCTCACACTCAACTGATACCCACCGACAGTTCGACATGTTCGCTCCAGGTCTCGTACAGCAGTGCGGATATTCTATGACAAGGTGAACTATTGTTAAGGCATAAAGTGCATTATCCGATGGAGTAACCGCGTTCACATTGCACGTACTTCGCGAAGCTCTGTTTCGGTCTCTAATGACCGCTGAATGCTTTCAAAAAATATCAAGTCAGCCATGATGGGAACATGTAGATCCGTGAAGATCAGTTGGAAGATGGATGATACTGACTGGCCTGGCAAGTGGCACAGTCCTCCAAGCTTACGTGACACCTGTTGAGACGACGCCGGCCCTGTTGCTGAACGACAAAAGAGAAGTTGAAAACGAGCAATTGGTACCGGCAAAGCGCTGTACGTGTCTTATGAATGCGATTAGAGGAGTGCAAAGAGGATTGAAGCGAGGAGAACTTTTTCTCCTTCTTCCCGTTAATGGCATACTTATTTTGGATGTCGCCCGAGTTAGAGAAATATTCGTGCACGCATGATTAAAGTCTTCCAACGATGTCATTTACAGCGGGGTATTTTATCACGACAACATATTACAGTGAACCTCTATTTAGATGATAGTTCTGATCCAATTTTATCTACACAGTCAATGCGAGGTCAGGTAAGCTCTGCGTAAGCAGCGAAGTCAAGCCGAGCACAGTACTTACAGGTAGCAATAGAATCCCAATTGATCTTGTTACGCGTTATGGGCAATGCTCGACGTAATCCTTTGAAGATACCCTCGGAGAGATCGGCAAACTTGTCGCTTAACGCATTTTGAAAATCAGCTTCGGCTTTAGCAATTTGCTTGATAGCAGCCGTGGCAAATGCTCGCGGGTCCTACAGATTAATATTAGATGGAATTGAAAAACTCAATAGCCATATGTGGTATACGTACTGAGGACGATCCAATGTTTACTGTCAGGTCTTTTGACGCCGTGAGTTGCACATTTCCATCCTCGTAGTAATGGACGTTCACCCTCACGAGTCCCTTCAATTCGCTTGAACCAATCTGTGTCGTCCAAATCGACCGCCATCGCCCATTCCTAACAAATTGTTTGAGCCGATTCCTCAAGTTCGTGCATAGTTGTATCATCTACCAACCAAAAGTTGTCCGGATTGTATTTGTTGCCCACAATTTGCAACACAAGTTCATTTCCATCAAAAACAGTTGCCACCCCGTTTGGATAATGCTCTGCAATATACTTGGCGGCGGCCTGATCCAAAGCGTCTCTTCAATAGACAATGAGCTTTAAGCATATGATACGTATCAGCCAGAGAACATACCTGTAAGGTTCTGTCTCAGCATTACGCTCTACCTCTTCCGCATCAGAGGTTGTCTATATATGCACCATTTAGACATATCGAAACAGAAAAAGTGCTGTCCCAGACGGTATTTCACCTGCCGGATGTGGTCAACGTAAAAGGTTTGGGATGACCGAGGGTCCAGATACCGAGTTTCATCCACCTTTCCGTACTTTGACAAAATGACCTAGGTATTGCAGAATTTCATTAGTCGCCGTAGTTGGTCTGTCTGCAATGAGGTCTGTCTGCAGTGACCGTCTTTAGCCACCTGGTGTTTCTGCCCAGGAGGAGTCACGGTTATGAACTGCTCCAGGTTGTATTCTTCAAATATGCTCGCCACTCCATTTTCCAGCAGAGATTCATCGTCTACCAACACTCGCACGTCTATATGCAGTGTAGGAATACGTCAGTGCCGGGTGCGAAGCAGCGGGCAACTACCAGCTCTTACCATTGAAAACATCGTTTAATTCTCCAGGTGGACTGTCAAGCAGAAACCCCGACACAATGCTCAATTTCGCATCGTTACTCAGTTCTGACATGTTGCCGTGCCAATAGAAAACGCGGAATGGGGTAGAGTTCACTGTCGATGCAAGCTGCAAGATGGCCGCCGCAGAGGCAAGACGCGATTGAGTGTTTCGTTCTAATCAGCGGATTAATCCGGCTTAACCATGTTATAATGTGCATTGTTTTTGGTCATCATCATCATGAAGATAAACAATAAAGTCAATTATTTACAATTATTGCCTTTGCGACAGCTGAGGTCTGGGACCTTATCCTGCGGCGCTTATTTTCTATATATGGCCCCATTCTCACTATCTCCTCCCTTCTTGCTCTTTTACCCCCAACTCACCGCAAGCAAGTCAAGCATGACCGAGGACCTCGCCCTCCCGACAATAACAATGGGCAAGGATTGCCTTGCAATGCTATCACTACTATGCTGCTGTGATCACAGGTATGTCTTTGTAACATGCTTATTGTCTGTCGAATTCTGGTTTACTAATATCAGAACATCCTCTGAACCCAGTAGGCCTCGGAACCTGGCCTAAAAGGATTTCTCGTGATGGTGGGCGCTAGTTACCCGGATAGACCACTCGTAATGTGCATGTGTGAGCCTAGTTCATACTTAGTTCGGGTTGGTTGTCGCCAGACCCCAGTGGTTCGAATCCGCATTGGTGTACTGTATTGTTGTTTTAACTGCTCATTGCCATACTACCACAAAGAAACGGTATTATGCGATAAGCACAAGAATCGTGGTATGTCTGCGACCACAGGAGTTGTTGCACGCATGATAGGTCACAAAGATTTATTTATACTCTCCCCTCACATCTCACAGGATAACTACATACAATCCGCCTCGGGAGCAGTTGAGCAGAAGCCAGCGAATTCCAAACCATTAAATGGGTTTAATCTTAAAGTGTAGCGAGATCAGTGAGAAGACCAAGCATTTTAGATCCTGGATTAGGTAGTAGAACACCCGTAGTCCTTCGGGGTCCTTGCTCTCTTGGACATCTACGAGGGAGCCGATCTTTGCCGTCTGATCAAAGGTTACAGATGAGCATATTATAAGATGACTTGTCATCCGAGCAATCGCAGCGTTAAATACTCACGGTGAATGATATGTGTTCTTTGCCCATCACGATCTCAAGCTCCTGTCGTCCAACCCGGTCTGGAACAGGCCACAGTTTGTCGTCCTCCCTAAATCGCAACAGTACACCCGAATGTCAACAACTTGTTCTACCACGACGCACCCAGCGACAAACGCTATTTCCAAGATCTCTGCAATACGCACTTTAGGATCTCACTGTCGGTGACTATTCTCTTCAACTCCTGAATCAGCGATGGGCTAACGTACACCTCCTTTCGGATTAAAGTGTCGTTTTTGTAGTTCGAGGAGTTGGCATATCGTAGTTTGCCGTCCGGCCTAAACTCGAACTCGAGGAACTCATGTCCAAACTTGCCAATGTGGCCGACGCTGATGCGAGAATGGATTCGCGATGTCAGCAACAGATCTATGTTATGGCTGTAATGACATACGCAGGAGACGGAAAGCTTACTAATATCGAACATAAAGCTCTTCTTCTCCAGTGGCCATTTCGTCAATCCAGGGGTGAATATCTGCTGGAGCGATGCTTTGGCAGGCGTTAATTGCCAACAACTAAGCAGTCCTTGTTGCCATAGAAATAGCAACGCGGAGTCTCACCAGATGCAAGTTGACTTCGCGCTCACCGTCCCAAGTCTGAGGTCCTTCTTTGGGAATCGACGCTAACCATGTACCGGGGTAAAGCGACACCCATGGACTTTGAACGTACGAACTTGTTTGCAGGAACTGAGGGCTCCCCGTGGCTTCGAGCTGTGTCCTCAGCAGCCGAAAAAGCGTCTTCCGAAGAGACGAGCGTCACAAGAGAACAAGAAAGCTGTGCAAATGCAGGCGAGTTTGGACAACTTGTTCAGTCCCACACCTTTTCGCTGGTTCTAATTGAAGTCAAAACCTATAGGGAGTTTGTTCGCGTTTGACCCTAGTCCACTGCAGTCAACATCTGTGGTGTCACGATCTTCTCCGAAGGAGCAGCGCCGTGTCTTGCACCCTCGCCGTAGAGCGAACACCGGGTCTCCAAAGTACCGCTACGGATCCGACGGCTTTAGTGGAAGCGATTCAGGTGGAGACGAAGATGTTCCAGTCAAAGGGGTATGTGGATCTTTGGGTAATTGGATGGCGGCATCTTGGAAGCAGAGTCATTCCTAATACGATGCGCATCATATTCCAGAATGCAAAGAAGCGCAAGAAGAAGGAGGAAGCAAGCGCCTTCACTGGATATAGTTCTACATCAAAGCCAAGCGAGGGTTTCAGTCATCATGCCCTGCTCTTGCCTTACATGATCAGTGGGTATGTTTCGGTTTCGCTCTTCTATCATCCTACCAAATGTTGATACTTAAACGAGCGGGTGCGCTTAGATACATACAAATGTTCTTTTCGATGTTCATAATCGCCATCATGCTGTACATGATTGTGCAGTTTATCCTAACTGTGCGTCACGACCTGGAGATGAAAGCAGAGGAGTACTCTGTTGGTATGACCTTTCTGGTCTATCGGTCTCCGCTGCCCTTGTCTTACTATGTTATATTATAGAAATTATTCATCAAGTAGCGGAATGCTCGAAGAACTACATCGAAAACAAATGCGACCCAAAAACACGGGTGCAGTATATGCAGAAAGCGTGCCAGGAATGGGAAATTTGCATGCAGAGAGATCCGAAAGAAGTTGGCAGGTAAATCTTGTTAGACTCTGCTGGTGCTAAGCTGATACTGATTGTGTTTGTGGTCTACCAAAAGACTCAAAGTTGGTGCGGAAACGCTCGCTGAAATCCTTAACAAACTTGTGGAACCGCTTTCATACAAAACCATGGTCTTTGGGACAGTTCTGTTGTTCGGCACACTCTTTTTAACGTCGACTGCCTTCAACCTAGTCAAAGCGAGGGCTTCCTCACCTCCGAACCCAGTTCCAATTCACATGCACGCTCCTCCCGGACCCGCGTATCAATACCAATTTATGCCCTCACCTTCCCCTACACAGTCATATTGGGATCAATCTTCGCGGCCTGCGATTATGGGTACGTATCGATGTCAATGATTTCCATTGCAACTGGACGCAAGCTGATAGTGGTACTGGGCAGGTGTTCCATCTAGTCCGAGCTCAACAGGAAGACTTGATTCAAATTCTATAATACGACGACAGAGACGAGTGCAAGGGTTCATGGAGGACGAATCAGATTAAGCAAGGTGTAGACCCAAGCGCATCCCCATATTTTGGTAACCGGCTAAGAAGTCGACCGTGCCCCGTCACTGAAGTGTATTTTGAGCTTGACTTTATTTGTAAAAATTGCCATAAGAAGATGTAAATAAAATATTATATTAGAATTGCAAACAGGCATGCAAACGTCAGCCTTGAAACGCAACATTGCACCTAACTCGGATCCTGCATGAATAAGCGATTAAGGATTGCTTGATATGTTTTAGATGGCATACACAGCGCACATGCCTTGGGATTGCGAAAGGAGAGTGTCGTCTAACGCTCGGTATTGAAATATCCGATCAGTTACAATCCGTAGCAAGGGCAAGTGTTCAGCATTGCGTTGCTGGTTGCCAGCTAAAGTATTCAACGCTTCCAAACTCAACATTTGCTACTACTACCAGGACCTGCATTAGAGGAGTTTATACTCAAACTCTTGCCTAATGCTTTATAACAAAAGACTGATTTGCCCTTTCAATGCACACGACAAATCAACAGCTACAGATGCAAAACAATAAATTTGATCTCTTTGACAATGTAATCAAGGCAATGTTAACAGTCCATAGTATTCGAGATCCTCTGTCGTGTAAAACATAGATTTTTGTTACCAACTATTCCTGGTATCAATCCAGAATATGTCCGGTCATACCTTCTTCCTTCTGCTTGTTATCTTCTTCCTTCCGCTTCTTCTTTTGCGGCGGTGCCGAACGGAAAGCGATTGGTTTGCCCGTCTGCAAAGACCAGAATTAGCACAGGCACTACGATAGTGATCGTCGAGTTAAACTGATCTGCCATTTACCTTTTTCTTAACAGGTGCCCTGGCTCTCTCCAGAGCCCGTTGCACTCTCTCTTCTTGCAAAGCTCTCTGAGCTTCCATTTTCTCCTCGCGCAACCGCTGACGCCTCTCCTTGTCTTTCATCTGATCGGGTGGAATTAATCAAAACTCATCAATCGTCCCGCCATCATCTTGTTCCAAGATACCTTTTCTGCTTGCTCAACCTTGTCTGGTGGCATCATCTCAATGGTTTCAAACAGTTGTTCCAACCGGTTTTCAATGCTGGTTAGCATGGAAAGTGTACTTAGGCTCGCTTCGTTGTCACCGATACAGCGTCGGTACACCTCTTTCACTTTGTGATTGAGTTCCTCCAATAATTTCTCTTGAGATTCTCCACCAAGATTGCCTGTGGAGAACATCCTAGAATTGTAATGAAAACAGTTCAATTATAGCACAGGCTCAATGTACTTGGAATCGGGAGCAGACGCACTTTGCACGCTCTTCTAACATCTTAGCCTTCTCATCCTCCCGCGCGATGGCCGCATTGAGGAAGTCTATTTGCTGTTTGAGACTCTGAGTTTCGTGCTCCCTGACCAGCCGTAGGTTAGGCATAGAGGATGGAGAAAAAAAATTGAGCTCTATCCTTACATTCTCGCTTCTGTATCCACAATCTTCTGTTTAAGCTCTTCAAGGGTTTCTTCCGTTTCCTGACAATTTTGTATTAACGCCAAGTTGTTCTCCTCCAGCTCGGCGAAAATGTCCAGTAGCTGCTGGGGTGTCTTGAAATATAGCAAAGGTTCCTCATCCTCGTTTCCATATTCGTTGCCTCCATGTTCATCTTCATCGGCTTCTGCGTTGTCATCCACATCTCCATCTCTGTCTTCAGCGGCATTCGATACACTCCCGTCCCCACGGCCGGGACCTCGTGCGCCACTTTTTGCTGTTCGAACGGTTCCTCGCTTTCCTGAGCGACGATTCTTGTAGGTGCTTGCACCTGTACATGGTTACAAGGATTTAATGAGAGGCATTGTTAGAGTTACAGTTACGATATCATTGCCTACTCACGTGCTGACGCTACACTGCTACCACCATCCGAAGATGCCTTCCGCTTTGGCTCATATTTTGAGTCCTAGCGTAGAATACAAGACGACTTAGCGTCTTGAACGGAACCATAAAGTACCTAATAGGAACCCGTACCTTTCCCTTCAGCTTGACCTGTTCTTCGAAAAATTCTTTGGGGGTGAGCTTGTCCAAAAATTCTCTGTATCGTTGCAAATCCTTCAGTTGGTCTTCATTCTTGGACATGTCGCTACGGATACTCATAATCTGAACATTAAGCTTCTTTATCTCCTGTATCTTTTCGAGCTTTGCCTTGGTTTCCTGCTCCGCTCTTTAAAGAAAGGCTCAGGGGATGACCACCCAGCAAAATCAATTTTGTTGAATGCACCTTTTTATTGCCTCCACAGAGTTTTTGTCATTCTCCTTTAAAAATGCATCAAACTTGGCGGCATCCTCTTCCAGTGCCTTCTCATCGTCAAGCAACTTTTGTTCCTCGGCCTGAAGTCATTAAGTCAAATACCAATCATTTCGTATCATGTGTCTTCACCCAGGCGAACCTGCGCAATCTCCTCCAACTTGTGCATCTCCTCTCTCTTGACCCCAAGAGCGTACTGGACAAGAAACATCTCCCTCTTCTTCGCGATAAAGTCGTGCAGGTTCTCCTTTCCGAAATGGCGGTCAACTATGCTCCAAGATGTAAGTTATATAAATATTATTTGGGCAGTTTTAGTAGTCGTAGGTTTTACCTCGCGCCTGCCGATTCGTCAGTATCTTGTCTGAATCTCTTCTTCGAAGCTGCTCGTAAAACTGAATGTCATCCGGTTCTTCAGCAAGCAGCTCTTTAAAGTTCTTTCGCTTGATCACATTCTTTTCATGAATGTGGAGATTTCGCATTTGCTCCTTCGCCTGATCCAGCCAAAAACGTTCAGGAAAGGGTAGACAATACATCTACAGCACAGTTTGCACCTCCTGTTTCTGTCTTCGTTCATCTTCCCGCATAGCAAAGACTTCCACATCTGAGGGCATATGAAATGGGTTTTTGCTTCTTCTGACTGAATCTCCTTTCACCTCATCTCTTCTGCGATCTCCGCCCAGGGGGTCAGAATTCAGCGCCATCCCATCGCTGGGTCGCGGAATCTCTGGCAGTTTTAGTATTTTGCTTCTAGGAGAGCCTGCAGCATTGTATATTTCTGTTGGCATTTATAATTACTGTGGAATGCTTTGTGTGTGGGTATGCCCACCTGGTGCCACTGTCCTCCGCACCGTCCTTCGGCGTTTGCTCTGGAGACAACTGCCAGATGAGCAAATTACACACAGTAGCCAAGAACCATAGTTTCAGAGGGTTCCTACCTCCTCTTGATGTACCCATGGACTGCTTGCCACCGCTGTTGATGCCATTGCTGATACTGTGAAGAGGGTTCGCTTGCATTCAAATATACCAGATATCACATTGTTTCTGGTCGGACCGTGCTTACCTATCCCGGCATGACTGTGCTCATAGTGGTGGGGCTTAGACATGTAACGAAGTCTTCGCGTTTCAAGACTGCAGGAAACTGCATTCCATTCCATCTGCACAATATTGTGGGCCATTTCTACCACTATGGGGTCTCGAACGACCACGCTTATGGTGGTCGTCGTTGGCTTTTTTATGCTGTATCTGTACTTTCAATACGCTGCAGAAGCTCAGTTTCGATTGTAAGGGCATCCCCGAATCCTTTTGCCACCAGTGCGCACTCACTCACATTTCTCACATGAACAGTTCTATAGGGATAAAACAAAAGGAACATTTTGAGCATCCTACTGACCCAGGTATCTCTGCAAAGAAGCAAGATTTCAAGTCTCCAGAGAAAGGGGAGCAGGCAGAAAGCAAACGGCTGCCGACGCCCCCGGGCACCTCATGTCCACCGTGCCCTAAGGTTCCTCAGGTTTCAAATTACAAAAGCCAATTTGCCGTACAGAATACGCTTACAGCCCGTTTCAACGAACTTACCATTGCGAAGCATCCTACCTATGGAACCTGTCTTCTAACAAACTCATCATCCACGCCTGTGACTTGCTCATCGGATGAGCATATTCATTATGAAGCTTTGGTGCATCCCGCGCTAGTTCTTCACCCGTTTCCGCGGCGGGTTCTAGTAGTAGGAGGCCTTGTAGAGGCGCCAATTCGAGAGGTGCTGAAACACTTCTTGGTTCGCGAAATAACCTGGGTAGATCAGAAGGACCTGATAGAAGGACCCAAAAGATTTCTCCCCTCGGAATACGCGTATGAGGACCCTCTGAATCGTGTAGAGGTTGAGAATATGGCTGGCGCAGGATATATGCGATATGTGGATAACGCCAACCGCCATTATGATGTGATTATCATCGCCGATGATGCCCGGCATGTCCAGCGGGAGAACCATTGGAAAGGAGCAGCTTCAATGGAGAAGCGAGCAGAGGTCATTGAAGCCGCGCAGGCAGCCCTAAAAGCAGGAGGTGTATTGGCCGTCTTCAGTGGAGAAATTGAGGGACCCGCCTGGGAAGATCGGAGACTCCTTCGTCGATACTTTCCTCGAGTATTCCTCGGAACTCGTTATGTCCCCTCTGTGGGTGCCCCGGTGGCATATTCTTACGCAACTAGATCAGAGGCGCCTCCCGACCCAAGAATGCTGGCACCCGAATATATCGACGCCCGGCTGCGGCGCACGACCATTGGAGGTACTAGAAGCTACGATGGACTGACGCATTTGCATATGTTTGCATTGACGAAGGATATGCGTGATGAGATTGACAAGGAAGATCTGAAGGCTAGGGAAAAATCTGCTGCAACAATTGTTGTTGGAGCAACGCCATCGGAGCTGCTGCATGCACCTTACAAGGAGGAGCCATTCTTGGATCCTGTAACTCAAGGCGACACCATAACACGGGAATTTTATGGTTGTGCTAATGAAGCCTTCAATATGACGAATCTGAAGACTATCGTAGAAGGCGCCGTAGAAAAGATGAATGGACGTCTTGTGTTTCTGAACGCAACCGAGGTGAAGGAATTCAAGAACAACACAGGTGCAACCAAACCGATTCCAATGCTCTCCGTGGTAGCAATGACGGAGGGAGGGAGCATCACTCTGCATGCGTGGCCAAGTTACCAGTACGCTGCGGCGGATGTGACCAACTTCAACAACTGGGCAGTAGGAGAGGAGGCTATGAATCACATTTTTAATGAACTTGGTGCGTTCCCAGAATGAATTCGCGCGTTGGTCATTCACACTCTGATTTTGAATGGATCGCCAGATGCCACAAAAAGCATCGGCTCAACTTCTCTACGAGGAAGTCTCACACGCTTTGCGTCTGCACCTATTCTTGACCATGTCAAATATCCCACTCCATATAAACAAAACCCGAAAGTAGAGTTTCGAATCTCACCCACAGCGGGATCCGGAAATTTTGCCAGGGAACCCATCATGAAGGGAGAGATAATTTTCGAAGGTCCTATTGAAACTTATTTACTGACTAAGGAAGAGATACGAGCGAAACCCGAATGGTTGGAGGAGTTCATGATGCATTATGGAGAGCAGGTTCGTCCAGACTAAAAGTACGCGAAAATGATTCTCCCCACTTATCTTCATGTATCCCGCAGGCTGAGGATGGGATCTTTGTGGGGCCACCCTACGCGGATCTCGATGCGTCGTACTTTACAAATCATCATTGCGATGCTAATCTTTGGTAAGGGTCAGGTTTTGCGAATTGCGTCTCAAGCTGACAGAACTAAAAATGTGAGACTAAAATTCTGTTGTTCTTAGGTACGAAGATTACGATATCATGGTGGCAAGACGAGATATTGCCATTGGCGAGGAGCTTAACTTTGATTGTGAGTGCCCATTATGTATTATCTACCTTTGTTGATGATAGTTTGTTGAGTATCCTTTCGGTTACAGATGGAACGATATATAGTGATCCTGAGATTTTGGACATCAATCCTTGCCAATGTGGGGCACCGAACTGTCGTAAACACATCACCGGTAACGACTGGAAGAAAGCAGACGTGCAGAAAATGCATGGCCTGGAGCATTTCTGGCCGCATATACAAAAGAAAATCATCAAGACTTCGAAATTGCGGAAACGTGAAACACTTGCGGAACTGTAGCATATTGAACTGGGAGAATGCTTTGATCTACCTATTCTGAACTTGCAGCATGTACATAAACTAACTACATTTGCACGAGTACCTTACACGTTATCTGTAGATAACTGTGCCACTGGCTTCAACACTGACAAGAAGCTTCTTCATCTCCACTTTCTCACATTATACATTGCATCTAAACCATTCCACTTCGTACTTCACCTGCGAAAGCAGCACATTCGATAATTGGGTTGCGAAACGTTAATCACGACATTCTCCAACCTGGAACCGGACGGAAGGAATCTTGGCCGCATTCTCCCATAAACACGGACGTCAAAAGACAACTGGAATTGTTTGGTAGCAAACCATACCTTTATTATCAATGGTTTCAGTAAAGTAGGGTGGACGTATTTACTTTGGGGGACAAATAGGTGGCAATATTTAAATCTCAAGCAAAGAGCCTTGGGAGAGGGCTTCTGGGAACTGGGGGCGACAGGCACCTGCTTTTTGGACCAGCGAACATACGACTTGTTTGACACTCTTTTGCGTGAGAATACATTTTGACTCGCGCAATTGACGAGCGGAGTGGACGAAAGGGCGACGAGACTTATGTTGATTCCATGACCGAGTAGAGAAGAAGGGTATGCCGTTAGTGGACAGTCAACGAGACTTTGCAACCGTGCCGAAGAGGCCTCTTGCGGCTGATTTCATGGATTATAATATACCCAAGGTAATTCTGACCGGAAATAGTGTTAGCCTGCCTCTCTTTGGAGTCAGAAGCGGATGATATGAAGGTGGAGTGTAGAGCGTGGACGTTGTCATGTTCACTGCATCCTCGTCGTTTGGTTCTCAAGAGCATTGAGTGCTCGCTGGCCGACTATCCTCCAGAAGCTTCTGCAAAACCACATGGGCGGCCTTCAATGTTATAGATGATAGTGTAGCTGACCTATTATTCGTTGTTGTATTATCACAATATAGAGTCAAACCCCTGACGAGCAGAACCTGTCCCCATTGAACCACAGAAATAACTGGCCACACGCGGGAATGCCAACAGAACAAGGAAAGCCTTCTGATACCATCCCTGACATCGATCAAGCTTTGAAGAGGAAGTACAGTTATGAGATGGAGGAGCCATCAAACCTTGAAATCACCATGGACACATACGCCCATGAGCATCCGTTGCCTACGCCCGTATTAACCCGGGCTACAAGCCCTGTAAAGGAGCAAGGTTCCACTCAATTAACTGTCAAAACATGCATGGATGGCGGAACGGACACTGTCTTCTGCGGTTCTACGATGCATCATAGCCCTGAATGTGATGATGTTGAGACTGCTTGTACGACGGAGGAGACCCCACGAAGCCTCCTTAGCTTCAGCGTAACGAATCCAGAAAGAAATCCCAGGAAAACATTCTATCCATCATTACAAAGTCGCCGCGACACTAATCCCAACGCTGTTGAGAGAACAGGAGTAAAGTCGCAACACTGGGAACCACGAGAGAAGTCATTCACACACCACCCTCGAGAGGGAGGTCCATTAACTGCCTGTAGGCAGAAGGGATGTCACTGGAAGTCACCGAAGAAGTTAAAGTGCGCTAGTACGTTTAATCAGGAACATTCTCATGAGTGTGTTGCATCCTTTACTCAATTCTATCTTCACTTTCGATTGCACGCAATCGTTAATAGAAAATAAAGTCGGTCATGCACACGATAGCCGGTCTTGGCCTCACCTCGATACTCGGACAATGGAAACCACAAAGGAAGCATCTGTTGCAGATCATAATCACTTGCCGCGAAGCACAGAGTCCGCTCAACAAACAATGTCGAGCGAAACCAAAGGAGTTAACGGCGGAGATGATGCAAAAATAAATATACGAAAAGATGCTAAGTTTCACAATGCAAAATCCTCTTCAACAGAGAGCAAACAACAGGGGTCTCGCTTGCGCCTGAGTTCAGAAGTAGATAAAAGATGTTTCAGGTATGGTACTGCGCTATCACCGCATGGAATATCTCATCATTGGACGCTAATATAGCCTTTAGCCTGCACAAGGGCAACGATATCTACGTGGGCAAAGTCACATTCCGTCACATGAATGAATTGTCTATGAGGCTCTTGAATGCATTATGTGAAGAGGATAATTCCACCGAAAACTTCTTTGAGAAGAAGATCTGCATTCGGTACATGATCGACGTGGATGTGGTCAAGTCCGTCTTCCAGAGATTGAGTGCAGCGGAAGATTACGGAATTGCGGCGTTCGAGTTTCCAGATGTGGGAGACCAGGAACCCTTGAGAAATTTGATGCAATATCTGGGCGAAAAGCGACGGGTAGGTCCAATGTTCAATGAAGTACTTCGAGGTGCAGAACTGAGCCGATTGATTGTTCCTGGTAGGTCGGTGTGGTAACGTTCACGGGGCTGGCAGGAATCATTATTCCGGGCAACGATGCTTCAGCGATTTTACATAAAGATCTGGACAGTGCTCCATATCTCTACTGCTCTCTTCTGCACGCTTCTCATTCTCCTTCTCACCTTGGCATGAGTAAACCGCCAAGAAATCCTTCGCATCCCAAGATCTCGCTTCCCGCGCCTATGGTGGCGATGACAGAGTACAGAAAGTTGTTTCTAAGAGCTGTTCACCGGATGCCGCCAAATGTAAGTACCCTCTTATCGAGATTGTGACTCCTGCGGGCGATTACAGACGTTCATTTTTTGTTTTGTTTAGATCCAATGGATAGTAGAGGGCAAAAGAATCCATTTCTTTGCGCCTTCCATTCTGGCAACGTCCGAGGTGAAATGGCTCCTTGAACAGTATGGGGCAAAAGTGGATGATAACACTGCGGAATGCGAAGTGATCATGGTAAGCATCTGATATGGTAAACCACTCCCTTACGAAAGATTAAGTCACAGTCTTTGTGCAGGTGCATAGGTGGTTTCACTACCAGATTCACATGTTACCAGGTCTTAATAATTTGAAAAAAGCCATGGTCACTTTCGTTCTCTGGGGGTTAACTCTTCCTCAATTGGTGAGAGGACCCGAAGTACTCTTCCCAGGAGGTGAGGATGTTGATGAAGGACAACCGCAGTCTCTTTTGTCTGTCTGTGCACCTAATATATAAGGCGACAGACGGCGGTATAATCACGTTCACTACGGACGTGCTGATGGCGGACACTGGTCCTGCGTGGCTGAGGATGTTTCAAACATTCCTCCAAAAGGTAATGGTGCCATTGACGAACCCTTCATACTGTCAAGCTTACCGAACTGACACTCGCTTCTGCTCATGGATCAGTCGCACCCAATCTCAGGACAGTGGGGGGTGATACTGCATCCTTCCGTCTGGGAAATGATGCAGCAACTATCTCAGGCACTCACTGAAGATGAGCCTTTCCTATATCGGTGAGCATTACTCCTCTTTGCGCGTTTACCGCAATCTAAGAGCTAAATGCCTTCCCCTGAAAAACAGAGTACAGGAGGTTTACTTTATTTTGCAGTCCCTCAAATTAAATGGCTTATTAAGGATTGGACAACGGAGTGACGTCTATGATGTAGGTTTTTGTCTTTTGCACAGTGCCCAGATGTCAAATAGAGCTGACCGCCAGGAACGTGCTTTCTTACAACAGCATCCTGAAGAGCAGCAGAGAGTGTATCACATGCTTGTTCGCTTACAATACTCTTGGAGTCTTAACTTTCGGCATTTTGTATGCGTTTCCTTGTCCGCGAATCGTGCAGAGGCAGAGGTTGTCGAAGGGATAGACCAGCTATCACCGGAAGAATTCTCGCGGCACTTCATTTACAAAACATAGCCGCTACTGGTGCTGGACTTTGAATAGGCTCCAATTCCATTGTCTCTTATTGCTGCTTTGCGCTGTAATGCAAGGTTGAGAAATAAAGAAATTGCAAAAAGAATGAACATATCTTGAATTCACGTGATGATTGACTGTACCGAATCGCTGGGTCGACCAGACCCGCGCAAGCAACGGCTTCGTCGACCTTGCAATACCTTCAACATCTTGAATGAGAGCTTGTGACGCGGGCATTTTGCGCATCGAATTTCTTTACGCGGTCCCATACACCTCTACTATCTTATAGCGAGGCGATCCTCTAGAAGCGTGAAAACATGGTCGCCAGCGCCCTTTTCATTTTGGACCTCAAGGGCAAGGTGACAACGCCATCTTGACCACCGTTAACATGAAAATGAGTGCAAGCTCCTGACCTTCGCATGTCCACCTTAAGGTCCTTATTTCTCGAAACTATCGCGGAGATATTCCCATGTCTGCTGTAGAGAAGTTTATGCCTCTCATATTGGAGGCGGAGGAAGAGGAGCAGACTCCGACACCGATAATGTCGACCGAAGATGGCATTCACTTTCTCTATGTGAAGCATAACAACCTTTATTGTATCCTTTGAAAGCGATGGATGGTTTCTTGCACGAGGGAGCATGTAGCCTCTACTATCTTGTGTCATTTGTTGTTGTGGATATCTTTTTGTGTCCTTAACTCTGACTACTGACAGTATTGGCAATGACCAGGAAGAATTCAAATGCAGCGACAATATTATTGTTCCTTCATAAGCTGATAGAGGTAGCGTTGGACTACTGGGAAGGGGCGCCAGAATGATGGACTGGATCGGAAACTTCAATGACACATTCCGTATCTGCGTCAGGTCTTTACAGAATATTTCAAGGAGCTGGAGGAAGAATCTATCCGGGATAATTTTGTGATTATTTACGAGTTACTTGATGAAATGATGGATTTCGGATACCCACAAACCACAGAACCCAAGATTCTACAAGAGTACGTAAAGTGAAACGGGAAATCGATCGCCGCATTCCAGCATTGACACATTTTCTACTTAGATACATCACACAAGAATCCTATAAACTTGAAAGCCAACCCCGTCCTCCCATGGCTGTCACCAATGCGGTGTCATGGCGTCCCGAAGGAATAAAGTACAGAAAGAACGAGGTGTTCCTGGATGTGGTCGAATCGGTAAATTTGCTGGTAAACGCAAATGGAAATGTATTGCGGAGTGAGATTTTGGGAGCGATCAAAATGAAATGTTATCTGAGTGGGATGCCTGATGTACGTTTGGGACTAAATGATAAGGTACTCTTCGAGAGTACTGGGAGAAGTAAGTAGACTTTTAAAGGGAGTTGACTGGTCGGCCTTGTGCTGACTTTTGGCTGCTCCTTCATATACAGCCCCGGGAAAGGGAAAGGCGGTCGAAATGGAGGATGTGAAGTTCCACCAATGCGTTCGGTTGGCGCGGTTCGAGAGTGACCGGACGATTTCCTTCATTCCACCAGACGGCGAGTTTGAGCTGATGTCATACCGCCTGAATACCCAGGTTAGCGGCTAGCGGCTAACCGCAGGGCGGTGATTATCTGCCTGCTCCCACAGCATGCACTGAAATTCTGCTCCTTTGTTTCATGGTCACAGGTGAAACCACTTATTTGGTGCGAAGCAGTTATAGAATCTCACAGTGGGTCTAGGGTTGAGTACATGATAAAGGTGGGTTTGGTCTTTGTTTCTGGAAGGACTCGCTGCGGTCTAATAATTTTCCTTCCCACGAGTAGGCCAAAGCTCAATTCAAGCGAAGATCATCAGCAAACAACGTTGAAATCATTGTTCCCGTGCCCGAGGATGCTGACACTCCAAAGTTTAAGGTGCAGACGTCAGCAGAAAGCCACCTAGTTTGTTCTCTATACTGACTGTGGCGCGGCTGTAGAGCACCGTCGGATCGGTGTCTTACGCACCTGAGAAGAATGCAGCTGTATGGAAGATCAAACAGTTCCCTGGTGGCAAAGAGTTCATGATGCGGGCACACTTTGGCCTACCCAGTGTTAAAAGCGGTATGTTGTCGGGAGTTGATTAGATAAATTTAAATATTGCCTGCTGATTGCACTTTAGAGGACCCCGATAAGCGACCGCCGATTTCTGTCAAGTTTGAGATTCCGTATTTCACTGTCTCTGGTATTCAAGTGCGGTATCTCAAGGTTGTGGATAAGAGTGGCTACCAAGCGTTCCCTTGGGTACGATATATTACGCAGAATGGAGGTATGGAATCAAAACTGGCGAATATGGTATAATGTCTGTACAGCATGGAGATGTGACGCAATTCGTCTTCCAGATTATTTCATGCGACTCCCAGAACCCGTCAAGACATCAAAGCTCGGTGCAATCTAGATTGACGGTAACTGGACTTTCAATCAAATGTCTCCCATTTCACTGCACTGGCAGTCGCCTAAGGTTCCGTTGGAACCTATACAGAGACATATGTCTCCGTTCTTCTATGTTATCCCCATCTAAGGGCAGCGTCTCTAGTTTGCTTTTTTGAGGCGTTTGCCTTCATTTACGGCTTTAGCATCAGCGCCCATTCTCCATATGGGCATGGCGATCCAAGCGATACAAGAGTATAGTCCGTCCATGAACGCGTTATTTGCTGGTGGTGCACCTAGTCCAATGGAAAAAATCTTTAGGGATGAATTTGCGGCAGTAAAACGAACGTCCATTTTAACCGACCCTTTGTCATAGTCCTGATTAAATCGCCCGTAAAATCAGAGCTAATGCTGTAATGCTCCTTCTCTACCCCTCGCACCAAAATTGCAGCAGCCTTTGCGGGAGTCACACCTTCATCTGCCCCTTCTATATCTTTTGTAAGCTGCGGCTTCGTCTTATTTTCCTCTTCCAATCCCGGGGAGTAAATGGTTCCAGGGAAGTAGATATGAACCTTGATGCCATACATTAATAGCTCCATTCTGAGAGCTTCAGCTAATCCCCTGACAGCAAACTTGGCACCGCAATATGCTGCGTAACCTGGTAGACCCATCAATCCACACACGGAAGACACGAACACAAGCCGGCAGGATGCAGGGGATGAGTGGGTGAGAAACGACTGTACGGCGGCATGAGCAGTGTACGCGGCTGTAAAGTAGTCTGTTTGCATTTCCTTTTCGAGATCAGCGGGTGAGGCTGATGCGAAGAAACCAGGACGTGCCGAGCCTTGTGGGTTCAAGTCAGGGTGAGCAGGGTCTACAAGCGCTGTGATGAAATATTGCACATACCAGCACACATGAAAACATAATCCACCTTCTTCTTCATTTCCTGTTCAGCTCTTTTCATTGCGTCAGCCGCTAGGTCCGGCACACATAAATCGGCACTTTCGTAGCGAATTATCTGCTCCTCATTCGACTTGCACGCGGAGATCTCCAGTTGTGCTGCTTTCAGCTTATCCACAGATCGAGCTACTATCGTGACGTGCGCCCCTCGTTCGGCAAGTAGCTTTGCGAGGGCAAGCCCTGTGCCTTGTGAACCGCCTGTAATGTAGACATGCTGGGTGTTTGTAGTCAGTGGTGTGCAGAAGGTAGCAAGAACGCAGGAGGTAATACCTTGTCTTTCGGTTCGAATGAGTTCTTATCCTTCTTCCGAAAGACCATGGTTGCAAAGGCCAAGAGGAAAACTATGCTACTTGCAACGACAATGGAGTGAAGACCTCCAATCATTACCGACATGCCCTGCTGGAGAAACGCTGCGGCTTTTGCGCGATGGCCTTTGGATGATATGGTAATTGCTTAGCCGCTCGATCGTTTTGTTTCCCAAACCCTCCACCGTAATGCCCGACAAAGACAGCCGAAGGCAGTCAACCAAGATTCCCAAGAATTGGCCACAGAATATCCGCTACCTATCACAGAATGAGTGGTCCCGAGAGGTCCCCTCTGACATTCTTTCGTACTATCTCCCCCGATGCTCATGGAACAAACTGAAATGTTCTTCCTCTAGCCGTTCACCAATAACAAGTACCAAATTTCCTATGAAGTCAGGCCTCAATCCTCCAGGACCCTCCCGCGTTGTGCGAATTGTCCGCATATCATCACCCACCCATCCCGCCAATGGCCAACTTGGCCTCGTCGCCGCTGCCAATCTCTCACCTCGCTCACACATTCTCGACTATGTAGGCTGTGTACATACCGCTTCCACAGCCTCAACAAGCAGCGATTATATTCTCTCTCTCGATCGTATCACGCAATTGTCCGTAGATGCCGAGCTTGCTGGCAACGAAGGACGTTGTATCAACGATTTTCGTGGAGTTGCTGAGAAGCCCAACGTGGAGTTTGAGACCTACCGTTGCGAAAAGACGGGGGAAGTCCGGGTGGGCGTTTGGGTACTGACCAAAAAGATTGCGAAGGGTGAAGAGCTCCTCGTGACGTATGGAAAAGGGTTTTGGAAGGAGAGGAGATTGATCGCTTGATATGCCGCGATTATCGCAGGTCAACAGGGATTGTGGTGCACCACCTATCCTACTCTGGCGTCCTCGATCAGTGCATTACGAGGCATTCAAGACGGACTGTGTGCCGGTGTCGTGAGAGATATATACAAAACGCAGCTGGAGGTACTATTACTACAGTACCTCTCGGAACGACTACACTTTCATTATCTACCCACAAGTCTTTGTCTATGGCCGCTACTGTTAGTTCTACTCTTCCAGCACTGAATAACTTCACATCTTTTTGCTGCCCCGCCTGTTCCAGGAGCACTCCACAAACAGCCATGATCATATCCCCGTGATACTGCCTTTCGTCGCTCCTGTACAGCAAGTTTACCCAGCTGCTCATTTATGCGAGTCCGTGCGTTCACCGCAGCGTTATGAGCATGAAGCTGTGTACTTTGTTCCCGGAGCTGAATATTGTGAACGTACTAGTTGGGTTCCGGTCTTAGCGAGGTGGTATCCGGTGAACCGAGTTTGTTTATATTACCTTCATTAGCGATCCTATTGCGATACTAGCATGAGATCGTGCAAAGTCCCGCTCTCGCAGAGTCCAGTAAGATTTCATCGGTAGAGGGGCTTGTGGTGTCGACGGCTGGACGAGTACGTATCTGATGTTAGAATGAAATAAAATAGGTAGATGTGTAGCAGCAAAGAGGGCCTTGCCTTAGTTGGTCTCACAGATGCGCTCCTAACTGGAGTCGGCTAACAGAGAACCGAAATAGTGCGACGGTCAGCAAATTGAGCCCTTCACAACATAACATGTATGCTCACCCCAATTTCCTTTGCTGTAACCGGTCTTGAAAAATCAGGTCTGACACTGCTTGGTATGGATGAAGGTTCTCCCATGACTGTATGTGATGGTAGAAATGATAGTGAAATGGGTCAATACAAAAGTGAATCAGATTGAGACGAAACATGGCATACAGAAATATCCCGGTGTAAAGTCTTCGGGTGGTTGGGGAGTTGGCGGATGCTCTAACACCAGAAATTACTTCAATTACATTAGCAAAAGTTAAAGACTCGTGCAGGTCCAATCACCTTCTGGGACAGATATAACTGGTGCGGGTTCTTGTTCTGGCTCCGGTGCTGGGAGAGGAGGTGTGGGTTCTCGGGTAGGCATCTCATCAACCGTTGAAGATTCTGATTGTGGAATAGGTGTCGTCTCCGCTACCTCCACTGTTTGCTCAATTTCTTGAATGATCATCTCTGGTTCCTGCTCAGGTTCTGGATCTAGTGGAGGTTCTGGAGCTATTGACAGAGGAGGAAGGGGTGAGGGTTCCCTTTCATCCATCACTACATCATCGGTAGTTACATCGGGTTTGCTGCTTTCCAGTTGGGCAGGAATCTCGTTGAACTCCATTGACTGAATATCCTTTTTCCTTGCTCTTCTCGACAATGCCCGCGCTGATCCATCTCGAGGTGCAGAGCCAACACGACCTCCCGTCCTTTCGCCTTGTTCACTTCCGTTCACCCTTGCCGTATCATTGTCCAGAGCAACAAATCTCACCCTGCTTTCCTTTTGTAATACGCGCATGAAGGTTGTCGCTTCTTGTAGATCAAACTGCATGTCTCGATCGGCTTTGAAAAAAAAGCTCCCACTATCGGTGACATTATCATCGGAAACCAGATTTGCGTACGAAGCGGCGAATGTATTGGAACCAACATCCGGATCATTATTAAAAAAAAAGACGCTTTGCGTACGGGGCTGGACTTGTTGGTTTCCTAGCATATGCGATTGTGGGGACGTAATCGAGCGGCGAGGAGATGGCGACGGTGATGTTGCGACTAAAGGGGGAGTACCTCCCACTATAGTCATATCCACTTGAGAGGTGTCCATCCCCCGCGCAGAGGTCGGTCGTGATGTTCCTTTGCCATATCCTACTACCGATGAGCGTACCGAACTATTGGGTATTTTGGCACTTTTCGCTGTTGTGAAGGAAGAAGCCAAATGTATTCTTCAGTTGTGGTCAATTGCCGTAATTCAATCGCAGGGATTCACCTACCCCGTTCTCCCGCACTCGCCGCCCTCCGTGCACTTTCCATTGGCAGATCCGTCCTCCCTGTTCTGCTCACATTCCCAAGTTCCGTTCCGGTCCCCACATCTTTGTCAGACCACCACGCTTTTTTCCACCCTTCGCCATCATCCACGATCCCTCGCTTCACAGCATTCCCAAACGATCCTTCTGATTTCACGCGAGATATACCGGCGCTGCTTTGGCTCACTGATGCATCAGAGTCGATTGGGGGTAAGACTGGAACATTGTTGCTAGTTTTGAATCTTAGAAGGTCTGCATGTAGGATGGGGAGGTACGATTGCTTTTGACGGGATATGAGAGATAATCCCGTCAGAATGAGAATTGATGTTGGACTAATGATTACGGGAATCACTATACCATTGGGCTGCCCTCTTCATGTTTTCCACTTCCTGGCGGGCTTTTATAATGCTCATGTTTTCGTCCGCTTCCATGTCTTGATCTTCTTTGTATGATATCACTTCGCTGCTGGCCAGCACTAGATTTTCGACTGGTTGATTGCATCCTTCACCAAGTGCTGGGAGTATGGATATCAAGGGAATGATGGGTATACCGGGCAGATTTGACAGTTTGTTGTGTTGTGTACTTCTGTTAATTTCTTGCGGATCGGAGATTACAACCCTCCTCAAGGGTCTGTCGGAGGATATTTCCCCAGGCCTTTATATGTCCGATTCGCGGGACATCCTAACCCAAAGTACCTGATGAAAATGAATCTCAGCTAATAGGTTCACTTGTAGACTTGGCTCGGCCACCAACATATAGATATTGGGAGCAGTTACTGCATGTCTTTACCAATAACGTCTAACGGTAGCAACGCGCCCAGATTTTTAGCAACCATCAACAGAGTTTATTTTTAAAACGATGACAAAATACTGTCTCTCTTGTAGGAAGATGAAGAATTGGACGCTTCAGGCATGTCGTCGAACGAGTAATGGTTAGCAGGCGTTGTAGATCCCAGAATGGGAGGCAATCATTGGACGACATTATCACAATGTAAAAATCTTATATCATTCCGTCCAAAAAAAAGAGAACGATATCACGTTGGATTAATATACATGCGTCAAGCTGCAATCTATATTACAACAGCCAAAAGCCCCGTCTACCTGCTCTACCAGTCCCTATCTGACTCCTATAACACCTCTGCTCCTTAATTCCCTGTTTTATTCGATATCGTAACACAGGTTAGACGACAACCATCGCTCAACTACATCAACCTTCATGCTCTTCCGCCCCGCATAATCCTCAATCTGGTCCTTGTTAATTTTGCCTACAGCAAAATATGTGGAATCCTTGTGCCCAAAGTAGACACCAGAGACGGACGCCGCGGGTGTCATCGCCTATAAAACGTGCGTGAGCGCCAACTCTGATGTCAGTCAACATCAATGCGGTTGAAGCAGCCTTACCAAAGACTCGGTCAACCCAATTCCAGTTTCCTTCTCAATGCCCATCAACTTCCACATAGTCTCTTTCTCGGTGTGATCCGGTTGGCTTGGATAACCAGGAGCTGGCCGAATACCTTGGTACTTGACTTGCAGCATCTCCTCAGGCGTCAGCTCTTCGTTTGGAACGTATCCCCAATAGTTCTTTCGCACATCCTCATGCACAAGTTCTGCCAAAGCTTCCGTCAGTCGATCTGCCAAAGCTTTCAGCATGATGATACTGTAATCGTCATGCTGTTTCTCAAATTCGACACATTTTTCGTCCACGCCAAATCCGCAAGACACTGCAAAGGCTCCCACGTGGTCGAGTAGACCCGTGTCTTTTGGAGCGACAAAGTCAGCAAGCGAATAATAAGGCTCATCAGATTCCGAGTCTTTTTCGGCTTGCTGCCGGAGCCCATAGAACTTAGCAACGGGTTCTTCTCGGTTGTTTTCGTCCGCATACAGCTCAATATCTTCCCCCACAGCATTCGCGGGCCAGAATCCGATAATAGCGGTTGCCTTGAGAATCTTCTCGTTGATGATGGTCTCTAGCATGTCCTTCGCATCTTCGTAGAGCTTCTTCGCTTCCTCACCTAATGCGAAAAGATGATAAGTGGATGTTAAATCAGCACAGACAGTCTGAAACGAACCAACGGTATCGTCATTGAAGATTTTGGGAAACCCTCGGTTAGGGTACTTTCCCCTGAGCTGCCACGTCTGGAAAAAGGGATTCCAGTCGATATATGCTACCAATTTGCGAAGGTCGTAGTCATTCAGCGTCTAGCAATATAAGATCTGTTACAACAATATCCATAGGCGCTGTACAGCAGATGAGATCCATGTATACCTTGGTACCATAGAACTTCGGCTTGCAAGGAATAGTTTCCGCCTTCCAATCGATTTGCGCCTTCTTGGCAATAGCATCGTTCAACGTCAAGTAACGACGGTCTCTCAGAGAATCATAATGCTCCGCCCGAAGGTCTTCGTACTCATCGACGATGTCCTCTACAAAATCTTCTCGGGCATTATCATCGAGAAGGGAGGAGACGACGACGACGGATTTTGACGCATCCAACACATGGACAGCCGGGTTCGAGTAGCGTGGTGCGATTTTCACAGCAGTGTGCATCTTTGAGGTTGTTGCGCCACCAATAAGTAGGGGAATCTACAGAAAATTAGAAGTCAGTTTCTGACTTCTAGTCCATCCATCTCAGGAAACGTAATAATACCTTCAAGCCCTTGCGTTCCATTTCCCGTGCAACATATACCATTTCATCCAAACTCGGGGTGATCAAGCCGGAAAGACCGATGACATCAGCCTTCTCTTTGGCCGCCGCCTCCAAAATTTTCTCACAGGGTGTCATGACTCCCAAGTCGATGATCTTGTAATTGTTGCATCCCAGCACAACACCCACAATGTTCTTTCCAATGTCGTGTACGTCTCCTTTCACCGTTGCGAGCACAACGGTTCCATTATAGGCCGCGTTCGGGTCTTCGGCATCAATGCCAGAGGCAGCAAGGTTGGCTAACCGTTCCTCCTCCATGAATGGAATCAAATGTGCTACGGCACTCTTCATAACACTGCAAAACATGGTGTTAAGCATCATAACTTCATAGCAAAAGCATCAAGCACGTAGCTAACCGAGCACTCTTGATGACCTGGGGTAAGAACATCTTTCCAGCGCCGAAGAGCTCTCCAACCACCGACATGCCGGCCATTAGAGGGCCCTCGATGACGTTCAGTGGCCGAGGATACTAAGACACCTTCGGTTAGAAATCGACATGGTCATTTCAAATAAAATTTCTTGGAATTGGAACATACCTTCACTTTGTCCAATCTAGCCTCCTCGGTGTCTTCCACGATGAATTTTGTTATGCCTTTGACGAGCGCGTACTTGAGCCTCCCCTCCACATTTTCATTACGCCAAGCCTCTGTCTGTTCGCCGCCTTTTACCGCATCCTTGCCATGGGTTTCAGCGTACGCTAGAAGTTTTTCTGTCACTTCGGGGTCGCGGTTCCAGATGGCATTCTCGCAAATCTCCAGCAAATCCTTCGGAATGTCATCATAAATCGTTAAGAAACCAGCATTCACAATACCCATGTCCATCCCTGCTTTGATCGCATGGTACTGGGAAAGAGAAACTTTAGCGACATGGTTAATGCAGACATTTCCTTTCTCGCCTGCGTACCAAAAACACACTATGCATAGCTTGACGAAGGACTTCTTTGCCACGGAAGGAGAAGGAAAGATTGGATACACCACCGCTGATCTTAGCACCGGGAAGCTCGGCTTTAATAATTCGACATACGTTAATAAACTCTACGGCATAGTTGTTGTGCTCTTCGAGGCCCGTTGCAATGGTCAAGATGTTTGGGTCAAAGATGATCTCGCAACCCTTGAACCCAACTACCTCCGTTAAGATTTTATATGATCGCGCGCATATGTCGTACTTTCGCTGCGTGTCCACGGCTTGTCCTTCTTCATCGAAAGCCATCACTACGACTGCGGCACCGAATCGCTTCACAATCTTGGCTTTCTTGATGAAATCTGCTTCACCCTCCTTCAAGCTGATAGAGTTGACTATACATTTCCCCTGTGCGCACTTCAAACCAGCCAAAACCACTTCAAAGTTGGAAGAGTCCACCATGAGAGGAACTTTGGCGATGTCAGGTTCGGAAGCAATATAATTCAAAAACTTCGTCATCGCAGCCTTGCCATCCAGTAAACCCTCGTCCATGTTAACATCGATGACCTGTGCACCACTCTCCACTTGGGCACGTCCAATGGCCAACGCCTCCTCATACGCGCCGTTGAGGATTTTTTTCGCAAAAATCCGGGAACCGGATACATTACACCGTTCTCCAATGTTTACGAATCCAGTGGCTTTATTAATCTTCAGCGTCTCCAGCCCGGAAACAATGAGCGTATCTGGATCCATGACCGGCGGGACACGAGGTTTGTAGCCCTTACACATGTCAGCAATCGCTTTTATGTGCGCCGGGGTCGTACCGCAACATCCTCCGACAATGTTCAACAGCCCGAGCTCTGCGAAAGGTCGGACCTGTTCAGCCATGTCTTCTGGCGATTGGTCATATTCACCGAATGTATTTGGCAATCCTGCATTCGGGTAGCATATAATGAAAGTCGGATTGTTCTTTGAGATGTTCTGCAGAAATGGCAGCATTTGGTCGGCACCCAAAGCACAGTTTAATCCAATCGCAAGAGGGTTGCAGTGGCTGACAGACGCGATAAAAGCCTCTCCGGTTTGACCTGACAATGTTCGCCCGGACTGGTCAACAATGGTACCAGAGATCAAAACAGGACATCGGTCATAACCCTCCTCATCAAAAATCAAATCGATGGCATACAGAGCGGCTTTAGCGTTGAGAGTGTCGAAGATGGTTTCCACTAGAAGACAATCGCTTCCACCGTCTAGGAGACCCCGGACCTGTTCTGCATAGGCGGTCACCATAGCGTCAAAGTTCGTTGCACGATAGGAAGGATTTTCAACCGAAGGAGAGATTGATAAAGTCTGATTAGTAGGTCCAATAGCCCCAGCAACGAAACGGGGTTTTGATGGGTCTCGCTTCGTGTACTCTTCGCACGCCTTCTTTGCCAGTTCGGCCGAAACCTAACAATGCCACAATCGAATTAACATCTTCTATCAAGCAAGGAGTATGCTGCTTCCGCAAATATACGTTACCTTGTTCAGCTCGTATGCCAAGTCTTGCATGAGATAATCGGCTTGGGCGATTGTCGTTGAAGAGAACGTGTTTGTTTCAATTAGATCAGACCCAGATTCTAGATATTGACAGTGGATGTCGTAAATCGCTTTCGGCTGCGTAAGAGACAGCATATCGTTGTTTCCTTTCAAGAAGTCCTTGGGGTGGTCCTTGAACCGATCTCCTCTGAAATCTTCCTCAGTGAATTTGTAGCGCTGGATCATAGTGCCCATGGCACCATCGATAAACATGATGCGCTCCTTCAGACACTTTTGAAGGTACTTTTCAACCTCAGCACCATGGCCGGGTACTTTTCCCGTTGGGTAAGGCGCACCGGCAGCCATTACTGTTGAGACAATGCAATACGGTGAGACATGCTAGCTAAACATTTGCAGGTTTAACAAGCCCAGTGCACTTACCAGACTCGACAAAGTCAGGGAAAGGAATGGGTTGCCGTAAGAGGAAGTGGGCCTGTAGTGCTAATACCTGTAGCAAGGCGAAAACACTGAAATTGCAGCAAATTCCGAGCTGGCGAGGGCGAGCGGCCTTGTTCCCTTTGCCTTGATGGGCGAGTGTGGGGGGCTTAGGCAGGTGCGCTGATCGGCGTGCCGCGTGCCGGGAGATGGGCGATTTTATGAGCGTTTTAAACCGTCAGCGATATGTTTGAAAGTTTCTGTTTTTAAAGCAGGATACAAGTCTATGCTAAGAACAAGTGATAAATAAGAATCGCTGGGACAATGATTGGAGAATTCATGTTTCCATCTTCAAGCTGAACTGTTTACTTTCCACAGGTATCACACAATCCACTCATATTGGACGTCCACAGGTAGTACGAGGCACTCTTACTCCCAAACGTACACTGTGGACTCGGAGTCTATCACGTCCATAAAAAACAAAAAGAACCGGACAGGCACTGCATGCAACAGTGTAGCACAGAACGAGCGATGGTGCCCAGAGTTCAATAAGCAGCATAAAAGCACATTCACTTAGTGTATAATACAAAGCAACTTTTTCTACAGGCGAATCGTGACTATACGGAAGCGCAATCCTCTTTCCTATATATCATCGTGAATTGAAAACCAACCCGGCATGACACTCATTCTTGCATGTCATCTGAACCTTCTTCCTCGTCCAATCGTCGCACCTGTATCATAATAAAGAGTATATCGTTGAGTTTTTGCTCTTACAGCCTTGTTAAATCATCAACCAAGCATGAAAACATACATAAAGGATGTTGTTACACCTTTTTAAGATGAAATTAAATGTCAGAATTCCTGAAAACGCAATATTCAATTATGAAGCATACCGAATCAGCACTTCTCCCAAAACTCCTGTTGACGCTCCATCAATATATTCCTCTGTGTTCGCCAACTATATTCGGAGGTGGTGATTAATAACAAGCCTGTGTAGAAACCGCCGATTCCCATTATAGAGATCGGCGTAGGAACAGGTTCAAATTACCTGCATGTTCATGTACGAATCTACTGACACCAGGTAGCCTTTGTATTCTTGACCCCACTTCAGTCTGATCATCACAGGCTTTCCGGTCAATTCGTTTAGGAAAGGCTTTGGGTTTACGGGGACAAACTGTGTGAAGATGGGACAAAAGAGGTCAACTAAACTGATTCGATACAAATTCGAATCGGATGCCAAAGATGAACAGCTGCTCTCCTCGGATTCTGACAGGTCGCCCTTGTACTTTGAGCCCATTTCTTTGATACTTACAGACATGTTGTGGAGTAGGTTGGTTTGGGGTTAAAGGAGGTGACGGAGAGATCAAGTACACCCACCCTACAATGGAGCGCATCCCAAGATCCAACATTGCTTGTTGCCATGGTAATTCACCAGAGACAGCCCAAGAGCGAAGGCTATTGTGTTAGTGTCCACAGAACGCCTTTGTGGAGTTCCGCCGTCTTTAAAGCGCTGTACAATCATCTTTGAGTTTTACCATTTGCCGTTGACCTAAGCCGCTGTGAGCTCAAAATGGCAGAGTTCCTGGTATGTTCATGTGCTTAAGTAGAAGCGCCTTTTATTGCGTGAACAATGAGTGTTAATGTCTATCATACAAAACAGGGCATGGACGTTCGCCTCTACCTCAACAATGGTCTCCTTGTGGATGGTCGGGTGGCGAACATTGACCAGCGGACGCAGCTGCTCACTCTCTTAGATGGTGGGTAACCGAAAACGCGTTTGCGTCTGGGAAACGTATTGCACTATTCTCCGCTAACACGGCATATTTCTCAGCGAGTACGGTTATCAATGGGGTTCAACAGAGATTTCCATCCTATCCAGTTCCAGGACAGGACATCAAAGATCTGCAGATATTACCCCTTTCGGCGCCGCCTCCTCCGGAGCCTCCTCTTCCAACACCACCTCAACCACACCATCATTATTCTCCCACTCCCAACGCCGTACATCCTTATCCGCCACAAATCCAGCATTCTCTCTCAAATCAAAGCTCCACCATAGAGCCGCCTCGTGCAGGACAGCTCCCTCAACCGCCTCAAAGTCTCCTCCATCCACAACACCCTTCATATCAACATGTGCAGCAAGTAGAACTGCCAAAAAGACCCGAAGTCCAGCCACCCGCTACCAGGGCCTTTCCTTCCAATTTTATTGATCCAGCCATTGTCTCGGTGCGCAGACATTTCAGTTTTCTTAGTTTCCATCTTTTTGTAACATGAACTCATGTTCTCTGATGGATTCAGTTGTCACAAGCCGCTCCTTCGCAACAAAATCTTACGAGAAAAGCTTCTCATGGAGTCTTAGATACGCCGCCTACGGTGCATAGAAGTCCCTCCCTACAGACACCACCTAGGATTGATAAGACTCCGTCTCAGGGTTCCTTGGATAGACGTTCTCAAGGGGTATGTATATGAATGGAAGCTTCTGTGTGTACGGCGGTCGGTAATGATTCATGTCCCAGCATGCGATAAACACCCACAAGCAAGCCCCATTCTCACCTCCAGCAGCAGCCATAACAGTCACCGAGAGCGAATTTGATGACGAGGAAGTGGATTTCTCGGATTTTACTGGGCTCAATATACAAGATTCCCCTGCTGCTAGGGTCAATGGACGTGCTAAGGGCACTGCGGCTCGCAAAGATGGGAACCGCGTGCGGACTTCCGGAAAGCAACAGGGGCGTCTCCGCCATGAGAGTCAGTCTCCAGGTACTGTCTTGCATCATCGTTAGTGGTTATCGCATATTGCTTACGCATATTTATTTAGGCACTCGCAGTCGCAAAGGTCGACGAGGGGAGACCTTTGCAGGAGATGTGTCAAATTTCTCGGACGACTTTGACTTCCAAGCCGGATTGTCGCAATTTGACAAACATCGGGTATTTGCAGAGATCCGACAAGCGGATTCCACTGCACCAGAAACGCTCCTGGTGAATTTGAATCGCACGCGTAATCAGGTGCCCGGCATGCAAAAATTGGGAATTCGTGACATGGTACTAGATTCCCTGGTGCCAAGCGGCGACGAAACTGGAAATGATGCGGAAGTTGAGAGTGATAATGACAGTGATGGATTGATGATACAGGGGGGTCTAACCGCTGAGATGGGCATTCTGAGAGATGCCGCGCTGGTGGGAAGGAGAAGACTGTGCAAAACCATCAGCGGAGTCATCGTGCCAAGCGTAACGCCAGCGGAGATGATTGAAATTGAGCGAATCGCTGCGTCTGAAACTGGACCTAGCGATGAACAGATGATCGAGAACGGCGGCCGCGGGGCGGCAATGATGGTGTTGCAGGCTTTGGGGGGTAACCGACGGATCAAACCTGGCAATCACAATGATGGTCCGGTCGTGGTTGTTCTCGTGGGGAATAACAAACTCGGTGCCTTTGGACTGTGTGCTGCACGACATCTCGCCAATCACGAGTGCAATGTCATCGTTTCCGCAGTCGGCAGTGATGCCGAACTTGTCAACGCCGTTGCTACCCAGCAGAAAATTTATTTGCCAACAGGGGGGAAGCTCACAAGAGGTGTTGTTGATCTACCCCACCCGTCATCACAGCCAGTCGACTTGATCATTGATGCCTTGTTTGGGAGCTATCAGACACTGCTGGATTTGAGCGAGCACGATAAGAGTCTTGTGTGCGATTTGATGAAGTGGGCGAACGACAATAAGGCAAATGTGCTCAGTCTGGATGTGGCGAGTGGCGTGAATGGTCTGACTGGTAAGTTGATGTTTGTCTTTGGATATCCCACCAGTTGCTCATATGTCTATTCCTTGTTGTGACCAAAGGCTTGCCAATGTCGCCAGCACATTATGTAAGACCGAAGTGGACATTAGCTCTTGGACTTCCTAAATCAGGCCATCTCCGTGCGTCGCGCGAGATAACAGGCGAATTATTCTTGGCAGATCTTGGAATTCCACGGGTGGTGTTTCAAAAGGTGAACAAGAGCGTTGCAGCTGGTCGCGTCAAGTACATCCCTCCATTTGGGGATAAATTTCTGGTTGGACTCGAGGTTGTCGATGGACCAACCAATGCGGTATAATGCTGTGGTAGAGGGAATTGTAACTCACATAATTTTGGCACCAATGACTTGGCTGTAATAACCTAACAGAGAAATCCCTCCATCGTTACTCTCATGTACATCTGTGGCATCCAAATATTCACCATGTGAGACTATATTAACCGCCCCATTCGTCCAGCCCACGATGTTCGTCCATCAACTTCCTTTCTCAACTTTTCGTACTTTTGTTCATCGAATCCTTTTCGTCGCATCAAGCGCCTTCGAAAAGTTGTACGTAGCCACGATGCAATATTGGAGTAATCTGGCTCGCGTCGCATGCTGACGTAGAGAACAGCAGAGAAAATCATTGTTGCTACCGTCACTAGATATGAAACGGGCTCTGGGAAAGAATATGTACGTTAAACGAAGTAACATGAAGGTTCCACTCAAATCAAATCAGCCCTTACCCATCAAATCCCAACCCAGCTTTTCAAAAAAGTGCAACAAAACGGTCGTTGGTGTGTCAGAAGGTAGCGTAAAACACCCAAAGACAAGCTTACCTGTTGTGTGAGGAAGACGATTGTTCCAAGTTGCCCGCACACATAGGTTAATCCTGCATACTTGAGGAAAGCGACTCTTTTATTGACTCCCTTTTCTATTGTCGACATCATCTCATCCAAACCCATCAACTCTGCTCTCATTTTTGTCAATCGGACTTCTGTTTCCTTCAATTGGCTTCTCATTTCCCTCTTATCTACCATGAGATGTATTCTTGGCCCAATCTGGATATGATAGCTCCCCTTCACGAATTCGTCGAGGGACATTTGGTCGGGTTGATCGACACATGAGCGGTCGCCCTTCACTGCTTGAGGTACACCAAGTTCGGGGTACTCTTCTCTCAAATGTGCGAGAACATCCGATATTGTTTCTGTTGGAGAAATGAAGAAGATGCAAGTTTCTTTCTTGGAAGGGGACAATGCAGGACTTGAACTTTGCAATGTGGATGGAGCCTGTGGATCGGTAGGTGCTACATCGATGTATTGGGAAGTTTTACTATGGCATTTCAGATTGCTGGAAATGGGTCGAGGAATGGATATGCGGAGCCAGTAAGCTCCGTTGTATTTATGATCGGGGTGGACGGATATGCTTCCCTGGATATCTACAATGGATGTGTGTGCGGTGAGCTTCTACTCGAAGGGCAAATAAATAGTGCTCACCATACCAGTCGTATCGGAACCTGGAATAGCCATGCCTGAAAAGTTACTGAAAGGGGGCCGATAGGGACATGTGCTAGGTGAGAGTGAAAGTGGGCAAAACGGTGCTGGCGATCGGCATTGTCTGGCTGCTTGAAAGCGGTGGGGTCGATGGGATGACAATGGTCTCATACATTGATGGAGTGGTTGTTGTAATAAGCGGACAGCAGGTGTTTTCAAAAGGACCTCAAGGCCAACAGAATGTAAGTTGAGAGGCGTATTTAGTACACCAATTCGTCGCGATGCACTAACGACATGCAACTGTGATGACAGGGTTAACCGGCGCAAGTCCCCAACGTGTCGCAATTGTCTGCCCCCTACGGGAATTAGGGAAACCATGCCAGATTCTAACAAACCAAAGTTGACTTGCGATCAAATCGCATACACGTCAAGAAAAGTGCTTTTCGGATACGCAAGTCCGACGACGCGTCAGCATATCATCGACAAGTCTTGACTTTACAAACAAGCAAAACGGCATTGCCCAGTTCATAAAATGCATAAGCTTTATTGCCTTAGGTGTATGGGGTCTATGTAACATCATTTGCATGATTGGTGTACTTCACTCTATGTATCACAATGTTTTTGGACCAGTCATCAGAGGATCCGTCAAGCGCCGAATTGTGTGCACTACGCTGTCGCTTGAAGCCAAGGAGTCGATGCAGTGAGTCTCACCAGCCCTCTCCCATTGTGGCCAACCTCATTTAAAAATTCAACAGCCTTTGAGAGACATGGACATGAAAGCGCTCGCATAACTCCATTGCCAGGCAACCAGCGGCACAGTCTGGAGCAACTCAGACGAGCTTATCCCACGTCCATCTCAGCGATCTTCGTCAAATGCAAAAATGCCTGCAATACCGCTTGCAGTACAGCTGGGAACAGAAGCTTTGTCGATCCTCGCCCTTTATGGCGTTTACACTCAATCGCAGCACCACTTCCCCCCGGGCCCATATGGCCAAGTAATGGCCGGAGCAACGGCCGGTACCGCTCTTGCTTTAACCGCAATGCCCTTCAATACCCCTATTTTTCCCGAGACATCTGTCGAGCACCGCGCAGGACTACCCGGTCAAGGCTGGAGAAACGTGGCAAAGGCTGCTTCAGGCTATGCCTGCTTCTTTGCTGTTGCTGAGGGTCTTCGAACGGGAATCTATAAAGCTCGACTGGTAGACGCATCACGAACGGGAAGTCAGTTACCACCACGCAGTGAGGATCCGCAATGGCATTTGACGAATTTCTTTGCGGGAGGTGTAGCGGGATTGGCGTATCGTGCGGCGACGTTGCCCTTTTTCAAAGGGCCCTTGGAAAACCCACTGTTGACAAAGAGTGGCGTGGGGATTCTGATTGGCACATTTGTCGCAATGGGCAGTTTGATGACCGGCTTTGGTTGGGCAGATACCGCATTCAACTTGGAAGTGCATCCTGAAAAATGGGGCAAGGTTGAACATTGACACTTGAGCTTTTCCCACTTAGATAGTTGGCATGTACTATAGCTGCAGCGGGTGGAGCCCACTTTTACCCAAATTATATACATTACATGATTTCAAAGGGTTTTTACATTTCAGCTTTAACTCTCTTGACCATTTCGTCCGATTCTCCTTCATAAGGCCGTTTATTCAGACCATTTGGCTCACTGCCTGGACCGTGATGGGGACCGCCTGGACCTGGGGGCGCCCAGCCAGGAGGTGGGCCACCGGGGCCCCCTGGAGGAACGCCAAACGGCGGCGGGTGGGGAAACATTCCAGGCGGTGGTCGTGGGAAGCCTCCCGGAGGCTGTAGGGGGAATGGCCCTGGTCTACCGAACGGGGGAGGCCCTCCCGGTGGAAATCCGGGTGGAGGCATACCAGGGCCTCCAGGGAAGCCGGGACGGAATGGGGGCCCGAACGGAGGGCCTGGCCGTCCCATGAACGGTGGCCGCATACCGGGAGGTCCGTTCACTAAATGTGGCGCGTGTGGATTAACACAAAATCAAAATGGTAACGATATGAAAGAGGTGACAACATACTTGCAAAGGGACCACCCATTGGTGCCATCGTATTGAAATCTATATTCCAAAAGAATTGAATGATGTGCAGTTAGATAATCCACCTCATGCCCGACTCTCGAACGCAATGTCGCCATTCCAGTAAACAAGCTAGCATTTACCTGGAGCGCCTGGAAGTCCTGCGTATGCGGCAGTGAGTTTGTCGACTATCTGCTGTACGTGATCTTGGTCAAGGCCTGCATTGAGAATAGCCACATGTGTTAAGTCTTCCAGCCAATTTCGAAAATCATAACCGCAGCCAAGTACCTGAATAGTAGTTTTGCACGTGCATTCTGTGTTTCCAACCCGCATTATGTGCTTTTCGGACAGAGGGCGAGTCGTGGGTCAGGAAGATATCGCAGTAATCTACATTCCCAGTCAGTAAAAAATATATCAGAAAAGATGCCTGAAAAGAGAAATCGGCTCCTTCGCACAAGTCTAACTCACCACAATAGTATTTTGGCATCTTTTAAACGTCTATATGGGATCAATGCCAAGATGACGATCCCCGATCTCAGCTCTTGGAAGGCGAGTCAACCTCCTTCTTGCTTGCTGCTGGCGGTTGGATGTGTCATGCTGTCACGTGAGCACCATGGTTACCACAGCCAGTGCGTTGAACTGGATTCGGACTTTATCCTAAACTAGGATTCAATGTCGTTATTAGGTTCTCAGATGTGCTATTCGTACGGATCCTTTTCTTCACTAGCTGACAGCTGACGCTTTCCAGAGTATCAAAACTCATGGTCGAAAATCTTGCAACTTTATGGTCGATACTATGAACCATGACGAAGTGTTACAGGCAACAGGCGGTTTAAGTATCATGTCTTTGGAGTGTCTATAGGCGTCCATAGCTGTTTCTAGGCATTACTCTTCTTTTACGCCAAGGTGATCATGCCAAACTCATCACAACAAGATGCTGAAATGCTACAACTGGTGCTTCCAGAAGCCCTCTGCGCATGGAAGCGGAAGCCAACACACCGCTCATGTACGTAGGAGGAACCAAGAAGGAAACAATATCCATCTAACTCCCTTCAACAGGTCCATGTACTTGTGGTTGCGATTTGAATCGCGAGTTGTCGAGCAAGATGATCAACTAGGCTCCAACTGACAAAGCAGTAGGCTCAAGCCATCAATGCAATTTAGCCACAAAGAGTTTAATATATCACGTGTGCGCAGACCGTCACGCGAGTGACACACTGTTCGCGTCCGTCCACAACTGTCCCGTCTGCGCTCTCGCTGTTGTTGTTGTTGACCTTTTTGCTCAACGCCATTTCGTTTCCATCTCATCGGCATTACATTTGCACACTGCACCATATCATATTTTCCTTTGACCATGTCGCTCTCAATCTTGTTTCCGCGACCATATAGTCGAATGATTGCGTCATACGCATTTAGAAGGTCACCATCCTGTTGGCCGTTGTCTCAAGTTTCTGTTCAAAAGTCTAGAGGGCTTGCCAGTTTGGCCAATTTGGGTCCCATTATCGAGAACACAGTAGATGTAAACTCGCCCGAGTTCAAGGTTTGGTGTTTACGAATGCGTCTCAGGTTCAGTAACACACGCTCATAGCTTGTGGAATGTAGGAAAACGCTGCTGCCCAGGATGCTCTGGTAGAACAGCTTCGTCAAGAGGTGGACAAGATAAAACGAGGTATTCAGGAATTACCTCGCTGCACTTTGCTACATTGAAACCCGCAACATGCTTACGCGTTTACCTACGTTGGTAAAGGGGGCGGCGAAGAGGCACGCAAGAGACACCTTTCTCGAAAGAAGCTTCTCCCTCGCGACCGTATTGACACCTTGCTGGATCCAGGGTAAGTCTCGCTGGTGGCAAACATTGGAATCAATATCAAGTCGACCTGGACATGGACCGGCCTCCTTATGATTCTTCTATCAGGTCTCCTTTTCTGGAATTATCGCAATTTGCTGGTCAGTACGCAAACATAACATCCAATTGGAAAAGCATGTCGTGATATTCATTTTCCAACTCGTAGGGTACAAGCTCTACGACGACGATGTGCCGGCCGGCGGTATTATCACGGGTATTGGACGTGTAAGCGGGTATGTGCTCGTCGACCAAACAGCAGTGCTGTTACCAGCATGCATATCTAATCCATGTGTGTCCGAATTGATGTTCTCAGGGTAGAGTGTGTCATTGTTGCCAATGGTGAGGGATGACAACTCGATGGTTATCTTGAAACGTAATGACTAACGGACAGACACTGGATCACCTTGTTAGACTCGACTGTAAAAGGGGGAACCTACTATCCTGTACGTGTGCAAGCCTTGAGCCACCATGTCCCCATTACCCTGTCTAAACCTAACATGCTTTGCATAGATCACTGTCAAAAAACATCTCAGGGCTCAAGAGATCGCCAGAGAAAATAACTTGCCTTGCATTTACCTAGGTAAGCCGCTTGGACGTGTTGCATATTGTGCAGATGGTTCAAGCAGATTCTAAACCTTCCGATATCGAATAGTTGATTCTGGAGGTGCCAATTTGCCAAGACAGGCCGACGTTTTTCCAGATCGAGAACACTTTGGAAGAATCTTCTATAACCAGGCTACAATGTCGGGAGGTCGGTTGGACCATATATGGCGGACTTGACAAGACACTCTACTAACGATTCGTTATTCATTGTATGCAGCTGGAATCCCGCAGGTATGTTTATTACTGGTATAGTGGTGGCCAAGGACGTTTTCTGATGCCTTTTACATGCAGATCGCGATTGTACTAGGGTCATGCACTGCTGGTGAGCACGCTTCTCACTATATCCCGCTTGGGGGTTATAACAATTGATGTCTGTCTGCAGGAGGGGCATATGTGCCGGCTATGGCAGGTAATGCGGCGAACACTGCTAGGGTTTTCCGTCGCCCATCTGATTTCCCTTTCTCATGTTATGTAGACGAAAGTGTGATTGTCAAGAATCAAGGAACCATCTTCTTAGCAGGACCACCAGTACGCTCCATCCTTTCGTTTGATCTTTGTGGTGGATGACTAATTGAGCTTTCAATGCAGCTTGTCAAAGCCGCCACAGGAGAGGTGGTTTCTGGGGAAGAGCTGGGTGGTGCAGACTTGCACTGCAAGGTGGGTTTCAGTGCCATGTTCCCTGGAGATGTAGCTGTTGGAATTCTGACTCATTTGTTTGTAGACGTCAGGAGTTACAGATTACTATGCGCATTCCGATGAACATGCTTTGAATCTCGGACGGCAGATTGTAGCGAATTTGAATTATCAAAGAAATCCCAAGGTAACTGCCTCAACTCAGAATTAGTCAAGTAGCTTGTGTTTTTGTTTATTTTTATTCGCGTGGTAGGTCACATTAACTGAGCCTGAAGCACCCCTCTACCCGCCGTCTGAAATTGGTGGTATTGTTGGCGATAATCTTCGCAAGCCATTCGACATGAAACAGGTGATTGCCCGTATTGTCGACGGAAGCCGGTTCAGCGAATTCAAAGAATTTTATGGCACAAGCTTGATCACCGGTAACGACGGAATCCTTTGTTTATAGCACAGTAATCCGTCTCACTCATTGCTTTTTAGGTTTTGCGCGCATTCACGGTTTTCCCGTTGGAATTGTGGCCAACAATGGAATCCTTTTTTCAGAGTCCTCCTTGAAGGGGGCACATTTTGTTCAACTTTGCAGTCAGCGGAATATTCCGCTCGTTTTCCTGCAGAACATCACAGGTTTTTTCCAACATGAATTGGCAATGTAGAAACCGGTGCTCATATGTTGCTTTAGGATTCATGGTCGGAAAGAACGCTGAAGCTGGTGAGTACCCCGAGCGGCCCAATTTACTACAAGAAGGTTCACTTCATGGTCAATTGCTCCATAGGTGGCATTGCAAAGAATGGAGCAAAATTCGTGACGGCTGTCGCATGCGCAAACGTGCCCAAGTTTACGGTACGTTAAGAGAATGCATCAGCTTATGGCAATATTGACTGACATTGATAATTAGATTTTATGTGGAGGTTCCTTTGGTGCAGGTAAAGCCAGACTACATGTTAGAAAAGGGCATTCGGACACTTGAACTCTTATAACAACCCAGGCAATTACGGCATGTGTGGGCGTGCCTACAGTCCGCGATTCCTATGGACATGGCCTAATTGTAGGTTGACGTGCACGGATTGACATTTTACCTCAGTGACTGATCTCGAGCTCGTTTTACCGTTCATAGCCCGTATAAGCGTCATGGGAGGCGAACAAGCGGCCAATGTACTCGCGCAAGGTACCACTGCTCAATTCCAGCCTGGAAGATGCCTTTGTGCAGAGATTCCTGCTAACCACTTGTTCCTTGCACCCAGTTACTCGTGATAATAAAGAGAAGAAGGGACAAACGGTAACGTGGCTTTTTCCAACTGCTGCACTATATAGTGTACATCCTCTGAAGGCTCTTTTGTTTAGTGGTCTGCTGAGGACGAGGAGGCATTTAAAAGGCCTATTCGTGACCGTTACGAAGCGGAAGGACATCCTTACTTTGCAAGGTACGTTTCGCTTTGCTTTTTAGTGACGCGGAGAAAAGAATCCGCAATTGGATCCCAAAACTGATGATCAAATCTGTCTCCCATCTCGTCAAAACAATTTGCAGTGCCAGGTATATGTTCTCCAATGACTTTTATTTATGATCGATAAGCAATAGCATAACGCAGCAATTCTCAACAGGTTATGGGACGACGGCATTATTACGCCTTCATCCACCCGTGATGTTTTGGGGTTGGGGCTGAGTGTCGCACTGGGTTCACATGTTGGAGGAACCCGCTTTGGGGTGTTTAGAATGTAGAATGACAAACCGTTTACAAGTAGATGGACTATCCGATAGTCTGCATTCTTGTCGTTTTCCACGGCCGTGGGTGTTCAAAAAAAAAAGTGTTCCAAAAGACGAAACTCTCCGCCCGTTCAAAGGTGGCACAGGCAAAAACCGTAAGTTCTTTGGCATCAGAAGGGTCGCGTTTTAGAAATTGTTGAACCGCGCACTTGCTGGAGGGGCTGGGTGTGAAATCTTTGGGACTTGCCCCATTTCGACCAAACGATTTCAAGAGACAATGGGGGGCAAGAAAACAGACGAGCGAAAAGTCAAGGACAAGAAGCGTTCTTTTTTCAAGTCTATATTTGGTCACAACACCTCATCAACGTCACCCTCACTCGCCAATTCACCACCTGCTGATTCTCCACTGTCACTTGGCCCCAAACCAACATATGGACAGCAACGGCCTCAGTCGTATCAACCCGGTAAGCCGAATATCCGACGAACAGACGACTTTAATGCTCCACCGCAAGACTCAGTAAGACCCGGTGCATGGAACCCGCCACAGCAGCTCCTCAGCCAGCCTGAAAAAGGAGTCCACAAATCTCGAAGCCATGGGGAGCTAGCACCTTTCGGAGACAGCGGACGGGTGTCGCGGGGGCCTTCCACAAAGTCTGAGCCCCCTCCTGGGCTTATGGAGAGCACCCGTCCACTTGGTTTGCCTGTTCTTGTGCATTCTGGGAAAGACGATTCTGGAGTGTCATTAGAACTCTATTTCGAGGAACATTGTCCCTCTGTACCATCACCACCGTCCTCCAGCCCCACAACTCCCATCGCCAACACTCACACCCCTGTCCTCCGCATCGCGGCCACCTCCTCCCGGTTGAACGGAATACTCCGGATCACAAACACTCGGAAAGACTTTGTAAGCTCACGCCTCAGTATTGTTCTGTTTACAGGACAGGGTCGAACGGGCTTGAGTGTCATGGACCCGGAGGCACCATCTGCAGCTGGACTGCACACTCGACCGATCGCGAGAAGTGCGGCATATGTTTGGAAAGAGCCGGTGCAAGTAGGAGTCGGAACTCACGACTTTCCGTTTACACTGCCACTGTCAACTGGCCTGCCACAAACATTACAGACCTTCTCTCCCGGACATGCGAACCGCCTTGACGTTAGTCATGTGCTGTTTGTTAAACTCCGGCGTAGTGAGCAGCCTCATATGGTGTGCCGAACCGATTTGGGAATTCAGAGATGTGCCCCAGAGGACCGTCGGGTCGTGAGTGAGCGGCGAATGAGGACTGAGACAGGTGTCATCGCTGACGGTGAGTTCTTGACATTGACGGGGGTTTTCTTTCCATTGCTCATTTCCTTTTTCTTCTGGGTGGTAGGGCTCATCATGTTCCGAGCGGAAGCTGTAGATATCTGTGATGTGGATAATCCTTTCATGGAAGCGCACTTCCAAGCTACTCGAAGTAGTGCCCCCGATAATTGCGTCATAATAGAAGCAGTCGAGTGTCAGTGGAGGGAGAAGATCTTTATGCGGAGCAGCGGACCTGGAAATTTTACGCGGCTAGACAGACCTCTCCATACACCCCTTCGCCGTCACCTCTCTCATAGTGCACCCGATGCTCTATTGCGTTTTACACCATCGTTGAGTGTCCTGGTGCAACCCGATGGAGACTTTGATAGTATCAAAGTTTCCCACGAGCTTACATTTACCGTCGATTACTTCACAACGCCATTGGATGTCGAGCCAAAGAAAGAGATGGTAATTTTGCCGGCGCGGTTCTTGGCGCTGTTTGGAAAGCCGACGGACACCTCTACTCCTGTGAACCACTTTTTGCGGGAAAGATTAAACTCACAAGGAGCATTGATGGGCCCCCAGATTCTTCCGGCTAGCGTGCAGGATCAGACATCCGGACGAATTGACCTGGACAGAGGCATGCAACAATTGAGCATTGCGCCCCCCGTTAGTCTGCCTCAACCTGCGATGTCTCAGCCCGCGCCGAGGTCACAACCCGTGGCTGGGGAACGGTATCGGTCACAGCATTCGTTTCAAGCGACAGAAGCGGACGAGATTACACTGTCAGAGGGAGACGTGGTGATTATCTGGGAATCGTTCGACGATGGATGGGCGTCAGGACAAAACTTGACAACGGCGGCCTCTGGTTTCTTCCCCTTGAATGCCTTAGGGGAGGATGCGTGGAAGAAATCGGAAGCATTTGCTGCAGGCCTCCTTGCACCTCCCTTGGAGAATGGTGGAAAGTTGACTGTATGTCGACGAAAGACATCCAAATACTCCAATCCGCTGAGACAGGCAGATCTATTTGGCGGAGCTGAGGCGAATGCAGAGTATGAAAGACTCAGAGCTGGGAAGCCAAGGGGTGGATTGGATTCCGGTGTAAGCCAATTAGGAGAGAGCGCACAGAGAAACAAAAACGACCTCATTGCCCCCAGTGCCGAAATCCCATCATCGGGTGAACCTCTAGGTTTGCAAATATCAGTGCCCAGTAGCTCACAAGCCTATTCTTCTGTTCCATCAACATTTTATGAACCTCCTTATCAACCCACACCTACCTATTCGTCATCATCAACCCCGTATGGCCAACAGAGCGCAGCGTACGCAGACCCTATTCACCCAAGCACCCCCCCAATTCTCGATCCACGTTTACGACCCATGTCTTCCATCGCAGCGTTACCGCCCTGGGATGCTGCCACCCGAACAGATCCAGGTACTTCCATTCCCCGGCAACGCCCTAGGACGCCGAAAGGTCCCCGAGGACCCGCACCTCTCCGATCTTTCTCGCTTGACGATATGGAGGAAGACGGTAAAGATGAGCAAAGCAAGCTGGAGTCAACGATGCTGTCATCCAGCATACCTTCCTCTGGGTTTCCCAATAGTGCGGCGAGTGTTGGCGGCATGGGGATCGCCGGAGACGTTCGACCAAAGTTTCAGGTCGTGCGAGGATTTGTCCCGCAGCAAAAGGGGCAAGTGGAAGTACGTTATGGAAATGTGGTGGTAGTAGAGTAAGTGTTCATTGCTTGAATGATGTGGATTCATGGACATGCGTCTTATATAACTTGCGTTTGTCATAGGGAATCATATGCCAATGGCTGGTGCTTAGGAACGAATCTTGCCACAGGTCAAAGAGGTCGATTTCCTACTAGCGCTTTGGATATTCAGCCTCGATCCTCTACTCCGCTTGCTCCCGTCAGTGACCCGTCATACGGCGTAGGTTACGGGTATGGTCAGAGCGGTATGGGTTACTCATATACTCCTGCGTATGTCGCACCGCAAATACCGGGGGTCGCAGGATATGCAGGTGTGGGAACACCGCAACCATCTGTAGGAGCAAGCAGACCAGTAGAGGGCAATAGTCTTCAGCAACAGATGATGAAGAAATTGGATGAAGATCTGTTGAAGGGTCAAATTGACCCTAGAGACTACCTAGCAAGACGAGACGAAATTATGCGGATGGGTATGGCGCATTAGTTTGCAGATGAAGCGAATGATCACTTGTACATAAAGTAAATCCTATCGTAGCTAGTTTAGTATTGCAATTCTCATATTTCATACTTGCAATAAAAGCAATGTTTATATTTTGCTATGCAAACCCATCTCCTACAACAATAAAGCTTAAAAGGCCTTTTTCTTCTCGTCCATAGAAAGACCACCTGAAGATAGGACTAATTAGTACACGCATGTCCTAAACCCTACCCTCATTGGCTCTTACCTGGGCCCATGTTTGTCAACAACAGCAGCCCTCCCATGATCGACAGAGTCTGGAAGAAATCGTACTTCAAGAAATCACTACATCGAATTTTGTTTTTTGCGTGAGTGGTTCATCTGAGAACATCCGAGAAACATGAAATCCTACCGTTGAGGATGGTTGTGATGTAGGTTCCACCAGTTGTTGAGGACAACATTGCTGATGGAGAGGAAGGTCACCAACATCCATGCAGACCACTTTGCTTTGAACCCGACCACGATCATGACACATCCGACAAGCGCCACAATGGAGACAGCAACACGAAGCGCTGAGAATTCTCCAACCAGGATGAAACTCAAGAAGAGGAACACGAGAAGGATACGCCCAAACAATTGCAGGTAGGTCGCCTTGTTCGTTTCACTGAGAGAAGGTAGTCCCGCAAATATAGTTCTGCGCTTTGCAGACATGGACTCTGCCAACAACATGAGCAATCCACCCGCCACAGACACATTGCGGAAAAAGAAGGTCGCATCAAAGAGTAACCCGTATCCGAGGGACTGGGATATGATCACCAAAAATAGAGCTGGGACTGCATACTCTGTGTTTTTTCTGGCGATTGCGGCAATAGATCCCACCAACATGACCAAAACGTTCAATCCAAGAAAGAGCTCGGCAGTGAAGAATGGAAAGTCTGCAAGAGTTACAACAGTGAGCGTTCTATTCGAATCATCTGCGTGAACTCGGTATGCTTACTCCTATGCTTTTGTAGGAACCACAACTGGTCTGACCATTGGGTGCTGCGTGATAGAAAGATATTTCAGTTCTTTTATCGTGAAATGAACACACCCGTAATGATCGCAATGAGACATGCAAGCCAAGCGATGCATTATTTGTCAGTCCTCACCATATCCGCAAAGAGTCTTCCAAAAACGTTACAACCAAAAGAAATCGCGCAATTCCAGGTAGCCAAGGTTTAAGTGGGCTTCCTACAGTGTCGAGAACCTGCTCAAACTTGTCCGTATAACTCTTGACGGCTTCCATGTTCCGTTGCGCCTTTCCTTGGATGGTTCAAAAACTTTTCGAGACACGGCTACGACACCTGAGCAACGAGCCTTTTTTTTCGTTGCCGTCTTGGGAACAAGATGGAAATAACTGTTCCAACACGATCAACAAGCAAAATGAGGGCGAGAAAAACGCTCACCGCTGGGCTGATCGCCGTCACACCAACTGCGTCCACGTGTTTTTGACACATTCTCAGCCCTCGATCCATTAAGACAAATAAGGAAAAATGACGGTTGCTGCTCGCCCCCCCGCTTCGAGAAGGAGATGGGTTTTGAGGGTTGTGCGCAGCGGACAAGGGGCGTTGGAAGAAGAGCTTGCTTTTTGGCCGTGATCCCATTTGATTGGGAGTTTGACGGGAATCGTTAAAGTAAAAGTAGGGGGGGAACACTCTGCAAAAGTGTCGAATTGCAGAGGGTGGAAGGTTTTGTAGAGCTGGACAGGCGTTTCGTTGTGAAAGCCACATTTGAAGGGCCTGTCGTTGACCTTGCACGCCACGTTCGAGTACCAACTTTGGTACCTTGACCGCTCCCCGTCAAACTCGGGTTGCGCCTTTTCCACATTGTCATCAAGTGCAAGTGGTCGTTAGACATGGATAGAATGAGTTACCCCCGGTCGAGAGGAGGTCGACCCGCATGGAGCATCTCATTGCTGTTGGCGAACCCTCGAATCCGCTGGTCCCTATTGGCAGCAGTATTCTTGTTAGTAATGTACATGGCTAGTACATCCCTGAGTTCAGACCTGGAGCAGCAGCGGAGCATGCGGTCGTCCGAGTTGGGACTTCAGGACGGACTCAACGAGGACGTGACCGTGGTGGACCCGAAGAAGCTCGACGAGCACAGAAATGTGCCGCCGGTAGCTGTGCAAAACGTCAAAGATGAACCTGTCACCGGAGTAACAAACAAAATTGTACCGGATCCATCGGCACCGGTCGCTAAGAATGGTGCAGAAGAGCAGGGCCTTATATCTCGAAACCAAACAAGACCGAAATCGAAAAATACTGTCGTTAAGCCCAAGCCGCAAGGGAGCGACTCGGCGATTAACCCAAGGTTTGATAACATTGCGGTCGCATTAAAGACTGGAAAAGACGTTGCACTCCAAAGAACGCCAATTCAAATTATGACGTACCTTCAAGCCGTTCGCAATCTAATTCTTATTGGGGACGGCGAAATCTCCGTCGGTGATATGCCTATGGTCGATGTTATTAGCCAACTATTCAAGCCGCGAAATATAGAAACTACTGCGGAACGACTTAAGCGAGAGCAAGAAGGTAAGTCTGACCATTCATGTTTCCTGAACATCTCCCTCTGATACCTACCTTTTTTCAGAAAAACGGCTTCAGAATATTGATATCAAGTCTACTCCTCCGAAAGGGGAAGCCGTGACAGTGGATGAACAGTCAGAAGGTTGGCGATCGGATGGTCACAAAAATCTTCCAGGATTCCGTGAGCTCTGGACCCATTTTCCAGACGCTGACTGGTTTGTCATGATCGACGATGACACTTATGTCTTCTTCGACAATCTAGCCGATATACTGAAAGAGTACGATCCAAAAGAAGTATATTACATAGGGGCGAAGAATATGTTTATCGGGTGTGATGGTGTTAAGAATTGGGGGGAGGGCCCATATTTTGCGCATGGAGGAAGTGGAATCGTTCTGTCAAGAGGCGCAATGAAAGTCATGATGGCCGGATTGGACGCATGTATTGAGCAGTACAAAACATGCTGGGCTGGAGATGTACGGACCGCTCTTTGCCTACGCGACCAAGGCATTTTGTTGACGTCCCCTGGAGGGTTCCACAAAGATCCACCAAATGACGAATTCGGGTTCCCGCGGGATCCTTGCCAGCGCCCAGCAACATTCCATCATCTGCTGGTCAAGCAAATTCAACGGTTATACGACCTTGAGCGAAAACGGCAAGCTGAGACGGGGACTGGACGAGTCACGTTTGCGGATATCTACTATGATTGGCACAACCCCACCGAAGCGCTGGAAGCGAATATTGACCGCAAAGGTTCAGACTTCCTCAATATCAGAGTCGTCAGTGCCGAGGCATGCAATCGACTATGTAGAAGGCAACCAGAGTGTCTGTCCTTTGTTTTCGACGGAACCAAGTGTTGGCTCAAGAACCAGATTCCCCCACCTGTGGAAGGTATTGGTTTTATATCGGGAATTATACCCGATCGCTACCGCTGCACGGCACCGTGATTAGAGGGGTCGTTATAAGTAATCACTCATTATAAGCCGAATCTGCTGCAGGAGATTAGAGTAGGGTTGTTACAGAAGCGGTGGAAAAGCATTTGTTTATTTATATACATTTTCAACCTCATCATTATCTCCATGGTTGGCCGATGACACCACTCTAACCTCAATACCATCCAATAAACCATACAGTCGCTGATGATCATGTATCCAATGAAATAATGCAGACCCAGCCGCCATCTGCGCTCCAAACGAGTTGAGTTCGATCGGCTCTACCCGTGCCGAAGACCAAACTTGTTCGTCCTCACTCTTCACTAGAGATACATGAACATCCAATACATAGCATTCTGGCATGTTTTTGTCAGCATTTTGCGCCCTTTGATTGAGTTCGCTGACAAGTGTCTCAACATCAGCGACGATTTCTTGAAGCATACGTTCTCGCGACGGGTCTGCCCACCCAAGATCCTCCTTCCATTTGTACTGACTCAACGCAACAAGGCGTCGTTGTGCGATGAAGGCGCGGAACTCGTTGGTCTCGTCAAATGGCTTCCAAGGGAGCAAATGCAAGTATGTTCCAACCCTCTGTTCGGTGCTGCGGAGGACTCGCTTTAATGCCTGCCCCACCCGTTTACTCGTACACAAGGCTTTCACAACTTCGTGTGCCGTTGTAAATGGCCCAACTCCACCAACGCCATCCTTTGTACTGCATTCGTCTAAGCGCACAAAGTATTCAGGTGAACTTGCGGTTACACGCTGTGGGAGACGAATTTTGGCTGTTACTTCTTCGTCAATATCCTGTGCAATACTGGCAGGAATCCGCCCCGTGAACATGGCAGTTTGGCAGGCTTCCAAAATCAAGCTGCAGTCTCTGCGACTTAGCCATACGCTGTGTCCTCCAACGCCAAGCTTCAAGATATCTTTCCAATTTGAATAACGAGTTATTTGAACTATTTCGTCGTACTGCGTTGGGGTGAGAAGGGGCTCATCCCATGGTATGTCCGAATGATTGTTGGAGTTGAAATTAGACTCATCCTTTTCAATTTCGGATATGGGTACATGTCTAATCGATATTTTATCCATTTGCCCAGCAACGTTGAGACTGAAAACGTACGCGTCGCATCAAGCGCAACAGACTATAGTGATTGATGATGCAATTGCTCATTTTCATCAAATGGTCTGCAAAGCTACCTAACCTATGACCGTATCATAGCATCTACAACATACTATATACAAACAATCTGCTGGACCACAGATAACCCATAATATCTTATTTCCTTTTTTTGGCAGGTCGCCGATCGTCATCAGCTGCACGCTTCTTACTTGAACCATTTTCTGCACCCTTCATGGAGTCCGCCTGCAAATATATGTCATAAACGTGAAGGATTAGCTTGGAATCCAGTCTGCCCCTTGCCATCCCTTTTGAGCTGGCAAGCGCCCTTTGTAAGGTTAACGATAGAGAATGTACCTTTGCGGCCTTCCTCTCTAGTTCATCCCAATCTTCCCCTTCCGATTCGTCTTCTGAGCCGCTATAATCCGATGCAGATCCTTCTCCCTCAGAAGCATATTCTTCACTGTCATCCTGTTCATTGGGAGACAAGCGTTTTCGTCAAAATTGACAAGCACAAAGCAATCCCGATGTTTAGCACTTACGTCACTTTCTTCGAAATCGCTCTCATCCATTTCAAATTCACTAACTTCGTCCTCACTAGCCTCATCCTGTTTACACATGGTAAGGAGCCCAGCTTACGTCGAAAATCATTCACGTCGTTTCCTACCTCGGAGTCGGGTTGTAAAATGATCCAACCACCCGCATCAAAGAAACCCACAGGATCTTGATTGATTGTTTTCATGATTTGAGGCCACACCAAGTTCGCGGGACCCTCGCTGAACGGGATGTCGCACGAGCTATTTGGTGAAGAAGTCCGTCAGCTACATTGCTACGTCTGTCCAGCGCTGGAAGCAACAGCGGGTACATACTCGAGCCATTCCTTCACATTCTCCAATTGTTTTACGGGAACTGTGGTTATATGTGTGACTGGCCGAGTGTAGTCCTTATACACAAAGACCATATCGAAGTTTTTGAGCCCAAACTGCAAATAGAATAATCAAAAGATTCAATATCTACCCTCATGACAAATATCAGATCAACACAACCCACTCACCTGGACCCTCTCCAAGTGACAGAGCTCCACTTCCGCCAAAGTAATAACCAAGTTCGGCACATCGGTGAGGTGGACCAAACATTCATTTGTAGGTTGCAGGAGGACCAGCTGTCGACTGAAAACACCGTGGAACCCAAGATCCCGATATGGCATATCCACATCAATACGGCTCTAATCGGTGGAAGAGCATCATCAACACACCATGTACCCACGGGAACAGCACAAGTACAACATCAATACGTACGGCATCTTGAATTTTCTCGGCAAAAGTCTTAAACTCTTTATTTAAGGCTGCCCGTCGCCTCCGCTCTTCCTGTTCCATTGCAAGTTCATCTTCGTCACCATAGTTGGGACGACGTCTATTTCGACCGCCCGTCTCATCGTACCCTGCATCTGACACTTCACGATAGAATTGAACGTCCTAGATTCCCAGAGTCAATGAGATGTCCCATAGAAACAGTGCGATGTGCATGACACACCTTCGTTTTTCGCTTCCCTATCATAATTGGGTTTTTCAGATGCACGTGTAAGATCACGATAAGCTCATGATCACAAGGTTGGAATATCAGATGTTTGATGTTGGAAAACAGCACATCTGCAGTGGCAAAATTGCTGTAGTCGAGGTAATGACAAACGTCACAGTAAACGCCTTACCGATACTCTGACCGCTCTTCAGTTGTGATTGGTAGCGAATACCATTCGTATGTATTTCCAAATCTCCTGGGAAACGCTTGTCAACTTGCGGCCGAACAAAAACTTCCGGCAATCGCAAGGGACGCCGGCCCCTGACTTCAACCAGTCTGTCCTGCTCAACGAGACCAGCTTTTTCTTTGCGTTCCGCGTCTCTCTTAGCGGTTTCCTTCTTTAAGTCGTTAATTTGACGGAAAATCTCAGCAAATCGTCCAATATCGCTGCTGCGAAAAGTAAGCGCACGGATGAAGGTTGCGTTTGGATTCTCAAAAGGCGTTCCGACATCCTTCTTTCCGGCTTGTCCAGGAGTGACAAAATTGAAACGAAGGTAGAGATAATCCTGCTCCTCGCTCTTGCTGACGTTTTTCAGTGTGGACACATGGAATGGTACTGGTTGCCCGTATATCGGGAGTATGATGGACTCATTTCGGGCATCTACAACAATCTATGGAACTAAAATCAGGCAAAGTTTCACTTGTCCCTTAAACGAAACTATCTCACCTTCAAGTCTTGGACTTGTTTAGGTAATTGAGATTCCGCTTTGTAACTGGCGAACTTTCGGAAAACTTCTTTTTGCTCCCCGGCGGCACCACCATTGTCATCGGCGAATCGTCGCAGACCCTCCTCGTGCATTCGATTATGCAATATCCGCTGATGTTCCGCACGCTTTGCCTCATTTTCTGCCTTGTCCTTTAAGATAGAATTAGTATGCTGCTCACAAGAAACGGAGCCCAACCGAAATACGCGGTGATTGCATACCTGATCGTCACGCAATCGCTTCCCTTTTCGTTCGGGAAGCACCGGTGCCGGTTTTTTGCTTCGCGGAGTATCGCCATTCGCCTTTGGTTCAGATTTGACCACCTTTTCATCATCCTCATCCTAATGAAGCGGGTTCAGGACGACTTAGCATTACGGAGCATGGTGTTGAGTCGTTATTATTACCTGAAATTCGAATGAAACTTCTTCAATGTTCTTCTTCACGTCCGTCAGAACAGTGGGATATGTGGTGGTGACCACAACCGTATCGGTGATTAGCAGAGCGTATCTGCATTCCCATTGTAAGTGATCAATTTCCTTGCAATGCAGAACAGCTACTCCGAAGCACTCACGTTCGGTTGCGGGGATCTTTCGACGCTGAGTTCTCGAGATTTTGAAAGCCAAGAACAAGATTAAACACCATTCCTGATTTCAATTTTGCTGTGTGCTTTGGCGACAAGGTATACGTGGACTCTCGAAATTCAATACCCGTCTTCATTACGAATAATGTTAGCTGCTACAGCTTAATGTGCGAAATGAAACGACGAAGCGCCACGTACACTCCATCCACAGTTTTTCAGAAAATTATCTTTTAAATCGGGCCGCTTCTTCTCAATATAGGATATCGCAGCACTATAAACGTCCTTACAAGCTACCCCTTCCTTGATCGAGTTTAGTACGTGTTCCTGCAACTCCACAAGAAAGTTGTAGTTTTTTTCCTTTCCCTAGAACAGATATAACGGATATGAGAACACTAGCCATTCATAGCGTCCTAACGGGGACAACCACCTTCTCCGGATTCATCAAATACGTTCGCGCGACATTGGAACAATATGAGCGGTACCGAATTCCCAACGAGCACACAATAGTTCCTTCATGCAGCGAATCATTATTGCTCATTGCACTTGCTCGCAAATCGTATTTGCCTCCACTTTGTATGATTGGGGGATAGCACCAATCAGCCAGGTCATATTGCACCTGCAGTTGAACCAAAATCAGATGTTTGTTTGCCAGAGTTGTGAAAGAGATTGCAGAATGACTGGAACTCACGTCGGCTGGGAGTTTATATTTCTTCCTAAGGTCTTCATCGCTCAGCAAATTCTCCATGCTGGTAGACATTTGCTCGTGTTTGACCTTCTTCCCTTCGTCTATGATCTCCATCATTTCTGACACGAAATATTTTTTCAGAATCAAAGCGCTAAGCCTCGAGGCCTGCCGCACTGTTCGAACTTCATCCTCATCTTTGACCGCCAGCACAGAGGCAACCCCCCCGGACACATCCACCTGGTCAAATTTTCCAGCTTTTTTGATAGCTTCTTTCCATTCGGCAACCAGCTTTCCTTGATATCGATCCTTTGCGAAGACACCAATCTTTTTACCGTCGTAACTCTTGCTGATAATATCCAGCAACTGAGTGCACGCTGCCTTATTTTGTGCATCATCTTTAGTTCGTTTAACTATTTCTATCTGGAGACTTGTTTTCTTGGCAAGCGGCTCAATGTATCGTGCTTTCTTCTCGCTGGTATGGAAAACAACTTTGTCCGACGTGACAATCACCAGCGTCTCGGTGAACTCATAACCAAGCAGCCATGTTTGCACTGCACTGCCTTTCTGGTAAGGCGCATCCTCTTCTGCCGCTCCTACAAGAATCGCCAGTGCATCTGACTTCCCCCAGTCCTCAGAATCTCTCGCGAGCTGAACACGCTTGTGCATGAGCATCGACCTCACCATCATCCAAACTTTGTAAAATCCTACCTTCCATGCCCGAACAAGCGCCCCGATTCGCTTCTCAAAAGCGTCAGCGTCGAGCACAATTGACATTGGAGAATAATCGCCTCAGTGCCAGGAAGCTTTACATTCCAAGTAGAAGATCGTGCGAGCCCATGCTAGCTTTGGCCTAACTGACTGTGCCACCATCCGGACGTATTGCTATAGCAACAAGATATTGTATATTCAGATGGACAAACGACTGTGTGAGTTTGCTAACAAAGTGCAGCGGGGAGCGCCAAAGTCCAGCCAAAGGGGACCTCAGTACGGAATATGGCCCAATCATCCTTGCTTTTTTTGCGTATGGCCGATATTATAGTGCCGACCTATGTACAAGCAACATTTAAGCCCTACCCAAAGTGAGACCCAGAGACATCAAGAGCCCGCGAAGAAACGTGAAAACTGCCGGAAGGAACGGCCTAGCGATGAAAATGAGGCATCAGGTACATAAGATCCGCAACTTCTTATGGACAAAGTCAACTCACCCAAAGAGGTTAAATACGCCAAAAAGCTCCGATATCAGCCCTACAAAAGGCCATTTTAACAGTACTAGCACAATCCCACCCAGAAAGCAAGCTGTACTGGGAAGACGATCCCGGCGTGAAAAGAACGCAATAGTTCGTGAGGGTCCGATCAGTAAAGTTATTCCTGACAGAAATAGTAGCTGTACAAAAGGCAACTTCGAATTAAACGATTCCCCTAATCGCAGCGCATTGCCAAGTGGTTTGGCGCATTGATCCTCTTACGTTGCCCACTGCCATAAGCCCTTTATCCAGGAGTAACATTACCCCGAAAAGGAAGAAGAGAGCCCCAGCTCCCGCGAGACAAGCACCGAATCCTACCAATGCGATCCTCTTAATCAACATAAAGTAACGAGCACAATCCATAACACCCACTCTGTGATCCAGACAGAACCATTTTTGGTTGAGATTGCGGTCTGAATGTCAATATGCCCTAACAGATCGCTCTCGTAATCTCACGTAGGCTGTTTGAGTCATGTCAAGTTCACGTGAGTAGCGGAACCTGAAAGCTTGCGTTGGCCTCAAGGTTCGAATTTGCTATCCCATCCAGCTTTATGGAGTCAATAACACCCGACTGGCCCCCAGTCGCTGTCGGAGAAGGCGTTTCATCGCAGGAGCGCGAACTTCTTCCAGACGAGCACCGGCAGCTAGATGTTTCGGACCTGCCTGAAGACACGGTCCCAGAGCGGTCCTCGCCGAGCGTAGCGGATGCATTTCCCGAAGCAGAGAGCGCCGATGGTTTGTCGGAGGACATTACACTAGCAAATGACAGCAATGGCGTGGTTACGGACGGTGGCATTGCTGGGACGAGAGTGGGTGACCCTCTCGCCGACCTACGAAGTCTGGGGCGGTCCAATTTACAACCACCAGGACCGCCTTCGATGGTGCGAGCAGCGTCTCTAGGCTTTGACGAGGTTGCGGCCGCGACACCGTCAGCTTCATCCAATAATATGCCTCTAGGAACTTTCTCAAGTCCTGGATCTCTCATTGACATTCAGCCGATGGGCGAGGCTCCTGCCGCAGCACCTGTGGTTGATAATGGCCCCATTCCTTTCTTCCAGCAGTCAGAACCTCTCGGAGCTGTTGGTGGGGTTGATTTCTTTGCAAGCTTACCTGGGCAGCAACCGAATATTCGCGTCGAGAATAGTGAAACGGGAGCGTCCTCCACCACATCTTCACAGCAGCCGTACATTTCACCCGTCACATCCTCTCCATCAGGACCATCGCCATCTGGCGCTTCCATTATTTCGCTGGAAACTGCCACAATGACCGGACAAAAGCCCCCTCTACCTGCTAATAGCATAGATGTAAATGCAGCTCCCCCTTCTCACGCTGCACCATACCCCATATCGGCCGCTGCCACTACTCTTATGCCTGCCACCCAGCCTCTGTTCGCCGCAAATTTTGATATTTTGAACCGAGCTCACCCGACCGCATCCAAAGTACCACAAGCAACCGCTGCCCTTGATCCAAAGTACCAAAGTCTTCCCACGAAGCGCTGGACTGATCCCAGCGTCTTTTACGACATACCTCCCCGAGATCCCATTGGTGAGATCTTCCCTAAAGCTTTCCCAGTTGACACAGGTCCTAGACCAACACGCAAGATCTTGCGGGTGGACGATGTCGCTTCGGAGTCTGATCCGTTCCTTGCGCTGATAGATGCAAACAGTTGGAGAAGTGTTGCCATTCTCGCACGGCAGAGGCTTATAGCAACACACCCCGCACATGTGAAAGAGATCATGCGACTTTGGTTTGTGAGGCTAACTGCCCTAGCAAGACTGAGGTTGTTCGAATTTGCCTCGAGCGAGCTGCAGAAAGTCGGTGCAACAGATCTTGACCCCCCTAATTTGCGATATGAAAAGCATCTGGACGTATTTCCGAACGCCAGTGGCTCGATGCTGAGCTTTGAGATACGGTTGTTCTGGGCACGAATACCGAGTTTCAAAGCCCACCATCAAGAAAGTGTCAACAGAATGTACAAATTATTGTATATATGCCGGCGAATGGTTCAGCAATGTAAATCTGGAGGCGGAAAAGGCGAAGATGAACCAGAATCTGTCTGGAGAAACAGAGAGGGTCAAATTCAGCTTCAAATAGCGAATCTCCTACTTGATCTGAAAGATCATCGTGCGGCTAGCGCGGTTCTGCGCGCCGTGAGCCAATCAAGGACCAGCGACGCTAATCTACTCTCGGCCTTGGGTCGCGTGCATCTACAAATGGGGAACGTCCCAACAGCTCGGGACATATTCCAACGCGTGTCTGACCTCGTCAGTAAAGATGTGTCCCAAACTGCACGGCATGACCTAGTACTCAGCAATCGCGCCTTTCTTCACATGGCGGAAGGTGAATGGGAAAGTGCAGTGAACTGCCTCACCCAACTATTAGGCCTGAACCCAACATCAGTTGTCTGCGTCAATAATCTCGCGCTATGTCAGCTGTACACTGGGAATGTTGGACAAGCTGTGAGCTTTCTGGACAGCATTGCAATTGACATGCCCCGCAAAGCTGGAGTCTGTGAAGAGTTATTATTTAATCTATGCAGTTTGTACGATTTGACGGATATGAGTGTGGAAAGGAAGAGGAAGCTGTTGGGCACCGTGGTTAGCCGATTCGCTGGAGACGATTTTGATCCTGCATGCCTAAAATTATAACAATGGAGGTGTAGCTGGCAATAAAGATAATAACGACATCACCCACATTGACAATCCATGAGGTTCTGCCTTTACACTTTCATTGAGCTTCTTTTATCCCGACTACCAACTCCATTCCATGCTCCGTTTCTCCATACTCTACTCTAAACCCAGCTTCCTTCACTGTCTGGCCAACCCACTCCCTGCTCATGGCTAATTTATAATACCAACTTTTGCATAGCTCCCAGGTTCCATTGCCTTTCTTAATGTGAACCAAATCATGGACACGGATCCTCGCTCCACTTCCATCCTCTTCCACAGCCGCCCCATCATCCCTTTGTCGCTCCCATTCTAAGAAACATGTGAAGACAGTCATGGCATCTGATCGCACGGGAACAAATCTATCTGTTCCTTCAAGGGGATGAGTCAAATCTCGGAATTGGAGAATGAGCCGTCCGTGTGGCCGTAATGCAGCATGCGCATCACGAATCATTTCACGGACTTCTTCAAGGGATGCTAAATGTGTCGGTGTATCGCCCATGCACACTACACACCCAGCAGCTCCGTCGTCAATTTGCTCCCGAAAGTTGAGGAGATCACCCTCAACGGTTCGCACTCTTTTCTCATCAATGCCTAATGTTTTAATCTCATCCCCAAGTTCCTCCAGCATGCCCACACTTGCATCGACAGCCACCACTTTGTATCCAAGCTCCAGCAAAGGAATAGTTTGAAAGCCTGGTCCACAACCTAGATCGACTGCCACCGTATCAGGGGCGACAGTGGCCGGAAGATGCCTTAATAGGATACATCGGTTTTGGGCTAGCTTTGTTTCATAACCGCCAAACATCCTGGTATGCAAGTGTTTGCATGTTTGTCTCTCAAATGTATGGATTGTTTGCCTACTTACCATGTGTAGTGCTCACTTAGAAGCCGGTCATAATGAGAGGCAACGGAAAGGTAATTGGAGGAGGTAAGAATAGGTTTGGATGCACGAGCAGATATGGGAGGAGGAGTAGGTGCGGAAGGTGGTGTCATGGCCATTGCTGCCGATAAATGACGATCTCGTTTAAACTTCTGGGTATTCACCAGCACAGAACCGGTGTGGCGCAGCAAGACGCGGTTGATGCAGATCTATCAGTGATTTCAGATGGCGCCTTGGGGAGCCAATCATTCGGAATTTATGAACGTCGATCAACCAACCCATGTTTAATAGCAATGAAACAAGAAGATGAACTGATACGTTGCAATGATGTTGCGTTACGATTTTGTGAGGATTTGGGCCGATGCACGCAAAAGAAATGTGGAAGCATTACTGCAACGCTTCAAATATGAAATTGTACTTTGCCACTCCGTTATTTGTGGTATCATGCTCATTAAAATATGCCAGCCACGACATACAATTGGGCCATCTTTTAACTTCCTCGCCCTATCCAGCAACTTTTGTGAATCTCATCCGCGAGCATACTGGGCCGTCCAGTCGCGTGCTTTTGAATGAGATGTTGGTTAGAGGGAGAGGCAACCAGAATATGACGACTGACAAACCGTACCTGTTGCGATTGCCGCCTTTTCGTTCTCCTTCCAATGTTGTGCCACGTCATTCGCCAATGGATCGTCCGGGTTGGGAGCAGACAGTAGAGCTTGTATTGATAGTAATACTGTGCGAATTTGAAGAGCTGGAGACCATTTATCTGTTATGTAGCCAGTATTATTGAAGCGTAGATCGTTTAGCTACTAACATGTGCCTCCCACGAACCTTTCAGTATATCCAGACAAATGCGGCCAAGTTTGTCGATATTTGGATGATAGATCTTGGTCAAGAAGCGAACTTTTGGTGGTGCCATCGGATATTCCTCGGGAAGGAAAAGTTCGAGTTTAAAGTCTCCACCTATTGAAATGCAAGAGAGACGAGAGTAGACTCAGAGAAATGAATCTAAAATGGCCCGAGTTTCCAGCCAGATAATTATATCAGGGTTTCCACAAGGTCAGCCTGCAGGCATAGTGGCATTTATCAGGCCACCGTACCTTCAAAGGGAGACTGTTGGGGACCAGCAATAACTACATCGAAATATCGGAGATTATCTTCGTGAGGTGTGGCACTGATACCTGGGGCAGGCTCGGCCATTAGCCGCTCCGTTTCCTGTGGAAAATTGGAAGATGTCACGATGAGTGAAGAATTACTTGCCAGCTAACGCGCCGGTGATGCGTGGCTCTTTTGGGAAATCATTCTACATTTGCAAAATAACCAAAAATCGTAGAAAAAGCCGTGTATGTCCGACATTTCATAATTTTCATATGCGCTCAAGATTGCCATCGGGATAGTCAAGCGGGAGGATAAAGTAGTGGCATAACCATACCTTGACAATTCGCTTTGGTAGTGACATGGGTCCGAGTAGCTTTTTCTATCGCAATCACACGCTTCGACTGTAGACCTTTAGTGACAAACACGACCAAATCTTGAATCGCGGGATCCTTTGCAAGTAAGTTGTGGGAGCCGTTGAGCACTTGCCCCTGTCATCTTCACGTGATGCAATGTCATGGCAACAAAATGAATCATTGAAAGCTGAGTGACCTGACAAATTGTATCTCCGCGTCTCGGCCATTCCGCACGGGGCTGGTTGTATCCATTTCAGGAAGACGTTTTTCCGGCAGAGGACTTTGACGATCAGCATTTCGACCACGACAGCGAAGCAGACGATCGCACCGAGGTTTGTTAGCCCAAAGTGTACCTGAAAACACGGCAACGTACATTCCCTACGCCGAAACACTTTTTTACTGCCGCGACAAGAACGAAAACAAGACACCAATATCGAAATTTGAGCTAGTCATTTTGCAACCATGGCCAGCAATTACGACTACATTACGATGCTGAACCTGCCAGAACTCTCTCCGCCCACAGCATCTGAGAGCGAATTTCAGAATGAACTGGACCTGTGGCTAAACACAGACTTCAGTTTTGATCCACTGGACTCGAGTGCGTTCTCTGGCGACTCACGGAGACCCGAAGGTTGGTGCAGGTGGCCAGAGACCCCAGTTTTTATTGCATGACCTGCAACCGAGGTTATTGTGGGGAAGTTCCTAACCTCCGGCGATTTCCTCCCTTCCTGCAGACTTTGAGTATGATCATTCTAAAGAAGCCTTCCCGGAGCGCGCTGGTGCAGGTGCCACTGCTCGTGTTGAGACACAAGCCCAACACAGTTCTCAAACGTCTGTTCAGCAACAAGCACCCACAACTTCCTTCACGCAGTCTGAGGCAATCGCAACAATCGTACCTCAGGTCGCGCATGAGGCTCCAGCTATATCTCAGTACCATCAGCCTGTACTGGCCCCGATGCCAGTACACAGCAATCCTACTTTGCCAAACACTACGTCTGGTTTTAGCGTGTTTGGTACCGATGCTGCGTCCACGATTGGAGCATCGAACTTGACGTTGCAGCAAATCATCGCGGCGGCTGCTGCAATGGGGGCTAATACCACAGCCTCAGCATCCCAAGTATCATCTGAGGCAGCTATGAATAATACCAGTACTGCCACCTCTGTACCAGAATCAGATGTCGCAAAGTCAGAGGATAGGACCGACGAGGAATTGGACAAGCGTCGGAGAAACACTGCCGCCTCGGCCAGGTTCCGTGCCAAAAAGAAGCTGAGGGAACAGGCTCTGGAGAGGACTGCAAAGGAGATGACGGAGAAAGCCCAGCAACTTGAGCGTCGTGTGAAGGAATATGAAATGGAACTCAAGTGGCTCCGCCAGCTAGTCACAGACCGAGAGGGCAAGAAGCGCCTACGGGATTTCTACGAAGAGGTATTCAAGTAGTCTGATTGTGGTGCTCCGGCAGTGCTAATCATGCATATCCTTCTCAGAGCGGCCTTACTTTTATTGAGGGGACGATGGCTGCAGGCTGCGGGATTGAGTCGCAGGGTACTACTTCGAATGTGCCAGCTGCCAATTTGGCTGCAGCTGCAGCTGCTTTTGCTGGAGTCATGGCTCTTGCTGGGAAGCCACTTGCTCTCCCATTGCCTCCAGATAATAAGCGTCGCAGGGCGGCCTAGATTAGCTCGGAGCTTTCATTGCGCCTGAGATTGCGTTGCAGCTCCCTTCGTTTTATATATTGCTCGTCATTCGTTCATTTCTTATATAGTGTAATGGCAATAAACACTTGTCACACACTTTACACCAGCGTGGATTGAACAACTTGGGTTTGGCAATAACCGGCCCAGATAAAGCTATCTATTACTAGGCATGATCATACAGGTCATCGTCCACCTCGCGCCAGCCGCCTTGAGAAAGTTGGTCGGTCGTAGGAGTTTTGGATACTAGTCAACCAGAATTAGACTGGATATTAAGCTTGCGAATAAATACGAGCACTGGATGGCAGCAGCTTAGTGGTGGATGCATTGCAAGGTGAGCCTTGCTCATTGCTATTGGGTCCTGCCAATTTCTCATGTTTTGCTTGCGGCGAGTTGAAGAAACAATCAGGGAGGGGAGTGAGAATGAGGGGTTTATATAGAAAAATGAGTGCAGCAGGAGAAGGTTTCAAACAGCAAATGACTGTAGGACCCTTCCAAAAGTTGGTACTGATGCACGATGTGGCTGCGGAATCGATTTGACCAAAAAAGGCTAAAGTGCTACTGGACAAACCTCACCCTCCTTCGCCGATTCCATTGGAAAGCAGACCCCATCCTACACCACCGTTGAAGCTTCTGCCTTCTCCTGGTTAGCTGCACATCGCAAAAATGGGGCGGTTAGTGCAGATTGAGGTGGAAAACTTCAAGTCCTATCGGGGTCAGCAAACTATTGGCCCATTTTATAACTTCACGTCGGTCATAGGACCTAATGGTTCCGGTATGCAGCAGCCTTTAGCTAACGGCCAGGGCATTCGGCTGGAACTAGACGCTGAGCATGTACATTCCATTTGTAATAGGCAAATCCAATCTGATGGACGCAATTAGTTTCGTGCTTGGCGTCAAGTCCACACAACTACGATCCGCACAGCTGAGGGAGCTTATATATCGGAGTGGGCGAGGAGCAGCAGAGAAGCAAGGGGGTAATGGAGGTGGCGAGGAAGAGCCAAAGCGAGCCTACGTGTGCGCAGAATATGAAACTTCCGATGGGGGCACTTTGCGCTTCATGCGAATGTTAGTCTTCGGTTCCGGAGACGACAGTTATGTTGTGGCTACTGCATCCTTCTGAATTATCCTTCCCTTTCAGTGTCACATCATCGGGAACCAGTGAATACAAGATCAATGATAAAAGTGTTCCTTTCGCAAAATATAGTGCGACCTTGGAGGAAGAAAACATCCTCATCAAAGCAAAGAACTTCCTGGTTTTTCAGGTATGAAGAAGATGCTCCTGGGAACCAGAGCCGATTGTGAACCTTTATATCTAGGGAGATGTTGAGGCTGTCGCATCCCAGTCGCCGAAAGATCTAACTCGATTACTGGAACAAATTAGCGGGTAGGTAAGACTTGGGATTTGTCTATCCTCATCAATCCTGACTATTGACGACTCATGAGCAGCTCCCTCGAACTTAAGGCTGAATATGAGAGGCTGAAAGCACTGCAGGAGATGGCAACGGAAAATTCGGCTGATAGTTTTGTTAAAAAACGTGGTGTTACCGCCGAAATGAAACAGTTCAAAGAGCAAAAGGAAGAGGCAGAACGGTTTGACAAGCTACAAAAGCAGCGGGTAGGATACCCAGTCATATAACGATGCTCTTGCTTGATGCTCACTCCTGCACTTAGGCACAGCAACTCGCTACCTATTTGGTATGGAAGCTCTATCACCTCAATAAAAACATTGAAGTCCTTGAGGCGGAGATCGATCAAGAAAGAGGAGCGTCACAACATTCGGAGGAGCAAATGGTAAGCGATGTTACCGTGAAGAGACACCCGCAGTCACTGAGTTAGGCCAATGTTTCCAATTTAGAGAGACTTGGAAACTCAACTCAAGGATGCCAAGCGTCAGCAAGCAAGGACAAACAAAGACCTTATGCGATTGGAGAAACATATCCACGAAAAGACGAAACAAATGGAGGACATGGTTAGTGTATGTGTTACTAGACATACCGGCTCGTGTGACTGAAGGACGCCTTTTCTCCAGAAACCTGTACTGCTCCGCCTAGACGAAAAGATTCGCCATGGAAACAAAAAGCTCAGGACAGCAGACGAAAATATTTCCAAGGCCAGGGCAGAGCATGAACGCGAGGTATACCGCAATGCTGTCAACTCTGTGGCCTACATGTCATAATCCATTTTCGGCCCTAGACCGTTATTATCCGTGATCTGCAGAAAGATTACGAACAGCTTACTAAGGCGTTAGCAAAGTATGAAGGTACTGTAAGCGTATCGTCAAGACTGGTACGTCTCAATTCTAACATTGTTTGCAGAAAATCTTCGCAAACGTAGAGCCGAGGAAGGGCGATCTCTTGACGAGGCACAGTTAGCAGAATATAATCAGAGGTTGGGCCTTTTATCTTTCTTCAATGCAAGCTTATTCTTATCTTTATGTGTCTGATAATAGAAAAAATGAAGTCCGGCGCCGAACCTTTGCGTTTCAGCAGGAACTCACCAATCTGCAACGTCAAAAGAAAACTGTAGTAGAAGCAAAGTTGCGACTGGAGGAGAATGTAAGCGGAGTACAGAATCGTAAACAGGTTTTAGAAGAAGAGGAAAGACTGCTTACGGAGCGGCAAGA